ACAACGCACGGTGTCTCCATGAACACTACTGCAAGTGAGAAGGTTCGCGTCACTTGTCATGTCACTGTCAATGGCCACTCCATCGGCGGAGGGGCACCCGCAAGCGCCTCTCCACCGTATTCCACGGCTCCCGAATCCACACAAGGCTCCATGAAGGAAGACGATGGAGGAATAGAGAGGGATGCTTACTGCCACACGCGGCTGCGAGAAGCCACTCTCTTCCTTCACGGCCACGACGCATGGGAGCGATGTGCTGGCTTACACACTTCGTTTCGTAATTCCTGTTGGCGGTGAAGGAAGCTCCTGATGACTATTCTCTCGAGGCCAGGCGAGATCCAGGCTGCACCGCAATCAGTTTACCCGCGGGGATGGTTGGATGATTGCCGCGAGAATTCGCTCTCAGTCGTTCCCCCCGTTCTTCCAAGTCTCAAGGCCCCCTCTGCCTCCTCAGTCTGGCCGCTGCCCCGCTCATCGATCCCTCCAGTCTGCCTTTGCTCCTTCTACATACCCCCTCAATCCGTGACTCTAGTCGACCAAAACAGCCTTTTACAACACCTCCTCGCATCAACTCACCATGGACAGCACACAGCTCACGAAATGGCGAGCAACAGGTACATCACCGATATGATCACTTTTAATCTACCTCTAAGCCTCCCTCCCAGGAAAGTTGGAGGAAATGGCCGCCGTAGCCCACGAGCTTGATCTCTACACCACCGCCGGGTTCTCCGTACACTACACTCCCGCTCAGGGCCTCTCACTCCCCTTCACCGAACCCCTTATCTATCGCGCCCTTGCCCAAACCCTACGCGCACAACCCACGCTCTTCGCAGTCCCCATCGTCAAAGAAGGAGAGGAGACCTACTTTGCGCGCCTCCCCTCCATCGATCTCAGGACAGTGACCACCTTCGCCACGCGGGCAAAGCACGTGCCTGGTCCTGATGACGGAGGCAGAGATCCCGAACTCGACGCTCTGCTACAGGAGCAGGTCAATCTCAACTTCAAGTCCGAGGCGGGTGTTCTGCCTGTGTGGCGCTTCATCGCGCTGTTCGACGGGCCCGAGAAGCAGGGCTTCACGGCGAACCTCATGGCGCACCACGCGATTGCCGACGGCGCCAGTTTCCAGATCCTGCACCGGGAGTTCCACAAGGCGCTGCACGTCCTCTCTTCTCCGTCATCCGCGCAGGCTGAACGAGAGATCGAATATGTCGTCTCCTCAAAAGACACCGACGCCATCGGGCCCCCGATAGAGGCCATCCACTCCCTCCAGCTCCCCGAGCCCGCACCCCAGCCAGACGCAGACGCACAACCAAAGTACAACGACTGGCTCGGCAACCCGCCATCGCTGCCAAATTCGACCGGGTACACGACGCTCACGCTCACGCCCGCTGCGGTGGCATCCTGGACCCAGGAATGTCGAAGAAACAAGGTCGCGCCGCCAGCCGGCCTCAACGCCCTGCTGACCCGCAGCATCTACGCCGCGCTGCCCGCAGGGACGGAGTCCATGGACGTCAACATCCCCGTCGACGTGCGCGGGAGCCTGCCGCCTGCCGCCGTGGACGGCGTCATGGGCAACTTCTTCGACGCGTTCCGCATCCGCGTGTTCCGGTCCGACTTCCCCTCTGGCGGTAGCGACGACGGGACAGAGGGATTGGGCGCCATCTGGCCGGCTGCGAAGAAGGTCGCCAAGGAGACTCGCGCGTACTTCAGCCGCACGACCGCTGACGGCGAGGCTATCCTCAACATCGCGGGGCTCAAGAATGTGCCCGACTTGCACGCGCTGCTGAAGAGTCTGATCGGGGGTGCGCGGAGTGAGTCCCTCGAGCTGGCATACATAGGTCCGCACGCACCCTACACCTCTGGGGAGACGCTGCGCTGGAACGCCGGCAAGGCGACGGTGAGTCGGTGTGCGTTTGCGCTGGGGGCATGTCTGCAGATGACGGTCGTGCTGCATGCCGAGGGGATGACGATTGGGTTTGCGTGGCCGCGTGCTGCCATCGAGGCGGGGCTTGTGGAGGAGGTGGTTGCGTCGGTCCGGGGGTATTTTCATTCGATTACTGCGTAGACGTAATGTGTTGTAGCTCCTTTTAGTAGAGAGTCATGCAAAGCTTCGGGTTCGCTGGTAGCTTCGCAGTCGTGGTCTTCCTCTTGAAGTGACCTGAAGAAGATGTGTCTTCCACTGTGTCCATGTCGAGATCTGCGCAGCTCATCGCTCACTAGGCCGCCACACGACGTAACCATCAAGCATCGCTTCCTGTCTCATCCCCCTCTATGGCGGGGTTTCGGGGGTATCTTGAGTCTATTACGGGGTAGACGTGACGTGTTGTAGCCCTATTCTATTTCGCAGAGATTTACACAAAGCTTCGGGGTAGCTAGTAGCCTTGGAGGTGTAGTCTTTCTCTGGAAGGAAATAGGATAACAACGACGTGTCATCCGTTCCGCCGCGCCCTGTGTACATATGTCTGCCCACGGAAGCTGCCTGTGTGCGGAGTGGCCAGCACAGTCTATCGATCAGCTAGTTGGACACCACACCGTCCCCACTTCACCATTGTAATCACCACGTCCACGGGCCACTTCACAACACGCGCGCGCGTGTATGGAGTGCTTATCGCCCACTAGGCGGGCACATAGCATAGCTATCCAGCATCGTTTCCTATCTCATCCCCGGAGCAAGGTGGCAGTCAGTCGTCGTGGTGAAGAGTACATTCTCAATTGTAGTCTTCTTCTGTCGGCGGATACGGTGGAGTGTAAGGCAAAAGCACGCCCAACAAAAGGACAAGCCATTTGGGGAAACGGATTCGGTATTCAACTAATTCCCATCTATGCGCTCCTCAGCTCCCCCCGTCCACCACCTCCGCAACACTCACACCGTTGCTCCTCAGCCTCTCCGCCGTCGCCTGCAGCAGCTCCGTCTGGTGCTGCAGCATCGCCTGGATCTGATCATGCTCGGCTCTCCTCGAATGACTGGGTACCTTCATGCTCGAGCCTAGTCTTTGCTCACCCGCTGCTTTGATCCCTCCCTCCACCTCCTTGGACAGCGTCTGCTGCAAGTCCTTGACCTTGTCCATGCGCTCCCACACGGGGACCTCGCTGCCGTCCGCGTTGTCTGTCAGTCTTTGTGCTTCCTTGTCGAGACTGCCCTCCATAGTGTGCAGTTCCTCGACAAAGTGAACCTCCTTGTCGCTGAGCTGTGATGTATTCACCGACGCCATCTTCCGCCTTAGCGCGAGATACCGCTGCTTCTGCGCTTCCTGCTTAGCCTGCACTTTTTCCATACGGTCCTCGATCTTCTTGTTGCCGTAGAGACTCGCACCACTCTGCGCCTCGTCCTTGCCCGTGACTGTGTCGACTTTCTGCATGACTTCTGCAACGCGGATCACTTGGTCGCGGTACTCGTCTTGGAGGCGCTGGCACCGGTTGAAGAGGTCGGAGACTCTGAGCTGGAGGGTCTCGGTATGCTCGGCGAGGACGCGGTGCGCGGCCATGAGCACTTCGAGATTGGCGGGCGACAGCTTGATCTCCTCGTTCCACGCGGCTCGTGAACGATGGACGGCCTGGAGCGATGAATGCAGACTGAACGGCTGCCAGAACTCCTTTGGTGGTTGCCACGGCTCCCTGTTGTTGCTTGCAGGATCGTCCCATCGCAGGACGTCTTCAAAATCCTCTTGGATAGCCCCGTCTTCGGCGTCGAGGAACACAGCTTGCGGCTCATGGTCGAACACCGTAAGCACCAAGTAGCCGACGCCCGTCTCCTCGATGACAACGCATGATGTCACGTCCTTGCTCGTGTCCCTCGCGTTGCGGCGCATGCATCGCTCCGCAACAGTCGTCGCAGATTCCAGCAGGCGCTGTAGCCGGAAATCGGCGCCTTCGATCTGCGGTTCATATAGCTCGCTCTCGAGGTTGCGGATCCACGGCTCAAGCGAGATGTAGAAAACGCCGCTGGCGTGTGAGACGAAGAACGAAAAGTCGGTGCGCACATCCGGGGTGATGCTCTGGTTCGGCGAAGAAACGCCATCGTTGGCCAACGCAACCGTCTCGACAACGGCAAGAACATGCTCCGAGGGTTCCGGCACATACTTGTCCTCGGCAGAGGGAAGCCATCGGCCTACAATGCCTTCCAAGTCGAGACACACGTGCACCTCACATGTGTCGGTGAGCAGACAGACAACCGCTGAGGGCAGGCCTTCGGCGATGTCCTCATCTTGGCTGTCGGAGAAGGTCTTGAGCGAGAACACAATCATGTCGCTGAGCTCGAAGTCTTCTACCTCGGGGAGAATGGAGAATGGACCTTGCAGGAGCGGAACAGCGGGGACACTGGCTGGTCGGTTGAATACGGTAATGACGTCGTCGTTGGAAAGTTGCTCGGTGAATGGCTCTTGGTATATTATGTCACTGAGCCATTTGATCTGCTTGTCCGCAAGAGACATGTCTTGGATGGGAGAGGAATCGTCTTCGGTGACATTGGCGTGGTTGATGTTAATGGTGGTAATGAGCGTCTGCTTGAACGTGTCTGCACCAGCCGAGTTCACGAGCTGCCACTTTGAGGGCAGCAGAGGACACAGCGCGTAGACATGGCCGGAAACAGTGGCGATCCACAGGGTCATGGGCGCCCACCCGTGGACGCCCTGCTGGTCGGGCGAGTCTCCGAAGCAGGCGGAAGCCACCTCAAGATCCGCCGCATCGGGAGAAAACCCCTTGGTAGCGCCGTACTGCGACGCGCTCAGATTTTCCTGGTCGCTCTTTGCGTTGGCGAGCTTCTGCAGGTCGATGGACAGCGTCGTCTCGCAGAAGCTCGACCGGTCGGCGCGGTTGATCTCCCACAGCCGGACGACCCCTGCCTGTGTTATTGTGACGAGGCAGCGGCCGTGGTAGCCGAGCGGATGCCAGAGCACCGACGCGATGGGCGATTCCTCGAGCACGTGGGCGGTCGGGCCAACCTGGAAGGTCTTTGGTTTGATGGGCGCATCGTCGGCGGCGGCGGCCAAGAGCGAGGGTTCGGGGAGATGGACGACGTGGACCGTGTGCGATGTGGACACGGCGAGGTAGTCGCCTTGGGGAGACAGGTCGAGGCGCTCGATGGCCAGCGGTATGGAGATCTTGAGCACGCGGTAGACGGGGTGCTCGTGCTCCTTCAGGCCCTCGAGGTCGGCCCACCGTATCTCGTTGCCTACGGCGACAAACACCTCCGAGTTTCGTGCAGCAATGGTCTTGCGGATCCCGGGGACCTTCTCTTTCTGAGCCAGCGCTCGGCTGGGGGAAGCTCTGGGCGCAAACAGCTCGTGGCCGCGGCTCGGCCGCTGCAGCCAGCGCGGCGTGTGAGCGACGACCTTGGGCATGTCGACAGGCGTGGGCGGCGGCGAGAGAGACGGCGAATGCTGCGGGCGCAGGCGCGCTTTTGCAGCAGCAGCTCCAGACAATGCTCGGCCGCGACAAAGCAGACAGGGACGCACGGGCCCGACGCGTCTTCTGGCAAGCTTCACCCAAGCTCGGCCAGCCAACCACGCACGCCTTTGCAACGCAATTCGCGCCCTCTCCCCGTTGCGCACAACTGCGGCCACACGACAGCTGGAGCGGCCGACACACACAGCCCCCGCAGCCCCGCCCACGACACACCCTGCGCCCGCCATGCCTGCGCTGCGCAAGAAGAGCACCGTCGAGCGGCTGGACAAGGCGAGCTCGTATGCGTCGTCCAAGGTACCCGGGTCCCACTGCAGCCGTGATGCGCGCTGACACTGCGCCAGAACAGGCGGCGCAACCAGAACCGCCGCGACGGCCAGCGCGAGCGCGAGCCCACGCCCGAGGACGACAAGCTCAAGGACGCGACCACCCTCTACGTCGGCAACCTGTCCTTCTACACCACCGAGGAGCAGATCCACGAGCTGTTCTCCAAGTGCGGCGAGATCAAGCGCCTCGTCATGGGCCTCGACCGCTTCCAGAAGACGCCCTGCGGCTTCTGCTTCGTCGAGTACTACACCCACCAGGACGCCCTCGACTGCATGAAGTACATCGGAGGCACCAAGCTGGACGAGCGCATCATCCGCACCGATCTGGACGAGGGCTTTGCCGAGGGCAGGCAGTACGGGTGCGTGGACTCGACCGACTTTGCAGCGCCCCGACTAACTTGCCCACAGACGCGGAAAGTCGGGCGGCCAGGTGCGCGACGAGTACCGCGACGAATACGACCCGGGCCGTGGCGGATACGGCAGGGCGATACAAGAGGAGGAGTCGTACGCAAAAGAATACGAGTAGTCGCTCCCTTGCGATGGTGCGCGGCGGTATCGATACCAGCATGGCAGGCGTAAGGCGTTCATCGGGGTACCTCAGGGCGCTGTTCCCAGGTTTGCAGCTCCGAAGCCTTCTGAGGACTTTTATATTTGCAGGCAGAGCCATTGTTCCTCGAGGAGAACGTCGTGTGCAGAGACCAACCCACCAACGGTCTCTGCTCGACAGCAGAGCTAGATACATGCAATGGCCTAACAAATCAGATACCTTCCTGCACATGTCTATCCCAACGCCGCCCGCTTGTATGCATATGCGCGCTTATGCTCACATCACTGACAGCTAGGAAGCCGACCGATCCACAACCTCGAACTGCCGTCTGCGCTCGACTGCCTTCAACACCTCCCCTAGCCACCACACGTGTATGCGCGGATCCGCAGTCAGCTCTGGGTGGAAGCTGATGCCCAGGACGTTGCCTTGTCGCACGGCAATGATGTCCTCGCTTCCGGCGTGGTCGTGTTCCGGGTTGGCCTGCAGCGCAGGCGTCTGTGTCGGGAGCGTGGCCATGACCTCGACCTGCGCTGTCGTTTCCTTTTCAGCAAGCTTGTCTCCAGGAGCCTTGGACGGAGCAACGACGGTGGCCTCGCGCGATTGTTCCTCGGTCTGCACGCCGTCTCTGTGCGGGAGAATTTTCTCGACAACGGGCGCCCGGATGAAGACGCATCTGTAGGGCTCGTTGGCGGACTTGTCGACGGTATCGCCGAGGAAAGAAAGCTGGAGATTTGCCTGGAAGCTTTCGACTTGGCGTCCAAAATGGTTCCGGTTGACTCTTACGTCGAGCCCCCCAATGAGATCCTGGCCGCCCTTCTTGGTCCTGTTTGCAGACTCGGCCAACAGAATCAGTCCGGCGCATGTCCCCCACGTGGGTTTGCGGAGCACTCTACGCAGTGTCAGTGTGTCTGTGGCACAAAGTGCGTGGTACGAGGCGCCTACTTGACGAAATCCCTCAACGGCTCCAGCAGGCCAGAGCGCGCAGCCACGAGCGATATGGCGGTGCTCTCGCCGCCGGGTATGATGAGCCCGTCGCAGCGCGCCAGCTCGTCGGGCGTCCTGACCTCGACGAAGCTCCACTTTGGCGGCGACTGCGCAGGTGCACCCTTGAGCGCAAGCGACTCGGCCGCCGCGCGCAGCAGCTGCACATGCTCGCTGAAGGCGCCCTGCAGCGCCAGCACGCCCACGGTCACGTCCGCAAGGACCACGGTCATGACGCAAGCGTACAGCTTCCTGGGCGGTGCAGTGCAGTGGGTGGGGACTGCCGTGCGGTAGAGGTCAGAATCGCAGTCGAAGTCCGGATGCCGTTGGACGGTGGCCCACGGATAGTGATGGTATAAAAAGTCGCGCCGCCGTTATCGATAGCACGGCTGAGTGACGCGCACCCCACCGCCTCTGTTCAACACCCGCAGCAGCACGCGCAGCACGACTGCTGGCTGAAGCGCCCCAACGCCATGACCCGACCCGAGCGGGAGCTGGACATCACATACTGGCTGCTCGACACGCGCTCGCTATGGCCCGGCACCAAGATTGCTGAAGCGGTTGGTATTCCTGAAGGCGCTGCCGCTGCCGCCGTTGGCTGACATGCCGCACAGGCCGCCGCCGAGCTCCAACTCATCAGCCCCGAGGAGCGCGACGCCTGCACGCGGAAGTACCATATTGCAGACGCGCGCATGAGCCTGGCCTCGGCGCTCCTCAAGCGGCTGTTCGTCTCCAAGACGCTCGGCATCCCCTGGACGCAGGTGCGCTACGGGCGAAAGCGCGACCCGACCCACGGCAAGCCCTGCGCGCTGCTCCCCGACGGCTCGCAGGCGCCCGTCGAGTTCAACGTCTCGCACCAGAACGGGCTCGTCGCGCTGGTGGGCAGCAGCTCCCCCGATGCCGAGCTCGGCGTCGACATCGTGCACACCAACGAGCGCCGGGCGTACACGTACAAGCTGATCGACCGTGAAGGCCTCGACGGCTGGGTCGACGTCTACGAGGACATCTTCAGCGACGAGGAGTGCTGGGACATCAAGTACAACGTGGACCCGTTCCCGCTGCTCGACGGCACCGAGGTCACCGCCGAGATGCTGGGCCGTCACGACCGCGTGTGCCAGCGCGGCCAGCCCGTCGTCGCGACGCTGCCGTCGGGCGAGAAGCGCGCCTTCAGCTCCGACCTCGTCATCGACGCCAAGCTGCGCAAGTTCTACGTCTACTGGTGCTTCAAGGAGGCCTACATCAAGCTCGACGGCGAAGCCCTGCTCGCCAAGTGGATCAAGGAGCTCGAGTTCAAGAACGTGCGGGCCCCGCGCCCGGGGAGCCCCGCGCGGTGCGCGAGCTACGGCACTTGGGGCGAACGCGTGAGCGACAGCGAGGCCTGGCTCAAGCGGAAGCGACTCACTGACGTGCGGCTCGAGATCCAGAGCTTCGAGGAGGACTTCATGATTGGGGTCGCGGCGAAGCCCGCGGAGCGGCTGCCGGAGTACCTGACGGACTTTAAAAGCTTGGATCTCGAGGCCGACGTTGTGGGGTTTGCGACGCCGTTCTAGTCATGTTTTGGGCGCTACGGAGGTTTGATCGGATCGAGGCTTCGATCGCGATGGCGTTTTGCAATCTGCACTGCTGTACCAAAGTTGCACCGTCTGTCATGATTGAATGAGTAGTAATAATAGAAAGCACATTTCTCTCTCAGCTTCGAGGACTGTCCGTAGCGTACACGACCTCCATCGCTATGCTCGTGGCCTGGCTGTCTCCCACAGACAGCCCTCCCTGCTGCTTGGACCCCGCTCCGTCTCCGAGTCTCCCCATGCACCGAACAACATCCGCTTCTTCTGAAACAAAAGGGTCCTACCAACGTCGTTGCGAACCTCGTCTTCAATCAGTCCGTCGCACCCCACCGCTCCGCAAACCGGTCCTTCTTGCTATCCCGGTTCCTCTCGTACTCACTGCTATCCGCCAGCTCCTCGGCGACGTCGGTCCCCCAGATGTCTTCGACCCACGCGTAGATCATGTCGATGCCCGCAGCGACGCCCGAACTCGTCCACACATTCCCATCCACCACCCAGCGTGCCTTGGCCACCCACTTCACCTCGGCGTTCTGCGCCTTGACCCACGCGAACGCCTTCTTGTTCGACGTCGCCCGCCGCCCGTCCAGGACCCCGCTCTTGGCTACGATGGCGGAGCCGGTGCACACGGTGAGCAGGTACGTCAGCGTGGGATACGCCGCCTGCACAAACTCGACCACGGGGGTGACGTTTTCCTCGGCGCGGCTGCCGAAGCCGCCGGGGATGATGAGGACCTCGATGCCGGCGGGGGCCGTGTCGAAGGTGTGCGTTGGGACGATGGATTGGGCAAAGGGCGAATCGGGTGGCGAGGACGGGGTCAGCGTCGAGAGGTACGGCGTCGAGATTGGCAGCGCGGTGGATACGGGGTCTGCACTCCCCCGGGGACGTCAGTAAGCCAGTCTTCACCAAAAGGAGGCGACGAGGAAGAACGGCGTGTTTCGGCTCTGGCGCGTACCGTAGGCTGGCGTCTACAATTCCACGACATTGGTAGTCGGGGGACGGGGGAGGTTTACGTACCCAGCGTAGCGGCGAGGATGGAGAGGCGTAGGGGCGTGCTGCGGGAGAGGATGTTGAGCGTGTCGAGGGGGCCCGTGATGTCGAGGAGTTGGAAGCCGGGGAAGAGAATGACGGCGACGTGTTTTGGCGTTTTAGCTGCCATTGTTGAGCGTCCGTATTTCCTAGAGCTCGTTTGCGCTGGTCGTTGTGGTTGCTGTTGCAACAGCGGTTGCTTTATATCCCTTTCTTTGCTCTTCCTACTCCAAATATCTCTTGTCTCGGAAACAGTTATCCTCGCAAAGACATCCTACACCGGTATGGTGTTTCCATCGTGCAACGTGCAACGTGGGGTACGTCCTCACGTGCTTTTCTAATTAGTCAATATACCTCGTTGCGTCGATTGGTTGGGTCGCTTGGTGGCTGCGGATCGGAGAGATTCTGACGTCCGTATCCGGAACGTGACCCTGCAGGGCGTCCTACATGCGGGGATCAGAGTGGGTGCTGCGCGGCCGGGAGTAGGTTGGCGGTTGGTCGTTGAGAATGTTTTGTTCGTCAATGGTGGAATTGGCGGAAGTGGGGGATCTGGCGGATTGTTTTGGGATTGTTGGCAGGGTCAGCTTGCACAACACATAATTGGGAGTTGATTAAGCTTGTCGACCAGGTACAGAGAACTAAGCAAGTGAGGTTCAAGCGTAGTAGATTGCTGAGACGCAACGGAGTGGCATACATGATTAGCGCGCACCTCGCTGTACCCAGAGGTGCCTTCCGTACACCATCCGACAGTGTATACCCGGCATCAGTTCCAGATACTGCTCACGACAGTATTTCCTACACCACACCATTCATATGTACACCCCCGCTATCTTGCTGCTCCACAGTTGGCCACAACCTCGCCTTCACAAACCTCTCCGGCGTGATTAGATAGCTCTTTGGAATATCCCCCTGCTCAACCAGGCGTGCCTGAACCTCTGCAAGGTCCCCCCCAGCACCCTCCCCAAGCACCATATCCACAATTGCCTTCCCGCACAACGTTCCATTCGGCATCCCGTGGCCCGTGTATCCTCCGGAAAGCCACAACCCCTCCTGCCCCGGCACCTTTCCCACCCACGGATGATCGTCCCGCGAGTACCCCATGATACCAGTCCACTCTGCCGCGGCCTTGAGCTCCTGCACGCCTGCGGTCGCCCCGTCAAGCTGCATCACCTTCAGCAACGCACTCCGCAGATACGCTGCCGAATCGGGATCGATGACCGTGTCGTCCGACACACCGATCGTAGGCAACTTGCCTGCTCCGCGGCCGCCGCCGAACATCAGGTGGCCCGCGGGATTCGGGACCCCGCTGTACGGCCGCTGGATGAGGTAGTCGTCTGCGTTCGCGGGCTGGCCCAGGGCAGCGACCATGCCGTAGGAGTCTGGCAGGATGGAGGAGCCCTCGGGTGGGAAGAGAGCGCTCATTTCACCGCGGACGGGGACGATGAGGTCTGCGAAGGTGGGGAGGAGGGCGGAGGTATAGCCATTCGTTGCGAGGATCACGGTGGGGGCGGTGATGGTGCCGCGGGGAGTGTGCAGCGTGTGGGAGTTGGCGCCGGAGGAGAGTTCCGTGACGGGGGTGGTGGTTTGGAGGTTCAGGCGGCCTTCTTTGACAAGATTCTCCAGGATGAAGGTGACGAGCTTGTACGGCCAGAGGCTGCCCGCGCCCGGGGTGAGAGTTGCGCCGATGCAATCGGGGCTCACGCGGTGCCGTGCCAGTTCATCTTTGTCTTTAATGATCTTGAGCTGGGAGGCGATTTCTGGGGCGATCGTCCTGAGGTGTGCGATTTCTTTCTCGGCTTCGGCCATCACTTCCTGCGTCCAGAACTGGCGGCAGCCGGACACAGTTCGCCATTCGCAGGGCACGTTGTGCTTTTCGATGTAAGAACGGACGGTGTGGACGTTCTTGAGCTCGAAGTAGGCGACGTCGGCGCCACGATCCCAGAGTAGGGGTTGGCAATGGCCACCGTTCTAGACCGGGTGTTAGTGAAGGCCTCGGATGTACGCATATTCATTTGGTAGGAAGTTGGCGCAACAACTTAGACTGTAGCACGGGCTTACCCTGCCTGTAGCGCCCCAGCATGCTTCCCGCGCCTCTAGCATGACAATCTTCTTGCCATTTGCCCGCTCATCTTCAGCTAGAAATCTTGCCGCAGACGTGCCTGTTATACCACTCCCGACAATGACTATGTCAGCCTCAGCTGGGAGGTCTTCCGTGGTACGATGGCCGATGAGAAATTCATTTGGCTCGCTGTGCCAGAAAGAATTGGTGGATATGGGCGTCGGAAGCGTTGCGCGCGTGTGTCTCATGGTGGACAGCTGTAGTGGGGTGATGGATTGTGCCCCTCTGAGAACACTGAACGACACACTTTATGTAGCCGATGTTGTGGAGGAATCAATACCTTTTTTATGACGTGTAGCCCGGTATTCTCTGCATGTGGACTTCGAGGATGTAAGTATATCATACAATTGTTGGCAGCATTCTGCGATGGAGTACTGTGATAGGCATCTCGGAGTAAAGATGATTCCGACCCTCGGCATTGCCATTTCAGGACACGCGCCCTGTACGCGCCGTCTACCCAATGCTACTGTGCAATCGGTTCGGAGCTCGCAAAGGTGAAAGGATTGATGTAGGCGCCATGACTTCACTCTTTGAATGATGATGGTAGACGACGCGCGTTCGAACAGCGAAGTTGACGGGCACACGTTGCAGTCCACGCAATATGGGTCGGCATTCGGAGGGATTCAATTATTGTAACCACAATTATGAACACACGTACTGTACCGGGTGGATCGCATAAGAGTCATGTCGCGGCCTCCATTGAGCATGACGCGACAGTGTAAACGGGGCCTGGGCTTTTAGAGTTCAGACTTGGCGGAAGACAGCCCCGTCGCGCTAGAACAATCGAATATCTGTGCTTACGATGTGTCCCGCCATCGCAGACAGATATCTATCCGGTCTGTTGCTGCTATGACAGGGCTGTCACTGCTTATAGAGGAACTGCGAATGTCACCACGCTCGTCAAGATATACCGAGATCACGCAAGTCTGAGGACAGTCGTGCAGAGGTCGTGTAGCATCCATTGTGTTCCCTACCACTTCTTGTTGTCCCCTATGCGAGCCGTTAGCTCTGCTCACCACGGCATCTCTCTACCCGAAAACTCTAAGAACCTTGCTCGTCCATTGTCACGGTCGCCTTCCTTGTCCTCGTCTAAGCCTTGCACCATCTTGAGAATACCAGCCGCACTCTCGCGAATCTCAACACTTGCTCTGTCTCCGCCTAGCCTCGTCTTTACATGACCTGGATCCAAGCACGCAACCCGATATCTCCCTTTCAGCTCCTGCGCTTGATGCACGGTGAGCATGTTGAGCGCAGCTTTGGAAAGACTGTAAGCGGTCGCTGCCGCTGGTATTCTGCCGCTAGTGACCATCTGTAGGGATGCCATTCCACTGGTGATGTTCACAATGACGGCATGGGGCGCAAGGAAGGGGAGCAACACTTCAACGACCTTGGCTGGTCCCAGCACATTCGTTGCCATATTCTCTGAAAGCGCTTTGGCGGTCATGGAAGTAGCTTTGGCTTCAGGGTGTGCGACAACGCCTGCGTTGTTGATCAGATGCGTGATTTTCTCGTCGGATGAAAGGATGTGTCCAAGCGTGGTGCTGAGTGAGGTAATGGAGTCGACAGAGGAGATGTCGCAGATCGCGATACGGACATTGTTGCGTTCGTCCTGGAGGCGCTGCAATTCAGGTGATATGGTACGGACTGTGGCGACGACGACGGTAGAAGCGTCTGAAGAACGTTGATTGACAAGTTCGAGGCCGATACCTCGGGCTACGCCTGTGATGAGGAAGATCGACATTGAGGTCTTTCTCATTGGAACAGTGTTCTCACTAGGTGTTTCAGCTCAAATCTAGGAGAGTTTGCAAACCATGGCACAGCTCTTGTTTTAAGTTCGAAGGTAGCTTTGTAATGCCTTCGGTGAACTCGTACTACAACAGTGCGATTGAGGCTTGGTATAAGCGGAGATACTTGGGACTCATGTTATTCGCGCTTATTCTGCCTGTCACGCGGGTCCACAATGGGATCCGTCGATCGCCGAAACCTGAGAAAGTTCCTTCGGGCCAATGAATAATAAGTCGGAAATCTAGAAACCTTGAAACAATACAAATCAGATAATGGATATCGGGTTTAGCTGGTTTTTCGGTTGATGTTCATGCCTTTCGTTGACGCAGTCGTTGGCCAAAGTATCAGAAGGTTGCGATGGTAAACGTGTAGGACACGAAGAGAAGCATGTGTAATCGCTCGATTCCTCCACTGTTTACGCTTAGAGCAAAGCTTACGCTTTTGGCATAGGGCTCTCGAAGAGTATTACGAGATCAAGAGGGGGTAGAATTTTCGGAAGTGGGCTCGGTAGGTGTTGCTCCGTGACTAAGCGCCACCTGGGTTTCCACCCCACTTGCTAAAGGATCCGTATGGCGGAGTCTTCACAGCAAGGCGCTACGCGCATTCGTTCCCCTGACTCGCTCTTCATTCAGATGCACGCAGTCCACCTCTGTGCTGCTGTGGCGTGGTTTTGGATGTCGAATTTGCATTCTAGGAACACTGCAGATGGCATCAGCATCAACAGCCTCTATGTAGCTCACCTCTCAGTCCGATCTCGACTCGTCAACTGCATACTCGATTAGCTTATCTGACAAGAGTTGGCACAGTATTGAATCGATCTTTCACTTGACCACTCATGCTATTGGTAAAGTCTTGGTGTACGGCAAATACGAGAGAATGGCCTAATTCAGGGTGTCACGGCAAGAATGTAAAGGCCCGACATCTTCCTAGTAATGAACAAGCCTTTTGGTACCCCGGAGTGCACTTCCGCAATCGACACTCGTGAACTCGGCATGTGTGCTTCAGACTGCCAAGATCGATAGGGGTAGTGGCAGCTCGAACAATGTCGTTGCCACATGTTCACATGCGGTAACGTTCTTCGCTACGCTTGCCCTCGCTGCATGATGGTCTCTCTAGCGTACCATCCGTAACATGCTAGGAGATCAACATTTCATGGTAGTTCCATGTCAATGATGATCGCACTGAGATTGCACCAGATCTTCTCAACGGGCATCGACAATTCACAACTTAGGCATGGGAATAATGCAGGTTTGGTAGCACTTCCGTGGGTCAATCCACCCCAAAGACACGCCCTCCAAAGTCTCTTATAGTAAAGTCCCTGAGTTCGGCATTGAAGTGACGCCACATCGGCGACTATCCCACTGCTGGTGCAACTCTATCGCCTAGCGCATGGATAGCGCCCGCGGGAAGGCCCGGCAGTAAGTGACCTCCTTCGAACTATTAGCGAATGGCATTCGCAAACTCTAAAATGCCCACAGTTCAGCCTTCGAATCCCAGTTGCCGGGGAAGTGTCTCATAAGCGATGGAGGTCAATTAAAAGCTCAGGGCCACACTAACATATAGTGTCCATATCTTGACGTGCACTGACGTGCACCGTTATAAGGGACGTCGATCGCCCAAATTCCCCCTGTGTACATCATCGGTTGCAGTTCGCTTCTATCTCGCTAAACCCGTCGTATGCACATCACCGCGGAAGAGATCTTCTGATGGTCCAGGGATTTGGTTCATAATTAGGGCTGGTTGCCACGTCCCTGCGCACACGTAGGAATTCTTCTCCTCGAGACGTCCGTTATGGGGTCCTTATGGCGAACGTTGATTTATATCTACCTGCTGGGGTTTGTGTGGGCTGCAGTAGCCCAGTCCGCACTTCCTGAGTGCGCAGTAAGTTCATTGCGATCCACAACACGACTGTGTTGCTGACTTTGATAGCAAACATGCCTTCTTATGGCGTTCGGCACGAACACTTGCACAGTAACTGACCTGGACTGCATCTGCACAAATGATGTTTTCCAGAGCAACGTTACACTCTGTGTAGCGAGTAGCTGCGCGATTCCAGATCAACTAGGTACGCTACACAGCGACACAGCGACACAGCGACGATGTTGTATTGACCGATGTCAGCGACCAAGAACAGCAGCTTAACCACCTGCGGAGCTCCCGTTCAAGATCGTGGCCCCAATTACGTCGCCTTGTCGAACACAATGTTCTCGATTTCCGCCGGTTTCGTCGTCGTCCGAATTGCATTCAAGGTCCTAGTGTCGAGGGTCGATATTGGCATGGATGACTGGACCGTGGTGGCTACTACGATAATTTCTATACCTAGTGCGATTGTAACGGTCTACGGAACTGTCGCTAACGGTTTGGGGCAACACATCTGGACACTGAAACCGAACGAGATTACGTCCATGCTAAAGTACTTTTATGTCATGGCCATACTATACTTCACGCAGACTGCGCTCTTGAAGCTCTGCTTGGTATTCTTCTACATTCGCGTCTTTCCTACCCAAGGCGTCCAGCGCTTGCTATGGGCCACGGTAATCTTCGTAGTCGTGTGGGGCATGGCCTTCGTCCTTGCCGGAATATTCCAATGCACACCCGTGCATTACTTCTGGAACAAATGGGACGGGCTCCATCAAGGGCATTGCGTCGACATCAACGCGATCACGGTCACCCACGCTGCTATCAGCATTTCCTTGGACGTCTGGATCCTCGCAATCCCCATGTGGCAATTGCGAGGACTGAGGATGCATTGGAAGAAGAAAGTGGGCGTCGGACTGATGTTCTGCGTCGGTACTTTTGTCACCATAGTTAGTATTCTGCGATTGCGCGCCTTGATGGATTTTGTGGTTTCCTCCGACGCGAGTTGGGAGTTCTACAATGTGTCGGTTTGGAGTACGATCGAGATATGTACAGGCATCATTTGGTAAGCCAGCATCTGAGACATCGCAGAAGAGATTCATGCTGACGTATCTTAGCTCTTGCCTCCCGACTGTACGCCAGCTTCTCGCCAAGCTGTTCCCCATCATCCAGGGTTCCTCTGCTCGCAGTCGGAACAAGTACTACAATTACAACAGGAGCGAGGAGCTCCAGAAGATTGGTCGGAGCAATACTTCTCATGATGTCCGCATCGCGACCATAGCTTCTTCGGGTGATAATGGATCAGCAGAATTTAAGGACGACAGGGGAATCGTGGTGGAAACATCGTACACGATCAAACGCACCCAAGGTGATATGGATGAAATCAGTCTGGTGTCGCACGACGACAAGAAAGCCAAGGGAGGCCGCGCCGTGTAGCTTAGCTTAATCGAGCAATTCGACCATGATGATATCCATAGAATGACAGCGACTCACGAACAAAAAGAGCGATGTCCAGGACCGAGATTGACCTCATGTGATATATTCGTGTTAAGCAGACGAGGCACCTTCATCACAACTTCGCTTCGGCTACCACAAGTCCGTGCGTCTTGCTGAGTGTGTCCATCGCTTCCCTTTCTAATCTCTTCGCCAGATCCTCGCACGTGGGGATGTCATGGATCAGACCAGCACACATTCCCAGACTCCAGACTCCAGCATCGACATCGCCAGTTTCATACACGCCTACTCCTCTCTTGCCGCTCATTAGATGTGCAACGTCTTTGAACTCGACGCCCTGCTTGGTATTCTCGATCTCGTGCACTTCCAATGAGACCTTGTTCTTGTGCAATCGACTCGTGTTCCTGAACTTCCTAAGGCAAAGCACTGTGTCATGCTCTGTGGCCTTGACGATGGTTTCCTTGACGTTCTGATGGATAGGCGATTCGGCTGTACACATCCATCGAGTGCCCATATTGATACCTGCCGCACCAAGGGCTAACGCTGCAGCAACCTGTCTTCCGTTGGCAAATCCTCCGCTTGCAAGATACGGAATCTTCAACTGTTCCGCGCAAAGGCTAAGAAGCATCAATGAAGTTGTGTCGTATTCCCCACCATGTCCGGCGCATTCGATACCATCAATGGAAATGGCGTCCACACCAAGCTTCTCCGCACGTAGAGCGTGCTTCAACGCCACGCACTTGTGAATCACAACGACACCATTCTCTTTCAAGAATTTTAGGATCGGCGACGGGTCCCCGGCCGTTTCAATCACGCGGATACCCTCTTCAACCGCAACTCGCGCGTACGCCATGTAGTCCGGTTTCACGATTGCTGGCAGTAGCGTGATGTTTACGCCAAACTGCACGGCTGAGGGTTTGAGCATTGATTTACATCTGCGAATTTCTTGGCGTAGTGCTTCCGGAGATGGTTGGGTGAGAGCAGTGAGGAACCCTAGGCAGCCGGAGTTCGCGACGGCAGAGATGAGTTCAGCTTTGCCAACCCACATCATACCGCCTTGAACGAGAGGTATTCGGATACCCAGGGTCTCTGTAAGCCAGGTTTTGATGGGCATTTTGATGGTTCGTGAGGAGAGCAGAGAATGTAAGGTTGCGCGCGCAGATGTCGTCGTTGTCAATGTTGAATGTGGGTGAAAACCTGCAGGTATTTCGCTTGATCAAGGTAATGTTGAAGTAAACCGACAGTGACAGAAGCTACGTGAGATGCCTAGGTGAAGGTATCGTCTGAACAAGCAGGAGCGAGTCAGCGGGCGGAGATACGAGTCAGCGTCTACTTGCCGAGGTACTCGGTAAGCACGTGATCATATCTTCCGAGCACCTGCCTTTCATCACGAACATGAACGTTTTCGACCAATGCTTCCAGTGGGCAACTACGTCTGTCTTCTTGCATAATAATTTTTGCGTAAGCTCAGATAGCAGTCAGTCCGCATTAATGGCCAGACTGACGTCCTATAAATGTATTTCTTCTGGGCGTCTTCCGATTCCTATAGCTTCGCCATCACCCTCTCGAACTCGCGCTTATCCGGAAAATCATAGTACCTACAGTCATCGCTCACTCCAGGAATATCTTCAACAAAGCTCATTCTGCTTTTCCTCCACTGCTCGAAGTCGATCCTCCAGTCCCATGCTTCGTCAAATAAGCCCACATGGACAATGGATATGCCTGGGACGCGGAATGAGCGCGTTAGGATTGGTGATCCGCAATGCGAGCAGAACCAACGATTCACGATTCCACCAGTGTTGGTATCGGAGTCGTCATGCTGTTTTAGAAGATCTTCGCCACTGGTGAACTTGAACCTCTGCAGAGTATCAGTATACGGCCGTTCGCGAGAATTCTTCGAGACGGGATATACAACACACCTTGTCCGGGAACCAGGCCTTCACAGTGTAGGTCGAGCCATTGTTACGACGACAGTTGGTGCAATGACAAACCGCGCAGTTGATGTCGGGCCCAGTTGTTTTGAATGTGACTTTCTTAGACAGGCACGAGCCAGTCCGCGCTTTATCAGAAGATACTGACATGATTAAAGTCAAGTCCACATGCAGTTGGTGACTTTGGTTGTCTGAAAATGGTTGTAACGTTATGCTACTCGGTGACGTAGCTCGCGATCCACTCCGATGGCTCCTATTTGCTTTGTTCCAGGGGCATTTCCACGACTCACGACAATATATTCATGAGAACAACATACAACGTGTAATTTATGACACAGTAGGTGTCATCCTCGTCAATCGTCCATACGACGGCTCCTACTAAACCAGAACATACTCCTTCCAATTTAGATCTGGTCCTGCTGAAGCTAGAAGCTTGTTGGTTTTATCCTCCAACATACCGTCCTGTATATAAGCCGGTGCAACCAGCCGCCAATTCGACTCGACTTTCCGAATGAGCATGGGCACACTGGCCCCCTGAAAATAGACGATACGATCGGAAATTTGAAGAGCTCGAGATGCGATTCCCAGATAACCTCTTTCGGTTCTGAACATGACTTTGCGGTCCAAAAGTGATCGCATGAGCTTATGAAAGAACCGGACATCCCCTCCAATGTACTCGCCACCGAGTGTAAGACCGTCCTCCTGAGCGCATTTGCCTGCCCAGTACCCTATATCGGAGGCACTGTATCGCGCGTTTGGAAGAGTATCAGAATTTTCTTCGAAACGTTTGAGGCCTTTAATCCAATATGCTGATAGTACTTGGACAGAAAAATCTTTCGCGAACATTTTCAGCGGACTCCGTGTACGCGGCCACGGTTTTTTTATGAGACCAGAAAAGAATTCTACTGGACCCTTGTGCTGACAATGTTTCTCTAGCATATTCAACGATCCTAGCAGTGTCTTTATCTCACTTATTCGATTGTCATGGTAGCGATCGGGGAAAGCAACCGAATGCTCTTGAATCGTGTCCACTTCTACACCCCCAAGTGTTAGGCGACTTCCATCGATTACCGATATGCGCAACATTGTTTCCGGCTCTGATAGTACAACGTAGTCGTCCCATGATGCTATTTCACTTATGGGTTGGTTGCAAGACCAATCAGGCACCCATGATGGAAGGTCTTTGATCAGGCTCTCGCCTGTGATCGATCCAAGGATGTGCAGTCGAGCGTCGTGAGCTATAGCGGCAGCGGCAGCCTCCCGATAGACTTTTTCGGTCGATTTCGAGTAGTCCGGATTTGGCAAACATGCTCCCAAAACTAAAAGTAAGCCATGGATTGCGAATATCTTGTCTCTAGGGTCAGTGGCGTCAAGTTTCCGTGTTCGCAGAAGCATTGCCGTGCAATTGGTGAGTTTTGTTTTCGGCAGGGCGGTCTGCAAAGCCTCCCGAGAACTGCTCTCCATCGTGTCTGCTGAGGGACGATGAGGTTTGTACAGACGCACATGTCGAATGTACCTGAGAGAGTGCAAAGCGTTAGTATGTGTACGTGTTACTTCGATTCTCTTGCAGCGATGGTGAGATGTAACTTTTTCGAACTCACCTCCACATCTGTCGATGTACCTGTGTTCTGTCCAGACTGTAGTCCACCCTCGTGTAGTCTTTGACTAATGTGAGGAAGTGCATGAGCTGGTCTACGGATATCGAATATTTGCCAGAAATGATCTTACACTCATGAGAAAAAGCAACCTCTTGCACTGGCCAAGTGCGTGAAAACCAGGAATTCTCAAAAAGCACTTTTAGGCACGGCAAGTTCCGCTGATAATCACCTAAGACAATGTCAGAAATTGACTTCACCCACGAGAAGACGTGATTGACCTTTGGACACCCATGTCTTCCTCGACAAGTGCCGAATGAAATTCAGTGCGCGGACATGTTCTGGTTGACTATCCCCAAGCCAGACTATAACACGCTGCGCTTTACTATAGACCGTGCTCATCATGCCCACTTGGTGGTTGCGCTCCTGGGGCGAAGTTTGATCGATGCTAACGAAGCGAGAACTTTCGTCAGCAATTTTGATAAGATTCATTGAGCTTAAAGCATGTCGCTGCCTACCAGATTGAATCAACCCAAATATACCTCGATCTTGTCCGCTTTCTCAGCCGATGCAGAGCTATCGAACAATTTCTTGTTATGCGGATGAACTGGCTACCAATCCGGACTCTCTCTTCCAGCTTTGGATCGCCCCAAACGTATGACAAAGCTTCATAGGCATCGCAGGATTCCAATGGCTTTTCTATAACTCTGCATCGTATCGTAGAGTCGCTTGGGCCTGGAAGCAGTTCCAAAATACGAATAGACATTTTGTCACATAGCGGATGATGTTGAAATTCCCCTGCGGAGGTTTCATTCCGACCTATGGCAACCATTCTGAATGGATCAAATGAGTTTGATCAGGCTGTCTAGGTCTGCAGGCTTTTGTGGAACCTGAAGTTCTGATAGGAATTAGTATTATCACACTCTGTCTCATATCGAGAGTAGACTGTGGAACGAATTTTCCCTGGTGCGTGACGTCTGCTCGAATTGAGTGGCTGCGTCCCTACTTGTGGGTTCACAAGATCTTGGCTAGGCTGACCGGAACGTGGCTCAGCTCGAATGCTGACATGTGGAGGTTGCGGCTCTAACGGAAATGAGTTCGAATGGCCGCGAGCTAATGGATCTACATGCGCAAAGCTGAATGTACAACCTCTTTCAGAAAACGTCTACAAAGCGTGGACTCAGTAATGTCTATGGGTGCAATGGTGGGTTGGCGTTCGCAGAACGAGCACACTCGTAGTCGTATCGTATCAATTGAGGAGAGAGAAACACGCTAATGCCAATCAGGTTTACCGTGCATAATATTTGTGCATTGCTAATCCCACACGACTCGGTGGGGTATTAATCAGTAATCCGAGTGCATGTTCCTCCTACAGTGAGAGTCAATCAGCCCTAACTCACAACCGCCTCGTGAACCACATAGGTTTGAAACAGGTAAACCTTAACGGAGACTTAGGATCACAGATCACAATTGATTAATAGAGCAATACATATCGAACAGGCTTTTCGCGCCATATATGATAGTCAGCGATAGTTTTGCCAAATCTAGATATATATGGTAATTGCTCGCAAGGACTGAGCCGCACATAGACTATCAAGGCGCTATGGATTGCTACTCTACGCTATCAGTTCAGCGAGGAGGCCTACAGCTGCTCCAATGAAGCCAGCATTCGATGCGGTGTATCTAGCAGCAGCACCAGTGTTCTCTGCAGGTGCAACGGCACTACTCGATTCCGAAGCACTGGTATGTGTAGATGTCGCCAACGTAGCATCTGCGGAGCCGCCCTTAGTTGCAGCAACACTCGTGCTCCCCTTCGAGCCTCCATTCGATGTTGGTGTAGCATCCGCACTGGCACCCAGTTTGTCCACTCCGGCCGTGACAATCACGGGCAGATGCGTGACGTCGCTGTATGTCTCGGTACTACTCCCAGGAAAGTTGGCCTCGCTTCCACTCGCGCTCTCTTTGCAGACGGCTGTAACTGTACCGATACTGCAATCTGCAGTGGCCGTGAAGTCTTCGTCGCCAGGCTCCGACATATCCATTACGTATGTCGATGGTCCATATGTGAGCAGCTGTTGGGGGAAAAAGCCGCAATCACTGGTGGGTGCGCATGCAAGCGCGAATATAGTCTGTGAGGGTTCCGCAGAAATGACCGAGGCATAGAAGGTAGTGTCACCGTAGCCAATGAATGGAAGTGTAACCGTCTTCGTCTGAGCAAGCGCGACGCTCAGCAAAGTAGAGATGGTCAACAGGGAAGCCATTATGTGTTATTAATATAATATTAAGAAAAAATACTCCTGATGTGGGCGTAATGAATGTGGGTTATGTGTAAAAGAGCGACGACTGCGGTGATTGAGAAAACAATGAACGGCGATCACTGGCGAGGGCTTGCTTTAATTACAGATGATGGCCATGTGCGCGCTAGTTAAGCCCCGTTTGTGCCAAAACGACCTGGGAAATTCACGATTGGCTGCCGCATTAGCCTTTTGGCTAGATCGCACAAATGCTGGCACGCTTGGATCTTCATTGTCGCACGATTCTTTCGTCAGTCCCATGTATCTTTCATTCCTCATGGTTTGCAACCCCGAAAGTAACTTTCCAGAAGCATCGTACAGCGTGCTATAAGCCTTTCCTGCAAAGTACCCTGCCGCAACAAAGGCTGATGCCGTAAACTAGAGGCCATCACCCCGTCGAAACTGGTTATCCAGGACGGGACAGCACAGCGGACTTTTATCGTGTCAACGTCGCAACAGCATCTCACAATGTCGAATTCGTATTCGCGCACATTTGACCCGAGGTATGCGAAGCCCCGGGTGTCGATAGCATGTGCTTTGATATGTCAGATACCTAATTTATAGACGGATGCAGTAGGCTAGCGTGCTAATATCAGGAAGCAACAGTTTGAGCTGCACTGCGAGATCAGCTTTCAGCCACGATGTATAGTTCTTATATTTGCCGCAATAAAGTGTCAGTGTGCTATCACCCGGCAGGATCAACAAAAATTATGGGTCCAGCTTCTGACGAACATTCGATGATTCTTAGGTATGCTTTCTGCCTTCATCTACAACAGATTGAGAGCATCGGCGATCGTTCATATCCTGTGCAAGGGTGAGTGAGGCGGAGGCTACTTCACAGGCACTACGTCTACAGAAAGGGTATTCCTTTCAACAAGTGCCCTTCCGTCAAACATGAAAAGATTCTCACACAATCTAGCTCTCGTCGCTGCCCTAGCCACCACTTGCTACGCGCACTGGACTTATGACCGGATCATCGTCAACGGTCAAGTGATCGGAGAACCTTGGCAATATGTCCGCCGGCACTCCAATGGCAACAACTTCCTCTCAGATGTTACATCCAACGACATGAGATGCAACATAAACGGCGGCGTCTCTGGTTCGAATACTTCAACCTACGCTGTACAAGTTGGCGACCTACTTGGTTTCACCATCAGGGACACATTTGGACACCCTGGACCCCAGCAAGTCTACATCTCGAAGGCGCCCGCAGCCGTGAAAGATTACGATGGCTCAGGAGAGTGGGCAAAAATATACACGCTCTCCAACTGCGTGACCAAAGGATGCGGAACCGGCGATGGCATCGTAAAGTGGGCGACATATAGAGCGCAAACGTTCAATTTTAAATTACCAGCCGAAACCCCAGCTGGCGAATACTTGCTACGTGCGGAAGGGTTGGCTATCCATGCGGCACAGAAAAGTAAAGGCGCTCAGTTCTACGTTGCCTGTGCGCAAATCAAAGTCATGGGCAATGGCACTGGACTACCTGCACCCACGATAAGGATTCCAGGGGAGTACACGGAGAACTCGACTGGTATTCTGATCCCGATGATCTGGAGTAAGATCACGGACTATACGAGTCCTGGGCCGAGGTTGTGGCCTGAAGGAACGGAGGAAGCGCATATGCTCGATGGGAAGGTCAAGGAGTCAGACTCAAGGCTGGCAATCGAAGACAAAGTCAAACAATAACTTTCAGGTGAATCCGGCATGTCCCCATGGCATACAAAGCAGGGCTATAGCAGGGCAAAGGGCTATGGACCACGATATGGCAATACAAAGAGTAGTGGTTCGGGATGCCAATCTCGTCCTACTGCGAGGCAACCGTGCTGTTTATGAGGTACTACTGTTTCCACTCCCTGCTTGTTGTCTCGACAAACTCCTCGTAACTGTCCGCCTCTTTTCCCAACAGCACAACTTGCTCCTTGTACTGCTCCTCGGTCATACCAAATGGCATCTCCTCAAAAATCTCATACATGAGCCTCACGTCTCTTCCCCATGCATGACCTACCTTTTTCGCGAAGCGAGGCTCCCATTCGTCGAGTGAAGCCTTGTCGCTGAGGGTGGGGCTAATATCTCTGCCCAAAGCCTGCGACCACAACCGCGCAGTGTCTTGATTGGTATACGTTTGCAGACTGCCGATCATGATCTTCTTCCCGCCCCACTGTTTCCCATCATCTTCCAGAGCCTTCACAGCTGCGAGTGCGACATCCTTCTCTGATACGCGGCTCACACCTTTGCTTCCGAGAGGCTCATCAAACAACCCTTCCTCAAGCATCTCGCGCTGGACACTAAGGTCATTGCTGAAAAACAGCGTAGGGCCAAGGATTGTCCAGCTGAGCCCTCCATTCTGTTCTCGCGGGAGCAGTCCGTGCATAATTTTCGCCTCGACGATAAACTTGACGGCCACGTGTGCGCAATAAATGTCCTTGAGGAGGCCGCTCTGCTGTGCCTCCAGGCTAAGATCACTGGCGGCAGACACGTAGACGAGGTGTTTTACTGTGCCAGATCGTCTTATACAGTCCAAAAAGTTGAAGGTGGTGAAAAGCTCGTCGGGTCCGGTAAGGCAGAGGAAGACTGCGGTCACGTTGTGATCCTTGATAGCCGCTTCAACGAACATGGGGTCCTGAACGGAGCCTTCCAAAATGTGCACTCTGGACCTGTCCACATTGGCCGGCATTGAAGATGTAAGACGTGCTGAATTGCTGGTCGGAAGGACAAGTGTGGGCTGAGATGGATGCGCCAGGAGCAGCGGTATGAGCCGCATTCCGATGTGGCCGTTGGCCGCCGTGATAAGGTACGAAGGTGCCATTGTGATGGCTCAAGTCTCTTTAGATTGTAATGCAAGCGAAAGAAGACTCGATACTGTATCTTATAGTCTCCAAAGGCCTGTGTACTAGTCGTATATGCTAACCAAGGTAGTACAGGGAGTACTAGGTGCTTACGTGGTAGACCCAATGGGTGAAAGGTTGCGCCGACCGCAAAGCACAAGCATTTCGTACATACGAGACGTGCTACTCTGGCTTATCTATCTTTTCAGCTAAGTGGCAAGATCTGGAAGTTCAAAGTAGAGCAGAACACGACAGGTACGACTGTGTATTAGGCAACAACAATGTCGATGTCCAAAGGAAACCTATCTTGGTTTTTTCGTTCCGCACCCAAGCATGCCATGCAATCCCTAAGATACCATAGGTATGCCACGCGCACATCACCCTTTGGGTCGTTTGAGGAAGGAGGCATTATCAAGCAAAGCGGACGGTGTCGGCCGCTGTAGCTGAAGGCGGCCGCTGAAGTGGGGTGGATTATTAAGTTCGGCATTATTCCCGGATCTCCGCATTGAGCCGAGTGATCTCCGCATCGCCGCCAGCACTTTCTTCTCCTCCCAACCCCTTGCCCTTCTTCCCCAAACCACCGCTGCACCCATTTGCATATGCCCTTTGCAGAATCCCAATTCATGCGCGACACTGGCTTCTACTTCCTACGTCATCAATTCTCCGTCTCTGGGGAAGCATGTCGGCAACAGCTACCGAGCTGGGGAAATCTGGGGTGCCTTAAAACATTGCAGCAATTGCATCCCCAACATCATCCGGCAATGAAACAAAGGCCCCACTGCCGGCCTTGCCAGCCCGCAAGACACCACGTTCCACGGGCCAGGAATTGGGATCGTGGCGTAGGCTTCTCGAAACAACCAAGCAATCTTGAGGCTCTGCATCCCCTCGACCGACAATCTGGATAAAGCTTGTATTGATGAAGATGGCCCGAACGGGCACGCTATGACAGCATCCTCGACGCCCAAAGCCATCCGCAAAGGGCGATCATATTACCGCGATTATTGCTTCCGCTCTTGAACGGTACTACCGCCCCGCCATAGTGGCAGCACACGAGCGGCAGTCGTCCTCGTGCCACTGCGGAGCCGACAGTAGCCTTGGTTGCGAATCTACGCACTCCCGGCATATGCGCGTGGCCTGTTCGACGCACTGCATCTGGCGATGAAGTTTATTTCGACCTTATCTGGAAGCGATGTACCTTCTCGTACTGTTCGGCTCTGGACCAGACCTGCGCTCAACGTGGTTGCTTACTCCCATGGCCCCAGCTGCAATTGCCGTATGTTCAGCTGCGCAGTTCCTTTCAACAATGCCAGAAAGAGAGAATGAGGTGAGAAGCCAACATCTGAGCCCTCCAAATTTCCCTATGTAGCTGAAACTTGTGGAAATACGCCACAAGCCCACCTGAATCGAAACAATAAATTGTGCTACTTCGCATGCACGAGCATGCTCGTGCCATATATTGACATTAATCCGCCGAGTTGATTGGCGTGCCCACCCTTGTCCCTGCTCCTTACAGCAGTGGCAAGCGTTGCACGAACCAAAGTCCTTGTCATTTAGAGAAGTACCCGTGTGGTACACACGTACTATGTAGCATGTGGCATTATCAGCTCGCAGTTGCCTGTCAGTATACGCGCACTGAAACCCGAATGGTGGGGCCTGCGTACGAGCCACTGATTAAAACTCGCGCTCTGGACATACGTGATGAGCAATCACCTCTCCAGTACCCCTGCGGCGACCTTCTCTCGCTTTTTTTCTGACTTCCGAATTGTGCTCCGAGCCGTGTTGTGCGCGAGCGAATCATGAGCGATGAATTACAACGTCACGTTATCGGTGCTCGGAGTGCCAGCGACAGCAGCATCGATGATGCTGAGAAGGGGATGTGTGATAGCACGACCGAGTTGATGGTTCCGTCACCATTCGTGTACTTGGGCCAGAAAGGGTCGCGGGGTTTCGATCCTCATCTTTCTCCCGTGTCCCCAATTCACGAAGGCATCACCCCTCTCTCCAGCGTCCCGGAACTCTCACTATCAAGGCCAGCTGCAAGTCCTCAAAATAGCGATGTTAAGGTCGTTGATGTCGCTGTCAAGAAATCTAGCCCGCCGAAGCCAATGATCAGCAAGTGGATTCTGTTTGAGCTCTGGTTCAACACCTACCGGAAATTCTTCACCTTGGTCACCCTCCTCAACTTGACCGGGATAGTCTTGGCTGCACTGGGTAGATTTCCATATGCTGAGAACCACCTGGGTGCTCTAGTGTTGGGCAACCTGCTCACCGCTATCCTCTTCCGCAATGAGCTGTTCTTGCGATTTTTGTATTTTGTATTCATTCATGGCCTACGAAGTGTGAGTTTTCCACCTTCTCATCTTCTCAATAGCTAACGTACTACCATAGTGGGCTCCTTTACCCATCAAATATGCTGCAACATCTGTACTGCAACATGTGGGCGGTATCCATTCTGGGTGTGCACTTTCAGGCGCTGCGTGAGTATCATCGCTCTCCATGGAAAACGTTTCCTAACAGCACACAGTTGGCTGATCTTCAAGATTGTCGATATTATCCGGTACCGCGCTGTGCAGCATACGGCTGTCCTCGTTAGCGGCATCATCACCAACATTTTCATCATTATTTCTGTCTTGAGCGCCTTCCCTTGGGTTCGCAACACATATCATAATGTTTTCGAGAAGCACCATCGCTTCATTGGGTGGTTAGGTCTCGCTGTAGGTCCCCTCTTGAACTGCTTTGTCACAGAATGACACTGACGTACAGAAGACAACCTGGATGTTCGTAGTAATGGGCAACATATACGACATCAAGACTGGAGAATGGAGATCAGATGCCAACATTCTAATCAGCACGCAAGAGCTCTGGTTCGCTGTCTTCATGACAGTCTTGTGCGTCCTATACTCCTTTCTGCAAGGCAATTTTCTCACGTATGCCAGTATCCTCATTCCCTGGGTCACTCTCCGCCAGGTCCCCGTAGAGGTCGAAATTGTACGTATTATGCTAATCCAGTCGTACTTGGTTGACACAGTCCAGCCATCTCCTAAAGTAGCCGTCATCCGTTTCCAGCGCGGCATGCAGCAAGGCCTCCTCGGCCGCATCAGCCGCACCTCCATAATGGAATACCACGCCTTCGGCATCATCAGCGAAGGCCGCGACTCCCCCCACCACTACATGATCTGCGGCGTGCAAGGCGACTTCACGCGCGCGCTCGTCGCCAACCCGCCCAAAACAGTGTGGACGCGCGAGCTCAAGTTCGGTACGACCCGCTTCCCTTTCCACTTTCACATGCTCACCCTCCCGCACCACCACCCCCTTATCTGCACCGCGCGTACTGATCCTCTCCAGCCGGCGTCGGGCACGCCTCCGCCATGTTCCGCCGCGGCATCCGCGTCTGCACGGGCACCGGCATCGGCGCCGCGCTCTCGACGTGCATCCAGAGCCCCAACTGGTTCCTCATCTGGATCGGGTCGGACCAGGAGCGCACGTTCGGGCCTACCATCGCGGGTCTCATCCACAACAACATCCCGCCTGACCGCATGATACTGTGGGATAGCAAGAAGAGGGGCGGAAGGCCGAATACAATGGAGCTGCTGAAGGATACGTGGGAGGCGTTTGGGGCGGAGGTTATCTTCATCACGAGTAATATGCAGGGGAACGATGAGATGATGCAGGGGTGTAGGGCTGGTGAGTTGATCCATTTGATCCCGTGGTGACTGACCGAGATGCTGACGGCTTTGGTAGCGGGGCTGCATGCGTTTGGGACTTTGTGGGATTTCTGAACGAGACGGGAGGGACTCTGTGAATGGACACTGCATTGGATTCATCGGCGTTGGTGGACAGGAAACAGATGTGCTGGTGTAGATGTGATATATACTTCTTAGACAAGGGTCGTTTGTGATATCGATACATACATCATATGATAACATTGGCCAGCTCGCAAGGCTCGCCTGGTCTCAATAGTATGTGTGGGGATTTCTACCATCGCGCAGCCACTCATCCTAATCAAAAGGACTCACCTGCCACTCATCGCTACTGTAATGTACCACATCCACTTCATCGTCACTCAAGCTTACACCACCAGCCTCGCCTGCATCCAAGGTCTCGCCATCCTCGCTACTGCCGCCTGCTTCCTCTTCGCTGTCCTCGCGCTTCCCCTCCCGCTCAGACAGCTGCGCTCTCAAGCCCTCGAGAATGGCACTCATCCTCTGCTTCAATTCCGCATTCCACACCTTCTCCACCTGCCCTTCCATCTCCGCAATCTTCGCCCTCAACTCCTCCGCCACCTCATCCATCCCCTCCTCCTCTTCCTCATCCGCCCCAGGTCCCTCCTCAACCTCCACCCCCCCAAACGCACCCGCAAACTCCCTCGCCAACTTTCCACTACTAATTGCAAACACCACCTCCTCCAGTCCCTCCCACACCTCCGCCTTTCTTCCCGCCTTACCCCCGCCCACCTGCGCCGATGCAGCGGATGGAGGCAAGAGCACCGCCCTCCACGCCTCCGCAACATCCACCACCGGATTCCCATACGCGCCGCAGCCCCACGCACCCAGAACCACCTTCCTCGCGCCCTTGCCGACCGCAACACGCAGCACAGCCCGCATCTTCGCCTCGACCGCCTTCCTGTCCCTGGCCCCCAGCCTCCCAGCCTCCCCTTCGAGGTCCGGAAACCGCAGCATCCCCGCGCTCACGACGTCGACGTACCATCTCTCCGCGGCGGGGATGTCGCCCGTGCTTGAAGAGAGGGGGAGCGCGTTCCGGAAGACGAGCACGTCGCGCGTGAAGACGGCGCCGCGCTCGGGGAGGCGGTAGAAGCGCTCGTGCAGCGAGGACAGGAGCGTGGTGCGGGTGCAGAGGAATTCCTCTTGGGAGGTGGCGCCGGCGAGGACGCCGCCGCCGGGGCGGAGCGGGGATGCCATGTTGAGGATGCAGGGGTTTGGGTGGGTGCGGGCCCGGGTGCGGGGATGGGGGAGGAGGGTGGACGATGCGGTGAGGGTGTCGGTTGCTACGACGCGGATTTTGGGGGCATGGGGAGCGTGTTGCGGTGGCGGTGCGTTCTTCGCAGGCGGTTTTGCACGAGGTGTCGAGTCCTCGGATACGGACGCAGCGTCGACCTTGGCTTTCCGCCGTCCCTGGCCCTTGCGCTTGATGTATCTCGCGTCCTCTGCAGCATCGTTGTTCTGCTGCTTTCCTGCCTTCTCTTGCTCTCTCTGGGCTTGCACATAGCCAGGCCCAGGATCGACGACAAGCTCGCTCCCCTCAGCGCCCTTCCTTGCTCTTGCATTGGATGCTAATATCCCCGGGATGACTTTGTTCACTATATGTCGTGCCTGCTTCGCGCGCATGTCCTTCCTGATCGCAGGTGGCGCAAGCCCCTGCGACTTTTCCGTGCGGCCCATTTTCGCGTCGATGGTCGAAAACAGTCGTTTTAGCTACGATGCAAACGAACTTTGCGTGCGAATTCTTTCCGACGGCAAATAGCTGGAGTTGTGGTGCTGAGGTTCGGACGTCATTTTGTGTGTACACCGTGATGGTCGATGACGAAACTTTGGGGCAGGTCTAGCCGAGCCGCGGCGTGTACGGAGTGCATCAATGACGACCTACCTTTGGCCTTCGAGCATGCGGATTCCAATGGTCCGAACGTAAGATAAAAGGTGCTCGGTGATACGCGTCCATTATATGCTGTTTTGGACGGGTCTGGTTGGGGCATGTCTGCTGCTCGTTGGGGGCGTAGAAAAAGATGAGTTACGCGAGATCTGGGATCTAGCTCACTGTAACATTGCTATGCTATGCGATTCCATGCTCATAAGCAGGTGCAGGTACAGACTAAAAGAAAAGACATTTGGGTATCGTAAAAGAGCGAGTCTGCCATCATCTCCACCACCATCCCCCCTACCACATCGTCCTCTTTCCCTGTAAGTCCCCTTCACCACCTCTCGCTTTTTAAATTCAATGCTGCGGCACATACGCCATCTGTCCCACGCTCTTATATCCTGCCGCGGGCCCCGCATGCTGTCTCTTCGCCTCCTCCCGCCCCCTCACCTCCCGCTCATTCTGCACCGCCACACAGCAACAACAACACACGCTCCTCACGCAGTCCCCCCCGACGTCGCCCTCAAGCTTATACACATGCCGTACCCGCGCCCGCTGCACCATCGGATACACCCACCACAGCCCACAACTCACCGCCATGAGCAGACAATGCCCGTTCGTCGCAGAGTACCCTAGCAGATCGGTTGGATCCTGCTTCGCGCTTTTCTGTGACAGGCGATGCGCGGTCCGCCCGTAGAGGATGCACGGGCAGAACAGGCCGGTCAGACAGTCTGAGGAGGGTGTGCAGAGGGAGGAGGTCCACGCGTGTTTCGCGCCGGACGGCGAGAGATCCATGTTTGGGTGTGCGACTTGGCCAGGCTGGTGCAGCGCGAAGTCGAGGCCGTTGGGGCCGTGCGCCGAGTCCGGGGAGAAGATGCCGCCAGGCGTTTTTTGCGTCGCAGACACATTACCGTTGTGTGGAGAGTAGGCTTCGTGGGCGTAGGAGCGCGGGGTTTGGGGGTGGAAGTCTGCGGGGTCTTTCTTGATGGAGGAGGGGGTGAGGGGGGCCGCGTGGGTGGGGTCCGCTTGCGCTGGCATTGGGGGCATGGGTGGCATGTTGTTAATATTGCTGTGGATGTTTGTGTTCAGGGGGGAGAGATTGCTGAGGTTGCGCGCATGCTGGGTGTGGTGTTGCTGCTGCGGCTGCGGCTGGCTGGTGTATATCCGCGGCGGATCGGTGGGCGTAACTGGGAATGCTGGAGAGACTGGGGACAGTGGGAGGGCGCTGGGGTGGTAGTTATGTGGCGATAGCGGAGAAACGGGTGGCTTCTCCTCATATGCTGGGGATGTGGATAGATACGAAGTTTGCGGCACGGGCTGCTGGGGGTGCGACGCGGAATAATTGGCTGCGCCGACGGGCTGGAAGACCGACTGGGGCCGAGGATCGATTGGTGTTGTAGGCGACTGCGGCTGGTGTGTGGGCGAATGATGCGGGAGGGGCGGAACAGGCTCGCTCGGCGATGGGATGTATTGAAATGCTAGGTGTTCTGCTGGCGTCTGCGCATAGGAGAAGACGCGGTTGTGGCGCGCATCGATGTTCGTGTTCAACGGCGTGGTGTGCTGCGGTTGCTGCGCACTTTGGTGCGCTTGGATCGGTTCCTCTGGGGGTGTTGACGGTGGGATTTGCCATGAGAATCTCTGATGCTGTCTGCCGCTGCTCTGATGTTGATGTGGGTTCTGTCGAGGATCCATGTTGTAGCGCAAGCAATCGACTACCTCCTCTTCGCCCAAATGGTACTTTTCAGATCTCGACTAGCTGATGGTAGGATGGGTCTTGTCGTGTCGGCTTGTCCAAAATTGTGTATGGGATTCGGAGATTTCAGAGCTGCGGAGTAGTACGTGAGGCAAAGTAATGCGATCACTCGGGGGCTTGAGGACTGATATCTGGTCGCCACATCGCACACCCAAGACATGCATGCCGACTGCCAGGTCAGTCCATACGGATCCATCTTCCCAGGCGCCTGTAGCCTGCATGCGCGCAGCCCATTGGCGCCTCACAATGAGACCGACCTCAGTGCGGCAGGATGATGACGGGGCCAAACTTTGTGTTTGGCCAATGTCCATGGCCACCGCTGTGTGACAGCGTGTAAGCGCCCGGCAGCTCGTCGGGAGGCTCGCTTCGTTCCTGGCGTCGCCCTGGGCCGGCCAATCACGAGCACGAATTGCCAACCTCGTATCTGCAGCGTCAGGATGGGATCGACTTCGACTCGATTAAAGAGTCAAGGCTCTTTTTGGTTAGATGCTTCCCGTTTCACGCTTGACTTTTGAGAGGTATAACCATATAATCATATGAGGCTGAGGTGAGATGGGACGGTAGTAGCGGCGCAGATGGACGATTTTGCAGCAATTGAGAGAGTAGCAGTGCGTTTGTTTCGAAGACTACGTGGGTGCTGATTTCTGGATCAGGAGACGGGAGGAACGTTTCGGTCCCGTTCATGCTGGCCCCTGCGAGAGCTACGATGAACTGCACCGTGCGGTAAAGACAAAGCTACGCCTGCGAAACAACTGCATGATAGAATAATTTGCTCAACAGCTCTCGCTTCAGTTTGCATAGGTGCGCAATCTTGGAAGAATAAAAGGCTGAATTAACGGCTGGTGCAGATCTCGCAATATACACAGGGCGATCGACCAGTTGCCCGCGGGTAGAGGTAGGTGAGAGACAAGCGCGACATTTTCAGTTGTCACCCTACTCGTCCTTTTCGTCCTTTTCGTCCTTGTCCTGCTTAGCCTTTCCCCGCTGGTCGCTCTCGGCGCCCGGTCGCTCGGTAGAGACGGTACCCTTGAGCTTCGCGGTCTCAGCAACACCCTCGCCCTTCTTGCTCTTCTCGGGATCATCGTGGATCGCGGAGGTGTGCTTAGTATCCGCGTTGGACAAGCCCTCCTGCTTGCCGGACGTGTCGGTGCTGTCGCCAGACGGCTTGCGCGAGTGGGGCTGCGGCTGGTTAGCTTGCTGATGCGGATGCGCAGACTGTGGTCACGAACCGTGTCATTGTCATCGGGAGAGTTGGATGACTTGTCATCGGCGGTGGCGTGGGGAGACTCGTCGCCCTTCTGCTTGGCGAGATCCTCCTTGATGTCTGCCGCTCGGCCCGAGTTCTTCTCCCCCTCGAGCTCCTCCTCCGTGGCGCCCTTTGAGGCGTTCTTTGCCTCCTTGTCCACGGTGGCGCCGCCAGCCGCCGCGTTGTCACGCTTGGGGTCCACGGAGGATAGATCCGAGTCGTGCTTGTCGTTCAAGGCCTCCTCGGGCTGGGTGGTCAACTTGTCGGGCAGCGCATGCTCCTCCTCCTCGTGCGAGCCGTGGCTCAGATCCTGGTTCAGAACGACATAAAGAGCGGCGCCTGTTCCGGCGAGGGAGGAGACGATCCTGGGGCGTCCATCAGCAAAAGTCCGGCGAAGCGCGACTTGCATTGATCTGGGGAGTCGAGCAGATTTCTCGGAATGCACTTACCATGGCAGATCACTCTTCTTTGCCTGGCCGTGGCCGTGTGCCGAGGCGTACGTCCTGCGCTGGACGGCGCGCTGCAACGGCTGGACGACCTCGGAGCTGCGGATGTACCGCGCCGACCGGGCAATTGAGGACGCACGAAGCGTGGTTGACCTGATGAAAGACATGGTGGAGCTGCGGAGATACCAATTGACCCGGGCGAAGAGCAATTGATGAGTCTGTGAGGGACGCGGAGCTGCAGAGGTCGAGGCACGGAAGATCAGGCCAGTGGCTGGGAGACGTCAGTGTGGATCGTGCGCGGGCTTAGTGGGCAAATGTGCAGGGATGAAGCTCCACGTGATGTCGAACTGGACTGCTCACGCCGTTGATGGTGCGAGAGCGAAATCGAACGAAAGCATTTTATGTTGTGTGTAGCTCATGTTGTATGGCATTAGAGCTTGCAGCCTGGCTTCTGGGGCGTCAGCCTCTTCCTCTGCATTCTGTTGCTGTTGGCTCTCCGCGGTGCTCTGTGCGCGAGCTCTCTGTTTGGGACGAGCGGCAGCAGGCAGCAAAGGCGATTCACTCCCACGACGCGCCTTTGCTCCGGCCCAGCTAGGCACCACATCTCGCCTCGCACCTCTCCATAGCCCTGCTTAAATATCACGACATTCCCTCCCGCCGCGTGCCTGCCTGCCACAACACGCGCTGCGCACTCGACCCCGCCAAATACCCCGCCACGCCACTGCTGGCAGCTCGCACCTCACATAGACCCAGCATCTGCAACGCCGTGCCCTGCGAGTCCCCTTTCCCGCACACACGCCCACCATGGCGCCGTCGTCGTCGGTCCCCCCGAATCCGACCGCTGCCAACGTCACGCAGCTGCTGCCCAAGCTCCAAGATGACGACCCCGACTTTCGCTTCATGGCCCTCAGCGACCTGCACGACATGCTGCTGCTGGGCCACGCCGCCTTTCTACAGTCCGACAACCTCGCCTGTGCGAAGACGGTCGAGGGGCTGTTGAGCACGCTGGTCGACAGCAACGGCGAGGTGCAGAACCAGGCCGTCAAGTGTCTCGGTCCCTTCGTCAACAAGGTCCCGGATAACATCCTGTGTCCCATGATTGAGAAGCTGTCCAACCTCCAGACCGACAACACAGTCGACCAGTCAATACCTTCCCTGGCCCTGCGCGAGGTGGTCATCTCGTTGCCCCGTCCCGTCGCCGGTGGGCAGCGCACCAAGCAGGTCCAGGATGCATACAACGCCGTAAGCAGGGTCTTGATACCGCGCCTGGTCGGCTACCATGTGGTCCTCCCATCCCAAAAGGGTTTGCCCAGTGTACCAAAAGGTATGCTGCAGCTCGACCTGGAGAAGGGCACCGACAGCAACGCCATCGACGTGCTCACCGAAGTTGCCCGCTGCTTCGGGTCCATGTTGCAGGACGCCGAAATCCATGCCTTGCAGAAGATCACGCTCGAGATTCTCGAGAACGATCGGGCAAGCTCCATGATGAAGAAGAAGTCTGTCACCGCCATCTCCACCTTGGCCAGCTTCTTCTCCGATCAGCTGCTGAGCTCCTTCATATCGCGCATAATCGAACACCTACGCGACGTACACCTCACGCGCAGCAAGCGAAAGCTTTACATCACGGTTCTTGGTTCCATCGCACGGTAAGTCTTGATCTGCTGTTCATGAACAAAGTCACTAACATGCCTAGATCGGTCCCGCGCAAATTCGGACCATATCTCAAGACGTTAGCACCCTTCGTGTTGAGCGCTTTAAGTGCGCAGGAAGTTGATGAAGAGATGGACACCTCCGACGATGAGGGCGAGCGTGACCCTGAAGTCGATGAGGTGCTCGAGGCAGCGCTCATTGCATTGGAAGGTTTCCTCGCATCCTGCTCCTCGGACATGCGCGCATACACGGCCGAAACCATCGAGGCCACGACGCGTCTTCTGAAATATGACCCCAACCTTGCCGCAGACGATGATGACGACGACGATGATGCCATGGCTAGCGACGACGAGGACGGCCTGGACGACGACGACTACGAGGAGGAGACTGGCTTCGACGATGATGAGGATGCGAGCTGGAAGGTGCGAAGATGCGCTGCGAAGGCCATCTACACGCTTATTTCCACACGAAGCAATGGCGATCTTCTAGAAGACGGAACCCTGTATGGCCGCGTGGCTCCGGCTCTAGTCGCTCGGTTCAAGGAGCGAGAAGAGAATGTGCGCCTTGAGATTCTGTCCGCGCTGTCAAACTTGGTGCGAAAGTCTGGAGATGGTCCTGCACCCGTGAAATTTGCCGATGAACATCCCCAGGGTGGCACTATGTTGCCCCCGCCCACTCGCAAACGTCGCCGTGGCGGAAGCGATGTGTCGATGCTCGATAACAGCCACTTGAACCTTGGATATGCCTCTCCAGCCCGGTCAAGCACGCCCACTGTAGGCCCGCGAGCAGATCTTACCAAGCTCAGTCCCGAGATTGTCAAGGGAGTTGCACAATTGCTCAAGCAGTCAGCATCGCCACCATCGACCAAGCAGGCCTGTATTGTCCTGATTAAGGATATCATCATTACTCAGCGCGGCGGCCTGGATTCATACTTGACCCAGATTGTGGACCCAGTCGTGGAGGCTGCGAAGACTAGCGGCGGCACAACCAGCAGTGCCTCCGCTACAGCGAACAGCTTGCGCATCCAGGCACTACAACTCCTTGGTGCCATTGCTGACACACACCCTTCTGCTTCTTTCCAGCCATATCTTCCCACGGTCGTACCCGCCCTAATATTCGGAGCTCGCGACAAGTACAGCAAGCTCTCTATTGAAGCTCTGGCCGCAAGCGAACAAGTAATCAAGGCTTTGACACCTCCTCGCGGCCATAAGACGGGTTCTCAAAACCAAAAGCACCTAGAGGAGCTGCACGATGTACTCGTCACCCGCATAGGAGCGAAGGACGTGGATTTAGAAGCTCGTCGAAGCGCTATTCACGTGCTCGGGGTTTTCCTCGGACGCAGCTCTGGCACGGATCTGCTATCTCTGCAAAATCGCGTATCAGCGCTTGAGCTTTTGGCCGGCAGTCTCAAGAACGAGCTTACTCGTCTTGCATCTGTTCGTGCAATCGACTCGATAGCCGAGCACACTAACGCAGAGGGTGAGCTATCTACGAAGTGGGTGCGAGGCGTTGCTCTGGAACTCGGTGCTCAACTCCGGAAAGCAAGCCGTGCACTTCGTGGTGCCAGCCTGAGCGCCTTGCGAACACTGGCAAAGAACCAGATATCGCGTGCACAGCTTGATGACCAGACGAAGTCGCAGATCGTTGAGTTGCTTCTGCCGCTTCTGGACTCCTCGGACCTGCATCTGCTGGGCCCGGCTCTTGTCATCCTCAAGACCTTCGTTGAGGACAACGCCCAGGCCACAGTTACTCCAGAGCTGATCAAAGCTCTATGCACTGTCGTTCAGGGCTCGATTAGTGGTAGCTCGCTGGAGGCTCTACTTGCCTTGGTGCGTACCATTGGTGAGAAAGGCGCAGGAAAGCCACTCATGCAGGCTCTGCTCAACGATGTCGGCATTTCTGGCAATGCCGAAGTGGTCGGAAAGGTCATCGGCAATCTTCTGGTCTTCGGCGGTGGTAGCTTGGGCATCAAGCTCGAAGATTTTGTCAACGAGCTTCAAACGGCCAAGGATGATAGACGAAAATGCCTCGCACTTGTCGTCATGGGAGAAGCTGCGCTACGCATGGGAACGCAGTCGTCTATTGACCCGCAGCTCTTCATAGAGTATTTCTCTGCCAAGTCTGAGTCAGTGCCTCTGTCAGCTGCCGTGGCTCTAGGCCGGGCCGGCGCTGGCAATGTTGGCAAGTACCTGCCCGTCATTCTCTCCGCCATGGGCAAGCCAGCTAGCCCGCAGTATCTTCTCCTGCACTCCATCAAGGAAATTCTTCAGCAAGACACCGAGTCGGAGATCTTACCCTTCGCGTCGCACCTGTGGAATAATCTCGTCGCGGCCTCCCAAGCCGAGGACAACAAAGCTATTGGCTCCGAGTGTATCGGTAGGCTTACGATCATCGACCCGAAGACTTTCCTACCGCAACTCAGGGTAAGTTTCTGCTCAAACTCGATTCGATTTCGACTAACAACGTGTTTCAGGCCTTCCTTGGTGATCAAAACGTCAGCGTGCGGGGCATGGTCATTTCAGCTCTGCGATACACCCTCGCCGACACCGATGAGGCATATGACGAGTACCTCCGACCGATCGTCGTACCTATGCTCATCCAGATGCTCTCTGAAACTGACCTCGACAATCGTCGCCTGGCCCTCACAACCTTCATGTCGGCCCTGCGCAATAAGCCCGACATTATCCTGCCTGCTCTCGAGCAGCTCCTTCCGCTCACCATGAATGAGACCGTGATCAAGCCCGAGCTGATCCGCGAAGTCCAGATGGGGCCATTCAAGCACAAGGTAGACGATGGTCTGGAGATTCGCAAGAGCGCATACGAGACGCTTTACGCTCTACTCGAGAACGCCTTCTCACGGCTTTCACCCACCGATCTTGACGACTGCTACGACCGCATTGTCGCCGGTATCACCGATGAGCACGATGTTAGAATCATGTGCAACCTGATGCTCACCAAGCTGATGCACCTCTCGCCCGACCGAACGCACAACCGCCTCGAGGTCATTTCCAACTCATTCCGCGCCGTTCTTTCCATCAAGCCAAAGGACAACGCGGTCAAGCAGGAGCTGGAGAAGCTTCAGGAAGGCTGCAAGGGCGTGCTCAAGGTGTCTGTCTTGCTCAACAAGCAGATGGGCAGCGAGGGCGGTGTGCAAGGCCAGGACGACCCTCAGCTGCGCGCGTGGGCTGGTTACTGGGATTGGATCAGCAAGGAGCATTCAGCTGCGCTGAAGGCGGCTACGGATGAGTTGAAGGACCGCGATCACTAGGAGTTGCCCGCGTATAAACCTGCACCTCGGCAGGCTGGGAATCAAGGGATAACTAGTCACAGTGGGATCAGGGAGGTCAGTAGTTTGGTTGAGTAATGCATTTGCACAGCGTGGTTGGCATGAATATGAGTATGAGCATGCATGGCGGTTCAGGTAGATGGTCCGCGAGGCTAAAAGCGAAAGCAAAAACATGTGATATCCAGAGCAGCTCGCTGTGCGTGGTGTCCATCTCATCCCTCTCGACCTTAGTGAGCAAGCGATGCCTCCGCCATTTCCTTCCAAGAGGAACCAGAATCAGATGTCGTTCTTGAGAGAACGGATTCTGTCACATCCTGGACTGGAAAGTACAACGGTGATTCCATTCCAGGGTTCGTATCACGCATCAACGTTCTCGACCATGTGCCCAAACACAGAGCCTTGCTTACAATGTTCGTCTCTGTCCGTCTGTGAGAGCGTGCCTGCGCGTCTCGGTGGCTGGGACAGAGTGGGTGTCGCGTTGCGGGGGATGGTGGGAGGGCGGGCTGCATCAAAAGCAAGTCAACTTGGTTCAGCGACTACGGGCATCACATGAATCCGCGAGAGTCTGCTTCGCCTTGCTGACCTCGTCCCTCAGATCCACATTCCAAACCCACTCCACACTCGTCTTGATCCCCACGCTCCATCCCTCCAACTGCTCGCCCTCTAGCCCGCGCTCAAAGAAAGAATACCAGTCCGGCCCGGCCCGCACGCTGATGTCTTGCACCGCCAGAAACCGCGGCATCCTCACGCTCTCCGCGGCCCTCAGCGCTGCACGCACCGCCGCCAGCGACGCATCTTTGGGCGGAATTGAAGCAAGTAGTTCAGCGAGCACGTACGCATCCTCTGCCGCCTGCGAGGCTCCGCCCCCTATGTGAGGCGGCATCGCGTGAGCACCGTCCCCCATCAACACAACCCTACCCTGCACGAACGACGCCGGCTGCACTCGGTGCTGGTGCGCCGCCCAGAACGCAGGCTCGGCCCCGAAAAACGGCATCAGCGCGCGCACGCGGGGTCCCCAGCCCTCGAGATCCCGCCGGAACTGCGCGCCCTGGCGCGGCACGACCCAGTCTTTGCGGTCCCAGACGTGTCCTGCACGGCGCACCCAGATGCCCACGTTGACGGCCGTGCCGTTGTTGACGGGGTAGTATATCACGTAGCCGTTGGGGCCGAGCAGGACCTGGCTCTGGCGCGCGGTCTCGCCGAACACCTTCTTTGCATCCGCGATGGGGATCACGGCGCGGTATGCACCATCGCTGTTGAAATGCGGGCGCGCGATGGCGCTGTCGCTACCGAACATGCACGCGCGGACTCGCGAGTGAATGCCATCGCAGCCCACGAGCACGCTCGCGCTCTCCACGGTGTCGTCTTCGAAGCGCAGGCGCACGGCGTCGTCGTCCTGCTCAAACGACACCAGTTTCTTATTGAACTGCGCATGCTCGTAGCCCATCTTTTCCGCCAACACCCCCAGCAGCTCCTGCCGGTGCATGGCCATGCACCCCGTTGGCGGCGCGCGCAACTCCACCACCGTCTCGCCGTCCCTGTGCCCCGCGCCGTACCGCACCCACATCCACGTATCTTCGCTCGGCGGCAGGTTCCGCGTCGCAAGCGCGTAGATCCGGTCGCCCAGCGACGCGTCGATTTCCCTGAGCGCATGCAGCCCGTTGGGTGCGAGGTTGATGCCTGCACCTATCTCCGTGAACGCGGATTTGGCCTCGTAGATGGTGAAGGAGATGTTACGGGCTTTGAGGGCGATGGCGAGGGCGATGCCGCCGAGGCCACCTCCCACGATGGCGACATGGAGGTCCGGAGGCATGGTGTTCATGGTCCGCGCCGGAGAGAGGCAAGTAAGATGTGAGCATGCTGCTTATCTGGACAGAGAAGGGATACCTCCATTGTCTTTCGGGTCCTCGTATCTCCGTCTCACCCCCTGTCCCCTCCATCTCTTCTCACGAACATATACATCTCCATACAAAACATTCTGAACGCGCAACATCACAAGCCTTATCACCAAGCGCGCGGAATTCCCCCGCCATGGATCCTACCCCGCTAGAGCTGTGTAGTCCACATCCGACAACTCTACCCGGCGTCTACTCGCTTGCGATTCCCCGCACCCGTACCCCGCCCCCGGCCTCCACTCAGCGTCCCGTATCTCTGAAGTTTCCGTTGTGAGCCTATCATCTCGCCCGGCCGGCGCAGACACGCCTCGGTCCGGAGCCAGATTCCTGACGTCTGCCGAGATGGTGCCACACGAGCCGTGTTTCTTTGACGCGTGACGTCGCGGGATACCGTGTGTTCTGAGTCGGCACCCGGTCCCATTGCGAAGGGGTTTTGTAAGCACACCCGCGATTGAAGTAAGATCAAGGATATCACAACTCGGCGTACTCATTCGTCCCTCAAGATCGCTGAAACCGGGCAACTCTATCTCTGGGCACATGGAACAAGGTCGTTTGTCGTCCCAGTTGTTGAGCAGCCCTCGTCAGAGGCTTGCCCGCCAAGCACGGCAGGTCCTGCTAGCAGACGATCAGCGGGTGCCATGCAGCCTCAGGCTAGGGCTTTGTGTGGGGGTCGAGCTATCTGTCTTGAAAAAAGTGAGCTATACGCCTTAGGAAGGTCATAAAGCGGTCATCGCACAGGTGAGGTACGAGGCTTGAATCTTGGTGACATATAAAGTGCGGCTACGAGCTGGGACGTACCCCGGAGTCGAGTTGCTGCAAGCAAATCGATCAGGCTAACTATCCTTCTTCGTAGATAAGCCTCCAAGTCGACGTCGGCTTTGATTGTTCTACCTCATATCCATTTGTCCTCACAGGGAGTCGCAAGCAATCCCATTGGTCAGCACAGACCATCCGAACAGAAGTAAAGTAGCTTTGCGTTGTGGGAGGTCACACGGGCTTTTGCAAGATGGAGAAGCCAGAGATAGAGGTACGCGTGCTGCATTTCCTGCCTTCCACTCGTCCAGCGAAGAACTTCCCACTCGCAATGCAATTGCTCACGAAGAGCAGCATGTCAACCAAGAGAAACATGCCACCAGGTCCGACCAGGTCGCGCGCATCGACGCGCTGGCGACCGCGCCCGGCGTGACTCGCGAGTCCTTCGCGCATCTTGACGAAAAAAAGATCTTGCGCAAGATGGACCTGCGTCTCATACCGATGCTCGCTTTGCTGTACCTCCTCTCCTTCCTCGACCGCGGGAACATCGGGAATGCGCGCATCGAGGGGCTAGTTGAGGACCTGGGGATGACGGGCCCGCAGTACAACTGGTGTTTGACAGCCTTCTTCTTCACGTACGCGGCGTTCGAGGTGCCGAGCAATCTGCTGCTGAAGAAGCTGCGGCCGAGCATTTGGCTGCCGACGATCATGGTGGCGTGGGGGATTGTGATGACGTTGATGGGGATTGTGCAGAACTACCACGGGCTGCTGATTGCGCGGATATTCCTTGGTGTGACGGAGGCTGGGTGAGTGGGCCGAACCCGGGAGCAACGAGGGCGTGGTGCGGAGATGTATGCTGATAAGTGAGACTAGGTTGTTTCCTGGCGTGGCGTATTATATTACGATGTGGTACTGTCGACATGAAGCGCAGTTCCGGCAGGCGCTGTTCTTCAGTGCGGCGTCTGTCGCAGGCGCGTTTTCGGGGCTGCTTGCATTCGGCATTGCGAAGATGGATGGGATCGGTGGACTGGAGGGCTGGTACGATACGATATGCCCCGGTACAAGGTCGCCATGTCTTGGACATGGACAACTTGTACATAACCCCGCTTTTGCCTCAGCTGACTTTTACCTTCAGGCGGTGGATCTTCATCCTCGAGGGCATACTCACCGTCGTGGTCGCCGTCATCGCCTTTTTCTGTCTCTACGACTTCCCTGAGACTGCGAGCTTCCTCACCGAGGAAGAGCGCGCCTTCGTGGTGTACAGACTCAAGTACCAGGGCCAGCAGAAACACGACAGCATCAGAGTCGCGCAGGACGACTCATTCCAGTGGAAATACGTCAAAGCGGCGTTCCTGGACTGGCAGATCTACTTCAACATCCTGGTGTACTGGGGTATCGTGGCGCCGCTGTACGGCATCTCGCTCTTTCTACCAACTATTATTCGAGGACTTGGCTACTCGAGCGCGACGGCTCAGCTCTTGACTGTGCCGATATACATTACGGCGTCGATCCTTGCGGTTGTCACGGCTTGGGTGAGCGACCGGTATGGGAAGCGGAGCCCGTTCATCCTGGGCTGTCTCGGCATCATGGCGGTCGGCTTCATCATGTGTCTCTCGACTGGGACGCCTGGAGTGGTGTACGCTGGGGTGTTCATTGCAGCGGCAGCTCTGTATCCAGCGTTTCCCGGAAACATTACTTGGTTGTCGAACAGTAGGTCTATTGCAGCGCGGTTGAAAAGGATTCTACTGACGACTTCAGATCTTGCAGGTTCGACGAAGCGCGCGACGGGACAGGCTATCCAGATTGCGATGGGCAATCTCGCTGGAGGTAACCATATTTTTCCAACCCCCTCACTCAAAACGTGCAACTAACGAGAGGCAGCAATGGCGTCCAACTTCTATCGCTCCAAAGATTCGCCCCGCTATGTCCTGGGCCATGCGCTCGAGCTGGGCTTCATCTGCATGGGGATCCTTGCCGGGTTGTTCCTGGTGTGGAATTACACGCGCATCAACAAGAAAAGGGCGAAGCAGATGGCGGAGGGCGCACACAATGGATACACCCCGGAGGAGCTGAGCGCGCTGGGTGATCGGGCGATTAATTTCCGATATTTCTTGTAGTCGATGAAGGTTGCGTGAAGTCGGTGAATAGCAACAAGACTTCCATCTTCCTGAGAAAGACCTTACGCGATTAGATCCTCGCTATGTAGCATGGTGGCGTGCAAAGTAGCTTGTGCATGGGTCGTCGGTGCGCGTCACTGCATCTCGGTGATACTTCCTTTATCCGAAGAGCTTTTCGAACCAGATGATTATGTTGAGCGAACGTGAGTGGCGATATTATGTAGCTCGCTGAGACCTTTCTCTGCTTTGGTGAGGCTCATCTGGGACGATGAACCAATTCGATGAACGGGTGGTTCCGGTTCAGAATGCTGGCTGTGGATGTCATCCGGGTGGAGCTGCTTCGAAGGTTGCGCGTAGATGGCAGGCTTCCCGACCCAACTTCTCCACCGTCGTAATGGGGGCCGTGGTCGAAGGAGAGCAAAGAAGCTACGCAGTCCCGTCTCAAAAGACGACAGGCGCAACTATGCTTGACATTCGGAGGGCTCTACATGATCCTCGCATCATCTCAAGCAACACAACATGGTTTCGTGTCAATAATCTTGGATGCCTGTCTCCCCAGTGAGCACCTTCTCCTTGCCCTCGCCGTCCGTGTCGAAGTCCGACTCCATGCTGTCAAAGTAGGCATCCTGGATATCGCGCTCTTCCTCTGGGTCGTCGTAGGCGTGACTCGCATCGACCTTGTCATAGTCGAAGTCGTCGTCGTCGCCGCGGAGGAAGCGCTGCGTCATCTCGTCCTTCCACCACGCGCGGCCCTCGTCCTTGGACATGGGCACCTCGTCCTTGTCCGCCTCGTGTATCTCGCCCTGGGGCCCGCGCGTGTACGTGAACAGCGACGCCGGGCTCGGGTGGCTGAGGGCGTCCTTCTTGGCTTCCACGCGCCACAGGTCCGTCGCCATCTGCCCGGAGAAGCCCTTGCGGCGGCCCTCGGCTTCGCGCTCGGCGGCGGTCTGGAAGCGGCGGATGAGGCGGTCGTAGAGCAGCGGGTCGGCGAGCTCGAGGGAGGCGTCGGCGAAGTACTCCGGGTGCACGTCGAGGTAGCGCTTCCGTCTGTTCTTGGCCTTGAGGCGGCGCGCGCGGGCTGCCCGGCCGTCCTCGTTGGATGTGTCGTGGCCGTCTGCTTTGCGTACGTCTTCCACTGCTGCCATAGCCATGTCTCCGTCTGCGCTGTCCCTCGGGTGCGCGCTGCCGTCCTCCGGGACGCCGTTCGCAGATCGGATAGCAAGCGCGTGCATGTTGGCGCTGCAAAGGTACGGCATGCTCTGTCCGCCCGTCAGAGTGCTGGTAAGAGTGAATGTCCAGTGAGGAGCGCAAGCAGAGCACGTTGCGATGCAGTGGAGGGCGCGCTTGCTAATGACGCCACACCGCGCGCCACGCTCCATGGCGGCTTCCCCGCCAGCCCGCGCTAGGCCCGAAACGCTGCCTGCGAGATGAACTGCAAGTCGCTTGTTTCATCCATGCTTCAAACATTTCCTCCATTAACAGTTGTCCTCTCGCCGGGCCCGTATATAATCACCTCTCTGATTTTCCGGCCATTCTTTTGTACATTTTCTCGCTCCGTTTGTGGCCCTTTCTTCAGTCATCGTGCGGGTCAGCGGTCCGTAGTCGCGGGAAGAAAGAGCTTGGATATCCTGTGCCTTTAATTTACTGAAGCATTGGCATCGCTTTCGGTTTGGAAACCACGTTGCGCTGCTGAGATACTCCTTCCTTTTTTTTTTTTACTGTTATTGCGAGGACACTGCCAGAAAGAGTCGGACAAAATACGCTGTCCGCCAGCATGTCAACGAGACAGAAGACCGTTAAGAAGCCCAAGGCGGCGAAAGAGGTGGAAAAACAATCAAGACAGCTCCCAACATCCACCATCCTCAAAAATGTCGGACGAGCCGCTGCCTTGCTACTTATCGCTGGCATGGCCTCTCCGGTTTCCCAGTTGAACCTGTCGCCGGTATACGGCTCCATTCCCTCCTCCCTACACCACCAGAGGAGCATGACCTTCACAGCCATCGCGGCTCTGATCGCCCGGAACTCCCTGAAGAAATACCTCCCAGACTCCCTATCTGAGTACATTGCCGTAATAGCCTACTGGACGCCCGTAATCCAATTCCTCCTCTTCCCCTACAGCAGCCAGCTCGGCATCGAGTACGGTCCGCTCATCGTCGAGTGCGCGACCTACTTTCCCCTGCTCTTCCTGTCCGTCTACGCCGCCTTCGACCTCCTCGACTGCATCGACCTCAGCACCCTCAACCTCCCCAACACCGCCAAGCAAATCCTCCTCCCAATGGCGTCCTACTTCACCGTGTCCACAACCGCCAAAGTCGCCGGCGCAACGCTCCCCTCCTGGATCGGAACACACCTCTACTTCACTCGCATAGGCTTCCAAATGCTGCTCGCCAGCGCCTCGGCGTTCCTCACACCCTCCCGCATCATCCTCGCCGCCTTCCCCGCCATCTTGCACACCCTCTACGCAAACCCACACTTCCCCTCCGACACCGCATTGAGCCGCGCAAACACCACCCTCGCGACATCCCATAACTTCACCCTCCTCGCCCGGCACGAGTCGAACACTGGATACGTCTCCGTCCTCGAGTCCCACACCGACACCGCTTTCCGCCTACTCCGCTGCGACCACTCGCTCCTCGGCGGCGAGTGGCTCGTCACCCCCGACGCGTACGCAAAGGGCCAGCGCCAGCGCGAAACCATCTTCTCCGTGTTTGTGCTGCTTGAAGCAGTACGCCTGGTTGAGACGCCGTCCTCCGCTGTCGCAGATTCAGAGAAGTCTGCGTTGGTGATTGGATTGGGCATTGGCACAGCGCCCAACGCCCTCATCGCGCACGGCATCAACACCACCATCGTCGAGCTCGACCCGGTCGTCCACGCCTACGCGACCAAGTACTTCTCTCTATCCCCCAAGCACACCGCCGTCATCGACGACGCCGTATCATACGTCTCGCGCACATCCCTCTCCCACCCCTCCACATTCTCTTACATCATCCACGACGTCTTCACCGGCGGCGCCGAGCCCGTCGCCCTCTTCACCAAAGAGTTCTTGACAGGCCTGTACAACCTTCTCACGGACAATGGAGTGGTGGCGATAAACTACGCCGGCGACCTCGCCCTCGGCTCCACCCAACTTGTCCTCAACACCATCCACGCCGTCTTCCCCGCCTGCCGTCTTTTCCGGGACCAGCCACCCTCCCCGTCTCACCAACCCGGCGACCCAGATTTCATCAACATGGTCGTCTTCTGCGTGAAGTCAGACCCTAGCCACCTCGGCAAAGCCGCAATAACATTCCGCACCGCAGGCGAAAAGGACCTGCTTGGCAGTCTGGCGCGCAGGAACTATTTGCAGCCAAGGGACGAGCTGGAGATACAGTATACGTATGTGCCCGAGGGCCAAGGGGGACGGACCATGGGGCGCGCGGATGTGGGCGAGCTCGAGAAATACCACGAGGAGGGCGCAGTTAGCCATTGGCGGATTATGCGGACCGTGTTGCCCGACGGGGTGTGGGAGATGTGGTAGGTGAGCGGAGAGGTTTTGGGAAGGATGGAATCACGAAGGCGCGCAATCGAGAGACAACCGCGCGTGAAAGCTTGCTCTCATGGCAAACACACACCGTGTTTCTAGATAGAACTCACTTACAGTCTTGCAGCGCTGGATAATATATGTTTTTGCTTCCGTTGTGAGCCCTGCGAACTCAGTGGCTGTGATGTGAAACTAGTACGCGATCTTAAACACCCAAGCGTACTCATCCGCCGCGGCGACCTCGTCGCTTACCTCGAGCACAACGCTCCCATTGCCGCTCTTCTGGCTCGGAACAACCGTACCAGCCTTAGCACCTCCTACGACCGTCACCTCGTCGCCGTCAACCCACGGCACCGGGCTGTCCAACACCAGCGTCGCATTCGGCTTACTCAACACCAAGATATAAAACGCGTCCAAGCTCGTGGTAAACCGCACATCCGAGCCCTCCTGGGGCGTGACGCTCCAATAAATCGTGTTGAAGATGGCCTCGCCATGGCTTTTGATCCACGCCCCCGCCTCCCGGAGCGTCTTCTGCTCGACGTCGATGATAGTCCCGTCCGCCGTAGGCCCAACATCGAGCAGGAAATTGCCGTTCTTGGAGACGATATCGACGAGCGACGTCACGACGGCGGACGCATTCATGTACGCGGAGAGCGGCGTAGCAGCATTGTACCCGTACGAATACGGATCCATGCCTTGGTTCGTCTCCCACTTGCGCGGCTGCACCGCGGCGTAGCGCGCGTACTCGGGCGTGTCAAAGTCGCCCGGCAGGCCGCACCGCGCGTTCATGAGGGCCTGCTTGTTCTGCACGGCGAGCGCGTTGAACCATGATGCTGCAAACTCGGCGGTGCGGTTGGGCCCGCCGATGTCGCACCACATGATCTCGACGCCCATGGCGGCCAGCGTCTCCATCTCAGGGAGCACCAGGTCGGACACGTAGTCGGCCACGGGGACGTAGCCCGCGTAGGGCAGCGTCGCGTTGGTGAAGGGGTTCGTGGCGTTGCCGCCGGGCCAGCTGGCGAAGCCGTAGCGCCGATAGTCGGGATGGAACCACTCGGGGAGAGAGTAGTATGTGGCCTTGTGGAGGTGCGGCTGGTGCGTTTCCGCGGCGTCGAAGAGTTCCTGGAGGAGGTTGCGGTGCGGGAACTGCGCGACCGACGTCCGCTTCGAGACATTCGCGGGCAGATCGAAGATTGCATACCCGTCGTGATGCTTGCTGACCTGCACGAAATAGTTCGCCCCGGCATCGGCAAAGAGATCGACCCAGTCTTTGGGGTTGAATGCGGAGGCGGTGAAGTTCTGGATGAAGTCGTCGTAGACGATGTTTGGGCCGTAGTGGGAGAGATGGTATTCGTAGGTCTGGGATTTGTCGCCTGGCCCGCTGTTGAGACTCCACCAGTACCACTCGGCATATGATTCGTTTTTCCCCACGTTTCCCCATGCTGGAACGGCGTAGGGACCCCAGTGGATGAAGATGCCGTACTTGAGGTCGTTGTACCAGTCAGGTGAGTCGTGCGTGTAGACTGACTCGTACGTTGGCTCGTACTTCTTGAAGCCAAACGTGGCGTTGAAAGTGTAGTCTGAACAGTTCAGCCCTTTCCCTGATACAGTGACCGTCGCGGGGCCACTTGTGCCGGAATTGACTCCATCTTTGTTTTTGACACCTATGTTGACCCGGACTTGATCACCAGCATGAAGTCTCTTGATGTATCCCGGTGTAACGGTCTCAACCCCGGCCGAATCGATCTTTACTTCGACTGCGTGGTCCTTCAGGATGTCTTCTGCACCGACGTTGTTCACGGTCACTTCGAAAATCTGGATCTTGTCGCTCCCTTCCACCCACTTCTGCGTCGACCTGGCATACTGCACGCTCAAAACCGGTCCTTTGGCATCACTCACCACCGGCACCAGCGTCAGCGCAAAGATATGCAACCGAGACGAGATAGCCGCGCCTCCAGGATCCGTTGCAGACCCGCCCGTTACGTTCGGCAATGTCAAGGAGGTTAGTTCCTTGGAGCTATCCAGCCAATTCCTCGTCTGGAAGATGTTACTGCGATTCCAGTCCACACTTTCGTTCGTCAGTCGGTAAGGGAAGACGAGGTCGCCTCCCGTTGGATAGGGCCAGGACCACCATGCGGGCACGAGGACGGCACTTGAGCTTGTGCTGTTGTCGGAGAAGGTTGCGTTGAGTGTTCCTTGGGCCAGGCCATTTTCCGAGGCGGCAAGCATGTGCACACTTAGATAGCGCCCTCGTGGTATGTATACTGTTTGGCCTGCTGCTATGGCGTTGTCATATCCTGAAGAATTGTATTTGGGGAAATTGTAATTAAGACCAGTGTAAGTGAACGTCGACGGTGGAATGAATTCAGCGGGATATGAATCTAGCAGATCCATGAGCACTACACCAATACTTCGAATGTAACTCCGGTCGCTCACCTCCTGAGTTATCAAAGTTGGTCTCATTGGGTGTTAAACCGAAGGCTTGGTTGTCGTAAATGACATGCAGGTCAATAGGACGAGATGGAGCCGTGCCAGATATTGGCTGGAAATTATTCTGCGGCATAAAAATCAACTGCGCCGTTGCAGTCGCGAAAAATAGATATATCGCTTTGGTAGCCATGGTGAATGTGCTCCTACAGGTAGCACAGGACGCTTGAGCAAAGATGTCGGATTAAGCGTTGTGGCTTGCAGCCCATGGTTGAGGGTTGGAACATTTTTGTCTGCAGCAAACAGGGTTACTTGAACTAGCATCCCCGCCGTTGATCTTTGAGGGGTAGGTTGCACTCACGATGTCGAACAAGTGTCGAGGTCGCATTGCCGGTGGAAGGAAAGTAGATTCGGGAACCATTGGCCCGCTGCCCGACTACCATTACGTCATCGAGCAATGCTGGTTCGGTCCGACTATGAGTTTGTAGAGAGTGTAGCACAGCTACCTACCTATAATCGGCATATGCTCGGTGCTCTCGTCGGTCTATGGACCAGGTCCCAGCGGCTCAGTAGAACTTGATGAGTGAATTAAAAAAAAAGGCCCTAACGTAGATTGAAATTTTATCCCAAACATCGTTTACATACCATACACACCGATCCGATATTGACTCTATAACGAAGTAGTCAACATGCCGTTCTGACATCGGCTATCAGGCGTAACATTGAGCGTCGAAACCAAAAATAGCACAGAAATCGCATCACGGTCTTTACCCGATTGGAGTGGGGCGGTACACTTGGGCTGGACGGTTTCAAAGACTGGTTTGCGGTGTTCGCTAATGGGCATCGCCGACATCAACAAAGCAACATGATCTCGTCAGACTGGGATCAAAGCACTCTATCTCGCGTGTGCGGCGTTGACCTTGCCAGATAGTGCGAGGGATTCGAGACTAAACCGCTTCCTGAAGTCGGAATACGGCGCTCGGAGTTCAATCCCATGCCGACAAGATGTCGCTGCCTGGTATAATCAGTAATACTTCGCGTACAAGCGATGACTCTTCGATCACTGTACGTACTCGGTTGCGTCTACAACCGCGCAATCAGCATCTAACGTCCTATTGATTTAACGGCTTGATTTCGATTTCGAGTTCGAAATGCGCAATTAAGCAATCTTGTCGCAAACATGCCATTCTCAAATGGCGAATCGCATCTTTTCCAATTCAATGAGAATGCATTTGATTTCAACGTACAATTCGAACAAATCTTCTTCTCTGTCCTACCGTCCCTGTTCTTCATTATCTTATCGCTATGGCGCATATTCCATCAGTCGCGGAAACCAGCTGTGGTGCACGCCCCTGTGTTCCAAATGCTCAAAGCCGTAAGATACACTCAAAAACTCAATCCCAGGGAAATTCGCTAACTATCTCTTCGCGCACCCTAGATCGCCATAGCGATATACGTTGGTCTTGAACTCGGACTCTTGGTGCTGGTAGCGACTGGGTCGTTTCGCACGACCGGCGTTTTCATTGCAGCATCAATCCTCAAGCTCGTGTCAGCTTCAATTATGGTCGTTCTGAGCATCATCGACCACAGCCGAAGTCCAAGACCTTCATTACTGTTGAGCGTTTACTTATCTGTGACTATGCTCCTGGATGCAGCCGAAGCAAGAACTCTCTTTCTCTCGGCTGATGGCAAACCGGAAGTCATATATAGTAGCCTTTTCTGCGCCACTGTGGCTTTGAAAGTGCTAATCTTGCTTCTGGAGGCCAAACAGAAGACTTCATGGGTACATTGGGACGAAAAGGAACACAGTCCAGAAGAAACGAGCGGCCTCTTCTCAATCGGGGTGTTCTTCTGGCTCAACGAGATGTTCATGTTGGGGTATCGCAAAGTGCTTAGTGTGGACGATCTCTATCCCCTGGACAAAGCTCTCGATTCCAAGGCGCTGCACGATAAGTTTTCCGGCGAGATGAACTACTCCAAACTGAAGGGCGATAAATTCGGCCTTGTGAAGGTGTTGACTCGCGCTCTTGCAGGGCCTCTTCTAATCCCAATTTTCCCGCGACTTGCACTGCTTGGTTTTACTCTCTGCCAACCGCTTTTCATGGAGAGGCTCCTGGACTACTTGTCCCAACCGACGCTTGATCCTAGTATCGGGTATGGTTTCATAGGCGCAACCTTTTTTATCTACTCAGGCATGGCGATTTCTACGGCGATCTACTGGTAGGTTCATAACTCCATCCCTGATTGTAGTTAGTCCTGCCATGTTGACACAATTATAGGTATTTCTGCGATCGACTTCGTACCATGACCAGATCGGTTTTAGTCACCGAGATCTATCTCCAAGCCACGAAAGCTCGCATTGGGGTTAGCGATGATAGCGCTGCGTTGACACTGATGAGCACTGACATGGAGCGCATCAAATACGGCATGAGATCTCTTCACGAAATCTGGGCCAGTCTCCTCCAAGCTTCATTTGCTGCGTGGATGCTATACATTCGACTAGGTGTTGTATTCGTCGCGCCTATTGGTATTATCGTTGCAGGCTTCATCTCGTTAGCGATCTTGACGAAATACACGGGCGATTCTCAGAGGGAGTGGATGGCCGCTGTCCAAGAAAGAGTTGGACTAACAGCTACAGTCATTTCCAGCATGAAAAATCTCAAGATATCGGGCTTATCTGCTGCCATCAGCAGCACTGTCCAGAAGCTTCGCGTTGACGAACTAGCTGCGTCTGTGAAGTTCCGTAAGATATTTATCTGCGCGGCGCTTCTCGGGTTTTTTGCGCAGCTGATCGGACCACCGGTTACATTTGCTTTGCTCAGGAATACTCTTGATGTCTCGACAATGTTCACGTCTTTGGCCTTCCTGACTCTCCTGACCTACCCGCTCGCTCACATATTTGAAGGCGTACCAAACCTCATTACTACGCTGGCTTGTCTAGGACGTATACAGTCCTTCTTGGAATGCGAAACGCGCGAAGATTTCCGGAGGATCTTGGGTGACACCCGACAAGAACCAGAGAAGTTTTCATCAGGAATCACCGACCCATCGAAAAGCGCCATGAAAATCACCGACGGTAGCTTTGGTTGGCGCGCGGGCGAGTTCGTTCTGCGAAATGTACATGTCGATATACCCAAGGCTGCTCTGACCATCGTTGTTGGTCCAGTTGGGTCCGGTAAAAGTACCTTCTGTAAGGCCTTGCTGGGCGAAATACCTTTCGCATCTGGGAACGTCGTGTCTCACAGAAGGGCTTCTCACATTGGGTTCTGTGAGCAGGCTGCTTTTCTCTCAAACGGCTCGGTCAAAGATAACATCGTGGGGTTCTCCACATTTGACGAAAAGAGGTATTCAGAAGTCATCGATGCTACATCACTCGGCATTGACATCGCTACATTCCCAAATGGAGACCAAACGAATATCGGATCAGATGGAATCACTTTATCTGGAGGACAGAAGCAGCGTTTATCACTAGCTCGAGCTCTCTACCTACAGTCAGACATGTTGGTTTTGGACGACGTCTTCAGCGGTCTGGACGCAGACACTGAGGCGAGAGTTTTCCGTCAAGTCTTCGCACCGGGTGGTCTGATCCGAAGAAGGGGCACCACGGCGATACTATGCACACATAGTGTAAAACATTTGCTGGACGCAGACCACGTGATCGTTCTTGGAAATGGTACCATTGCCGAGCAAGGTAGCTACGCTGACCTGATGACCGAATGTGGGTACGTTCGAGGTTTGGACTTGGGCAGCTCCTCCAGCAGCGACGTCGCCACGGAAGAATGCGGTCTCACTTCAGACGAGATTATTTGGACCCCAACGCTGCTGAACTCCACTGTTGTCCCAAGTGTTCAAGGACCAGACAATGATATGTCACGGCAGGTAGGCGATAAGACAGTATACAAGCATTACGTTAAGAGCATGGGATTGCACATCGCCGGTTTTGCTTTACTATTTGGAGCTCTTTGGGGCTTCTTCACGAATTTTCCGACCATCTGTAAGTTGCGTCTCTTCTCGTGCCTGGCCCCACAGCCTTGCGAACATTGCATGAGAACCTAGATGCTGGACCGCGCATTATATACACAAACTGACCACCAACGCAGGGCTAACTTACTGGACGAACGACGTACATTCGCGGCACCCAAAACATCCTCACAGCTATTACGCCGGAATTTACGGATTGCTACAAGTTTCTGCCCTCTTGTCGCTTCTATTGCTCGCTATAACGCTCTGGGTGTTTGGCATCAAGAGAGCCGGAGCCAATCTTCACCGAGAGGCCCTACAAACCCTGATCAGAGCGCCGCTGCGATTTTTCACGAAAACAGATACCGGCATTATCACCAACCTATTCTCCCAGGACCTAAATCTTATCGACACGGAGCTGCCTGAAGCTGCCTTGAATATCCTATTCTCTGTAAGTCTGCACGAGCCACGCTATAAACCAACTCGCAAGAATGCCGCTGACCCGAGATCTGTAGATCTTCCAATCGCTTGGGCAAATGGCTGTCATGCTTACATCTTCCCTTTACCTGGCGATAGCGTATCCGTTCCTCGGTGCCATACTGTATATTGTTGGAAAATTCTATCTGAGGACTTCTAGACAACTCAGGTTGTTGGACCTCGAGACTAAGAGCCCTTTATAGCAAGTCTATCCCCTCCGACCTCGACCATAGCACTGACATGAGCGTCTCAGCACACATTTCCTTGACACTGTCAAGGGTATCACGACCCTGAGAGCCTTTGGTAAGCAAATCGACCGCCTCTCGTTTTATGGAACGCGCATCGCACCGACCGGATTATTGAAGGACAAATGTCGCTGACACTACCCGTAGGGTTTGTTTCAAACGATATCGCAAAGAACATCCGATTGATCAACACGAGCCAACGACCAGCGTACCTCCTCCAGATGATCCAGGAATGGCTGAATCTAGTTCTCGGAAGTAAGCATTACTGGGTATGAAGTAGGCGTCTCTGCTGCTGCACAGGTCTGGGATCTCAGACATTAGCTGCGAGTCAGAAACCTACTTCTACCTACTACCTTTAATTTCGACTTCTCACTGACTTGCCCTACGTCATTTTTAGTGGTAGTCATGGTGATCGCCGTAATTCTCGTCGTACTATCGATTCAATTCCACACACAATCCGCTTTTGCTGGTGCTTCGCTGTACAGCCTTATCACACTCGGTGAGAACCTCGCAGGTATAGTGCTGTACTACACGAGGCTGGAGACATCTATCGGGGCGATTGCTAGATTGAAGAAGTTCAACGAATCTGTAGCGCCAGAAGATAAAGAACGTGAAGATTTAATTCCCTCAGAGCAGTGGCCGCATACCGGTGCTGTGCAGATAGTGGATGCTTCCGCAGCCTACGAGTAAGTGGAGATTCTTCTTGCGCAGGACCGAGTGTCACTGATTACTTGACACAGTGCGGATGAAGAAACTCCTAGCCTAGCGCTGAGAGACATCAACTTGAAGATTGAGTCTGGAGAAAAAGTCGCCATTTGCGGACGTACGGGTAGTGGCAAGTCAAGCCTTGTTGCTCTGCTCCTCAAGCTGCTGGACCCCCTCGCATCGGAAACCCAGCAAATTCTAATCGACGGTGTCCCCTCGTCTCGTATCAATCGAGCTGCTCTACGTCAACGCCTTATCGCTGTGCCTCAAGAAGCCGTCTTCTTGCCCGCTGGCACCACGTTCCAGGCCAACTTAGATCCCTACGATGCTTCTACCGCCGAAGAATGCAAATCCGTTCTGATCGCCATCGGCCTCTGGACGTTTGTCGAGGAACGCGGCGGTTTGAATGCTGGTATGACAGCAGGAACCTTTAGCGCAGGACAGCGGCAACTGTTCTCAGTTGGACGCGCGCTCCTTCGGCGTCGCATCCGAGCCAGCCGCCTGAATGGCGCGTCTGATCAGGGCATTCTGCTGCTGGACGAAGTGAGCAGTTCAGTTGATCGCGAAACCGAAATCATCATCCAAGAGATCATCGAGAGCGAATTCGCGAAGTACACCGTTATCGCGGTTAGTCATCGGCTTGACATGATCATGGACTTTGACAGGGTCATAGTGATGGACAAGGGCGAAATCGTCGAAATGGGAAACCCAGTCGAACTGACCGCAAAGGAAGCAAGCAGGTTTGGAGGCCTGGTTCAGGCTGGAAACAGGAAGACAAATGAGCGACCGTAATTGTGTTAGCAGTGCCTCGCTGAGGTTTTGTGGTCTGCTCCTGGAATCGAAGCTTGAGCTATGGGCGGACATCCGGGGGTTACCGGTAGCTTATCCAAGTTATCCGAAGGATCCACTGGGGGCCTTGACATGCCAAGTCTCACGTCGCAGAACGAGTCGTTTGACAGGGATTTGAATTCATACAATGTGGGCAGTAAATTGCATATCTATTGTGTGCCAAATTCTGGCGAGACGCAAAGTTTGCAGTCAAGCTATGGGTGGATTCTCACATGATTTCAAGAGACACCGAAAAGCGAACCCTGTGTGATAAGACGTTCAATACTGTTGTTTCTGGCAATCGATGTCGTTTCGCATAGGACTACAAGCAGATGGATCAAAGCTAATACATACTGAAAGGATTCTTGCACTTCAACGGTGTTACCGTCGGAAATTTACACAATTGCCCCTTGGGGCTTAGTACAAAGCCTCGTTTCAGATGCATGTTTTGAAACGTGACGGCCGTACCTAAGCTCCACATCCTTATTCCTAATCAGGCGTTTGTCGTCCAGAAATCGGACTTGAAGATGACAGAATCTACTGCTGCTGCACATTATAACTTACAGCATTATCTGATATTTTACAAAATCTCCTCTTCGATATAGCAATCCGGTTCTCATTACTGCCTCAGCACTTCAATCGCAATAATGGTCGCCGCAGCAGCAGTCTTACTACCTTTATACATGTGGCCGACAGGCCCATCTGGCGAAAGCACATGGCAACCCGTTCTCGACAGCGCTGCAGCATACCCATCGCTCCAATTCACCGTCATCGTCAACCCAAACAGTGGACCCGGCGACTGGCCCAATCCCGACTATGCAGCCGCCATCGCGCAACTTAATGCGCTCTCCAACGTCCAGACCGTCGGCTATGTCGACACTGCGCAAGTGAATCAGCCGGATGGCCCTTACACCATCGAGAGAATTGGAAATGACATCTCCACCTACGCATCCCGCAGTGCAAACGAACCCAACGTCGCGCTGCAAGGTGTTTTCTTTGACGACGTAAGCAATGTATACAGCGACAGTGTAGAGCTCCTCCTAGAGGAAGCCGTCAACCAGACCAAAGCCTCTGAGGGATTCGGGAACACACGAACGGTAAGCAATACTTCATCCACCACACCTGCTGAGGACTGGTATTTATGTTACCCACAGACAATCATCAACCCCGGTACTCGGCCTAACTTCATGACCCCCAACGTCGACATATCACTCACGTTTGAGAGCACCTGGGAGCAATATCGAAGCCTAGATTCGCGCGCATGGCTCGCCGGAAACCCTTACGACCGCGACCACACTGCGTACGTTGTCTTTGGTGCGCCTCCGGGCGATGTGGCTAGCATCACGACCCAATTGAGGGCAAATGCGTCGTACATCTATGTCACTGATACTCTCGATGACCCTTACAAGTCGTTTGGGTCGACTTGGGAGACGTTCATCGCTGCTATGGCGGCGGAGTAGGGGAACAGACACGGATGATGCAGCGGTGGACGTCTCTTCTTATTGTGCATGTTTGAATAAGAGTGCTTGGATCTGCCTGATCCAAATATTCAGCGCAAGCGTGTATCCAAGCTACTGATGACGATCTCGAAATCTTCACGATCATTTTGCATTGCATGTGTTAGGATAGCAGCTTCTTGATCGCTTGTGAACCACCCGTGACTACTTACTTTTCAAATCGAGAATATACTTACGGTGTGTATTTCTTCGATGCATCCTCTGAAGTTGGTATACAGTGTTTCAAGCATCTTGATCATCGCTATGACCCGAGATGAGTTCCAAATCTTCTAGCTTCGAGGGTTGCGTCGAATATGGCCAAGTACATCGTCCGATGTACGTTAAGCTACTCGAACAATACGTGCAAACAAGATACGGTATAATTGCCCTTGTATAGTCGTATCGCAATTCAAACAGATGTGACTAGTATCTTCCATACACCCAGTTCCGCCCACAGCTGCGAAACAGCACCCATCGATCCGGCTTCCTCAAAACAGCAAATGCCAGCACAATTACTATGTCATTGTCAAAAACACACAACCCCACCGCTTCCAGCACGCGTTTTGGAACATCTAGACCCGCACGCCCCAACGCACCTCAAACTCGTGGCTTACGTACAAGGGCACACCACAGCCCGCTAGCCTGCTAGACCCGCTTCCAGAACCCCGGACACGGTAGCCCACAATCCCCCACGATTGCTGATGACGATAGACGGCCCTACAGCAGTACCACCGGCTGTATGGTATCAGAGTAGAGCTACGCTCACGGGGCACGCTTGCCAGGCAGCTCCGCAGCCCGCACGCGCGCCCTCACCGATCAACCCCACCTTTGCCTCCCGCCCCCAAACCAAACGCCCGACACGCTCCAGCCCAAGACGTCCAAGGAAGAACAAGCCCTTCCACCGCGCCTCCACACATGCCAACCTTCTCGGCGCGCAGTAGACGCTCCTCGGCGCTGACGTCGGCCGCAGAAGAAGAATCTAGCGCGTTCGTTGCGTTCGCCGCCCGAGGGGGGGAAAAATGGGACTGGGGTGGTGTGCTATGTAGGCTGTATGCACGTGCGGGGCGCTCGCTGGAGTGGAGCTGAGCTGAGTGCGCTGCGCTGGGGTGCAGCAAGTCCACCGTTGGGCTCAGGTCTATGCGCAGAGCACGCCGAGGGTCGCGTCGGACGGTGGCTGCGCGAGCGCGAGGGTGGGAGTCGCAGCCGCAATCGCGGTCGCAAATCGTCGGCCAGATCAGGCCATCGTGGGGAGCGCGAGCGAGCGAGCGGGATGACGATTGAGCCACGAACCCTGTGAAGGTAGCAGCGCTAGGCGCTAGCTCTCCCAACGATCGAGCCCGCGATTGCGCAACGCGACCCATTGCGAGCCGCCAATCGCACAAGTCGCGGGCTGAACGTGCAGGAACTTTTTTAACCATAGTGAGCACCTTTGAGAGTCTGTTGTGGAAGTGGTTTTGATATGAACTGGTAGAGAAATACATATGAATGCACATGTACATTGTACACCTCCCCGCCATATTAGACCTCAACTGATACCTTAGTCATGTCGTAGCCCAGGATATACCAGAGTTCCTGTAGGCTGCTCGTATAATCACACATGCTCCTCGCTATGAGCAGACTGATAGATAGGAAATCGTTGACCCAGCGGGCTTATTTTGACCCAAACGCCAGGCATGCTTATACAAAAGAAAACCAATCCGACAAAGGACAATCGGTGGCTACCCCTCGCCCATGTCGAAGCGGTGGGCAAACGCTTTCGCGATCTTATGCTCGGGCTTGGGCGGGATGTGGTGATGGAGATACTTCTTCGGCGCAGGGCCTGACCTTCTGCCCTTGGACGCGTCAATCACGTACTTTGGGTCCTCGTAGCTCTCGGGGCAACAACATGCTATGTTCTTGATTACCGGCGTATCGAGGATTTCGCGGATCGTAATGCGCTTGTCGGGATTTGGGTGGAGCATCTTCAGCATCATGCGCTTGAGTGGGGGAGGGTTGATAAGACTGAAGAGCTTGCCGCATTTGGGATGGTTATCAGGGGTGATATCTTCATGCGGATGGTTCGGTAACCACTCGTCCCAGCCCTTCTTATACCTGGCGTAGTATGGGAAGTCTGGCTTAGCTGCTTGCCACGGGCAGCCTCCGAAGGTCATGGTGAGATAGACGATAGCGCATGACCAGATATCAAGTGGTCGGGGGTCGTATTTGCCCTTCTTTTCCAGAACCTCAGGTGCGATGTAGGGAAGACTGCCGCAGATCCCAGGATCAGACAGCCGCACTTCACCCATGTTCTTTCCGCATTCGCCACCTGCATGTCTTAGACCAGGGTGGACACCGCAGAAGACTTCCGCAACACCGAAGTCGGAGATTTTCAGATGTCCCTCCTTGTTGAGCAGCAAATTTTCCAGCTTGATATCGCGATGCGCAATGCCGTGACTGTGCAAGTAGTCGACGCCCCGCAGCAGCTGCTTGAAGAAACAGAGACGATCTTCCGGGGAGTAGTATCCTTCGGTGCCGCCTGCAAAGAGTTTGCGCTCTACTAGCGAGAAGAGCTCACCGTACGCGCAATACTCCATGACGTGGTTCCACCTGTCACGGTTCGTGCAAAGCCGCACAGTCTCAACTATGTTGGGGTGGTGGAGACTCTTCGCAATGCTGTACTCGGATTTGATCTTGTCGACGTAGTCGCTTTCGGTCTCGTCCTTGTCTCGGGGACGGAACTCTTTCACAGCGACCAAATCTTCTCCCCCGAACCCTCTCCGCGCCATGATGCGAACCTCAGAAGTGGCTCCTTTGCCCAATATCTTCCCTCTCTTGCCGGGCATCAGACTGGAGCTCTTGAACTCTTTGTCGAGGTCGCAGCAGTCCACCACGAACTCATCCGGTAGACTCAAACTCAGACGGCGGGCTTTCGATCCGACTCCACGGTTAGCTGGCTTGGAGTAAGTTGCCATCAAAGCCGCAGTCGCCTCTTCGTCGTCGAACTCCATCTTGGGAACCTGTTCTGTACTTGCTGAGCGTCTCCGTGTCCACGTGTGTCGCTTTCCGCCTCTTCCGCTAGTGCCAGCCCATTTCACGCCTGAAGCCTTCTCTTTGGTCATGTTCGAGATTGCAGTAGATGATGCTGAGTGCTTGTGGCTTGGTCGCAATCTCCCTTGGCCATGGTCGTTTGAGATGGTACTGTGTGGCGATCCAGGTGAGGGTGGTCCAGAAATGGAATTCGAAGATTTAGGGGTGTTGCGGCCGGACAGAGAGAACGAACTGAACCTCCGACCGGACCGTGGAATATCCACAGCCGGTGTGGAGACTTCTGCAGGACCATCTACGCCAGTCTTGACAATCATTTTCTCCGTCTTGTGGGCGTGCTTTGGAGGCGCCTTGGGGTTCTCATTTTGATTGGGTCCATCCTTGTGCGACGCCGCACGATGAAGCTTGCCACGCACGAAAGACCCGACGCGTTTCCCCAGGCCTGGTTTCTCGGGCGCAAGTGACGAGTGCGGCTCCGCTGGTGCGCTCACCTTGAGAACAGAGGGCGTGCGACTAGCCGCGGACGTTGCTGGAGGTGCCTGCGAGGTCGCAGCTGGCAGCGGCTTCACGTCGCCGTCCGTCATGGCAACGGCAGGGGTTAGGAAGTCGGCGTGCTCATTCTTACGGAAAGGGTCAGAGAAGGGGTGAGTGAAAGGGGCAGAGTCGCTGGTATGGCTGTTGGGAGTAAGAGGTTCCGTCGGCTCGCTGGCAGTAGACTCGTCTTCTTCCGCAATTGGGGAATCCCGGACGCGGGAGTCTCTGCGGAGAAATTGCGCTTCGCTTGTTGGCGCTGTCACCAATGGAGGTGGATTGCGTGAAGCTACGAGCGGCATGGCGGTCGCGCGGGCGGTGAGCGAATAATCGGTAATGAGATGAGCAAACGCCGTGCGAGGTCGCTAGTAGGTCTGCGTGCGGAAGCTGCAAGGGACCAACGAGCCTCGTGGCGTGGGAACACGACTAGGCCCTCTGGAGGGAGCTGGGCTGGTGGTACGTTGCAAGAGAGGAGCAGGCGTAGGGGTGGAGGGAGGGGAAGGCGAGAGACGCTGTGTTGTATGGCGGGTGCCCTGAAAGAGCCATCCGATGGTGAGGTCTGGGGGGGTGGGTGCTGGATGGGATGGTAAAGAATAATCGGGCCGCGGCAGGAGAGCCAGGATGCGGTGGGTTGAGGCGGGCGTTGATATCGCGGGCAGACGAGCGTCTTCTGCCAGTGCAGTGCGCGGTGATGTAATTGGGAGAGGGTCGGATGTCGGCAGCAAGGGCAGGAAGCCGCCGATGGAGAAGAAGGCGCCGCCCGGGAGAACAATGCAGGTGCGACCGAGGCCGTTCTCAACAGACGATATGCGCAGAGGACTGCCAAAGCCAGAAGCAGAGAGCGGAAGCGCTGCGCTTAAGGAGGAAACTCGCGGCTTTGGTTTCAACCCTACGCAGCTAAGCAGCGCCAGCGGAACCATGCCAATTTAACGTGCTGGCCGCCGTGGCCCTGCATGCACGCGCCTGCGCCGAGCGGACCTGTCCACCCCCCACACCAGCACCCCGTCTCGTCCTAACAGAGCGCACGTCCACCGTGCAGCCTCCTGCGGAACCTTGCCAGCGGCCTCAGGCACGCTGGGTGCTCGGCCTGCGTTCTGTGCCATGTTGCACCGGCCCATGACGACGATGCCCAGCCGCGAGCGTCCCGTCACCGTCTCGAAACCATCCCCAGACATTCACTTCGACACTGGCGCCGTGTCCGTGCTGCGATGCGACCTTGCGACCCTACTAGCCAGCAACAGTCCGTGTTGACACTCTATTCACAAGCATACGCTTCGATACGCGACTCGGCCGTCGCTATTCTGAGCCGCCGCGCTGATCCTCTCCGCTGAGGACGTGCCTGCGGCATTTTCACTACCTATTAAACCCCCCCTTGCACAAAAGCTTCACCGGCATACCGCGTCTCCGCTCCAACCAGCTGTCTTGATGCGCTGCGGGAGTATTGTTCTTACAATGCGGGCTGCCGCACGCTGCCGACCGCGAGCATCCTCTTCTGGCCCCGATCTAACCTCATCCCCTCTAACACATTCCCGAAGAGCAGAGTGAGAACGCAATCCCTCGCTCTTTGCCAGCCGCGAGAAGCGAGCCCCGGACCTCACGTGGGGGTGCATTCGTGTCCTTCTCCGCGAACAACGTCCACCTCTTTCAGGTCGTCGTTGAACCCGACGACAGGACGCATGTCTGTTAGCACCCAAGCATGCGCCTACGAATGCACCTTGCTGCAGCTCATCCACCGCTGGGCGAGCCCTGGCCATATGCGGTCGTGCAACAGCGCCCAACCCCACGGAAACCCCGCAGATCGTTTAATACTATTCGATGTTGGTCGTCTTTCATTTAACGGAACCAATACCACAGCCTCACCCGAGCCTGGTGAGTGGCTCCGACATCCGACTCGAGCTGCCCAGGCTCTGTACAGAGTTTCCTTGCTGCCGAATACTTCCTTCACCTTGCGATCGAGTAGGCTAACTCATCCCGCGCTTGAAGTGCGTGTAGAGCTCGTGACCTCCTGCATCGCTTTTACACCTCGCTCCGATGCAGGCGGATTGTCGACCTGTGGCAGTTGCAGCTTCATTTTTGTATCATGCAGATCTATGCCCGACTTGTCAGTATCCTATGTGGCCCGACTCGCAGCTTCAAAAACGCGTACGGTGCACTCGTGAATGGACAAGCGTTATGGCGGTGAGTCTGACCGTGCGGCTCTCAAAACACAACACCCGCATCCTAGTGGTCCGCCGTTGAACGCCCCATACTTCCCCCACATTCACACACAGCGCACCTGCAGTAGTGAGCAAGGTTTGTCCGGCGAAAAGTCGTCTCGTGATGATTAATTGCACTTCCAGCCATCGTGGGGGTTCATCGGTCTCAAAAGGAGCACGTGAGCTCTCTGCTCCCCCTGCACATGTGTGGATCCTCCAATGTCGTGCGCCCTTATAACTCCCGAATTTTCAATCTACCGACGAGCACATCAACCATCACGATCCTCACAAGCACTTGGCTGCGTTACCAAGACAAGGCTTCCTTTCGTCCTGTTGACGTGCGACATTCACCAAGAGATATGTATGCAACAAATCTTGGCGTCTCGGCGGCATCCCGCTTCTCGAAATAATCCTGCAGAAGATCTTGGAGATCATCTACACAACACCAGGTCCAAGACGGGAGATCTCAATGATAGACCGCCCAATCTGCACGTCAGCCTGCTCGCCAAATAGCGATCGTCTTCAATGCCAATGCGCTGTCCTAAATTTCCCGAGGGTATACAAAATTGGTCACGAAGGCGTCCCATCCGCTTGGCAATTATCCTTTGATGAACTGTAGATTCCCCTTTGGGATGCAACCTCCACTGTACCGCCCTTGGCATGTTCACACGCCAGGACGGAATTCTTGGAACTGAATTCCGCGCTTGGCACGATTTGTAGCACGGCAACTGGTTTCGCGTCGAAGATGGAACATGAACCAGCAAAACATTTTGCAAGATTGTTGTGCTCCACGACTGCCGGCGTTTCGCGCGGGGTCCGATGATGTGGGAGAAACAGAGTACGAAACGTCCGTTGCTTGGCGCGGACAACGCATCTGCACACGAGCTGCAAAAGTTCAGTTGATGGTTTCGACAGACGTAAGACCTTACGTGTGGGGCGATACCACATTGATCAGCGAAGAAATTACGCTCGTTCCTACGCGGGCCCATGTCAGATATACTCCAACAATAAGTAAACTAACCCAATCACACAACGGGAAGCGGTCAACGTCTACTGATATGACTAGCGGGAATATTCTAGTGCTGGTAACAGACACACCCCATTGTAGCCGTTGCGACGGCTAGACTGGACCGTCGCTTCTGGCTTCGTTCTGTTGTCCAACACGTCCATGTCAATTATCACTTATTGAATCCGCCAAGAGGGTCACAGTAGCACAGGTCGAGCCAAGTCTCCCTTCGAACCGCCCGTGGATGACACGATTACTTTCCGCTTGCACAAGCGTCACAAGCTCACTCTTGGCCTCCCCCTTATGCCGGTATAGGGCATTCCAGAGTACCATACCAGCTAGCTGCAGGTCGCGGCGGCTTAGCTATGGTGTCCGTGATCTTCTTGCATATCATCTTGAGATCTACACTTTTCTAGATGCTTATGCTTAGGAACCGCGGTATGCACTTTGGGAATTGATCGACAGAAAACATGGCTAAGCATGCTCACTGCATATGCGCCGAGGCGGAAGCCTTCGGACGGATGATCTGCGGTGGCTGCCTCTCTATGCAGGATACTTTGTCGCCCGTTCGGCAAGAATCCTGCTGTCAATATCAATATTCATGATGGTCTTCCCATCGGCAACTAAAAAGAAAGCTATTCGTGGAAACATCAAATGCCAAACCTCATAGAAGGGATTTCCCACTCCCGCACAAAAAGTCTATGCAACAAGCTTTGCATCTCTATGCAGACTCGCGTGGATCAATACGAAGCGTTGAGAGAATAATTTGTTTCTTTCCACGTGATCGATTCTGCCAATGCGGAGAGCAGCGCACGTCGAAGAAAGGAATCTACCGGCACAACTCTCCCCAATTGACGGAGCGTCCCAAGAGTGCGATTAGCCGCTATGGCCCCAAGGGCTGGTGCAAGTCCCGTACCACAGTGCAAGTGTCCGACCACCGCTTCATGCCATTGTCCAGAACACGGTAGAGCACAACACAACGGTTCAAGTCATAGTTCTGAGACATCCAAGACATGCCCTTGACATCTTGTCTAGGTGTTGCCATTGTCTGTCTTGAGACTCGGTGCGGTGACCAGACGTGTGATTGGCACGGGATTACTCCCGATCCTGATCTCTCGGGCATAAGTTACAGAAGAATCGCTCTGCCGTAAACGCCTGAATTGTGATGTGCACCGCCCTGGCTGCCCGAAGAAGCGGCAGTGTCAGCACAGAAGTCGTTCTATTCGCATCAATGCAAAAGTTCTTGGTACTCACAGAAAACTTATTAACGCGACCCAAACATGCCCTGTCGAGGGTGTTTGAGAATTGAATAACAATCTGCACAGCCACGTTCACAGTCTCACCATGCCCTTCAATCAGTGTTTGCTCTGCTGGTTTCCATACACCATGTACGGGACGATGGACCCAATGCCGATCTCACACAAACACTGCGAAAAATCTACGTTTACGCAACGCTCATGACACAGCCGAGATACACCAACCACTCCTAACCCAAGTAGCTACGACCATCACCACACGCCCTTCGTAAATTCCATTACCCGCCCACAATATCTCCCTCAAAGCCTCAACAGCAGAATCTCATCCCACTGCACACACTCCCCCATCGTAAAACTGTGCCTTCCCACATTCTCCGTAAACCCTAACCCTCCATAGAACTTCTTCGCCCGCACATTCTCCTCCCACACTCCCAGCCACGCCCCCTCGTACGCCCCCTCCCGCCGCAACACCCCCAGCACGTGCTCCATCATCGCGCCCCCGATACCGCGCCGGTGGTACTCCATGCCAACATACACGCGGTGGATCTCTACGAGCCTGAGGTCTGCTGGTAGAGAAGGATCCGTGCTGCCGTGCTTGATCTGGAGGAAGCCTGCAACGGCGCTGGAGGCGGGGGCGAGGTGCGCAACGTAAAACGTATTATCATTTGGATTGGACAGTTCTGACAGGATGGCGGATGTGGTATAGGAGCTAGATAGATAGGCTTGAAGGTCCTGTTCGGGCATGGAGTGTGCGAAGGAAGCGGTGAAAGTAGCCCTGCCAATGGCGGCGATGGATGCGGCATCTGCAGGTACGGCGGGGACGATGACGATGTCTTGGAATGGTGGTGGTGGGGACATGGTGCGTGGTGTTGCTCGTGCGGAGCTGTACGGTGCTGGGGGCTTTTATTCTATAGAGATGATCAGATCGTGATGGTGGTCATTGGTTTTATATGCAGTTAGTTGCGACGTGGCTTTGTTCTGTTTTGGTGGGGTTGGAGATGTTGTGACATGCGTAGGGCGTGGAGGATGAAGGCGAGATACGATAAGGAAGTTGGAGATGCCCAATGTATGTATTTAGAAAAAAAATGGTTTCGAAAGGTTGAGCTCTGGAGAAATGCAGCTAACAAAAAGAGTAATCTGTTTCCGTTCCGCTTTTACAACATTTTCTATGGGGAAGATGTAGTGCAGCCGCGGAACCAGACAGGACCTGTGGCCCATAGACAGCCTGGAGAATCAGAAGTCAGTATGCTTATAGACAGTATATGTTTTGATTGAAATGAATTCAAGTGATGCAAGAAACCGCTATGCATACTGGCGGAACTGCGCAGTATGCGATATCGCAATTGCACCACCTCCTGCAACATCAGTAGGGTTCCTTTTTCCCATCTACCTGAAGAAATTGTATGCTCTCGCATGAGAGCGTTGTGGGCGACAGGATGAAGGAGAGCCCAACGTGCACCGCACGATACAACATCCACAGTAAAGGGTGGCAGGGGATCCGAACATGTGGAGAAGGGAAATGGTAGGGGCTATAGAGGCAATGTGCAACCAATTGCCGGTATATATAAAGATGCAGGCCTCAGATTATTACATACGACCATAGGACACTGAAAACTAGGCTTCCCGTCCGCTCAGCCATATATAAGCAGTGTACCGGCGGATCAGTAGTTGCGTGGGTGACCAGCAGCGAATCCCCGCTGTTGTATGTTTATTTTGTCTTTTTTTTTTTTTTTAAAAAACTCAAATTTTTAACATTGTGTGCGCACTGTCGTGACAGACTAGTATTATGACGCTATCTACATGGTACATCGGGTTTAATGCATACCATAAATCCGAAACCCGTCATACTGCATCCCACTTCGCACCACGACACCCACGATCGTCCAGTTGATGAACGAGCTCTACATACCCCGTAGCGTTCACAGCCTGTTCACGTTTTGGAATTAAAGTCCCCGCCATCTGTACCAGCTCTGAAATTATAAGACTCGCAGCAACAATGTCGACAATTCCACAGCGCAAGATCGGTGAGGATAATGTGTCTGCCCAAGGACTTGGATGTATGGGAATGACATTTGCCTACACAAGTTTCGGAGGATACAACGACGGCGAATCACTCGAAGTCCTCACCCGTGCGGCTGATCTGGGCATCACGTTCTGGGATACCAGCGACATGTACGCCCACCACCGCTCCTCTACGTTCGAACCCCACTGACAAGCGCCCCGCACAGCTATGGCCCCCACACAAACGAGAAGCTCCTCGGTCGCTGGTTTTCCCAGACAGGGCGCCGCAAGGAGATTTTCCTCGCGACCAAATTCGGCAACCTCATCGGCCCTGACGGCAAACACGCCGTCCGTGGCGACGCCGAATACGTCAAGGAAGCTTGCACAGCCAGCCTCGAGCGCCTAGGGGTGGAAACGATCGACCTCTATTACCAGCACCGCGTCGATACCACGGTTCCCATTGAAGAAACCGTCGCCGCAATGGCCGAGCTCAAGAAAGAAGGCAAAATTCGCTATCTAGGCCTCTCCGAGTGCTCTGCGTCGACTCTGCGCCGCGCCCACGCCGTCCACCCCATCGCTGCAGCCCAGATGGAGTACTCACCCTTCGCGCTGGAGATCGAGTCTGAGCAGACGGCTTTCCTGGCTACCGCGCGCGAGCTCGGCGTCAAGATCATCGCGTACTCGCCCCTTGGCCGCGGCTTCCTGACCAACACCATCACCTCTCGCGCAGACCTGGATCCTTCCGACAACCGCTCGAACCACCCACGCTTCAGTGAGTCGCACTTTGACGACAACCTCAAGCTCGTACGCGCATTGGCGGATATCGCCAAGGACAAGGGATGTACCGCGGGCCAGCTGGCGCTCGCATGGGTTGCGGCGCAGGGCGATGATGTGATACCCATTCCGGGGACGAAGCGGGTGAAGTATCTCGAGGAGAATGCTGCGGCGGCGGGGATTGTGCTGTCGGATGCTGAGGAGAAGAGGATTCGCAAGGCGATTGAGAGCGTGGGTGGGAGCAAGGGGGAGAGGTACCCCCCGGCGATGATGGCGAGGTGCTTTGGGGATAGTCCTGAGCTGAAGAGATCGTAGAGCCGTGGTGGTGTGTTTGGATGCGAAGTGTCTCTAAACACGACGATTGAGAAAGAACAATCACCTGGTAACATTGGCAGTGCCTGAGGCTGTGATGCGACTCAATTGCAGTTTCAATGCGTCACGCGTTCAGTTGCCCATTCACCGACGCAGTGACTTCACATTCACCCTTCACCACGCAAGGGCCGCTCCAATTCGACCTAGGGCGGCCCTTAGCTCAACACTAGCGTCTGGACGCTGCCGTATAAAACCCACGCCCGTCGCGCTCCCAGTATTTCTCTCCGCCCTCGGTGTGGCCTTGACACCCACCCCCCAAGAGCCCTGCCCTTTCCTCGCTCTTGAAGATTGTTTAGCACCGGGCTGTTCGGTGCAGGTCCGCACTGTGTCTTGAACGCCTGGCACACCTGCAGCAGCCCGTCCGAGCGAGTGCTGTCACCCAAACGCATATCGAAGCGCTTTGAAGGCTGTGCCGCGACCCCGACGTCACAGCGCAGGTTTCTCAAGGTCTGTCGGAGGGTAACCAATCCCGTCGCGTGCGCTCTCTTAACCTTCGGGTGCTCTACGTGAGTTAGATACAGCACATCAGATGGACGCGCCTGCAGGTCGATTCTCGAGTCGTGCCACTCCCAAGAGGTTCGGTTGACGGCCCCACTTGAATGTTATCTTGAAGCTACCTATGTGACCACTTTTCAGCGGCAGTGGATAGGTAGGCGGGTTATCGGTGCAGGTCGGCTCGGTATGCCTGGGACGTCTGCATCAAGAGTCATCTGCGCGTTTCGCAAATGCGCCTGCGGCGTTGGCCTGACTGGAACATCCCTCATACGGGAAGAACAGGTCGCCAAAGCCCAAGGCTCAGCCTTGAAGAATCGGGAACAAGCGAAGTACCGATTGGGCGTTGAAGCAATAGCTGAGCCGTCGAGTGACATTACGCTCAGAGGAGCTGCTGGCAGTGAAGGTTACTGAGCCAGCGAGCGAAGACTACGCTCAGCCCCTGAATGGGGAGCTCTCCTGGAAGGTCCCCTTCCTCGAGGAATTTTTGAATCTCAGAAATATATCATTTTTCATTGACGGTCTCGGCGATGCTGACGCGTTGAGGAAGAGCTGGTGAAGAGAAATAGGCTGCTTTGGGGGACGTACATGCATGCGATTGGGCATTTACGACAAGCAGTCTCACAAGTCGTTACTAATGTGTTAAAACCTATCAAAGCTCGCAAGATATTTGTCGCTTGAAGGAGGTCTTGGAAATTACGTCTTATACAGCGTTTCGTCTACAGCTTGAAAAGATGGGGCGCACGATTCACAACAATATACTAATTACTAGTAACGAAAACCAGTGTGACGTTTAGCATTGAATGCAGTTGCTCAATGATACGAGTAGCGCACACTAAGTATACACCACGATGGGTTGGCTTAGGCAAGAGGTATTTTTAAACAAAAGTAGAGTAAATAGGCTCTGGACATATTTCCATCGGATGTGCGGTTAGTGCACAAAGACGGAGAAAAATGAAGATCCACTCTACTGTATACGGTAGTCTACTTCCTTTGTTGACATTTGCAGCTGCTCTGAATCAACCAGAAACCTCACTTCCACGATCGCCATTACTCATTTCCGCATCCAAACGCCGAACCGTCTCCGCAATCCACATCTGCACCGAGACTTCCTCCTCCCTCTCATCTTCCCGGACTTCATAAAACTCATGCGCTAAACACTCCCTCGGGAACTTATCCACATCCTCCCACTCAGAATCTTGGCGGCGGCCGAACCCCGCATAGCACTCAGCACAGAGATCGGTATCGACGCAAATCCGGCAGAAAAACCACCTATCCCCGAGTGCGATTTGCCTGGAACAAGCATTGCAAATTCTCAGCCCATGTTCCTCGACTTCGCTGGTGGAGGAACAGAGGCAGTTGCGCTGCGGCGTACCCGACCGTATTCCACTTTCAAATATCGCATTAGACAGTCTGAACGCGGTATCGCCGTCGCCGGCCCGGCCAGCCCAGATGAAGAGGCGACCGACTTGCTTGAGGTTGTGCGCATAGAAGGCCGGGTGGACAGCGACGAGGCTCAGAGCATCGCGCAGGTAGCGGGACACGGTACCTGTAGGGTTGCCACCCTCAGTGCTGTTCAAAGCCTTCCAGCCCCGCCGGATGTACACACTGATCAGCATGCCTCTGACCATCTGCGTGCCCAGGGGCTCAGTGTTCAGCATGCCCTCCTTTTGCTCCAGCTCCGCAAGCAACTCGGCGCAAAGAGCTTCCGCGGCCTCGGAATCCTTCGCCATGGTGTGCGCCATTGCCAGCATCTTTTTGCAGAACATGAACATGTACGGGGTCATTAGCCCACGACATTTCGCATCCTTCAGTTCGAGCTGACGATGCAGATCCAGTGCCCGAGACAGCTCTTGAGCGGCCCTTGTGTACTCCTCGCCCGCGAAGTGCAGTTGTCCTGCTCGCGCGAGGACCTGGATGAGGACCTGCTGATCCCGTCCTTTCGTGTGCTCCAGGAACTGGACGAATCTCTCGAGTATCTTTCTTTCCAGGTCCATGTCTTGCTGCACGCGCGATGCTAGGAGCAGCTTCCTCAATGCCGCGCCGATGTTAATGTCGTATGGTCCAACAGCTTCCTCACTTTCTTGTAACGCGGATTCGACCTCCTCCAGCGATGGCTTCGGCGGCAGTTCCCTCGGTCTCCAGTATTGCCATGTGAAGTAGACAGTCCAGCTGCGCTTGCAAGCCGTATGTGCATCTACATCTTCCACGATCTGTCGCAGGTCGAGAACAACAGCGAGCTGTTCCACACTGAGATGCGCATCGAACGCCCTTTTTCTCCTGATCTCCTTGCACTCCCGGCGGAACAACCACACCAGCAGCACGAGATACGGCGTCCAGAAAACAGCACCGAACCAGCTTGCAAATATATTCGTGATCGCGATGTAAAGAACGCACAGCCAGATGACCGCACCTGCTAGAGTTCTGGCATGGCGCCCTGCGCGGGCGATTGTTGGCGGCAAGTGCACTCCCATGATTGAGCAAAGCCCCAGCAGCAGGGGAAGTGAGGTAGCCGCACGAGGCAGGATAGGCAGCAGTTGTGATTTCCACATGAAACTGCTCCGCCTTGGCTAAGTCAACCCACGGACCGCAAATGCAACGCTGCGCCCCGATTGGCTTGGCCATGCCACTTGCTTGCCCCAAAGCAAGAACTCTTGCTGGGGGCCAAAAACACGGACCGTGTGCAAAAACCCAAATTGCAGAACCGCAATGCAACCTTGCAAGTGCAAGAACCAAGATGCAGAATGCTAGCCTCTTCGAGTGCCTCGTGTTCTACGACCGCGTGCAGCTAGGCACCTGCAAACCAATACCTACAAAGCATAACCCCGCCCTCACCAGGCCCTCATCCCACCACCAACCTTCCTCAACCCCGCCATATTCACACACACCCCAAGCTCACATACCTACCACCATGACGTCCCCACCCGCCCTCCTCACCCTCCCCACCGAACTCCTCCTGCACATAACTTCCCACATAACCGGCCCCCGCCGCACCTCCACCCTCGCCGCCCTCTCCCTGACCTGCCGCCGCCTGCACGCCATCGCAGACGGCTACCTCTACACGCAAATCCAAATCCAGATCGGAAAAGAAGACCTCCTCACGCGGACCCTGCGGCAAAGAAAGAATGTCAAGGACCAGGTTTTGGACGTGGGATTGGGCTGCGCGATGACGATCTGGTTCGGGGAGGAGATGGGGAGGGAGGTGGGGGGTTCGGCGTGGGCGGGGGTCGAGGTGAAGAGGGGGAGGAAGAGGGGGGAGCGCAGGATCAAAGACACCTGTGCAAGAGGAGATGGGGTCGTGGGCGATGAGGAGGACGCGGGTGGGGTGTGACCTTGGAGGCTAGTGAGAAGGATAGGATCTCGATCCAGCGTCGACCTGTTACTTTCAGGGAATTTTCTATTTCCTTTCTCAAAGGAGTTACTTCTCGCATTGAGGTACACTTAGAGCGTACTGGCAAGACCGCTGCGAGCTACGTGACCTAGCCTTTCCCGAGCAGATCGTCCACCCAGCCCATGACCTCGCGGTCATCCTCGCAGACCCGTCTGTACTCCAACAGCAGTCGAAGCAGGTACACCAGCATATCCTCCCTCCGCAATACCTTCTCCGCCCACTCCTTGCCCTGCATCGCGATCTTCCTCGCTTGCTCATCATGTCCACCCTCCATGAAAAGGACTTCACCGTCTTCTCTCGGGTCGTCTTTGCTCATCCACCCCACGAAGTACTCCAATATACCGTAGAGATCCACGAACGAGTTCTGCATCGGGACGAAGTGGTACCAGGGTACAAGACGCGAATCGTGCCACTCGGAGAAAAGCGTCGCTTTGATGGGCACAGAAGTGGAACGGAGGAAGGCGAGGTAGCGACCCGAGAAGCCATTGCCGTCGATATCTGGGAGGTATTTGGCGAAGAATTGTTTCTTCATGGGTATTTTCCCTTCGGTCTTGTAGTACGGTGTCACGTGTGCACACTCTTCACCCTGCGTATTCTGGCTGCCGATGGTGCATTGCAGTTTCGTGAATGCTACTTCGGTGATTGTTTCAACCCATCGAGCAAGTTCAAAATCATTCTGAGGCGTGTGTACGTGCGATCGGTACGATGGCGGATGGAAAGTTCGTGGCGGGGAGAAAGAGCGGACTACCGTTGCGTTCATGAGCTGGACGAAGCGGTGGCGGTGGAAGCGCGTCCAATTCTCAGGTGTATTGCCACCGCCTGATGAAATACCCCGCCATATCACCCCAGTGATTTTCTTGCCCCAGGTTGGTCCGTGGGCATCTCCGGTTGTATAGTCGGATTTGGACTGCCAGTACGCGAATGCGGGAATGAGGATGTCGTTGTTCTACGGAAGTATTAGCTACGTGCACCTAACGCAAAAGAAAATCAGATACGAAGGGATCACGCTTACCATTGACAGCTTGCTGGAGCTGAACATAGGTATCAATGTCTGGCTCGTAGACTGACTCAAAGGGGCAATCAAAGCACCGTGTGAGGACACAAGACCTGGTTGCAGGCATGGATCTTTCGCTCGCGTCCAGTTCGATACGAACCCGTCGTACGTAAATGGTACCGAGCTGTTATTACATTCATTCTCTGGACAGGCTCCAAGAGGCGTCGACAAGTTCTCAAGTACCGAAACGTTCCAGGAAGGCGCATCAGGAGCGCAACCAGCGCGGACCAAATCCCAGTACGGGCGCTCCTCAGAGAATTTAGACTCATCGTGCTCGATTGTCTCGCCGTCGATGTCCAGAGAAGTGAAGCTCTTTAGGACCTCGTGCGCAGGCTGCTGCCGACGCACTGCCGACGCGCTCTCGATATAATTTGATATATTCTCCCAAGGTACTGCAACCCGTGGCTCATCCAGCATGTTCAGAGGCATGTCTAAATCAGGCAGTTTATCCTGGATCTTCTTTACCATATCGATCCACTGGTCCAGCCTCTTGCGATCACCTTTCTTGGTCTGCACCTTTTTATTCCGCACCACGATCTTATTGGGCATTTGTCTGGCTTGCTGGCGTATCTGCGTTGCAGATATACTCCAAAACGGATTCAGGTCATCGTAGATCCGATCAAAAAAGTCTTCAACCAGCAACGCATCGTGCGCGTTTGCAAATGCGTGCCAAACGTCGAAGCCAGGCGGAGGGTGCCGCCCTCGTCGTTCACGGTACGCACTGGCGGCTTCAGTCAAGGTTGTTGTCTGTCTCGACAGCAGCGAGTGTAATGTAGCCGTGGCATTCGTGATGAGGTCGTCAATAGGGTGGGTTTGCGGCGAGCCGAGTCTGACAACGATCTTTTTCGGTGTCGTCTTGTGAGCCCAAAGGTGGTAGAGACTGCCGGCGACAGCTATGAAGATAAGAACGCAGAGGGACCTCAAGAATCGTCCACGGGCTCCCTGCCGCTGCCACACACGCAGAACTGTTGATTTTGCTAGTAGACCCCGAGGATACAGCATGCGAGGGTTGCAGCGCAACATTGACCTGTCAATTAGGGAACGCCAAGGGATCTCGGAGATCGTGAAGAGGAATTGAAAACATCACGCTGAAGCGGGAAGAGTAATTGTGCGGATTTTCGTGAGTCCGCGGGTGGCCGCTTGTTGTGTTGCCCGGTCACAAACGGAAGGCACGAGTGAAGTGCGATCGCCCCGTGGAACATCGCTCCTTGTAAAGTGTGGCACCATCGAAATGCATCAAGAACGTGCGCCATATTGCCCAGATGACTCTGACGTCGAGAAATTCAGGGTTAGTCTTTAGTGTATGGATGCAGTTCCTGGTGCCGCGATGCCGTTAGCTGCAATGAGATCTTTGATTGACTGGCTGAATTGTCAAGCCTGAGTACGGCGACGCCGCCTGCGCCGCTACACAGCCCCCGGGCTAACGTTTTGTGTACACTCCTATGGTCTGGGATACAACTCGTAGTAGTTTCCGAGCGGGCCAATGCGCAGGCAGCGTGAATCCTTAAGCGAATGGATATCAAATAGTATGATAGCTTCCATGTGTAGGGGAACCTGGATATCAAAGAGTATGATAGCGTCCATGTGTAAGGGCTTATCATATTTGGAGGCCAGTACCCGAGACCTGTCATTCCTGACGGTAGGTAGACCTACAGGGTTATTCTCGCCTTGCATCTTGCATGGCTTCCTGAACGTTGTTGATTTTGAATTGCACACCCCTTCGGACTGTAGTAATACGCGAAGCTAGACAATCTGTCCTAGTTCGATTGCTCAAACACGTCCACAGCACGTTCCCAGAGTTGCTCGTGAACCACCGCTTCAGGCTAACTTGTTCCGATAGCATTGTGCCATTGTGCTAACACAAAGCGCCTGACTCTGTCCAGGTCGGGCCTTAGCGGCATGTCACCGTGGCGGCGCAAAGCATTCGACTCGGGGCGCTAAGGGTGGAATTTTTAACCGGTTTACGTCGACCGAGCGTCTTGATCCCTAGGTTATTGATGCTGTACGTCAAAAAGATCGTCGCTCACAGCAAACACGGCCAATTTTCGCCATGTCAGGCCATGAAGTGGGGCAGATAAAGGAATACTCGAAAGCAGGGGGCGAACACTACCAACTTGGCACGACTACCAAGTAGGAACACTAAAAAGAAATTGATCGCTGGGTAAGAGAGCATCGTTGGAGAAACAACCTGGTGTGTAGAGAGGATCGGAAGCCGAGGCCAAATATGAAGCTACTTCTTTTGTGCGGTATAGGCACTCGAATCGAGTCGGGCCACTCATTCCGTTGGCGAGCTGTATACAAAGGCACGATAAAATACAGGGACTAGGTCCGCGAGGTGATCGGGTTTAAAAATTGTAAATGCCAAGGGAGATTTACTGTTACAGCATCAAAAAAAGCCTGGGCACCGGTCAATTTTCGCCGCGAACGAAGGATGAGCGAATCTCCGTTTGTAGAAGGTAGCTGGTATCGCCAGCCATCGTACGAGGTGCAAGTCGCTATTGAATAACTGGTGAGCATGCTAACGGTCTCGGTGGAGAAGTTCAGTCTGGGGAGGATGGGAAGGATGGTTGTTGGAAGAAGGGGCGGAGAGGCCTGACTCGTATAGCTTAGCGGCTTAACTACCCGAGAAGCCATGCTTGATTTGCGTCCCGCCAAGAACCAAATGGAACGGATCCCACAACGAAAGCACCAGGCACTCACCAACCCTCAGGTATCGTTGCTCTCCCAGGAAACATGCGTCGATATATTAGCGCAGTCTCAACGAGCACGACACAGGATACGACCAGGAAGCAGCTTGCACGAAGTGCGTGCATAACCAGGACAAAGAACAAAGCTAGTAATCGTCCTGACGCGTCTTCGCCTCGGGTGCTGTCCCTAGAGCATCGTGAGGTGAAGATGAAACGTTATGCCGTTGACTGAGAAGCTGCTTCAAACCGCCGATTGCCCTGCAAGCAGGCGACAGACTCTGAACAACGCACTCCACACTATGTGCCTGCCCGATCCGGCAGGTCACTACCCCGCGCGAAACAGTTCGTTGAGCGACAGCGTCGAGGTACCGCGCCGCCTGGCAGTTGCTTCTTCTCATATCGCCTAATCTTATCATTCAGCCGGCGGGCGTTGGAGGCTCTTACGGCCATCGGACAAACGCTCACCTGTCAACACTGGTACTGCACAAAGGCGAACTGGAGAAGGGGCAACGAACGAGCGACGGAAGGCCGGAATAGATCAAAGCACGTTCCGCAAGTCGCGCCGTGTTGCCGCTTCCCCGCACCCCACAATGCTGCCAACTCAAGCGATACGGCAAAACACGACCGCAGCAGTCTCGCGTGACGCGTGGAGGAGCGCGGCCGAAGGGTACCCGTCTTATGTACCTCGCCTCGCAAACGGGCCACCTATCCTGCCTCAACACTCTCATTCCGTACTCTCACTTTGTTGCGGACGACGCGTTCGCTGTCTCGTGAAGCAGATGCGGGTCCTGGAGCTCTCCACCAGCTCGCTTACCTGCGTGACTTGTCCCCATCCAGCATGAATACCTCCAGCTGCATTGTCGGCTGCCGCGTCGCCGTTCGTCCGCGAGCGAGCGTGACGCTGCTATCACCAGCCATCGCCTTTCGCCCAACGCCGATTGTGCGCCAGGAATTCACCACTAGGCGTGTCCAGCCGCAGCAATCCGTCAGCCTAGCTCACCCTCGCCCGTTGTGCCTACTGAAGCATGTCCCCGAGTTTCCAACGACTACTGCAGTCGCCCGCTATGCATCCGTCGCCTCGGACCCGCATGACGAGGAGATACCTACCTCTCCGCCCTTCACTGCCGGCCCCTATGAGACCCTGACTATTGGCATTCCGAAGGAAAGCTATCCCGGGGAGCGTCGCGTAGCCATCACTCCTGCAAATGTAAAACTCCTGCTCAAGAAGGGCTTCTCACGCATTTTGATCGAGCGCGGAGCTGGTCTTGAGGCCCAATTCACCGATGAAGCGTACGAACAAGCTGGTGCCAAGACAGTCGACAAAAGAAGTGTTTTTTCAGACAGCGACATCCTCCTCAAAGTCCGCGCTCTAAGTATCGATGGCCCCGACAGCGAGGTCGACGCCATCCGCGAGGGTGCCACCGTTATCTCGTTCCTCTATCCCAATCAGACCCAGAATAGACCCATTGTCGATAGAATTGCTTCACGAAAGGCTACTGCATTTGCCATGGACATGGTTCCTCGCATTTCTAGAGCCCAGGTTTTTGATGCGTTGAGGTACGCGCTGTTGACCCTGGATAGCATGCGGTTGACGTGTGCTAACATGTCGAAAGTTCCATGGCAAACATTGCTGGTTACAAGGCCGTTTTGGAGGCCTCAAACCAATTCGGACGATTCCTTACTGGTCAGGTCACAGCTGCTGGGAAGGTGCGTCGGATGTTGCTACTAAGAAGGTATCGAATTAACAGCATCAGATCCCTCCTTGCAAAGTCCTTGTCATCGGAGCTGGTGTGGCAGGCTTGAGTGCCATCGCCACGGTAGGCAATTCTACCATCGACTTATCTCTTGCTGATGGACTTCATAGGCTCGCCGCATGGGTGCTATCGTTCGTGGGTTCGACACTCGCTCGGCAGCCCGCGAGCAGGTGCAATCTCTAGGCGCAGAATTCATCGAAGTCGAACTTGAAGAGGACGGGTCCGGGGCTGGCGGATATGCCAAAGAGATGTCCAAAGAGTTCATTGAAGCGGAGATGAAGCTCTTCTACGAGCAGTGCCGTGAGGTCGACATTGTCATTACCACCGCCCTGATCCCTGGAAAACCTGCACCGAAGCTCATCACGAAAGCTATGCTTGGCGCGATGAAGCCTGGATCTGTGGTGGTGGACCTTGCGGCGGAGGCTGGTGGTAACTGCGAAGCCACAGTTCCCGGACAACTAGCCAAGTACCAAGGCGTGACTGTCATCGGTCAGTGAACCCCGCGGAGATGCCAAAGCGATCGCTGACCTATTGTTCAGGCTATACTGACCTTCCATCACGATTACCCACACAATCATCTACACTGTATTCGAACAACATAACTAAGTTTTTGCTTTCTCTCGTGCCGGAGAGCAAGAAGGAGAAACATTACGATGTGGACCTAAAAGACGAGGTAACCAGAGGCGCCATTGTAACGTACGACGGCAAGATCCTGCCGCCTGCTCCACGACCTGCCCCACCGCCTCCATCAGCTGCAAAGGCACCGTCCCCAGCAGATCAAGCGGCGAACATCGTCGAGCTTACGCCTTGGCAAAGCCAGACCCGCGAGGTTGCTGCAGTCTCAGCCGCTATGACGACAGCTGTTGCACTTGGAAAATATACAGGGTAAGCGTGTTCCTGTCAAGACTTTGAACTCGTACTCACTGATGGCAGTCCTTTGTTCATGTCCAACGCTTTCACGTTTGCTTTGGCGAGTTTGATCGGCTATCGAGTGGTCTGGGGTGTCGCGCCAGCTCTGCACTCGCCACTCATGTCTGTGACCAACGCCATCTCCGGCATGGTAGGAATCGGCGGTTTGTTTGTCATGGGCGGCGGGCTCCTTCCTGAGACCATTCCTCAGACCCTTGGCGCATTATCTGTTCTTTTGGCTTTCGTCAACATCTCTGGCGGTTTTGTCATCACAAAGCGTATGCTCGACATGTTTAGACGCCCCACAGACCCAGCTGAATTTCCTTGGCTATACGCAATTCCAGCTCTGCTCTTCGGTGGAGGCTATGTTGCTGCTGCTAGCACAGGCATGTCAGGCCTCGTACAAGCCGGATATCTTGTCAGCAGCATCCTCTGCGTCTCCTCCCTGTCTGGACTCGCCTCACAAGTCACCGCTCGCCGCGGCAATCTTTTCGGTATCCTGGGTGTGTTCTCGGGACTTCTTGCTTCGCTACTTGCCGTTGGCTTTGCACCCGATGTGCTCACACAGTTCGCTGGTCTCGCCACTGTTGGAACGATTGCCGGCATGGTCATTGGTCGTAGGATCACTCCGACTTCCCTTCCGCAGACTGTTGCTGCACTGCACTCCGTTGTCGGCCTCGCCGCAGTTTTGACCAGCATCGGCAGTGTTCTCGGCCACTCTGGGCCAGAGATATCAACCTTGCACTTGGTCAGTGCCTATCTTGGTGTGCTTATCGGTGGAGTCACATTCACTGGAAGTATTGTAGCGTTTCTCAAGTTGGCTGCGAAGATGTCATCCAAGCCCCTGGTCCTACCTGGGCGCCATCTAATCAACACTTCTTTGCTAGGGGCGAATGTGGCCACCCTGGGTGCATTCCTGACGTATGCGCCAGGCGCGCCTCTGATCGGTGCAGCATGTTTGGTTGGAAATGCAGTGCTGAGTTTCATCAAAGGGTATACAACCACAGCAGCGATCGGTGGTGCCGACATGCCTGTTGTCATCACTGTTCTGAACGCTTATTCTGGATTTGCGCTGGTCGCCGAAGGCTTCATGCTGGACAATTCGCTTCTGACGACGGTCGGTGCCCTGATCGGAGTTTCAGGTTCTATTCTGTCGTACATTATGTGCGTTGCGATGAACCGATCTATTACTAACGTATTATTTGGAGGCATCGCAGCCACTCCACAAGCTCAGGCTAAGATCGAAGGTGAAGTCACCAAGACAACAGCCGAAGCTACAGCTGAAGCTCTTGCTGAAGCCGAGAACGTGATCATTGTTGGTATCTCTGCGCAGAACCGAAAGAACTGACCACTGATGTATTTCACAGGTCGTCGGTTACGGAATGGCAGTTGCCAAAGCCCAATATGCCATCTCTGACTTCGTCAAATACCTCCGCGCCAAAGGAGTGAATGTGCGTTTTGCGATCCATCCCGTGGCCGGACGTATGCCTGGCCAGTGCAATGTGCTGCTCGCGGAAGCATCTGTTCCCTACGACATCGTTCTCGAGATGGATGAGATCAACGACGACTTCGGCGAGACAGATGTCACGCTTGTCATCGGTGCGAACGATACCGTGAATCCAATTGCTCTTGAGCCAGGCTCTTCGATTGCCGGCATGCCCGTTCTGCACGCATGGAAGAGCAAGCAAGTTGTGATCATGAAGCGTGGCATGGCGAGCGGTTATGCGGATGTGCCAAACCCCATGTTTTACATGGAGAACACTAAGATGCTGTTCGGAGATGCGAATGACAGCTGCAATGGTAAGCACGTTTTTCGGATTCGTCGATGAACCAAGCTAATTAGGCCCAGCCATCAAGCGCGCGTTGGAGGAAAGGAAGTGAGAGGACATCTAGCAGGGTTTTCGTTATCTAACGAGCGACTTTCCTTTCCTTCCCCTTTCGTAGACATAGACGTCTCGGCATATTGAAGCGATGATTGTCATTGTTGCAATGCCCGGCGCTATACCCTTGTTCTTGGTGCTAATCCTGAAGCATCCCCACAGCTATTCCTTGTTCAGACTAGCCCGTACAGCCCGACGCCAGGGTACACAACCATGCGTGGTGACGTACATATGTCCCGCACGCGGTGGTTTCATGCAACAAGCTTGGAACCACGCGCGGAGCGCTTTCGTAGCTATTATAAAGTCGTTCGCGCCATTGATACCGTGCTGCAAACCACTTGTTGCTGACTCACATCGAGCTTGCGAATTTCACGCCAACCCCTATGTAAGTCCCACGTCTTCGGAGCTCCGCTTCCGCCGGATTCCCCACGCGCAACGCACATAGAGAAGAAACCACGATAGCTCCCCCAACACCTGACACCACCCACCACCCCCCGGTTCCAATCTCGCATCGTTCCGCACCATAGCTCCTCGGTTCTAATCACTCCACCAGTTCTTCAATATCACCCGCCTCAGTTCCATAGCCAGCACCCCGCCGCCCCGCAACCATGACTTCCCAAATCCCCATCATGTTCACGCTCCCACCGTCCAACCGCCACGAGCTCATCCTTCTTGACGTCGAGAAGCCAAGCCTCAAGGCGCTCAACAAGCAGCTCACAGCGACTATCGCGAGCAGCCCCAATTGCGAGGAGTGTACGTCGCGTCTCCTTCCCCGCTTCCCGTCCCATTGCATCTTCCTATTACCCTTGATCAAATAATCCCCGCATCACCTAGCTTTTCCGTTTCCTAATGTTGAGTTTGGATAGTCATGGCCAAGCACAAAGCCGCCGACACGCCCAAGGAGCAGATCCTCGAACTCAAGGTGCACTGGAGCTCTGCAGGGAGGGATCGCAAGGTTTGGCCTGAGTACACGATTGTCACGGAGGCGAATTTCCCGGCGATTTTGGAGGTGTTGAGTAAGGGGGATGCGAAGGATGTGCTGGAGGTTAAGGTTGGAAAGGAGGAGTAATGGCCGCGAGGGGAGTGTAGGTTGTTTTAATATATACTTAAATTTAGAGAGTTTCAGAAGCCTCGCTGGGGTGGACTCGTCTCCACCGCAGAGCCCGAACTTGGGACACCGTGATCACGTGATGCGGTCGATCACCTTGTTAAATCCCACGCCTTTCGCCCTCCGTTCCTGAACTTTACAGAGATATATTCTGGTCTGTCAGTCTCAAGACTCGATGTAGCTGTCTGAACCATCCCCTCCGCCTTTTCGTCCGGAGTCCCCTTCGGCGGTTCGTACGGCGTTCTGTACGGCGTTCTGTACGGCCTTTCACGCCCCTCTCTCCAATCACCCCCCATCGGCGTTTCGCACGGCCAATCATCCCTCCGCCTTTCAACCACAGATCCCCCTCACGCAGACAGATATAAATTTCCCTTCTACGAACACATTCTTCCCATCTCACCCCCATTCCACGCCAACATAATATCTTCGAAGCTGTTCACACAATGGTCTCCCTCCCACAGGTCCTCGCCTCCAACGCCCGCATCGCCACATCCCTCCCTCCGGATCTCGTCGCCGTCTTTGCGGGCGCGACGACCGGGATTGGACGCGCGACACTGAAGGCGTTCGTCAAGTACGCTGTTGCGCCGCGGATCTATCTTTTCGCGCGGAACACGGACGCCGCGGCGCAGGTGGTGGGAGAGTGCACTGAGATCAACCCGAAGTGCGAGATTGAGGTCGTCAAGGTGGATCTGAGCTCGATGCGGGAGACGGAGGCGGCGTGCGAAGTGGTGCTCGCGAAGGAGCAGCGCGTGAATCTGCTCGTGCTGAGCATGGGGGAAGTCCGCGCGGACAGGGCCTGTACGTACCCAACCGCCCTCCGCAGTGCGGGCTGCTGACGCTCAATCCGCAGTATCCAACGAAGGCCTCCACCTCGTTCTCGCAACCGTGTACTACGCCCGCATCCTCATCCCCGCCCTCCTCCTGCCCCTCCTCACTCACGCCAGCACCCACACCCCGCTCGCCCGCGTCCTGGACATCGCAGGCGGCACGAAGGAAGGCCCCGTGGACCTGGCCGACCTCGCAGCCCTGCGCCTCCCTATGTCCAAGATCCGCGGACAGCTGTCCAGCATGCATACACTTTCGCTAGAAAGTCTCGCGGAAAGGGCGCCGATGGTGAGCTTCGTGCACGATTTTCCCGGCGCGGTGGTGACGCCGTTGTTTGAGGGCGTCCCGGGGTGGGCGGGATGGATGATGTGGGTGCTGGGGATGTATCTGCGCCTGTTTCAGCGATGGGTTTGTGTGCCACTTGAGGAGTGTGCGGAAAGGCAGGTGTTTCTGGGGACGAGTGCGAAGTATGCGGCAGGCGAGGGGGATGCTGGTGGAGTGGAATTGGCTGACGGTGTTGAGAGGGGCCAGGCAACGGAGCAGGTGAGAAGTTGTGTGTATTCGGTTGATTGGGATGGGGAGGGGCCTGGGGAGAGGGTGTTGAAGTTATTGAAGGGGTTGAGGAGAGAAGGCGTCAGGGAGGTGGTTTGGGAGCATACGAATGGGGAGTTTGAGAGGATTAGGAGGGGGAAGGGATTTTAGGGACTGTCAAGGCGTTGTCCGAAGGTGCCTTTCAGGCTATTTTCTGCGTCGTAGCGAGCGCTAGTACGACATCACTGGCCTAAAAAGAGTCTGACAAGCTCCCATAATTGAAACCGAGAGTTACTCACGGCCTCAGCAAGACTGTCGTTGCCCATCCCGCGTTGTCAGACGCATAGTTGAACGCCTTCTCCCACTCCGCAAACCCGAACACGGAGATATCCTTCTTACCACCCTGCTTCCCCAGCTTCAATATCCCAGTCTCCACCATCTTGATCAGCGCAAGTACCTGTTCCCGATTATACATCCACGTCCCCCTCAACGTCAAGTTCTTCCGCATAACCTCCCGCACCGGTATCGGATAGTCGTCCTGGATCCCACCCATCAAACTCACCCTTCCCCCTCTCTTCAGCGCAAGAATACAGCTCTTGATGTGCGTCGACTTCGCAGCCTGCGGAGGAGAAATCTCAAATACCGCATCGATGAGTCGTCCACCAGCCGCAGCCTTCAGCGCAACTACGTCATCCTCAACGCTCTCCGTAATCTTCACCGTCCTGACCCTGGGAAACGTCGCTTCCAGCGCAGCCAACGCATCCTCATTCCGCCCCATGGCAACCACACTCGCACCTATCGCCACACTGCACGCCACCGCCGCCCCGCCAAACGCCCCCGTCGCAGGCGCCACAACGATCGTCTCGCCGGCCTGCAGGTTGATATCCCGCAGCCCCCCAAGACAAAGGTACCTCGTCAGCGTAGCAAGATCGCTGTCCGCATACCCCAATTCCGTCAGCCGCTCTTCATCCAACTTAAATACGCTCTCCAGCGGCGCAAGCGTGTACTCCGCACACGTCCCGTCGCGCCACACGCCGTCCATCAGCTTCTTACTCCCCGAGGTCCCCGCTGCGACCAAGCCGCGCAAGACCATGTCATCCGGGTCGTCCCGCGAGTGCACAAGCGCGTCAACCCAGACGAGCTGCCCGGGCTGGAGGGATGTCGAGTCCGGGCCGAGGGCGGCGACGCGCCCAATGCAACTTGACCCGGGTACGATGGGGACGGTATAGGGGTACCGACGGGTGCCATTGTAGACTTCGCGGGCGTAGGAGAGAACCGGGGTACAGAGGACGCGTATCAGGGCGCTACCGGGGGTAACGGGTGGGACGGGGATGCGTTTCAGGGTGAGGGGGCTGGCGTAGATTTCTTGTACGAGGGCGGACTGGGTTGATGGGACGGCCATGGCTAATTATGGTGGGCGCTGGTGCTGGGGAGGGGTGCGAGTGTGGTCGTGGTGGGGTTGATATGGTAAGATATGTAGTCGTGACAATGGCTGAGATAATCCACGGTGGTAACTCCGAGTGCGTATATCAAGGCTACCGATGTGTACCCGTGGTGTGATGGAGTTTGGACGGAGTTCTTATGGTGCCGGTCGGTGAGTGCTATCTCCGATTAAGACCGGCTGCGTCAGTGAATGCTACGAGGTGACACTGTCATGCCTGACCTCGGGATTGGCCTGCCCTATATCACAAAAGCAATTTTTTTCTTCCTTCTCATCAAGCTACAATGCATACTTCTCTTTGATTGTCTCTCCTTCAATGGCCAACGCTAATCAGATTTCCGGAACACGAATCTCACGCCGCAAATGAGACACGGTATCCTTTATGCTTCCTCGCTAGCATCCGGATCTGCAAGCCATCCTCCCCAAAGCTCTCATACAGGTCGTGGATGAAGTCGCTCAGATTATGCAACAGGAACTGGAAAGACTTGAGCCGCATCAGCTTGATGAAGCAAGTCTTGATCATCTCCAACACTTCCTTGCGCAACGCGTCTTGGCGGCTAACGGTGTTCCTCCACAGAAGCACAACCGAATCTAGAAAGCGGCTCACCTCAGCGGCAGCGCAAAAGTCCCAAGGAAGATATTCAACTAAAGGCACACCTTGATTGTTTGACATGTCTTCTTAGGGGGTTTGCAACTTACTCAGTGAGTTGTCGTAGTTGTTGGGGTCGTCGAACAGCCAGTTGAGCGCGAGAGTATCGGCTGCGATCCTGAGATAGTGTTTGGCAGAGTATTCGGCAAGCGCGGAGAGTTCGTACTTGTCTGCGACGATGTAGCCGTGCACGTGGAGGTCGAGAATGGTGATACGCGGGTACTGCTTGCATAGGAGTGGGTACATGTAGTAGCAGCCGTTCTTGAGGAAGTCTAGCATGGCATAGATAGCCCAGGGAAAGTCGTGGCGGAGACGGACGATATGGGTGCTGGCTTCCTAGAAGTAGATCGCTTGGTGAGCGGTGATGAATCTCTGTGTAGAGCCAAGAAGAATGAACGCTAAGTAGAACGTACCTTGAAAGGCCCGTTGAGGGCATTCGCGAAGTACCGTGATGTGCTGCAGAGGAATTCTCGGTTCATCATCTCGACGGACTGTCCGTTGTCGTAGACGATGGCGACGTTATAAGCACCAATGTTCTTGACCGCACTATATGCGTTAGTGCAGAAACTCACATCCTGGGGTAACTGAACGCACGTTCGGACGCGGTGAACGGCTTGAGCCCTGTTCTGCGGGAACCCGTAGCTGTGATTGACTTGAGGCCTGTTCCGGGCCTCATTCCTCATTTTCAAGCCCTCATCCAGTCCTACATGGAGGGTGTCAAGGAGGGCGGCGAACTCGTCTGGGGTCATGGTATCCTGGGAGTACTTGAAGATGTTTTTGCCTGCAAGATATCTATTAGATGGTGACTCCTCGTTCACAGTCTATTTCCTCGCTAAAATCCGCACGCAGAGCGCAGAGCAAAAACAGGAAGACGACGGGCGTAGGTGTTGACAGAAAGAGTTGGACCCGCAAAGACGGCTTCATATGGTTGCTCACGTCTTGACGCGTCTGAAATGCGTCTCACCTCTACAGGAGCTTGCAGAGGCCTTGACGCGTGAGTGATGCGCCTAGTGAACGGTGAACGTGAAAGCCCCGCGAGTTCGGCCAGGCTGAAGCGCGCATGGTGAGAACCCAATTAGCCGTGTAGGTCAGATGTGAGCTGACTCCCGAAGGGATCTCTGCCATACTCGCGGAGACTGTGTTTATGGGAGAGGGGAATGCTGCATGATGAGGATTTATAGTGGGTTGTGACGTCTGAGTGGGAAGGAACGACCCGTGGGCCATCGACACACAGCACTTCCTTTGGCATAAAGCAAGACCGCAAAACCCATCGGGTAGGTACTCACCATGCATAGTGGATGGCGAACTTGCCATGATTGATAACCTCAGCGAAGTGATGCACACTAAGATATTTGGTCCTGAAAGATACGCGCATCCGAGTATGGCACGGGCTGGAGAAATGCAGTTGCATATTCAGGTTGGCGACGAAGGATTCGGGGGCGGTCCACATTGGTGGTACACCATATGAAATTGTAAACGACGATTCGCAGGTTGGATTGCAAACGCCAGTCATCAGGCTCGGGGTCAACGCAACCTCTGTGAGATTTCGAGCACTGAGGCACAAGATTGGGGTATTTACCACATGCGGCATAGGTCATCAACGCCTCTTCCCACCTGCTTGTAGGGAATACGTTAGTGCAATTGTCCGACTGTGGCCTTGCAGTCGGCGATGGGGAGGGGAAACATCTCAAATGAGATCAAGCGGATCGTTGGAACAGTACGTTTGCTTGGTAGCACAGCCAGAAGCTCACTACCACTGTCAGCTACGCCTGGGCTTGCCTCCCGACCGAAACGACTGTACTTCTAATATTCAATGCTTGGAACACCCTTTGGGCAAGTACGCCATGCTCGACCAATGTTCTACAACCGGCGCTGGGCTCATTGACAGGCACGCTCACTGGGTCCCTCGCCGTTTGTCCTAGATCTAAACTCGAGCATTGGACCTGCTGCAGCTTCTCTATCCCTAGCTCTTGTGAGTGGCCACTGCCCGATAATGACAATGCCGCCCCGGAATTGACAGCAGCTGTACCCAATGAATCCGCGTGACGCTTCGTGTGCTTCGAGTCTGCCGGAGTAGCTCCGCACGATGCGCCGGGGAACGCCGCCAACTCAAAAGCCTCGCAGCATCTGTGCCTTTTGCTCTCGGCGGCCGCATAACGTGGTGGAGAAGCTGCTGGCGCGTCGAGCTGTCACCGCGGCCATGATTCGCGGAGCACTGAACCCCTCACGGCGAGCAGCGCCAACCGCTTACGTCGTGCGCCAAGGCACGCATCATCGCTGCTGCTGCTGCGAGACCTCCCTGGCCCACCTCGGTCTCTGCCTCCCAACTTCGCGTCGACCGACGTCCAAACGCCCCAAGACACGCAACAACTGGCTCCAGTCGTGCAATTCGGTGCTTGCAGCCGGCCTCCGTCATCTCTGGAACTCCCCGCATCTTTTTCGGTCGGTTTTCAAAATGCCGGCCTTAGCCGCGCTAGGCCTGATCGGGGTGAGCCGCCCATTAGAGGGAGAATGCTGGGTGGGAGTGGCACCCTCACGCGTCGGAGCGCCCTCGAGGTGATTTTGCGCTTCCAACTCTCCAGCTCCTCACCCTCGCACCCCATTGTCCTCGCCCAGCTCGCCGAGCACATCGCCGCCGCCGTAACATGACCCGTCAAGCCTCCGGCGCTCTCGTCCACTTTGCACTTCATCTCGTCGTGCTCTGAAGCTACTCATCCTGCTTTCTCCGCACTTGGAGCGCTTCGTCGTTCACCGTCACCCACGCCCTCCACTCGCGGGATAGCATACATCGCGCCTGGGATCCGCCACTGGCATTGATACGAACACTCGGCGACGGTCCTGTTACTCGTCGCTACCTTGATCGAACCGTTCCTCCCACCGCCCGCACCGACCGACCAGCTCGTATCGCGCCAGCGCCAGCGACGCGGTCGGGTCTGCACAGCACATCCTACATCTTTTCACACCCCAATCTTGTTGGCAGACTCAAATCGCAGTTACCATGCCAATGTCACCGCGCCGATCATCGCGGGCTCGTACCACGCAGCCCCCGCCCGGCGTCACTGCAGCGCACAGCACCTCATCCGCGTCGACTTCGTCGTCTCGAGCTGACAGAGCGACGAGAACTAATCACAAGCAGTCGTCGCCGCAGAAGTCGTTGACCCCACACTCCCTCTCGTCAGAGGAGCCCGACGAACCCGAGCCGCCTCGCGACTTGCAGGCAGAGCCGCCTCTCACACGGCGCCGAACGCGCGAACATGACAACGACGGCGACGAGTTTTCGAAGCTCGACGATGAGCTGGACGACGAGATCACTGAGGAGGATGAGGTCACACGTTGCGTGTGTGGCCAGCAGGAGTATCCGGGTCCACCCTCGGATGCCGGCAAGTTCAGAGACGGCCAATTGTCCTCTGTGACAGATTCTGACCTACAAGGCGATGATGCAGGCGGTTTGTTCATTCAATGCGATATCTGCAAAGTCTGGCAGCACGGCGGCTGCGTCGGCATCATGGAAGAGGCTGCCAGCCCCGACGAGTACTTCTGCGAAGAATGCCGGAAAGATCTCCACAAGGTTCTAACAAGTCCCAAAGGGTACGCATAATCCTTCGTGTACTTGCATTGCCCCGCGAGCACCTCGAAGCGCAAGAAGAGAGACTGACGTCAACACAACAGACAAAAGTACTCCCGATACCTGCCCGTGTGGGACGCGCAGCACGGCAAGAATGCCCGCAAGGGCTCTCTTTCGAAAGAATCCGACAAACCGGCGAAAGACAAGGATCGCTTGAGCAGAGCAAGCGTGGAGTCCTTCAGCAAGCGTCGTTCGACAATGAACAGCAGAGCGGCTTACGACGAAGATGAAGTCCTCCGAAAGGTTCTGGAGGAAAGCAAACACGAAGGCGCAGTGCCACCATCGGAGAATGGCAATCGCAAGAAGCGCAGTCGGGACGATAGCGAAGAGTGAGCCAACCCTGCTGCACAAATAGGGGGAAGACGGTCATTGACAAGCTTTGCTAGGGTAAAGTCCGAGGTCAAACGGCAGCGGACCGGTTCCAGATCCCCCAGCGGCTCTCCCGTACTTGAGTCCGATGATGAAAGCTCCAAGAACGCAGCGCCGAAACAGAAACCCCGTGGAGCTGCTGCACGAAGCCAACGGGAGAAGGAACAACGAGATAAAGAGCGCGAACGCGAGCGGGTCGAAGCGGCTAATCGACGGAAAGGCCGCGCGGAAAGAAGAAAGGGTGATGGTAGGGACACTAACCTTGGTAAGGAGACCTGGGCTGACATGGAAGCAGAATCAGAACCACCAGAAGTACCACCTATCGAGGAATCAGCTATGCCAACGCCCGCGGAAGAGCCAGCTCCCGCGGAAGCGCCTGCCGTCGAACCAAAGTCCGCCCCCGCACCAAGAAAAGGCGGACGGCCTCCACAGAAGCGACGACTTGGTCGCAATCAATATACAAGGGATGTGCCCACACCTGCAACCAATGGCACATCGCCGGCAGCGGATGATGCACCCAACTCACCGCAAGTGAATGGGACTGGCAATGGGCACGATAGTAGCGACGGTGTCGCTAGTGGGAAGACAGGCAAGCCAAAGAACTGGCGGTTGCAGAAATTATCTTGGCATGACATTCGACGGCCGGCGGGCGCAATGCAGAATTACATCTCTCAGCGCCAAGTCGAAATGGCGGGAGAGAAGCCTGTGCCACCTGTACAGGAGCCTGCTGCAGTCGCGAACGGCGTTCAACATCACGACGAGACGAATGGAAACGGCGTCGAAGAGGATCTGGACAAGTTCACAACGCTCAGCACGCTTCAAATGATGGACCACCTCAGCCGCGATCTCACACATTGGCAACAGATGATCACCGAGTCCAACGACAAATGACCGGCTTCGGCAAAGGTACTTTTTCGATGGCATTAGTACATTTCTCAGTTTTTGTTTCCCGGTATTCCGCACCATGGTGTAAACCGGAATACCACAGCGCACCGCGCATTGCCATATCATGGCCACATAAGCATTAGCGCTTTCCACACTAGACTTCTTTTCATCGGCGTTCACAGGTATCCTGGCAAGGATCACAGTTATCATTCGAGGTCTGCGTTACATACCCTCCACTTCGTGCTTTCGAGCTGCATAAATCGAACTTTAGGTCGGCGTTTCTATTTAATCATGTCATTTTGAGCTGGGAAGTATAGGCTGTCTCAACCATTGGAATGGGCTTCGTAGCGCGGATGAGCGCCGCCTACAAAATAGAATCAAACCTTTCACGCCGTCACACACAAACTGTGGCCCTGTCAAACACTGTTCTCACCCGCCTGCAGCTGCTCCACGGGCAGCGTTCCTCGACCTTCATCTTTTGTACTTCCATGCTCCTATACGCCCAGATCGTACCGTTGAGACTGATTCCGATGGAAAGATGGCCGGACACTTACATGGGTTCAGCAGGACACGGCTTGTCATTAACTCATAGGAGATCCTCTTAGGGCGAACCGAATGCCATCGATCGTACCACGGCTGTCCATACACCCAATGAGGAAGATGACACATCATCTTTGATACGGGAAATAAGAACGTTGAGACTGTTCAGTGGGCGTGTACTGATAACCTCCTGGCGTGGAAGCTCCATGTTCTTCAGGCAAGTGAACGCCGTATGCGGTTGTGGGAACGCTGTATGGGGTTGAAGGGGTGCTGTATTGTCCAGAAGAAGCCCGATACTGAGTTGTGGATTGAGGGCCTCGTGATGAATATTGTGGGCCATAAGGGAGCGACTGGGCGTTTCGCACGGGCACTGAGTGCCCGCTGCTCCGATAATCTACTTCAAAATGAGCCAAAAGGACGAGAATTCGCATAGCCGATTGCAGCTGAGTGCTTACCAGATGGCGAGAATGTGCAACCCGCAATGCCTTTACCTTCGTCATTCCTCCCGTTGACTGGGAATCGGGGTGGAGCTTGTGGAGCATGGCCCGACGAAGGCAGAATGGAGCCGCTGGTGCTGGCTCGTGGTTCTGTGTCGTAGTATGAGTAGCTGGACATCAGCGGGGGCCTTGATTGTGGATATGTGCCGTTGTCTCCGCTGCCTTCATCAAGCCTTGTTTCTACAGGCTCGTTGGCTCTGGCTGTTCGACCCCACTCATATCTCACGACTCTACCTGTATGTTATTAGCGTATTCCAAAAGGGCAACTCGCTTTCTCACCATCTGGCCCGTACACCGCTTTGTAATGATCTCCATGCTCAGGGCTCCAAATCCATCCACTGTCAGGCATATTGAATTGAGACTACCCGTGTACCGCCTAAGCTATATGTGAACCAACGCAGACAGTCGTGCAGATGATGGCTTTCCAACCTTTCGAGGCGGGTCTCCAATGTCAGTATGTAAGGTGTGACTGCTTATCATGATCGTGAAGGACGCTGTCACGCGACGCCACATCTGCACGTGTGGTCGTACAAGAGGTATTTACCCCGCCAGGAGCTGCGAGTTCAGCCTTCTAGACCTTTGAGATATTCATCTTTCTCTGAATACTTTTTGACTATTCTACTGCAAATTTGACGGCCACTGTGACCCTTATGGCTGTACTACTCCAGTCGAGATGCCAACAATGCTCTCACTTGTGTATCACGGTCGAATCCCAACTTACTCTTCGGTACATTGAGGTGGACAAGGCTGAACGCAATATCCAGTGTGAGAATAGATAGGCTATCAGCCTCGGTTAACGTTGCCTTCTTGAACCTAACAGTTCACAAGGAGAGTCCATCATTGGCGCATGGTCTGGCCATTACGGACCCCCATTAAGGGGCTGTGGGACAGACCTTGTGGTCTTCAGTCAAGTAATCCAATACGCATTTCAGCCTGCTCTCTGGTGCTCTTTGAGGGCTTCTTCCTTCACATTACCGTGTCTCTTCCTACTTGAAACTTGCGTAAAAAGGAAACGTAGTCATGTCGGACCCACTTTCCATCGCTGCCAGCATCCTGGCATTGATGGCGGCGGCCGGAAAGACTGCGCAAGGACTGCAGAAAGCTTGGGAGCTGCGACACATAGAGGACGATTTCCTGGGGCTTAATAACGAGGTAGGACTTAGTCGGGTCCTCGTCCACGTCTCTGACTGATACAATGGCTCTCAAACAGATAACAGGGTTAAAAACACAGCTCCAGGCCGTGAGCCTTTCCATGGAGCATTTTTCCCACCAGGAACATTCTAGACTACATGACAGCTATCAGAGTGTCAACGCTACATGCTCTGACGCGCGGAATATCCTCAAAGACATCGACAAGCTCCTCGAGCACATGGTGCGCAAAAAGGACCAAGCAAGCCAGAAGCAACCCGTGAACTCCATCAGGCCGTCCAAGACCAGATGGCTCCGTCGAAGATCAGCGATATTGCGCTTAACCTCCCAACTGAGACCGATCGTGGCCTCAATCACTGCAACAGCAAACGTGTTACGGGATATAGCGTCAGATCGCAGACTATACTCGATCGAAACAACGCTCAACATCGAGAAAGTAGAACTGATAAGTGGAGGTCGTGTTACCATCAAGCAAATCCCATTTGCCCCCGAGGTGCAGCTTGACCGCTGGCTACATCACGCTAGTGAACTTGAGGATACATCAGTGAAGCGCACTGCATCTACGCCCAAAAGCCCGCCAAGTATTTCCCGGACTTCCTCCATGGATTCATTCCATTCTGCTCTGTCCAGTAGCTCTGAGTCTTCTTCGAGTATTATCGCCATTTCTGGCTCTGTGACATCAAGGGCTTGCGAGCCATTCTGTCCTTGCCAATGTCACATCCATGACACCAGGATCCGGACGCCGACCTGGTTACGACATATAATTGGCTCTATGACTATTCATGGGAATAGCTCGGTGTACTTGGCCCGGCGACCCTGCAATAAAGCTTGTCAGCGCAGCGGACCTGCTTCGCTTCAAGTGGCGTACTTGGCCCCAGCATGGCTGTATTTAAGGTCCCTTAATGTATACTTCAAGGCGCAAAGCCTTTACTCCAACAGATTCGTCCTGGAAACACCTCTCGTCATTCCCAGCACTGCGCCTGTATGGAGCATCATTGAGCTCGGGAAACTCTCCAAGCTACAGGAAATGCTACACCAGAGGCTTGTATCGCTTTACGATATTACAGCATCTGGCAGATCACTATTGAATGTAATCATCTTCAAGTTTACCACGAACCCACGGTATGTCAGTTCTTAGCTGATAAGTTTTCATTATAGTATGCTGCCATGAAAGGTCAGATCGATATCTATGAGTTCCTTGTAAAGTCAGGTGCCGACCCATACTTCAGAGATTGCTCAGGAATGTAAGTCCTAAGTTCAAATGTTGTATTCCTTACCTTGACACCGGCAACCCTAAAATATTCCTATTTCTACGATCTCGCCGTGGTGATTTGATCTCATGCTGACTGACGGAATTGCGAAGAGCTAGCAACCAGCCAGGCGTCGACCGGGGACTCACTGGCACCGGTCTAGACCGTAATGTCAGCAAATCCGCTCGGGCTTCTTCTTACGATGCGTTCATAAACTCTGATAGCCTTGAACAGCAGGAGTTTGACTTTCTGCACCTTGTCGTGTTGGGCTTTAGAAATCTAGACCTCAGCCTCGTGCTGCAACAGTACCTGGGTCCTCGCAGCGATGTCAACGTTGAGGATGTAAACGGCCGTACACCACTTATCTGGGCCGCTTGGCGCGGCGACATTGAGAGTGTGAACCTACTTCTCTCTTCGCATGCTGACTATGATCTGGTTGACAACGAAGGATACACCGCCATAGCTAGAGCGGCGAAGGCAGGGCATCTGGACTGTGTTAGAGCATTGATAGGGGCTGGGGCCTCAATATACGAAGCAAACGACGACGGGTATCAACCAATTCACCACGCAAGCGCAAACAAGGCGAACGGCCTTCCTATAGTGGACGAGCTGTTGGCCCACGGAGCGAGCGTCAACGCCCAATGCTGCCGCGGAACTCCATTGCATCTTGCAGCCAATCGAGGCTCTCTCGCCACCTTCAAGCGTCTTCTCAAAGCCGAAAGCGACGTTGATACCCAGGACTCCGACGGTGATACGCCTGCAATGGTCGCATTGCTGTGTTGGAATGAGCCAGCGTTCCTGAGTCTCATGTATGCAGGAGCAAGATTAAACCTTGTCCGAAAGAGCGGGCAGAATATATTGCATCTCGTAACATGGGCCGGTTCATCCTCGCTGTGGAACACGATCGCTGAGCGTGCGCAAGATGAAAAACTATCCGGTGTAGATGCTCGAGCGCTGCACAGAGGGCATACGCTGCAACACTGCTTCGAGAGTTGTCGAGAACTTTGGTTTGTGGGACCACGGGAACCGAGGCAAATTGAGGAACAGCGATTCAACCACTTGCTGGATGCTTTCCGCTGATCAAATGACAAGAGCCACATGTATCAAAAACGATCAGGTTCAGTGCTCCTTGACTTAACACGACTTGGCATGACTTGGCTGCGAAGCGGTGCGGAAAGATCACCATGCTGAGGTGTGTTTTCATGGAGACCCTCGAGGTAGATCTGGCGACAAGGAAAGAAAGTTTTGTTACCATTTGTTACCACGGTATTGTAGCCGAAAGCCAAGGCAGGGAAGACTGAATGTAAGAGCATGTTGAAAGTGAGTGGTGGCAAACCCTTCTCAGAATTCTCTCGATGCGCTTTGGGCTCGTTAGCTCACGTCGCTTCGCCCTGTACTGTCTCGCGCCTCGGTCATAGTGCTCAATCAGGATGTTTGTGCCCAAACCTCATGTTGGCCAAGAGTTGTCTCAACCAGATATGCTATGGTGCCACGATCCCGGGACCTACGTTGCGCAACCGCACCGATACCGAAATTTTGGGCGCTTCGGTCATTGGTGGAAGATCGGTGGAAATTCCTCCAAGCCGCTAGCCACGTGCTTTTAGCGAGCACTCCCCCTGACGCCCGTCTTTATCTCCGCCATCTTCGAGCACTCCGCCCCCGCTTGATACCAAATTTATCGACCACGCTACACTACATACGTGCTCTTATCGAGAGATGCGAGCTAGGCTCTTCCGATTTCAGATACGATTGGGTGCCCTCAGGCCTTGCTAACTACTTAGGGACCGCCACTGAGCCCTCTTGTCAGGGGCGAGTACTCGTACAACGACTTCAGCGGCCGCGGTAGAGAAAATTTGCCCGAAGGCGAGACCCAGCCCGCCAGCTTCAGCCAGCCTCAGCCATCTTCGTATGGCGTGTGACTTTATCCCGCGTTTACGCTACTGAATTTCCTGACGCGTCCTGGCACAATCTGAATAGACCTCTGGCATTGAGTTGGAAGTACTGTTGGAGTGATCATGATCACTTCTAAAGATGCGATCGCGCTCGCTCATACATAGAGTAGAATTTGCGTCTAGTGCCCTTCTACATGACTTTCGTATCCTTAGTATCACACTTCGCACATTCAGGAGCCTTGTGGTATCCTAGGCCTCGGCCGAGCGATGCCTCCTGGCAAGTCCCCGAAGCTAGTCACTCCCGTGCATGCTAGCCCTACAGTCTATCCAGCCTCGCTTACAGACCAGTGGCCCTCGTGGGAATGTGACAGCGCCTCGTTTATCTTCGTGTCTGCAGACAGCTCGACCCACATACACTAACCGTCGCCCTGGGAAAGCTTGTCTAGATCTTCACATCGATGTGAATCCAGGCCCCTGACCTCAGCCGAGTCAGTCGTATGGTGATCTGGCGGCCGGCATCGCCGTCATGGATCCGTGGGAGTAGACATTGGCTCGCTTGCTGAAGTGAAGTATTATAATACCCTGTTTGACCCCAACCATCGATGGAGTTTCTGTATCCTGCCAGACTTGAACGGCACCGCGCGCGATCAAGGCAGTCTGATCAGAGGTGGCCATGATGCTTTCATCGCTTGTGCTACTGCTCTTCGCAGGCCAAGGCATCGCAGATCAAGGTGCGACCACCTCAGCCATCTCCTCATCGTCCGCCAGCGCTTGTTGTGAGGGAGCCCATCTTCCTTTCGGTCAGACTGTATCAACGCAGGAATACTGAAACTGACATTGATGCCAATGTAGCTGCGAGTTCGGGCTCAGTCTCCGACTCTGCGCTTGCGAACAGTGCCACGTCATCCAGCATTGTAGTCACCACAAGCGCCGCGTCCTCAACGACCGTATCCTCGACGACTTCGCCATCTCCTAGTACGTTAGCCCAGTCCCATGTGCTTGAAGTCTATCAGACTAACAACGTATAGCTTCGCTGTCCGCTGTGACGGTGGCAACTGATGGAAGTGGCCAGTTCACTGCTGTTGGCTCGGCTATTGCTTACGCCCAAAGTTCGGGGATCCCCACTGTGACGATAAAAGCTGGTACATACACTGAGAGCGTTGTGATCGGGGCTACTGCTGCAGTTACCATTGTGGGAGAAACAAACAATGCCGATGCCTACTCTTCGAACTTGGTCACCATCTCCAACAGCGCAGCGCCGGTGACCTACAATACTATTACCAATGGTCTTGCCTGGAAGAGCATCAACTTCTTCAACACGAATTCTTCCTCCAAGGCAGGTTTCATGTATCTGCGCGGATCCAAGAGTGCATTCTACTCCTGTCAGTTTGTTGCCGCTGGACCTGCAGGCTTCAGCACGAACTACGCATCGGCCCTCATTGCAAACTCATATATTGAGGCTCAGGACAAGATCGTTTCTTCGTACCCAACCCTGTACATCTATGGCTCGACGATCACTGCGACGAATCCAAATGCTCTGCTCACGTACAACCAAGGTGCCATTTCGGGAAACAAACAGTATAACTCGACGGTCGTTTTCGACTCTTGCTCGATCATCCAGAAGGCTGGAACATCGAACAACTACGTCTACTTGGCTGCCGCCAACGCTGTGGGATCGGTCGTGGTATATCGCAACACGGCCATGGCCGGTTTGATTGCTCCGAGCGGTGTTTACGTTGACGCGAAAACTCAGGCCTCTGGAAACGCATACTTCGAGTATCTCACTACGGGCGCAGGAAGCTACCTGAACAATAAGGCGGCTCGTACCCCATATGCGGCCAACTATTTCTATGTCACGGATGCCTCGCAGCTCGCGCCTTACAGCATCGCGAACCTTTTCGCCAACGCATACCCTACCGTATCAGCCACTAGCCTCTCTTGGATCGATTCCAGTGTCTTGAGCACCATTCAAGCTGGCGTCGTAAGACAGGAAAGCCAATCCGGTGGATCCAGTGCTGCTTCAAGCTCCGTCTCATCAGCCAGTTCATCGACCGTCTCCAGCTCTAGCTTGACCTTAGGATCGACGTCCAGTCCCAGCGCCAGCTCAGATGCGATTTCAACTGCGAGCTCTGGGTCAGCCTCAGCAACAACCTCAATGACTTCGGCTTCATCGAGCTCCTCTATGGCCTCATCTTCGCCGAGCTCATCTGATGTCTCGGGATCATCCGGCTCCTCTGCTAGTGCGACTTCATCAAGTTCCTCCTCTGGGTCTAGCAGCACTACGTTGCCAACCTCTTCTTCTTCAACAAGTGCCGTAACATCAAGCGGTTCTGCGAGCGCCACTGGTTGTACTTTGCCATCTTCGGTACCTGCGTCTGCTCGTACAGTGGGTCCCGCCGGATCTTGTGCCAACTATACGAGTATCTCCGCTGCCGTCGCAGACTTGTCTATCTCTAGTACCGAAACCATATATATTTTAGCCGGTGTCTACAATGAGCAGGTGGTGTTTCCAAACGCCAGGACTGGGGCAACAACCTTCCGCGGAGAGGCTGCCGACCCTCTATCTCGATCAGGGAACACTGTTACCATTCGAACGAATGGAGCCGTTCTTTCGAGTGCGGGAGGCGCTGCGGGAACTGGAGCTTTCCAGTCCACTCAGTATTATACGAACCAAATCACCTTCTATAATATCAACTTTGAGAACACGTACACACCGACGACCAACTATCAAGCGGTTGCTGTATCAATCAAGACCAAGAAGGCGGCTTTCTATTCTTGCAACATCAAGTCGTCCCAGGGAACCCTGCTACTGAACAATGGAGCATTCTATTTCTCCAACTGCCACATCGAGGGGACCACAGACTTCGTGTGGGGTCAAGGAGGCGCTTACATCTACAACTCTGAGATCGTTGAGACAAGCACCATTACCGGTCAGACTATTGCGGCTCAAAACTACCAGACGACGAACGGGCCCTCAATCATTGTTTTTGATCACTGCGCCGTAGTCCCTGGCAGCTCGTCGGTGCCAACAGGCGCCACTTACCTTGGGAGAGATTACTCGGCCGCGGCCCACGTAGCTTACACCAACTCCTATCTAGATAACCATATCATCCCTGCTGGATGGAAGATTTCGTCGTCGGCCTCGTCACCTGTTTTCGTGGAGTCAAACAACACAGGTCCTGGATCATCCACCGCTTCCCGTATTTCCGGCGCGCAGATCCTTTCAGACGCCTCGGCTTACTCCGCTGCTAGTGTTCTTGGAGACGTCAGCTGGCTCGATACCAATGCCATCCCTCCGTTCTCCGGTTTCCCAGATTCGGTCTATTCGAGCACGGTCACAAGTGCCTCAAGCTCATCCATGATTGCTACCAGCACCTCGGCTTCGTCATCGGCGTCTACAGCTACAAGCTCGTTGTCCGCAGGGTACACTGTTGCGCCTACTCCTACGGGCGACCAATATGGCTCTGTCATGTCCGCTGTAGCTGCCCTTCCCAATGACGGAAAGGCATACACGATCTCCATTCTCGCTGGAACTTATACTGAACAGCTCTGGGTTAACCGCACCGGGAAGGTCACACTGCGAGGTGAAACCAGCAACCCTAACGACTACTCCCAAAACGTGGTCAAGATCCAGTTCAACTATGGGGTCTCCACAAGTGCCAACCAGAACGAGCTGACCCCTGTCATCAACGCCAAGAAGACGGATACATCTGGCTTGGCTTTGTACAACATCAACTTCGTAAACACCTTTCCTCAGACCTCGAACTCGGCAGCTCTAGCGGCTGACTTCTATGGGAGCAATATGGCTGCTTACGGATGCTCATTCATCGGCTTCCAGGACACTCTACTAGCCAACCAGGGTGTTCAGCTGTTCAGCAACTGTTATATTGAGGGTAGTGTCGACTTCATCTGGGGTTACTCAAAGGCCTACTTCCACCAGTGTTACATTGCATCTAATACTGCTGGTGCCTACATTACAGCTCACAACCGTCCCACTGCGACCTGGGCCGGTGGTTACATCTTTGACTCGTGCTACGTCACGTACACTGGATCCTATGGTACCTCCACCGGAACAACGTACCTGGGACGGCCTTGGTCTCAATACGCAGTTGTGGTGTACATGAACTCGTATCTCGATCGCCACATTGCCGCGGAAGGATGGCATGTCTGGGCTACTAACGATGCTCGAACTTCGAATGTTATGTTCGGCGAGTACAACAACAGCGGCCCAGGAAACTGGACTACTTCTCGCGTCTCATTCGCAACGAATCTTTCCGCTTCAGCAGCGGCTGCATACGAGCTGAGCTCTTTTCTGGGCACGACCGACTGGATCGACATGACAGCTTACAACTACAAGCCAAGTTTCACCTTAGGAGTGTCTCCGACCCAGACAAGCAGCCCAACCACGTCTCCGTCTGCATCGTCGGAAGCGGCTACGTGGGCACATCCTACCAGTGGCACTGTTCCTCCGGCTGGAGCCGTCCTTGTTTCATCGGATGGGTCAAAAGCAGGTTCCTACCGCAATTTAACGTCTGCGTTAGCCAGTCTTCCGAGCGACTCAAGCACGCAAGTTATTTTCATTTACCCTGGAACCTATCAGGAACAGGTACCAAGTGTCTCTAGAGCTGGACCAGTGATGATCATCGGTTACACCGAAGGCAACCCGGGTCAGACATACTCAAGCAACACTGTCACGATCACTAATGCCCGTGGTCTTTCTGTGAGCCCACCACCGGCCGGACACAGCGATGCCGAGACTGCGACGTTCGCTACCGCTAGCACCAAAATCAGCATGTACAATGTGAATCTTGTCAACTCCGATAACCTGGACGGTGCCATACCCAGCTATGTCACTCTTGCAGGAAGTATCTATGGCAACCACATCGGCTTCTACGGATGCTCGTTCATCGGCTGGCAAGACACCTTACTCACGGGCGCCACCAATGGCTACCAGTACTACGAGTCTTCATACATAGAAGGGGCCATCGACTTCATCTGGGGCTACTCGAAGGCTTATTTCAAGGGCTGCACCATTGGTGCTAAGCGTGCGAAGTCAGCTATCACAGCCCAGAATCGTGCGTCATCCTCAGCTATTGGTGGCTACATTTTCGACCAGTGTCTCTTCAAGGCAGCAGACAGTGCGACAGTGGATTTGACTGGGAGTGTCTACCTTGGAAGACCGTACAATAGCTACGCCTTAGTCGTCGTGAAGAACAGCTACCTGACCGACATCATCAACCCATCTGGGTGGAAGATTTGGGGAACCACTAGCCCGAACACCGATCACATTACTTTCGCTGAATACAATAATGTCGGACCGGGCAACTGGGAAAACAATGCTGCAGCTAGGGTGGCTTGGCAGAACTGTACGTTGCTAACCAGTGACACGTACCCTCTTGCTGGGGTAATGGACAGCACTGACTGGATCGATATGACGTACTGGAGTAGCATATCCACTCCTCAACCGGCTACTACTACTCCACCGACCACTGGAACTGGAAACACGACGTATGATGGAACTACACCCCCAGCAGGAGCCTACGTTGTGTCCAAGACCCCCATCGAAGGCAAGACCACATACAACACCATTCAGTCAGCGCTGGACGTTCTGCCTGCGTCGAGTAAGATCACTGCGACTGTGTTCATCTACCCTGGTGTGTACGAGGAGCAGCTCGTGCTCAACAAGTCTGGAACAATCATCTTCATGGGCTACACGTCTGCAACTGAGGATTACACCCAAAATCAGGTAACGATCACCTATGCTCGTGGCATCGACACTCAAGCGGATGCATCCAATTCGGATTCTGCTACGGTTTATGCCACCGGAAACTACTTCCAGGCCATCAACATCAACTTTGCCAACACATATGGCACTGCAAAGAAGTAAGTTACTATGAAGCCCAATAACGTGAGTGTGCTAACCTGAAGTGCAGCTTCGCTACTCTTGGTTTTGGTGTTAAGAGCAGCAAGTATGCTTCGCTGTATGGATGTCAGGTATATGGCAACCAGGATGCCCTCCTCATCAACGGCTACTTCTTTGCCTCGAACTCCCTGATCCAAGGCAGTATCGATATGATTTGGGGAAGTGGAGCTGGGTATTTCCTGAACACCACTATATCGCCGAACACAGACGACGTCTCGCTGACAGCAAACAAACGCGCCACGAACACCACTGCCGCCGGCTTTGTCTTCGATCAGTGCACTATCACTCCCGTTGGCAGTGGTTCCTACTCGCAGATATCTCTTGGCCGCCCCTGGAATAATTTTGCTCGAGTGGCTTACATTGGGAGCTATCTTGGCTCTTGCGTTGAAGCCGCGGGATGGGAGCAATGGTCAAAGTCCACGCCTCAAACTGATGGGGTCCTTTTCGGCGAGATGGCCAACTACGGCCCTGGTTCATCCACATCTGGCCGTGCCTCGTTCGCCACCCAGCTTACTGCTGCTTCCGTTGCGCAGTTTGAACTTGCTAGTTTCTTTGCTTCGACTTCTTGGATCAACATGACACTGGTGCATGGAACACCGTTCGCTGCCGGATCTGTCCCAATCCCAACGCAATCGACGAGCTTAGTATCGTCAACCTCGATTGCAAGCTCCACCTCTTCGCTGCTTTCTTTCTCGACAGTTACTGTGACCACCACGAAAACCTCAACGGTCAAGGCGACGCTCTCCATGACGACCACGATTCCCGATACGACTTTAACGAAGCTTCACACGACCACTACCGATGAGGTAACCACGATCACTCCTGCACCGGTAACAAAGAACACCGTCGAGAAGACTACGATTACACAGACCGCTACCGTGATCGAGTCGGACGAGATCATCACTCAGACATCGACCACGTACGTGAACATTGCCTCGACCGTGACGCCTGATCCTGTCGTAAAGACCTCCACCGTCACGGAGGAATCACTGGTACACCAGGTCAAGACTTCTACGGATGACGCCACGACGATCAAGGTCACGTCCACGACCACCGTGCTGACAACAATGACGCCGGATCCCGAGACGATTACCATCTCGCAAGGAAGCACGATTACAAATTTGTACACCACCACCTCGAAGGTTGTTAAAGCTACCAGTATGACGACTAAGACGGTTGGAAGTGACGCCGAGACTACAGTTCAGGCAAAGGCCACGACTGTCTACTCGACGGTGTACTCCACTGCGACATCAACGAAGAAGAGCACGACAACGATCACCTGCATACCGACTGCGAATAGACTTCGCGCCCGGGCTTTAGACCCTGCAAGAACTCTCTTACCACGTGATGCTCAAAGGCTTCCCGTTCGTGCCGCTGTCGCCCCGACCGTGACTATCACTGTTATCCTTCCCGTCACCACGAACGTCAAGACCTCGACGTTCAATATCCCAGGCACGACCTATACGTCCGACGTTTTCACGACTATAACCTCTTCTAAGACCACCTCGCTAAAACAAGCCACTGTCACGGAGACGGCTTATTCCACGAACACCAAGTACGCCACCACTACGCTTCCAGGAACGACAGCGACAGTGTCCACTACCAAGACAAGCGAGACCGGCAAGATCACGACCTTGAAGAAGTCTACATCGACTGTCCTTCAAACCGTGACCACCACGTCGACTTCTGTCTCCACTGCTACTATCCCAGGTCCCACAGTGACGAGTATTAAGCTCGTTTCCGCCAAGAGCACGGTGACACTGCCTGAGCAGACTATCACGAAGACAGTCAGCCGAGACGTCATAGTCAAGAGTACCACGACGCTCCCTGCAAGCACCTCTGTCGTGTGGAAAACAGCGACGGTCTCTCTGAAGCCCACCGCCACGGTGACAAGCCAGTCGACGATCTACAAGACTACCACGGTGAAGCGGACGCAGACGGTCACTAATGTGGCGAGCACCACGAAGAAGAATGCTCCTACTTGCGCGGCATAAATGTACTTCCTGATTGAAGAGTGGTGAGGCTAGAACTCATTTATATAATGTCCATACTTGCTCGTTAATAACTAATACAATTCATGTTACATCATAAGTCAAATACAAAACATCTATACGCAGTACTTCCTCACCTACGGGACGCGCCTCAGTTTATCCTAAATGTGAATTTCAGGACCATGTCGTCTGAATTCCGCATATTCTTGGTCCTGTCCACGGACTCGGCACAAAAGAGGATACCAGCGCAAGGACAGGAGAATGTAAGAAGGCGAAGCTGCATACTGCGCTGAAGAGGAAAACATCAAAGTTCGCTAGCACAAATAGTATTTCATTTGGTGCTGGAGATATATGCTCACTGATTATTCGACGCCCACAAGCCCACCACTCTAAATAAAAATTCAACGAGTGAATGAATGTAAACTCCCACCAATTGATATCCGAGTTACCTCGTCTGCAACTCACTCCGTCACTAGGTCTAAGGTTTAAGATCACCTGAATACCCCGTCTCATCCGACAACCTGCATGAACCGTGGATTGCCCACTTGCAGGACGTAGCACTCCTGCCATAGATTATCGTCAGATATGACTCGTGTTTACTAAAATCACTACATACGTTTCACTTACAGTATGTACCAGGCGCTTATGCTGCCCTAGAGCCAAAGGCATGGATGTCGTGGCCGATGTTAATGCATCGGCCTTTCAGGAATTGGTCGCTTCCTCCATCGGCCCAGAAGTCAATCCACCAGTTCGTGGGGTAACAAGAAGTGTCGGTGTAGAACGCGGCGCGCTGGGACTTTCCTCCATAGCTCTGCACCTGGAAAGATCTCGTCCTCGATAGAATGTTGGAGTTGCGGCAGGTGTTGTCATAGACGTTGATAGTCTTGCTTTCGCCGCCGCAGTTATCATCCTTGAAGGTGATGACCTCGAAGCCGAAAGCGGACGAAGTCAGAAGTGCAAGGGCGGTGAAGGGTGCAGAGAGCTTCATGATTGCGAGGGATGTAGGATGAGGGAGTAGAAGATTGTGGGTGTTGGGTGAAAAACGATATGTGAGGAGCTGCGTTTGGCCTTTTATATTCGAAAGCTGGAGCTGGCTCCAAGTCAATATAATAAAGGCTACGTAACATCTGGTGGGCTTCCTCCTATGCGATGTGGATAGATGTGCCCGCAGAGCATGAAGTGGTTGGACAATTCCATCGGGTACTCGGCGTAATCCCCAGAGTAATCCTGTAGGCTTCGACTAGATCCTCGTCGATAGTATTGTACTCAAGTGCCAAGAGTAGAGACCTGATCCTTGGTTAACTCGGGGCCATATTTTGTGGAGCACTATCTCCGTTTCAAGGTAAAGGCCCCCATTGAATCTTTGGTGATCGATTTTGTAAGTATGACAGTCATTGAAAAGTACACGTGCGTACGATCCATCAACCACTTTAGTGCAGTGATTTGTCTACGCAGGGAAACATATCGATGCTAGGTTCCTCCGTAGGGTGAGAAGTAATCGTCATAATTCGGGACCCATATGGCGCTTACCGAAGTGGTACAAAGGGAGGGTTTTCTTGGCATTGTCCTAATCGGTGGTTTCGAGCGATGCACTGCGCAGACGCTGCAACCCCGCACCTGAGAGCATCGCATCTACAGCAATCCAGACAGGCAACCGCAGTACATTTTCATGAACTTGAGCTCGCCTTGAGAATCCAGGAAGATGAGGATGATCAGCACATGTTTTGTGCTTTTGACGGTCGGCGCCGTGCATGGTACCGGTATCCTGACTCGGAGAAGCTTCTCTTAGTCTTCACGCTAAATGCTACAGGAACCCTCCCCCCCGTTCAGACCAGATCGAATGAGAGCAGCTACGATCTTATTCCGTTAGCCAACCGCAACGGCTATGTCAATCCCGAGGATCTGATCCCCATGCCACAGTGCATTGCTCAGCAAGACCAAGCCGGATGGCTGAGTACCATGGCTAGATGTACTAGCAAACAGTGCACTAGACACTTTGGAGTGATCTGCACCCATCACCAATGGCTGACCCAGCTCAGCTGTCTCAGCACCGAGTTCTCCCCAGAAATGGTCGGTCTCTACCTCCCGGTATGCAGTCGATCAGTGCTTGCCAAAGCGCAATTGTTCCATTGGATACACAATATTACTGGTCGAATGTGGTTGGTCAATGTCGGCGATGCCAATGGATTGCAGAGTTTGTCTCCGCTCTCCTTGACTAAGGGATATGCGGCATTTGAGGTGACTGGGAAAGCTCCAACATGCCTTACGGAATCGGTCGTCGATGCTTCGATAGAACCGTTTGAACATGTCATAGCTTCCTGCGCTTTCACTTCGGACACTCGACACACCGGAAATGCTGATCGTCCATGGGAATATAGGGAGTCACTACGGTCAATTGTTGCCTTGGATACGGAGACCGTCGGCTACGAACTTACGGGTCGCACAATAACACGGGGCGACTACTTCGATAAACGATGTTTCTGTGATACGTTTAGTACACACAAAGAGGCGCAGCTCTGTCCAGGACCAAGCTTGGCCTCAACAAAAGAGCGGCTATGGCTGAATGCAACGTGTGGACCGGACTCGTTGCCGGCGGATTGGACAAAAGAGCTCCAAACCACCGCGTTTGCTTACATTGCTCCACCAAAATGGCGGTGGCCTCAGCACAAGGGTGCCAGGTCTAAAAAGATGACCCGGCTTGTTGATCATTGTACGACGGATGCCTGCGATATTGATTCCGATGGTTATTGCAAAGTGGAACGCGCAGTGGATCGTGCCTGTATATGTCGTAATATCAGTTACGACAACTGCGAAGGGCCTTGCCGCGATTTCGAAGCTCGGATAGATTTTGTGAACTGGCTTCATGACCTCTGCGGCAATGTGGAGGGATGGCATGGCCTACCAAAACATTGGCGCCAGTTGACAGTTCCCACATCCGTTGAAATGATTCCATGGCGGTGGGAACTCAAGCCTTTCAGAAAACCTGATTCGGGGAACCCCCTCTGGAAAGATTTTTCACCGTGTGTCTCAACCGAATGGAAGCTCGGATCCGTCATTCTGGTCAATCTGGTCACCCTTCTCGCCGGTTTATGTACCCGGCCTGGTCAGTCAAGGGCCTACCCACTTGCTTCTGCGAAACAGCAAGCCTGGATCTTATCCGGACTTGCAACAGCTGCAATTTACCTACTCGCGAACTTGGGTATCTCTGTCCACGCAACTGTAGGATGCGAAACCCTTTCCGTCGGTCAACTGATGCTACTTTTGTGCTCCATGCCCCGGCTCACGTGGTCGATGATCTTTCTGAGAATTAGCAATCCCTCCCAAGAGACGACACTACACATGGTCGCATCGTTCTTGGTTGCCGAAATAATCCTACAGACTCTGTCTGCATTCCCTATGATTCAAACGATCAATTACGGAATAGAACACAAATTCTACGACAACTGGATGGCGAGGTTGCAGACCGAGCCAGCAGCGCAGTACATGTACGCTGGAGCAGTAATGTGGCTGATCATCATCGTTGCGAGCTTGGCCCTGCTGCTTCAAGTTGCGAGTGACGCAATTGCTCAGCCAGAGGTGCGGAAAAGAGGTCATGCTTCGGCACCTATCGTGACAAAAGCGATGGATCAAGTCAACAAACAATGGACTTGGTTCGAAGAAATGGTAGCGCGTAAATGGGTAGACAGAAGCTGGGATCCGGAGAGAGAACCACTGGTGCATAGCGGCACACAGGATTACGGCACGCTCTTCACCAATGACCCCCATATCCGTAGGACTCGAAGAACCACAGCGAGATTGACAATAATCATAGCAATGAGTGGCTTTCTTCTTTGGGTTGCTCAATGGTTTTTCTGGTCCGGATTCATTACTCTCAGTGCAGAAGGGTACGTAGTAGTGGTAGAGTGTATTGCTATATTAACATTAACCCGAAACAGGTTTTGCCCTCCAAAGCTTTATCTTCTTACGGCTATCTGGGTTGCTGCATCAATAATTGTTACAAAAATTTGGGCTTAATATAACTACAAGTGGACGTGGAAAACAACATACTTCGTACACATTTGCGAATGTTGTTAGCTTGCTAGCACAGGATGAGAAAGGATGCCCTCCAGTGAGAGCTAGGCCGCTGGTCTTTGGAGGGGCGAGCGGTCCACCAGTCATCGACGAAAGCCGTGATCCTCTGAATCACGGGTTGGCGTGCCACCCAGACCATACCTTCGATGAGATCGATTTTGGTTTGCGGTTCTTCCAACCTGAACTTCACAATCAGACTTTTAGAATTGCCGGCGTGTTTGAAGGATGTAGTACTGTTCTTATAGTAAGGTTTCGTCGAAGGGCAGAACCCGCCACGAGACATGTTTTAATGCTTCCTTCACTTAGAATTGCAAGACGCCTTCACACTGAAGAAACATATCCCGATATGCTGTAATTTTCTGGTCGTCTCACTCCCACCATGTACTTCATATTCAGACTTTCTGAACTGCTAGTCCGGATAGATGAAGCGGTACTCTCGTAAAGAATGAAGTGCTTCTCAAACAACGGAACTGTCTGCCGAAAATGGAAGAGAGCTGATGCACTTCATGTCATAAAGTGCCGAACCAGCCAGGACATGGTCCTTTAATGACTCGATTTTCGATGCTTGGGGGCCGAGTTCTGCGGAACATTGAAGAAGCGGATTAGATTCTGATCTTGAGCTCCTTCCAACACGGACGCTTCACCCATGCAAATGCTTAAATTGAGTTTTGGGAATCGCAAGGTCACCTGGCAACGGTGGCCCTGCAAAGGCGACCCCTCCAGAAAACATAGCTTTGTTTTTGTCGATTTAGATAGCTGGCTGGTGAAGCAATCAGGTGTCCATGATCTATTCCCGCAGAAACTCGGATTTGTTCCTGGCTCTCCTCTAGTACAAACGCCCCAAACATAGCATTGATGGCTCGGTGATTTGTAGAATCACAAGAACAGTACATGTGGTTTTAGTCCTCAGACAGCGAGCGCTCCAGCAGACATCCAGAGCAGCGTTAGATAGTTGAATAACAGGGTCTGAAAGCTCCCAGGCCATGGCTCTTGAGATGGCGAATTTTTTCGGGTTCCCTTTCAGCGGAGATTTCGACCATCAGCTCGTTCTGAGGGTCTTTTCGATAACCAGTACGATAGCATCGCGAACTGGTAGAGTCATTGGAGGCATGCTCCGTAGGTGCGGAGTCATCGAGTACATAACATCGCGCAAGTCATGCTTTGGTCTGATGTTTCCCCAACGGGGATCTTCCACCATTACGGGGACAAATGGGCATTTTGAACGCTCGCTCGGCGGCATTGTCAACCTCGATATGGCCTATGGTCCAGTTCATGACACCGGGCAGGATGTATTTTTTTAGTTTGTGCCACCAAGACATGACGTCTGGAAGAGTGAAGCTTTGGTCGCTCAGATCCAGAGCATAACATTGCCGGTTATCGTTTTTGAACGTAAGACCATGATTCTGACTGCTGCGGGGTTTTAGGCGGGTGGTTGAGAGTCTGGAAAAGCCAGAAGACCAGGGAAAGGTAGAGTTTATAGACGTGGAGGGTACATGGGATGGTGATGGTCATCAGCGGCTGGGTGCGCCGGCATTTTATTGTTCGTCCGGCGTTCCTGAGCCGATGAACAGTCCGCGAGTATCGCTACCAGTATACCAAGGTCCATCCATAGCTACTCAAGAGAGCGCGAGGGTTAGTAGCATCACTGGGGAATAGTGGAGCAGCTTTTGAAGCGGGAAAGTAGCATGCTAAACTGTTGTATTCTGTTGGGAACGCACGACCAGCGTCATGGTCACTTGTGCACAACGATATGAAGCATGCTTAGAGACAATTGCGTAACCTCGCGAGCCCCTCTTCCATGTTCTCATCCGTATCGTCTTTGGTCCAGTCGGTGTCCAAACTCTGTGAAGATCGTCCCGCTTGGCTCATGCGTGGTTGGTGGCTGGTTCGAGCGACCAGTCTGTGGTCATCTGGCTGCATAATCGGAAACCGAAGTCAAACCCACAACACGCTGAGCATGCCAACGGTCAGGTAGTATCAGGGATATTACAGCGCAGTTGCTAAACACGTGTCAGCCCCGCCCAGCGGAACGGTCGCATCCGTGGCAATGGCTCACCCGCCTCCCTCCCAATGGAAGTAGTAGTCGAGAACTTCGTGGTCGAAGCCACCCTCGGCGGCAGCGTAGTCGAAGTGGTGTTCTGCGTCAACGTAGCTCTCCCCGTTGGACTTGTCGTCAGCGAGCCCCTTCTCATGGGGCTGGCGCCTTGCGTCTTGACGGCCGGCGGCATCTTCAGGAAGACGCGCGCGGGCGGAAATTGGCTAATCGGAGGCATGATCGCGCGACTTTTATCTCAGGAATTTGTTGCGGTCGATCAGAGAAGGGATGGCGTAACAGTGTCGCGGTTCCATATACTCTACGGGTGCTCGCGATGAGAGGAGGGGTGGGTGGTGAGGATGCGAGAGTAAGAGTGCGGACGGATCTAGGGCACACGAGCAGGCGCCGTGCGAATATATGTATGCGATGTCGCTCGGTATGACTGGACTCGAGTGTGACTGGATTGGACTGGGCTAGCGGTTGCATGGATGGCGATCGTGGCGCTTGAGTGGTTTGTGGTGCGCGCGCCGATCAGGTGAGCGTACGAGCATTGGTCGACCCCACACACCACCCGCACCCGGTCCGTCTGGCCAGCCGGGCGTTTACCGGACGGCCGAGTTGTTTTCGTTTCAGATGCTATCGCAGCCAAAATGCGTGCTTTCTGGTGCCATGCATGTGCTTCGAGATGAGCTTTCCGCTGGACCTCGGGTGTTGTTTGTCCCGGTGCAATTGCGCGTTGGCGCCGATCACAACGAATGGAAACCGCGTCCGCGCACCGTGATGTCGAACAACTTTTGGCTTCATCACTTCGGGAAAAAGAATATCCTGGTGCATGAGAGTGGCGAGAGAGTGCCTGGATTGGGGAAGTGTGGGGTTGGGGGTGGAGCACATGCACACCGGAAGGTCAGACCGAGCTAAGAACACGCGGATCGTGACGTGGTGAGGAAGGTGTCGCTTCGTGCTTTGCTTCACGTGCGATTCCAGAAGCACGATGCATATTTCCATGTAGATGCAGTTTCACAGCTCAGGATGGATGCTGGGCAAATGCTTGTCATGCCATAGTACTCTTGGAATATGTATGTGATACACACCGCCGCGCTATCCCACGCATGCCCTCACCGGTCACGGTGCGGCATTTTCTCCGTCTTCAAAGAACTTCTTCTGTCCATGTGCTCTCTCGAGCCTGTAGCCATGCGCCTCTTTTTGCTTTGCTTTCTTGAGCACCTCGTGCGCATCGCCCTCAATGGTCGCCCGCACATCGGACTGCGGCTCTGCAGAGAATTCGTGGATCTGCAACCAGGTTGGAGGCTCAGGAGCCGGCTCATCTGTCGCTGCCGCAAGTCCCTTCAGGATGCGTGACTGCGCGTTGGTCCGAGCCAGAAGCAGCTTGAAGCGCAGCGAGCGCTGATAGTGGTCCAGCTTGGATACGGTTTCCACTTGCTACGGGTTGGTCAGTCTCAACTCTCGACCAGGTCACGAGAGCCTCACCTGATCCAAAAACGCATTCATTTCTTCGTCCGTTACCTGGCTCGCAGGTTCAATCTCTGAGGTTGCAAGGTATTTCCCTGAGCCTGTCAACTGTCAGCAACCATCTTCAACCAGTCCTTCTCGCATAACCTACCTTTCTGACCGTTTCCCTTCTGTCCGACCAACGCATAATACCCAACATCATTATCCGCCATGTCATAACAGAGTCCTGTTCCAGGCAGCATGTCGCTGTGAACCCTAATCTTTTTGAACTCTGCGCCTTGCGTAAACGCTATGTCAGGCATCGGGTAGAAAGCTAGATAAGGCCGTGGGCAATCCGGTGTAGGCTTTCCTTGTCCAGGAGTTTTGTTGACGTGGAAGTACCGAAACGCGTTGGGCATCCCGGACGTCTCGACAATTTCGGCGATGTGGTCATCGTCGTACCAGTGCATGTATTGTGGTTCCTCGAGCGGGTTGCTGGGCGATGGGTTGATACATGCTTTCACGTAGAGGATGCCGGGGCCTTTCATGGATTGCGCCATGGTGGTGCTGGTCGCTGGGATTGGAAGAAGAGTGGGAGCAACAGTTTCTGAATGAAAAAAATGGACTGTCTGGTATCAACGAACATATTGAACAAGAATATCTTCGTTCTTGGGAAGATGCGCGGAAATGCGTTCCCGGTATTTCCAGTGCAACTCCGGCGACGCCACGTCGAAGTTTACCCCGCGATTCCAAGCCCCACCACGTTGCGCCTTCCTTGTGGGCGCCCTTGGACCACACTGCACGACTATCTCAGTCAGCGACTTGCGATCGCCATCATAAACCCGCCAATTGATAACTATCGCCTTTGCTTGTCACACAGCTGGATCGGGGAATGGAAGAGTTGGCTTATTCACGTAACTACGATTGTTGAATTTTGGAAGATCACTTCATTTCATATTATTGTGGATTAGCTTCCAACGTTACGACTATCACTACTGCTCTACCATCCTGAGCACGCGACAAAGTTATTTCCGCTCGCGCCTGTGTGCGTGATCTCTCCAGCACGCTGTCCACTGGAATTGATGACCACACGGTCAGCACCGGGCGAACCTTGAATCGTTAGCACGACGTTACCCTCGCTTTTCTGGTCAAACTCACCACCAGAGTATGTGCCACTGGTCAAGAGCGGGAACTCGTAGTAAGTTCCTGATACCAGGAAGTCGAAACCTTCATAGTTGTTGTACTTGTGGGGGTACGTGCTGCTACCGGCAGTGTCCCCTGACTGAAGGTATTGGTAGGCGGCGCTGCGTGCAGCAGATACCTGGGAGGAGGTATAGCATTTGGATCCGCACTGGACGTAGCACGCCCTCTCGGCGATTACGGCGCTCTCAGCAGAAGCATCGACGACACTTGTGGGCAGAGCAAACGCAACGGAGGCGGCAAAGAGAAGGCCTGAAAGGAACTTCATGATATCGAAAGGTGGAACAGCGAGAGACTTCCGGTGAAACGAAGGAAGATGGGACTGGAATCCAATGATTCGGCCTATTCTTTCAGAGACGTCCAAAGATAGGACTATATATCCTCACTCACTCTGGTCGCACGCCAGCCGGACACCTCCGAAATATCCTCTTCTAACCCCAGCGCATCTGGTAGCACGTTGATTGTCGTGTATGCAGACTAGGGTCGACGTAGCTACTCCTGACGCGAGCAGACATGACCTTCCACAAAAGCTCACGATAGCCGCACTTCGAGGTCAGTGCTTGCATTCGTTCGAAGCACGCTGGTCGTATCTGTCCACTCGATCGCTTCTATTGCCCGCCGCTAATCGATCAGCATGAGCTGCAAACCTAACTTCGGAACAGTGGAATAACAAATGAGGCATGCTGTTTCCAAAGTGCTCGGGTTCGGCCCAATTCAGGGCATGTGTGCCAATGATAGGCCAAGAAACATGACGATCATCGACACTTGAATCTAAGACGTCGGAGGCTAACCGCCTTCGGAAGGTACCTCGGATCATTCAGCATCGTTGGAGACTCCCTGTATGGCCGGGTATCGTATATTGATCATTCAATACCTACTACCGTGACAGTATTCGAGCACGTGTGCGTTGTCTCTGGTGGTTCGAGTGTTGCGGATGAAAAGTATCGCTACAACTTTCCCAAGCTGTCAGCAAAAGCGGGGCCCTCTCTCGTTCCAGGCAGCCAATCCTCACCTTCCTCGCCAACTTCAACGTCACTGCCTTACGCTACACAATGATGTTTTGCTCCACGTGCTTGTCCATCTTCTCAACGCAATTAGATAATCGTTGCCGCGCCCGTTCTTTCCACGGCTCTCATCACCCCCACATCAGCAGCCTGCGATCCGCAGCCCAATGCTGTCGTATCTGCAAAGCAATATGGCTCGAATGCGTGACTGGCTTTGGCAAAGAAGACTGGTCGAACGCAGGGGTCAGCACGAGGTGGAGGATCGTGCACGACAGTACCTACTGTCGTAGCGTCAATGATGCCATCCAGTCTGGTCGCAAGATAGAACTAGTAATCGAAGTTGAGAGGGTTATGGGGAATGATGAGATCCGGAGAGATATGAGTTTCGATCTGCTACCGTGTAGGAGCATTTGTATTGATGCGATGATCTAGCGCTGATTAAGGTAGACAATGAGGTCGAACACTATGCTCCTGTCACCGAGAAACCTCGCACTGTAGAAGCTGGGCTGCCTTCTATGAGGACGACTGAATATTCGATCCATGATCGACGCCCCTGTGACTTGGAGTCGTCTTGTTCTTCAAGCGCAATTATACAAGACAACAAAATTCAAGAGAACACAAAGTATGAATGGCTACCATGTAATTCCATTCAAGGCACAACGATTTCGCCCTGATGCTGACGAAATTAGCTCATTTGATCCCTCAAGATGTCCCCGAGCCTACAAGATCGGTAAATTCCGGGACGAGACTACTTGATTGGTATCAGAACTGTCTGCAAAACCATCCTGATTGCCAATCCATCTTTGATGCCACGCATCGACCCACTAGGCTTCTCGACATCGGAAAATCGTACTTGGAGCCAGTTCGCCTTGTCACCTTCTCTACAGAGGACCCGCAGACCTCTAGCCCCATATACGCTACATTAAGCCACTGCTGGGGTGTCTCCCAGCCGCTACGACTGCTCAGCTCAAACCTGTCGCAGTTTCAGGCAGGGATCGCTCGCGAAAGCCTACCACGCGTTTTCACCGAAGCTATTGAAGTATGTTGGCATTTAGGAATACAGTACCTGTGGATCGACTCCCTATGCATTCTACAAGATCTAGTAGAAGACTGGTCGCGAGAATCGCAACATATGGGCAGTATCTACTCCAGAGCTATGATCAACATCGGCGCGACAGGATCAAACGGATGCAACGACAAACTCTTTAGTAGCGCCGATGAAGCCCCTTCCGTGGGACTGATATCCTGGGGAGGATCCAATGCTAAATATGTAGTCGTGGAGAATCCCCTCGAGTGGGCCAAGAGCTTCATGAACCAGCCCTTACTTCAACGGGCGTGGGTGATGCAGGAGAGATTCCTGGCAACGCGTATGGTCCACTTCACAAAGTCACAAGTCGTCTGGGAGTGTAGAACTACCGCCGCAACTGAGACATATCCCATTCGCGTGCCAGACTCGCTCTGGTCTTTCCATGACAGACGCAATCGCTTCTGGCGGGAAGATTTCATCGAGGACGACAGCGTATGGTCAGCTCTCGTGGCAGCCTACAGCAGATGCGAACTCACGTTCGGCAGGGACAAGCTCATTGCACTCTCTGGTCTTGTTTCAGCGCTCGAGACTACGGGGCTATCTCGGGGTCGCTACTGGGCAGGCTTGTGGGACGCTGATCTTCCGTACTGTCTAACCTGGAGACGGGCTGCCATAGATCCGAGCAAGTGGTCCTCCGCTCGCCCCGACACCTATCGAGCTCCGTCGTGGTCCTGGGCATCGCTGGACTATCCTGTTTGGACAGACTGGGGAGCGGCAGGCGCCTCGGAATCAGCTATTGTCTCGCACTGGGAGGTCAAAGAGGAGAAGGGCCCGAGTTCTGCTGCATCGCTACTCTTGTACCACCCTCTTTCGCTGCACCTGAACGGGCCGCTAGTGAGAGCAGCAGTACAGGTCAAGAGGCCTTGGGTAGAGGCCATCGGTCGCGGCATCGAGAGAGTGCAGGGCATCTCGTACAGCATCGCGCGCATCGACGACACGATTGCTCTGCACGACGACGCATGGAACGACGTCGTATTCGACGACTTCAACGACGAAAATCTGCGTCAAGAGATATGGTGTGCCCCAATATACGAATGTGCGGAATGGGTCGAAAACGCAGATGACGAGGAGCGCTTGCTTGGGCTGCTGTTGGAAGAAGTCGATCACGGCACATATCGTAGACTTGGCGCGTTTTCGGTCGGATCGTGGGCAGATCGGGTGGCCTTGAAGGGGGGCCGAGAGCGTGCATATAGGATTGTATGAGGTAGGGCTGTGTTAAGGGCACCTCCATAATAGCTATTGAGACAGATCCGAATCCGTGCAACCCGATATAATCCGCAAAAGTTGATGAAATAGGACGTGTGTGCTCTCAAAGACTGCGAGATCAGTCAGACTGCCTCCGTGGTCGACGACTATGTACACAACCTTTTAGCGTGACGAGTACCCGTCATCGTCCCTAATAAGTCCGCACTTTTTTTTTCCGCTGAATACCGATTCCTTCCCGCCGGCCTGTATGCTCCTAGTTCGGACTACCCCATACGCGTCGGCCATGACGCCCTGCTAAATCGCATCGCGTTATGCGTTGGACGTGCGATACTGGGTGGCTACATCTCGGATGAGTGCGGTATTGGATTTGATTCGGCATCGTACTTCGCTGCCTTGCTACCCGGTATGTCTATATTGATTCCTCGTGCGTGTGTTACGCAACGTCTCAAGGCTTTCTGTCCAAACGCTTCTACACCCTGACAAATCCTAACCGTGCGAGGCACCATCTTGGTTGCTGCACAATTGTGTTGGCATTCCTTGTAGTAAAAGTAGTAGTCCACGATATTTTTTTTTTTCGAGTGGTTGAGAATTTGTTGGCGAAGATAGCTCGGAGCGCTTGCGACTATCGCTGGATAGGCTCAGACAGATGTTGTGGGTTCTGTAAGGGGTCAAGTTGGGGTTTATATACTACTGATGTGATGTTCTGGTATGAAGGGAAACAGCTCTTGTGTTTGGAAGCAAGCTGATGGCGGTTCCTCGGAGGGTGTGATTCCTTCGACGATCACTGCGAATTTTCCCACCTGGTACACAAAGTAAGGACGCATGACCTGGAGGGTCAACTTTCATTCGAGCAGTTATTTACGTGCTGAATTCGATTACTTGCTAGAGTCGTTGGCGACAAGCATATTCCAATGCCCAAGCTTGACCCCGCCACGTCGCCCATTGATACGACATGCTATCAGACACCACCATCCAGCCTCCGCCCTCCCCAAGCAATGAAACCCTTGTCACGGTAGCTCTTGTTTTGGACAAACATTTTGGACAGATTCCCTCGCTAGGCGCACCCTTTTCAGGTACCAAGCGACAGCATCCTGACGGGTTTTTGCAAGGCACTATCACATAGCGATCACTCTTGTGCCGGCAGTCCATGTATAGGGTGCAGTAAACGTAGTATATGGTATTTGAATCTAGAATTCATTCCTTGGGCTAGAACCAATGCGCTATTAATCGGGTAAAGGATGATCTTCGCCTAGTTTTGTTTCCGTGTGTGGTAGATTGGTTGTAGGTCCCTTGAGGACTTATATGGGGGTCAAATATACTGCTCTTGGTCTTACTATCATGTAATGATCATTGATTATCAGTTCAGAGGAGCGCTGAAGTGAAGCGCTACTGGCGCGCTGTTTCAGTGGTTAGCAGTGTCATTGTCCTGGTCAATCTCCCTTCTGGAATCCGTTGCGGATTGGTGGCGCGTGCAATGACGACCTCAGGACAGAATGGGTCCCTGCCTTGAATCAGGCCCCAGAAATGTGTTCGTAGCTTTCTGCTAGAGTCTTCCCACTGGTCGTACCCTCCTCCTTCCCACCCCCACTCCTATGCCTAACCACCATCGCCAGGATCCCAACCCTACCTCTCCAACACCCATGCCACCCTCTCCGCCTGACAAGCCTCGACCCCGGACGAATGAATCCTCAGTTCCACTGGGAGAGAATTTGGCGAAAATGCGGCAGATCCGTGAGGAAGCAGGACGAGGTCGCCCTTTGCGGCGATGGTGTCTACAACGTCCACGGCACCATAGTCGACTGTAATATTGCACAACGGCTGGCCATCGTGAAGAGTATGGGCAGCACCTTTATAAGCAATTAGCACATCCTGTCATGCGTAGATTGTAGTGCTGTGTCAATTCCCACGAGCGACCTCATACGCGCAAGTATATGTAGCTTTCTTAGTCCCGAAAACCACAGCGAGTTCTCATTGAGAATAGACTCAACCGCGTCAGGGATCGGTCGTTCTCTCCGTGAAATTGTCTGTCGTTTAGGCCGGCCGTGGACTTAAAGTGGGACCATTACGTGATGTGTAGTGTAATATACGGATCCCGGCCGGGGCAAGCGGGCAGGCGCGAACCCCCAAGATTGGAAACCATTACATCCAATCATGTTGGAGATTACTTGCTGAGAACGATCTGATAGTGCATCAGAAGGTCCCTCTCACGCGCAATCGCTACTTCCTCCTCGTCTGGTTCGCCGTCAACTAACTCGCTACTGATGCGACTTTCAGAAGAGCCATCCACGGTATTTTAGCTGACCGTCTCTTGGATTCTGGAGACGTTTGCGACAGTCTGCTCACCGTGCAGTTGTGCAACTCGACTGCTTCGCCGGGCCTGACATCGCAGTCAATATGAATAGGCGGACAATAGTGGTGTGCTGATTCGACAAGATATTTCATTTGCGTTCACATATTCCAGGGAAACGAGGAGATGGTGGACTGGCTCGTGGCCTCCTTGCCTGCAGGACGACGATACTACAGGGAAATGAGGCGCTTGAAGTTCACCTTGCTGCTCGTCGTCGCGAACCTGTCAGCATGCGCGTACCTTCTCAGATGCCAGTTGTCTTCTCCCACTTGGTCGAGGGGGTCCAAGGACATCAAAAAAATCTCGGATAGATATCATTAATTGAGAATAGACTGTCCCTCGAAGATGTCGTTGACTTCGTCCCAGCGAGGTAGTGCCGACTGTGCTGCGGTTCACAGGACGTGGAGCCGCAATGATTGCTGTAAGAGCAGACTTGGCAGTTTCAAATGATAGAATGATCAAGTGCAGCATATTCAACGTCAATCACGAAACTTGAAAAGGAGGCCATGTTTACACTCAAAGAAACAACGAGTTGTACATCACATGCAGGAGTATAGTGTTGAAATGTAAAAGTCGTGATTCATGGGTCATCTATCATATCTATCATAACCCTAGAACGCCTACCCTATAAAGGGTGTCCCAAATCTAAGCACCGCAGATTTCAATGCTAACACCGACGCTGCTGGCGGAGAAGCCCTGGTTCGCGCCGCAAGCACCGACCGGCTGCTCAGAGGCAACGCTCGCAGTCGGGTCGCAGTAGCCCTGGATGCAGCACTCGGAACCTCCGCTGCAGGAGTAGGTCGGGCAGCTATCGGCAGCACCCATGGACCAGGCAGAGCCAGCGCACTGGCTGAAGTCGTCGGAGCCGGAGACGCAGTCAATGAAGGACATGTCGTACCAGATGTTGCCGCTCTGGATTCCATATTCGAACTGCATGGGCTTGGACCCGCCATCCTTGAAGAGCTTAAGCGCGGTGTTGCCGCCAGAGCAGTCCGAGATGGAGTCGCTCCAGGTGGCGCCGGCAGAAATGGTGCCGCTGCCGTCGGAGGAGCCGCAAGGGCACAGCTGCTCGTAGGTGACATCGTAGTCGCAGTTGTTCTTGAATGTCACCTTGCCACCAGTGGTGGAGGGGAGGCTGGTGCTAGTGGGCTGAGCCACTGCGGTGGAGTAGGCGGCCGAGGAAGCGGGCGCGTTGGGAGCGGCCCAGGGAGCGGCAAGCGCAAGAGCGGGCAGAAGGAGCGTAATAAAGCTTGTCTGAACCATTTTGAAGGATTGAAAGGATCGGAAGATCTGGTGTAAATCTACAAGGAAGTGATTGTAGAGAGCTGTCGAAGCTGTGATTGGACTGTTGGCCAAAGGGCGTGTGCCTGACGACGCAAAGGAAGGACTGAACCGAAGTTCGAAAAGACAGGTACTGTGTAAAGAGTGATGATCGACGGATGCCCACCCATCGAGGTAGATGCGCGTCTACTTATACATCAGTTATTTCCCTGTGGAAGAAGACCCCAACGTAGGTTGGGGCAACGGCCCGTCAGTGATTTTCGCTCTCGAACACTTTAGTCGCCTTCGAAAAGTGGTCCTCCGCGCTCGCGTGCCACACAGGAGGGGCCCAAGGACGCGTCCCCATAAGAAAATGCATGCTAGAAAAACGAAGTTTCAATGTGGAAATTACGATGTGCAGTAGTGTAGAAGGAAACTTGGTTGACAGGCTAGTATGACGGGTCGGATACTCTAGGGGAGTCCGAGCACCACTAGGATGGCGTGGGGAATTTGCGGGCGTCCTGCAGAACTACTGGGAAGGACGGCAGAGTTGCGATTAGAACCTTATCGCTATCATTTCCCATGGATATACTGGTACACTATGCGCCAGTGTGTCTTGAATCGTGCACCTGGCCTACCACTGTAGCAGTGAGTTCGAGTACAGCCATTGCTTCTCCATGGGGCAGTCATCGCGAGCAAGACACGTCGAACATTCGCCAGGCACCGAGTACGTGTGCTCTGCCGGCTTCCGCGCGGAGGGATGATGCTGCGCCGCGTCATCTCGATCCACCCAGCGGTCTGTATCCATGAAAACCTCGAAACGACAGACACGAGGGATGTGCTTCGCCGAAAGAAGAGAACAGGCAGACGGGCGTCGGCCAGCGTTGTGATGTCAGATTCGAATTTTGCTTTTGCTGGCGAATCGCAGTGGTTGACTTGATGTCAGAGTTCGACGGTGCGTGAACCGATGGAGCGCCGAACATCGGCAACGGCCGCCCACCAATAAGCGAGCCTTGAGCGTTAGCGGTCCGCGTTTCCACGGGAGATCGACAGGGACGTGCAGGAACCGTTGGAACAAAGCACACAAAGACGTACGCGAGGGGAGGATTAGCATGGGAGCCAGACTTGTCTTTAAAGCGTGCGACGTTGGCTGAGACGATGCAAGAATTGGGGCCACTGCGCGCGCGTTTGCGCGAGCACTCTCCATGGAGGAATTCAGGTGTCGGAGACTACTGTGCGCCGGTGTCGAAAAATCTTGCGCACTTGCGGGGCGGTGCCCGATGGAAGGACAGCCGGAGAGGTATGCAAATGGGGTAGGTGCTCCTGGCTCGCGTGGATTGATCCGAAGCAGGACCAGAGCATGCGACAGCCTCTCGCGTGAAAGCATCTGTTCGGCGAGGGTCAAAGTCTTAGCACGTCGCGTGGCAAGGCAACATGCCCAGGTGTGGTTGCGGGCCGGCTCACTCACGCGCCAACAACCGTGGTTTTGGGCCAGGCCCTGAAGGACCCTGCCGAAGAATTCCCTCCAACGACTTTCAAGTACGAGAGCGTGTGAGTGAAAATGAGACGCTGACCCTTACTTTAGCATCGTTTCCACGTGTGCTGGCATTTCCGTGGTGCCCTAGCTCGACAGACCCTGACGAACGGGATGAAATGTTCGTGACGTACGCGCGCACATGGCAGCCAGAGACAGCAATGTTCACCACGCCCACCCTTGGCCATGCAGGAGAAAACTTTTTGGAAAACTCTTACGGAGATCACAATTACTCAGATACCTGAGCATTCTTTCGAGAGTCTCGGGTGCATAGTTGCACGCTAGAATCTTGAGTTTCCTTGTATAAGAGTATAGAGAGGTCCAATCGCCGCTAGTCAACCCTACTACGCTACGCTGCCAGACAGAGTAGCAGGGCGTAGAACACTCCAGGATGAGTTCGCGTACGGGAGACTACTCTTAACAAACAATTTTGAGATCATTACGAAGGATGTACTTCGTATTGATGATATGGTAGCCGACGACTGAAGCAAATGAAGCCCAAGTGTCCAGCCGCAACACATGCTCATTAGGTTGCGGCCCAGATGAGGCGAGATGCTACACGCTGGCCAACAAGAGTATCGACCGAGTCATCCTACACTAGATATCTAAGCGCTGTGGTCTGTGACAAGGCAAAAATCACTAGGACAAAGCAGATGTTCCTCGATGAAATAAGGCCTCATCACCGTGCGAAACCATCGAAGGTGTGCCAGCCCTTAAACAGGGTCATTACTAGGATACATTCAACATTCGTCCCTCCAGTGGCCTTGGCCACAGCGCCGAATACAGCCTTTATCTACTCCGAGTCGGCGGCGTCAAGAGCAATAACGTGACGTTTTCGAGGTCTCTGAGCTCCGACATCTTGGCTGTATTGCGAGCAGTCGCAAACACCTGGAAGCCTCGTTGCTGGAAGATGAGGGCAAGGGCAGACCCGATGCGCAAATTCGGTAGCCTGAGGTGCCACTGGAGTGCAAAAATCGTAGAACCTGTGGACGTTGTCAATGAGGCACACTGAACAAGTGTGCGAAATAGCTTCGAAGAAAATGCTTGCGTCGCGAAGTAAAACACACAGTCAACAGAAACAGCGAACTGCCATGTGATGTAGCCTGGCGCTCCTACCCGATCCAGCAAATGCAGATCTGGGCTGATGTGCTAATAAATGTTTGCCAGCATGCCGCGTGTGTGGTGCATGCCCGGTCTTTGCGAGGCACTGCATCTAGATGACGATACACGAGGTGATAACTCCCTCGCATTCGACCCTGAGTGTTTCTATGCGAACCCAAAGCTCCAGGACTCCAAGGCTTTTCGGCCCTTCGGTGGAGCTGCGCGACGGACTGTTGGATACTTCGTCTCCGTATTGATCACTCGATTCGACCTTGCTGTTGACCAGGAATCTTCTTCCAGCTTTCCACTCTCCGACCTTGCGAAGCCTGCCGCCGGGATTCCTCTTTCCCAAGCGGGAGATGATGTCGAGCTCTTGTTTGGCGAGCGGAGAGAGGAAGGACGATAAACGCCGCGTTGAAGTCAAGTTGGGGTAGTACATTAAACGGCTATGTTACCTTTCCAGGGCAATTGCCTAGAAGCCGTGGTATGGGTACTGGGTATTCGTATCAGTTTTTTATTTCGTCCGTGTTGAATTAAATTATCGTGAGTGTAGCGGGCCACCTGAAACACAGCACCTGAGTACTACTGCAACCACACCCGATAAGAGTTCTAAATATTGTGTCGTTCGTGCATTGCTGCTGCACATCTGATTCCGCTCACACGACATTGCGCAGTCCTCTCGGCCCTGAGCTGTCATCGCTTCACAGTACTGGAATCTCTGTAGGCATGCTCATAAGCGTAGCATAGACTAGACTAGCCATGATTCCTCGACAGGCGTGCCATGATGGGAGTCTGGGTAAGAGAGCGATGGGGGAAGGCGGGGGTTCATATTCCCAGCATGCTAAGTTTTTGAAGTATGGTCTGACTTGGGTCAGCTGGGGAAAGTTCCAGATGTTCTGCGGCATTGTGGGTGTGTAGCGGAAATCTTTGTGGTTGTAGGTAGTGTGTAAGGGAGGTCTTAAAAGTATGAATCAGTGCAGGAGTGGTGCTTCACGTAGGGGAGGGATCGCGGCGAGTACGTATCTATGGTGAGTTGTGCGCAGATCTATTGTCTATATGTCGTACCTTGGCTGTTTGCTGATTGTCTCTGTGAAGTCTCGCACTTACCAGCCAGCGCGACATGAAGCTGTATACCCTCTACATCTATCCCCCAGTCGTAGAGGCAGACATGCGCTGCGATGGCTCCCGCCTGGTCCGCCGTATGTGAATCCAAGAGCGCGTGTAGACCATGATCTCAAACGATCATTCACAGCCACTGATACAGAAACTGGACTTCTAGAGCATACCTCATCCTGTAATAACTCAGGATATAATACGATCTTGGAACTATCATGTGATAGTCTACCCCAAGATCTCAAAGCCACAAAAGTCGAGTTTCATTGTCAGCCACTGTGGAGCAGAAGTCCCAACCGCCTGCGGCCAACGCGTTATATCTGCGACTTGCGAGTTTCTCCTTCGTAATGTTCATAGGAACACTCCCGCTGCGACTGCAGCCATCGCACCCATCCCCGCAGCACCCAGCCCTGCCCGCGGCGTGGGCAACGCCCCACCGGCGCTGCCCGTACCTGTGCCGCCGCCAGCTGCGCTGGTAGTATCATCGCCTATCACACTCCGTATGATGCTGAACTGATCTGACACCTGTTCCTCCTTGAACTGCTTGACGCCTGTCGGCAACGCATCGTACCAGTCTGGCTTGCTGTAGAACGTCGTCGCTGCATCGTTGTTCGTGACATCGGCCGGAATACTGTAGTTGGAGTGTGCGGAGGCAAAGGAGCGGACCTCGGATAGAGCAGAGGACACCGAGGACTCGTAGGTGCTTCCGCGAGCGTTGGTGTAGGCTCTCCAAGCTAGGTTGGCGTTGAGGAAGACGGAGGTTGTCCATTCACCGCCCTGTTCAATTGTTAGATGTTACAGGACAGGGAGATGAACGCGTCCAGGAGAGCGTACAGCGGTGGCCAGAATTTCACTCGTAGGTATAGGCGGCTCGGTGTAGACCATGAAGTCTGCGTTCGCCATCCCAGCGCTCAGCACCGCCGCGCCCAAAATCGGCTTCCAATACATGCTGAGGTTGTTGGTATCGGCGTGATATCAAGACAAGGTGGCTGATGCTACAAAATAGCTCCAAAATGCGTTAAAGCGAGTGTAAGAAGTCGTGTGTACGAAGTCGTGGAATGAATAGAATTACGACGGTCTTTCATTGTTGAAAGGAAGAGGCAAGAGCCTCAGGCCGTGGCGTCATCGGGTCCCTCGGATGCACACATGGCCCAGAGATCTGATACGAGCTCGCGTCTCAACCTGCGGTGCAGAGTGGCTACTGCTGATCTCGGCTCCATTTTTTCGTTTCTCAAGCCCTTGGGCGATGTTTGGTTGGGAGGCGCAGCAGACGCGCAAGCAATTGGCACGCGAACGCGGTGGAGCGCTTATCGATAGCGTGCTTGGGAACTCGAGGGTCAACGTCCATCCAATTTGCTCATGATCGTCTCCTGTAACGCATACATGGATCATACAAAACGAGAGAGCAGTTCCCAGTACAGGCTTCAGTGCGGAGCAGCTATGTGGCAAGTGAAGTCTATGGCTGACGCCCTCTATTGATAGATAGAATCGATGGACCTGTACTCGGTGCAATGCGCAGAAGGAGTTTAGCCATTGCTCAACCTATCAAGTGACCACCTGCGCCACGCTTTACCTCGCTGTCTCATATCGATATCCTCCGCAATGAGGCCCTAGGCTGAACAACCACCAGCCACGTTTGCTTCCAGGATCGCCATCACGCTTCGATCTAAAACGACAATATACGTCGCTTCCCATCGGTGTGTTCTGCAGCGTGAACCCCGAGGAGACCTATCACTGATAGTTGAGTCTTCTGTATCACGTGACACTAAGCGCCTTATCCACGGCTGCAGCACCACGAATTACCCACCTCATCCAATCCTCTCCACGTAACTTAGAGTGCTCTAAAGGAACTACCGATCACTAGCAACGCGTCAATGGCGTCCTACCGATATGAACCGCTCCGGAGTGCGTTACAGGAGATTCGACTTGTTCATCTTCTACCCGGCAAGTTTGAGGACGACATTAAAGTCCGAATCGTCCATTCGCCATTTCTCCTCCCTGCTACACCTCCACCAAAGGCAAAGACCTTCCAGGCTGACTCTGTCCGGACCTTGCTCTCTTGGCCTTGGGAAGTAGAAGAAACTGAAAGCGGCGACTTCGTGATATTCAATGTTGTCACTGGTGAGGCGCATCCTCTTTTAACCGCTCAACCGTCTCTTGAAGAGAATTCAGAATATCAAGCGCGATACGAGGCCTTGTCATACACCTGGGGAGATGCTGCTGTCTCGGAGTTCTGTCAGGTTGAGGGCAACCAAGGCAGTGGTGAGCCTTCCGCAACATTGGGGTTGCGTCCCAACCTAGCCTCCGCCCTCCGCTACTTGCGCTACTCAGATGAGACGCGGGTCTTATGGATCGACGCCATATGCATTAACCAGGAAGATATCGAAGAGCGGAATGAACAGGTGAAGAGGATGACGAACATCTACACACTAGCCCAGCGGGTGATAGCTTGGCTTGGTGAAGAGTCCAACAATAGCAAACACGCACTCGCAACACTACAGCATATCGGGCGGCAACTCGAAGCAACCAAGAGCGGCCGGGTCATTGCCGCACCCGACGCCACGGAGCCCCGCCTGTGGAGGAATGACCACGCGCCGTCCTTCGATCAGCAGACCTGGCAAGGGTTAATCGATTTCGTGGAACGCGCGTGGTTTTACAGGCTCTGGTGCTGGCAAGAGATCAAGCTAGGTAACTGGGACGCGTTACTTCAATGCGGCCGCGACATGATACCATGGAATAAGTTTTGGCTGGCGGTACTCTGTCTGCACAATAAAGACAGGCTACCTTCGATGCGGTTTCGTGAGCGGTGCCGGCATATCGTCTTCCTTAAATACGACGATGCGGGCCACTCAATGAGCAATATCCTGGACGTCAGTCGAAGCAAGGGCTGTGCTAATCCAAGAGACAAAATCTACGGACTCCTGGGCATCACACCAGCATACTTCAGCTCCGGTATCGTGGTTGACTACTTACGACCCGTCGAAGACGTGTACAAGGAGGCTTTTCTGACGCATTTGAATACAACAAAACGGTTGGATCTACTAAAACATTGTGCTCTAGCCGACCGCCAAATTGGGGGACCTTCATGGGTGCCGGACTGGTCTAAGACAGATTTTGCAGCTCCCATTCTGAGCGAGCAGCTTTCTTCTGGAATCTCGCGGGCATGGTTTACATACGCGGAACCAGACGTACTCGAGGTTGTCGGAAAACAGTATACCACGATTAAGGCTGTCAGTGGGATGGCTTCCAAGGTTGAGGAGGAGACGCTGCTGGCGGTCGGAGATTGGTTTCAGCATTTGCCAAACAAAGGCGATTACATCACAGGTGAGACTATGGAAACCGCCTTTGCCCTGACACTTTGCATGAACCGGACGAGAGAACGACACCCGTACAGCCATTTCTTGAGCATTCCGGAGTGGGTCGGTATGCTCCGCAAGATCCTGTGCCTGAATGCCACCACTCAGGATGACACGTTATATTCTGCAAGAGAGACCGCAAACACAATCCAGAAGATTCGCGGTCGCCGCTTCTTTACTACGGAGACTGGGCACATTGGTACAGCTCCAGCTGGTGCGCAAATTGGTAAACTATGAGTCCCGCCAGCGGTCAACTAGGGTACTTTGACTGACTGTTACAAGGAGACTCAATTTGCCTTATTTTAGGGACTTATGCCCCCATTGTCTTGCGTCGGACTTCATCTGGCCAATTCCATGTCGTGGGAGAATGTTACGTGCATGGCCTCAGTGACGCTGTTGGAATCCTTGGGCCACTGCCAGACCAATGGAAGACGATCATCAAAGGAGATGCGTTGGGAAGACCAACACAATGTTTTGTGGACCTCAAGGACTACGAAGAGACTTTGAATGACCCACGGCTGGAACCATTGCCGTGGAACTGGGAGCGAGCGACGTACGAAAGACTTGCTGGTGATCCGGCCATATTTGAAAGATTCAGGAATCTCGAAACTGATGAATTGGTGAACTATGATCCGCGATTTTCTCCGGAGATGCTCGAGGCTCGCGGGGTCAAGCTGCAGTCCTTCAGGCTCGCCTGAGGGACAACAAGGATTTGGCCGGGGTACCGATCAACTACCCGAACCCCACTACGTACACAAGATTGCAGGCTGCAATTCTTACATGGTACGCCTATGCTTTCATTCTATCCACCTACTCAACTTGGTTGCGACTTGTGGACAAGGGCATCGATTTTCAGGAACGCGTCTTCTCTGAATGAACATCGTATGGCTCTGCATCATCGAAGACAGCGCTCGTACATCGCACGACATTTTTCTGCAGAGCTTGGACCTTATTTCCTGATGGAGAGTGGAGAGTGGGCATTTCAAAGAGCCTTGAGGCTGTCTGTTTCTGCGCTAGTCCTTCTTACTACACCATTTCTGGGATGCTAGACATCGCCGTTGTACATTGCATTGCCAACCTCTGTCTCGCGCAGATTGCCGACGTCACCCTTGAGCGCTTTGGACCCTCTATTGAACAGTAGTGAGCCCTCGATATTACGAAGAAGGTGGAAGCATTGTACCATTGTACCGCCTTCCCAAAACCAGGCTCCGTGCCGATGCCGTAGAAGTAGTAGTCACCCATCTTCACCAGCGAGCCAACGTTGGACTGTCTTGAAGAGCGAGCCTAGTATATCAAGGCGAGTGCCGGATCGTCGAAGAGGCCGGACTCAGACTTCTTCGAGCTGATCACTCATGGTGACGCCGCTGGGCCGAGAGCCTCGCGACCAGCCACAGTTCACTTCTGGCGAACAATCACACGCCAATCCTGATTGATGAGCGGTTGCATCTCCTTGACCTCCCAGCCATCGTCGGTGCTCTTGGCCGTCGTGATCTTCCGTATGTTATTCCAGTTCCACGACATCTCCCCGATCTTCTTCTCCGTGCCGTCTCTGCAAGCCATTAAATCCATGCTTCCCTCAATCCCCGTGAGTAGTCCGCCATGGAGGGTCCAGTAACTCGCAGCCACCCAATACGCCGTCGTGCTGAACGCCCTGGTCCGGTTTGCAAAGTCTTGTATGTGGTCCACCGAGACCACAGAATCGAAGTTGTTGTGCGGCGGGTCGTGGAAGTAGCCACTGGGGAGCTTCACGTTGGCGAAGCGGATGTCGTACTCTTTGGAATTGTTTTCAAGAGCGAAGACGACGTTGGGCGATGGCGGGCCTGGCGTGAATTGTTCTTTGACGTAGCCCGGGATTTCCTTGACTGTCTGCACCATCCCATTACCAATTGTGCTGATTGTATTACCCATTATGGCGCGAGTTGGTGAGGGTGAGGCAGTTTTGTGTGAATGCTTTTGGAGCGTGGATTTCTTGCTCTCTACTAGGATGCCTAGGATGCGAAGATTTATATATTGTTAGAGAATATTGGTTTTCGTTCTAGACTGTCGGAGACTGCGTATACATGTGCATTCTCTCGGCTGTTTAGATACATTTATTCTGAATTCGTGAGGTTTTCAGCTGAGCTTTTGTATACTATTGCGCCACAACTCCACGTATCCCTGCTAGCGGCATTCTATAGAGTTTCTAGACTCAACTTTCAAGTCTCAGTACGAGACTTTGCTCGAGGAGAGATCGTATACAGCCCGGGGTATTGATACGGAGTCGTCGACTATGAGGAGTACGTGAAATTTGGCTTCGGTTTCCCGCTGCTGTCGATACCCTACTCGTGGAGGCTGCTTAAAGACACGATAAGACTTGCCTGACGTCGGGAGGCTGGTGATGATGATCAACTGGATTTGGTACAGAGAAGCGAGTTTCTAGGACAGAAATGTCATGGTGAGGTGTCGACGGCGCTGAGGTGGGGAATCCTGCTTGCCAAGGTTACACGCCCCTTCGGTAACGCACTCCTCGTATCTTATCCCAGGTCAACCTCTACAACCTCATTGCCCATTGCCTTCTTCAACCGTAGTGTCAATCTTCTGTCTACGAATCTCACTAGCATTGCGTACAAATCGATCAATATGCTTCTCATAGGCCTCACTAAGTCTATCACGACCGGCAAATCATCATATGACTGATAGAGTGTTGCGCCTTCCTCGAAGTACCTCGCGTTATTACGCTGCTCCCGCGATCGACAGCGACCACGCACCCTGGAGCCAGAACCAGGGTGGTTTCCACCAGTCCGAGATTGTGTGTATCTTGAACGCGCTGTGCGCGAATGCGGATACGTACGCTTTCACTGAGTACGACTACTATTTTGGGGGAGTGATGTCGGACTATTGGGCGAACTTTGTCAAGACGTTGGATCCGATTATCGTGGGATCGGGGTATGGTGGGAACTTGACGAGGTGAGAAACAAATGATTGGATATGCGGGTTGGGGATGGGTTTGGGACCACGAAGGTCGCGGAGCCGGATGGATCTGATGATGAAGTGTTTCGCTCAGCAGAGCCCGTACCGAAATGCGATGAAGAAGTCTGCTACTGGGAGATCCTGCCTGTCCAAGCCGCGACGTATGATGAGGTACTCGAGCTTTCGAAGAAGTCAATGGCAGACGTGGTGATGCCTGGCTACGTGACGACGGTCAAGATACACCCAAAGCTCGAACACGCCATTGCAAGAAATTAGTTGGGAAAAGCCTGGGGCTGAGAGGGAAAAGGGATGAGAGGAGGACTGATGCTCTTGGTAGCTAAAGACCAGTCAATTGCCTGCCCATCTGCATCCCGAAGAGCCCCGTCCAGATTTAGAGCCATATCCGAGATGAAACGAAATGAAGAATCGTGTAGTTTACAGTGTTATGACGCAAGAGTGAAGATGGACCCTGCATCCTAGTTGTTATCGATAATCGCGTGTTCCTCCCGAGCAAAACTGCCCCTCCAGCCCATCAGCCTAAGTCTACACACGACCTCCCCACCTCATTGCTACCCCCACAGTCCTCTCAATGGCTTCAGCAACAGACACAAACCTCCCAGCGCCATCGCAACCCGCTCCAGAAACCTCCACCAAGTCAGCGAGCACGCAATTCCCCACCATAAAAATCGGCACGCGCCGCTCCGCCCTCGCACAGGTACAGGCGCGATGGGTCGAAGAGAAGCTCAAGAAGGTGCAGCCGGACAGGACATATGAGATCTGCCCCGTGCTCGCGCAGGGCGACAAGGACAAGGTCACGCCGCTGCAGATACTGAGCCAGGGCGAGAACGCGAAGAGTTTGTGGACCGGCGAGCTGGAAGCCATGCTGGCGACGGGGGAGCTGGACTTGATACAGCACTGTCTCAAAGGTAAGCTTTCAGGCTTGGATTGCACAACGGGAAACATCTGGAGCTCATCTAATGCATCGCGGTAGATATGCCCACCCAGCTCCCCGACGACCTCAAACTCGGCGTCATCCTCGAGCGCGAAGACCCCCGCGACGTCCTCATCGTCTCCCCGCACCTCCCCCAAGACACCTCCCTCGCCACGCTCCCTGCCGGCTCCACAATAGGCACGTCCTCCGTCCGCCGCGCCGCGCAGTTGCGCCGCATATACCCCGGCCTCAAGTTCGCGGACCTCCGAGGCAACATCGGGACGCGCCTCGCCAAACTCGACGCCGAGGACTCGCCGTATGCGGCGATTATCCTGGCGGCGGCGGGCATAAAGCGAATGGGCTGGGAGCACAGGATCACGCAGTACCTGACGAGCGGGAATGGCGGCATGCTGCACGCGGTGGGACAGGGCGCGCTGGCGCTCGAGATCCGCAAGGACGACGCGAAGATGCAGGAGCTCGTGTCCAAGATCCGGTGCGAGCGGACGACGCGCGCGTGTTCCGCTGAACGCGCGCTACTCCGCGCGCTCGAGGGCGGCTGCAGCGTGCCCATCGGCGTCGAAACCTCGTGGCGCGGCGGAAAGGGCCTTGCGGTGGGGATCCAGCCGCCCAAGGACTTCGACAAGCACGGGGTGCCGGTTGAGGAGCCGGAGCCTGCGCTCGATGAGCAGGAGCTCGTGCTCAAGACGCTGGTGGTGAGCGTGAATGGGAAGGAGTGCGTCGAGTATGAGACGGCGCGGAAGGTGCGATCGGCAGAGGAGGCGGAGGATCTGGGGAGGGATGTGGCGAGGATCTTGCTGGAGAAAGGGGCGGATAAAATTCTAGAGGGGATTAACAAGGAGAAGTTGTGGGCGGCGAAAAAGCAGGAGGCAGAACGCGCGGCGGCGTCTTGAGCATGAAGCTTGTACTCAGAACCAATCTCACAGAACAGCAGTACGACTACTGCCACAGGGAATTTAACCTGTGTGAGAGACATGCACGCACTGAAGCTCCGTGTATCACTTCGCTTGCGCCCTATATGGTCTACCTGCTATGATTTTGAAGACAAGAAAGCCAGAACCCCCACCCTACGACCACTCCTTGAAGCTCTTCTGTCTCTGGCGACTATTCCACTGCAGAGTCCGACTAATACTATCAATCCAATCCTTGCTCTTCCGATCCAGCGGCAGCACGCTCGGAAACGGGAAGCGACTCGCACTAATCGTGACATAATCCCCCGGCTTCAGCTCCACGCGTTCTCTCCCGTCAAAACTCGCCCACGAGCTCATTCGCGCATCGTAGGGCACCCCCGCACGCAGGACGATCGTGTCGGGCAGAATGATGGGCCGGAAGGATAAAGTATGCGCGCAGATGGCGGTCACGAGGATCACGGGGTTGTCTGGGTGGCACAGCGAGCCGCCGGCTGCGAGATTGTACGCTGTGCTCCCTGTAGGCGTCGACACGCAGATGCCGTCGGCCTGGACGGTCGTGAAGTGCTCGTCATCACCAAACAGCTCGATGCTGGACATTGTCGGGTTCGGCCCGCGGTCTACCACCACCTCGTTGAGGATGTTGTGCGTGCCGTCCGGGCGGTGCGTGTGGTGGTCTTCTGACTCCTCGCCGATGAGCTCCTCGACGAGGTCGCGGTGGGGATTGTCGCGGGTCTGGGAGCGCATGATGGTGGCTTCGAAGCGGAGGCGCAGGCTGACGGTGATGCCTTCGTCGAAGGCGCGGGAGAGCGTGAGCGGGTACTGCTCGTAGTCGAATTTGGTGAGGAAGCCGAGGGAGCCGAGGGAGAAGGCGAGGACGGGCGGGACGATGCGCTGGAAGAGCCACGAAGCATAGAGGACGGTGCCGTCGCCGCCGAGCTGAGGTATATTAGTATCTTGGGTTGCAATTTGGAGGCAGAGAACTCACCGCCAGCGCAATGTCGAAGGTCTGCGGTTTGTCGTGGCATAGCTCGTTTGTCCAAAACTTCAACCGGCCTTCGAATGAGTCCTTCTGCAGCAGGCTCTTTGCGTCGAAGAGCTTGTTGTGCTCCAGCGTCTCTTCCACATACACCTTGTAGCCGGGATCTTTTGTCAGAAGCCAATCGACGGTCTCGCGCGTGTGCTTGATCAAAGTCTCGTCATGCGCCTTCGCGAGGATGAATATGTTGCGCACATGCAATTTCAACCGTATCTGTGCCAGCTTCTTTGACAGCTCTCTTATACCAAATGCCATGTCGGATATCTGCTTCTTCGTCAAGAGGCGCGAATGTTGCGATTCGTCAGCATGGCCGTGCGGGTCTTTGTCCAACATGCGCTCCTGTGCAAGGCCCTCGTACGACGCGTCGCGGTCCTTTACTGAGATGCCATCGTGCTTCTCGAGAAGCGTGTGCACAAAACATTGCGTCTTCTGGCGGCGATGCGCAGGGCGTTGTGCGGTTGCGGGCACGAGCGACGATTTGCGACGGCGAATGTCGTTGGGTGCGAAGACGACCTAGGACAATCAACCTAGCTGGCATCGTGGGCACGGGTTGCGGCACCTCTAACTGCCCGTCTTGGTCGCTGTGCACGCTGTTGCTGTCTTGGTCGCCAGCATCGCCCTCAGAGTGGATGTTAGCTTTGTTGTACGCAGAGAACATACATGACGCAGGGGGGATTGCGCCTTAACTCCACAATGGTTTGCAGAGCCGCAGCCTGCTCAGGGGAATAATGCGTACCTTCGGCCATGGCTATCGAAGAATGCAAGCTAAAGTATGGGTACAGAGAGCTAAGAGCTGCCTTTAAATCATGCGCGAATTGATGTCAGGTACAAGAGGCAAAGCAGACGGCGACTGAACGCGACGGCGCGAGTGCGGGGTCCGAGGCCAATCATTTGCCCCTCATTGCCCAATCAGGGCATGACATCAGCCTTTTGCATCGTTACTCATCCTCGAGTAATGCTGGCGCAATGCGCCAGAAGCATGTTGACAAAGTCTTGATTGATTATAAAGGTACCTCGACAGATTGCAGCACTTCTTCGACCACATCGTCGGGTGTCACACCCTCGAGAACCGCCCTAACAGCATCGAGCGAGCTGCCCCATTGCAAGCTGCGCTCGTTCTCGGGGGTCGTTATTTTAATCCGATGCGGGTATACCTTTCGAGCTGCAAGCGCAACTAGAGCGGGTGTGATGTAGGATAGCCCGTGTAGAGGTGCAAGAGCGCTGCGTACGTTAGCAATAACATTAGTGAGGCGTCGAAAGCTTACCGTGACAACATGTCAAAATGCCGCGTCGCCATCGCCGATATGCCTCCTCCTACCGCTCGATGCTGCCTCATGAAGATTACTATGTTATGCAAGTAGGCCCTCACTTCTGTACTGATCGACACCTTCGCTGTGAGATTGGTGAGCTCGTTCAGGTCCTGCGACATGTCAACGAGATGGTCTGAGAAGACCTAAAAAGGGCACCTACGGCTTCTGTGAACATCACGGAGTCTTCTTGCTTCGGAGGCGACCGCACAACCGACGATGTCGATGCGTCGTCATCGTAGATGGGCTCTTTCTCGTGTAGTTCTTCGAGGTTGGGAAAGCCATCTTCGATCTGATGTTTGTGAGATATGAAAAGCTGGTCATTCTACGGTTGTTTAGCATGCTATGAGTGAGATTCCAAACTTCGGGCAGCTCACCAAATGCAGAGACAGACTCGCTGTTCCAATAGCGTTCAGTGCAATGAAGAGAAATGGCTTCGGTGCCGCGTGCACCGCAGTCCTAGTGAAATTGCGCTTGCCGCGGATGAGCTGCAAATTAGTTGAGATATGTTCCATAGCTGCAGCTGGTTCATGGGTACCTCGAGTGCTTGAACCTGGACCTGATTGCTTGCGATGTTGAAGTTCTTCGCTATGACAACATTCGCAATCTTCCGACTGTCCAAGGGCGTAAATGGGCGGGATGACCTTCCAGTGAATTTCTTTGGCGACCCAGGCTGCGCTGCGTACCTCAGGTCCTGGCAAACGTTAGCAGTTGGCAACACGCGATTAGGCTAAGCACCCTACTTCTTCTCTCGCACTTCTATTAGCTAGACTGAAATAGTCTCCAGCGATCTCGTCAACGAGTATGCCCGCGCCGAATTCATCCACGGTGGTGCTCTCCGAGCATTCAAGCACCGCCCATGTGAGCCCGAACAAATTTCTTGCGACCTGCCAATTTCAGCATGCATCCGACGATGTCATCGAGTGATCATACCAGCCTGATCTCATGTTCCAATTCATCCAACGATTGCTTCTCTCCTTCAATGATGCAATGCTGGTCGGTGATCAGACAGAGCAGTGCGGCAAGCTCGATATCGCTCAAAGCCTGCACCTTATCCGCGATGCGGTCGCCAAAGTCGTCCATTGATCCTGTCAGCCGAGGAAGATTCTCCAAATTACATGCTGCATTGCCACATTATGGATGCGTGGATATGCAAAGGCGGATTGCAGTGTTCGCGGAGGAACAGCGACGCTCGGGAAGTAGAAGGAGCCGATGAGCTAACCCAATTAAGAATAGCGCATGCCCCGGGCGACCTCTATGGAAGTACCTACCTACCTTTCTACCTCCTTATCTCTCATATCTCCTCCTATGATACTCTCAATAGCGTAAAACTTTTCCGCTAAGAGAATGAATTACGTTCCAGCAAGCAACTCTATTCGCAAGCGCACAGTACATGGTACCAGGACCGAGAGATCCCCAGGCCATTTGGGCAGTTCACTTCCTACCCAAGCTTGACCAGGTCTTCCCATATTCCCATACCCCTATCGAACCGTGCAAACTACCTGCAACCCTAAGATCCCCGCTTATTTCGTGCGAATGCGATACAGCTCCTCAAGGATGGTCCAGTGAGCAACCCACCACCGGACAGACACGGGCGACTTCTGCTTACAGAAAGACCCTGGCAACTACCTCGGGTTTCCAAAACTATCACCGGCGCCAAAAAGGGGGGTCTGTAAGCTTCCATGCCCTTGTTTCTTCCAGCATACCGGAAACGCGCCATGCTCCAAATTGACTTGCTGCACCCCAGATATTGGTTTTATGATCTTTCAGATGCCTGTGTTTTGATGCTTATCCGGGATGCTGTATCTTGGTCATGATTCGCCATGTTCCAGCGCATTGAGCCTCTCGCCCAATCTGCACGGCGCATATGGTCGCTGAGATAGGGACTTGGTTATATTACGCATGCCACCCATCCATCAACAACGCACTGCACTATGGGAACGGACGCCGGTTCTGAACAAATACAGATTAATAAATGCTTCAGGGGTGCCCTTTAATATTCAGGCAGCTTGCAGAAGCAGAGATTTACCTAGGACATCTTGGCCAAAGCAGATGCGTAACGTAACGCCGAACCTTTCTTTGGCTATTATTTGCGTATGGCACAGCTAGACTTATTGCATCGTTTACTAGCCAGTCAATCCGACTAGGAGTGTATGTTCTAGCAATATGCGAAGGCTTCTTCCGAAGGAAAAGCAGGTGGCTAGTATTCCAAGCTGCTGGCATGGCCAACGAAACCGGGATGTCTCTTCTCAGGCGCTTGTAACATTGGCTCGGAATCTCGTTAAATGGTCGGCCTATCCACATCGCTCAACTGCACTGGCATTTCAGCGCCAACACATTTTGACTAAGCTCTCGCCTCGTCACCTCCAATGGCCACCCTCAAGCTTCTTATTGTGACCGCGGGAATCCTACGTGCAGCTCACTCAGCAGTGCTCCCTGGCTTCAAGACTGTCCTGGTCAACAACGTCATCGTTCCCAAGACTAAGTCGGACTTCACGAAGAACAACGTACCTGCGAAATGGGCATCTGGCCATCCCAAGGAATGGGGAACCGAAGACTTTCATTATCGACTCAACGCACAAGATCCAGATGATAACTTCGGCGCGGTAGTTACTGGTGACGAACGGTATCTTGTCATGTATAATGGGTCATATGTTGAATTCGTTGACTTGGAAAAGAATATCACGGCGTCGGGTTTCGCCTTCCAGATACCAGACAAACAGTACGCCACGGATCTCACAGTACGTCCAGCCACCAAAGGAGGCTATGATGTCTTCACGGGCGTCGCGCCATACAAATACGATACCACGAGGACAATCATACGCCAACGCGTAGGATCGGATGTGAAGCCGATTGACCAGCCCATCCTTTACCAAGGCTCCATCGGTGATATCAGCAATCAGGGCAAGCTGGCCTCCACCTCCGGATATATATACGACTTGGAGACTACCAGTAATTCTCCTGTCGCCACTTTGGAGGGTCAGCCTGCTACGAGCGACCTGAGCTTCAGCCCTGATGGCGTTCACCTATCGTCGGTGGACTGGCAGGCACAAACTGCGGATTTGTGGAACGCGACCTCTGGCGAGAAGATCTTCTCGTTTCCCGCGACCAATGCGCAAAATTGGGTCACGCGCTTCTCGCCAGATGGCAAATACGTTGCAATCACTCTTGGGAGCGGCAACAGGACTCTCCAGATTTACGCTATGAGCGATCTTACTGCTGCTCCTATCGAGATCAAAGACTTCAACGACTGGCCAAGGCAGTTGGCCTGGAGTCCGAACAGCAAAGAGATCGCTGCTGGCGACGATGGCAGGCTCCGTATCTTCAATGTCCCCTCCAAAGAGGTCATTCAGACGTGGCAGATCGACACCAACGAGTTTTATCCTCCTGCAGGTAGGTTGTGACCCGCTTGATCCTTTATCACACATGCTGATTATGACAAGCCATAGGAATAAAGTGGCACAACGACGGTAACAAGATCAGCTGGCAGTGGAATAATGGCAAGTATCTCTACGACTTCGAAACGAACACTGAATATCTATGGACCGTTAGTATTACAGACCATGTCTGGGGACCGGAGGGCTTCTACCTCGCTGGGAAGCAGGGTATTGCGACTGTAGATGGAGATTCTACGGTGCGCTTCTGGAGGATCTGACACGACCGACCAAGCCCCGAAAGTTGTGCGGTCATTCTGGTAGGGTGTGAAAGCTGTTAATCGTCGATATGTAAACCGCGATAACTTATTGGGCCCATCAGCACGCTCTTTCAATCTACTACCAGATTGTCACCATAACTTTGCTGCGTGACCCACATCAGCACAATAGGAAGTCAGACACACCTGCCGCTCTCGGGCTCACCAGCTTCTTTGTCAGCATATCTCACATGGAATCGCGCTTCCTATAAAGCCCTAATATGCCTAAATGGAACGCCTTCTGCAACGTTCATTGGCTCAGTCGTAAAAGCCGCTCCTTTCCGTCACGGAACAAACATGCGTCTGCCTTGCATAGTTCCAGCAAACGAATCCCAGACTTGACTTCAGCACCATGTGCAGTGTAATATGGATAGGACGGCTATGTAGCTGCATTGCAGCGGGGAAATAGCCTCAGTCGTAGAAATCGATACGTGCGAGAGGCATGCTTGACCAGGCTCTCCTGTTCCCAAATCAAGGCATACATAAAATAGGGTATATAGCATAGACCGAACCCTAACGATGGAATCCGATACTAGTTCAATTCCATCCTCGAAGCCTAATTCCCAACCTGCAAGTCTCACTCATGATGAAGTCGTCACTCTACCACCTCACCCTCCTCGCGCTCTCCATCAACCATGGCAACGCCCACTGTCAGTCTCATCTATACCAGCTTTCTCCTAAGTCTATATCACCTAATGCAGCACTCCAGATGGCTACCCCTACACCGTCCTCGACGGCGTCATCTCCAAACGCTGGGAATACATCCGGTAAGCCCACCCTCCCGCTAACAGCCAACGTCCTCCCCGCGCCACTAACTACCTCCAACCATCCTTCTAACTCCCACAGCCCCAGCACAACCTCCTTGTTCAGCCCGAACTGGGACTACTCGGGCGCCGCTGCAATGTGCGGCCCAAATGGCACATTACCCCTGTTCCCCGTGAAGACGCTCAAACTCGCTGCTGGAAGCGTGATCGGGTTTGGCGCCGCGGGACAGAGTCGCGAGTTTGGGGACGAGAGTAAAGATATGAGCGATGTACGTATAACCTGAATAGTACCGAGGTGGAAGAGGTAAGGCTCATGCTGATGGGCGAGTAGTTCGACCCCAACTTCTGGATGTACCACTCCGGTCCCGCAACAGCGTGGTTGTCGAAGGCGCCTGACGGCGTGGACTTGGGCGAATACATGGGGGATGGGGATTGGTGCGTCGTTCCTTTCCCAACCTCTCTTCCCCTTCGAGATTGCTAACGCCAACCTGTCTTTGCTTTTAGGTTCAAGATTGACGTCAAGCCGGCGTCGGACGGGCTGCATTGGGACTACAACTCTGGCGCCCATGTAAGCATCGTAAGTCTCCGTAATTCGTGGTATTGAGGACATGGTGTGCTGATGGATAGGAAAGATGAATTTTACCATCCCCTCTGCTACTCCGCCGGGAAAATACCTGCTTCGCGCGGAGCATCTGAATATGGAGAATGGGGGGAGTTACAAGACAACGGAGATGTATCAGGCCTGTGCGCATGTGGAGATCACGGGGACAGGGACGGGTATGTGAGCTTCTTCTTGCTCGGTGGTTCCGAGGTTGATAGTGAGGATAGGGAAACCGGGTCCGGTAACGCACTTTCCGGGGGCTTTTGACGCAAAGGATCCTGGTGAGTTGTCGAGATGTCTAGGGAAGAAGTACTTGCTGATTGTGAGAAGGAATTTGGTTGCCTCAGGCGCTGTGGAGGCCGTATCAGCCTATCGAAGAGTTGAAGAATTGGCAGGGTGCTGGACCTAAGGCCTGGCGTGGTTGAATGCTTTTTGACGTTTGTGAAGTTGTTTGGGGTGCAGGATACATAGGATAAGTCCTTCAGTGTATGGGACAGGCAAGCTAGGACTTTATATTGGTTGCCCGCATCGGTTTTATTCACCTGCGTGCATGCTGAGCGAACACGTATCTCTGTGTTGATCTGCAGTCGTCAATTCTATAGATTCGGTTCTGCCTCTGACCGCTCAATTCATTAGCAGGATGATCTAGCATCGTCTCCCATCCATGTGGTGTCCGGCTCGTCTATCTGAATGTGGCACTGTGATCACATAAATGTTCAAGTATTATGAAGTTGTTCATACGACTTGGAGACCGCGCTGAGATATGAGGATGCTATACGTGGATTCGTCCTGCTGACCTCCACCTCGATCAAACATTCCTCAGTCAAGGCATAGCGGCATTTGAGGAGTGAGACATCCTGGCGAAGTTGACTGAATGGTTCAGACGCACTAATTTATAAAAGAGCTCGGAACTTGGTCGGCAATGGCGTCCAGGGTTTCGGCTCCTCCTAGAGGAGCTAATTGACGGGATGGATCCGAAGCTGGTGACGTTATCCTTAAAGTAATGCTAAACTTACCTGGCTATGGTTGTCATGATTACGCTTTGTCTAGGTGAATGGGGCTGGGTAGTCTCAAGCCATTTTCTTGTTGCCGGTTACTGCTGCTTTAGTACATCGTGGCATTACTCAGTAAAGACTTCTATCACAGCTGACGGTGTCAACTCAGTCTCCTTATCTAAGCCCTTGTTAGCGTAAACACAGAGACTGCGGCCTGACGTCGCTCCGTTTTTAAAACGCGACACTACCCTATGCGTCTACGATCTGTTGCAAAAGAAGGCGGCCGGGGAAGCGTCAGCTGGGGTCCGAAGGATCGATTTATGATTCGCTGCCGCCTTCACTAACAAGTCCCTGGAGCTTTTGCGAGACGATCATATCTTCCCGGACCTGAGTTTGCAAGCTAACGCGGCCGGCGTTCATCGGACGCTGAATAAGCTCGATCCCGACGGACGAGGAAGATGAGTAATTCACCAAATTTTGGGCTCGATCTTCTGTCCCGAGAGGATCAAGACCGATATGCATTTTTGTCTTCGAGTTGCACATACGCTGTTTGTGCGTCCTAAATGAGCTGTTTAGGGGGGCTTATTCTGGTAGTAAAGCTTTCAATGTCACGACGTAGAGCCGCTGAAAAGCATCGCTGGGATAAAAGTGAGTAGCGCCAGTCGTTCATCATTCGCAGAAAAGATACCTGGGTATAACTTGGGGACGCTTCGATCTGCCTATTAAAAAATCTTGATCTCAGACCTCCAGCAACAATCTGCACATATGCCCTTTCCTAGTCGCGCTTGTCCACTCTTGCCATTTCTTCCTCACGCCCACCTCATTTGAATCCATACCCCAGGAGTGGCAACGAGCTCGACAAGAGTGGGCGCTCGAAATGACGACTCGCATTAATGGGTTGAAAGGTGCATCATGGACCCCAAATTAGGAGGCACGCGACTAGGGCGCCACAAATAGGAAAGGCTTAGCGATCTGCAGCTGATCAGAGACTGACCCCAGCGCGACATCAACAGATGCCCAGTGGATGTTACACGTCCACCATTTTCCTCTCTCATTCTACACAAATATTGCGTGACGCGCGTAGTTATACCTATGGTATAGTCGATGCGTTGTGATGGCCGAGGATGCGACGACCCTGAATCCCTCAATCGCGCCGGGCGCCTCGCCAATCGTAGATCAGCCGAGAGGGTCGGCAGCTACCAGCGGTCTCAACTCAAGGGAAAGGGTTCGCGATCCTCCGCAGTTCGATACGCCACCACTTCTATTTGTTCGAGATGGCACCGGCAATAAAATCCCGCTCCCATGGGAACAAGCCAAGGAATTCTCGGTATTTATCGCGCCAGGACCATGAACATATAATCGCTAACATGTGCTACATAGCGATTTAAATCCTACGTCGAGGAGCTGCATGCGCGAATGGAAGACAAATCCTGGAAAGAAAAGATTCGCAAGGACGAGTTCCTTGTGGCAATTGAGACGACCGATGAAGTCCGCGTTGTTCTGCCCAGCTTGTGGAACGATTTCGTCCGCCCTGGAATGACTGTCCTCATCATGTTTTCGTTTGACGAGGCCAAGGCGTCGTTGAAGAAGACCGGTTTCTCACAGAAGGAAGAGATTCAACTATACGGTCGTCCCGAAGTCGAAATGCTGGATGTAGATGTCGATCTTGGCGGAAAGAGCGACAAGACGAGCGAGGGAGAATTTTCCGCTGGGACCAAATCGTCGGACAACGAGAGCTCCGTTCATAGCGATGGGGAAGAATCGGAAGAGGATGACTCTGAGACAGATAGCGATGATCAGAACTCTAAAGCACCGTCTGTATCAGAAGATGAGGATGCAAGCTTTGAAGCACCCTCTGCCAAACCAGTAAGTGGTCTACCATTGCTACTGCAGTGCGCCTCTCATCGAGTGCAGATCCGCGCTATTGTGGAACCCGTAGATAAAGGAGGGAACCCGCTCTCTTTTGCTTTAGACACGAGATGGGCTGCGAAGTTTTTATCTTCCTTCAAGGTCGAAGACAGCAGCGACGAGACATTGACGAAGACGCTTCGGAATACCCGCGAGATGGCGGCAGAGACACTTAAAATTACCAAAGCCGTGACTACTACTGCAGACAATCGTACAACTTTGGAAGTGCATACTCTTCCCGGGCCAGAGAATAGTGCGCTCTCTGGTAGTGTTGGGATTTGGTGGTACCATTTGCACGGAGAAGCCCTGGACTGGAGCCAGTTCAAAGTGAGATATGTTTCGCTTCCATTTTATCTGGCTGACATGAAAACAGACTACTTGCATGACGATACCCAATCTCTCTGAGCGTACGCGATTCTTAATCTTTAAAACCTTGCACAAAGTCGAGAAAGAGTCTGTCAAAGCATTCCTCGGTGGCTTGTTCGTTGATCCCGGGACAGTCGTGCGCGGAGACGAATGCAATCAGCCGGACCCTCAATCAATTATTTTCTCTTGCACGCCTTATTTTGAAATACAAAAATCGCATCCCAGCAGTTCTGACAGCGACCGGCTACACCCTGCACGAACTCTAATTCAGACTTACTATCCTTACGAGCCAGTAAAGGATCGAGACGACGAACAAGCATACAGAAGCATTGGAAATGCGCGAGAAGGTGGCTTGATACACGTTCCGACACTGTGGATGCTTAACGTCGGCAACCGAGCAGTAGTCACTTGCGGCTACGGGCCCCTTTCAAGTGACTTCACCAAATCCATCAAGGTTCTCCGAGAAGACCTCAAGCAGCTTGGCGCTGGCACGGGAAACTCGATAACCTCTGTTCGGCTCACTGTCCCGGATGGGCGTGTTTTACTATACTCCCCTCAAGAATGCGGCACCTTCTTCCAGCTGGAGCAACGAACTAAGGAGCTGCAGCGATCTACTCGCGATTTGTGGTCCACGAATGACTCTCTATTACTTTTGCAACAGTGGGGAACGCAGACCGAAGTTACCCCTGAGAATTGGCCAGCTATAATTCGCCAACGACAGAGCCTTTTCATCGATGTGGCCGTAGCAGAAAAAAACTCGAAGGTATCTAGTAAACTTCCCCGGCCTCTTGTTGCAGGTATGACCCGCGATTCAGTACCACCTTTCTTCCATTGGCCGACTGCGCTAAGCAAGTACGAGACGAGCTTGGGCGTTGCAGCCACGGACGAAAAATACGCGACCAAATGTCTCGAGAAAGTGGAGCATGCGATGCTGAACGTGACTTTATACGGGTATCCGGATGGCCCAGTACAGCAAACGTTTACTTCGACAAAGTACTACGAATCTTTGCACGAAGACACTTTCGAAAACGTAGAGAAGTCAATATCTGCACAAATAAAAAAAGCGGACTCGGTGTCTTCTAGCTCTGAATGCACACACCACCAGAATCTTGTCCGCAGCCAATCGTCGAAGCTCCCCAGCAAAGCCCATGACTTTGCCGAGATTGTGCATGATACTCTGGGCTTATTTCTGGGAGACATCAACGGGCCTGTCCTGGTGCAGAAAGTCTGGGGAGCGATTGCCAACATTGCGGCAGTTGTGGAGAATCTTTCAAACCATCGAGGGTATGATCCAGATTCGAAAGAATACAATGATCCTGGCTGGAGAACGCCCAAAACGAAGACACGCGCGTGGAGAATTCGTATGCCGGATTCAACTTACACTTTTGCGAACGAACATGCTACAAAGTTCCATCTACCACTCCCAGGGGACGACAAGTACTTCGGCGCTACGCTGAAAAGATGCAGGCGATGCGCTCGCGAGCAACCCTTTGATGACCCCGATGCAGCTCTAGAGCACCTAAAAAAGCATGCTGCAGCCGAAGCCAGTAAACCAGGCGGATCCACTTCTAGTTCTTTCGTGAAAGACAACGAGCCTTGGAAAGACTGGATCCGTAATGACGACCAAGCTTTACTCGAATCAACCATGGCCGGTGCCTGCGCAATCTTGGACCGCGCCAATGAGGAGGCGCGCAAGATCTATGAGGAGCTCAAAGAACTTGCCGATGGCGTGCGCAATGAGCAGGGCGACCTGTCCAATCTCTATTCGTTCCCGCGGAAGCTGCTCGAGGCGCTACATCGCCTTATTGTGTTCTACCTTGCAGTTGAGCGGAGCCTACACTATATTGAGGAGTGTTTCAATGAGACTAGGAAAGGTGGATATCGAGAAGACTATCCGTACACTGATGCGGGCCTTGGGGTTCTGAACGCCTTCCGTGAAAGTGCAAAGGTGTCTGTGCTCCAAGCACGAGAGGAGCTGTGCGACATGGTGCGCTCGACCACGCCGAATGATGTTACGGAGAGACTGTCATGGGGTGCTGAGTCCATCTCAAGTTGGCTGATAAGGCGACTGATTGTTAAACCTCTAGAAAAAAGCATGACTGTCGGTGATATGTATCGCGAATACCTCTCAACTTTGGTAAGTAGAAGGGTAACGTTCATACACATCCTTGCTCACTGTAACTCAGCAATTCCAAGTCAACCACCGCCCAGGAAAGAGGCTCCTCCGTTCGATCAACCTCCTTCAAGAAGAGCTCACCATCCTCGCGCAAGTCAATGACTGGCAGACTCAACTCGTCACCAACTACATGACCGTCCTCGACGACGCCACCTACCCAGCCGACCTTCCTTACCGTCGCGCTCTCTACCCCTACGAGCGTCTCCTCCTGACCTCCTGCCTCGACAACCTCGCCCTCAACCGCGAAGAATACGACGACCAAATCCGCCGCTGTGGCCCACTCTCCAACAGCACCAAGCAAAGCGCCGAAATCAATGAGGAAGACCACGGCAAAGCCATCCTCGTCTTCACCGTGGTGACAGTCATCTTCCTCCCGCTCTCCTTCGTAACATCCTACCTCGGCATGAACACCAGCGACATCAGAGACATGGACAACAAGCAGTCACTGTTCTGGGAGATTGCGCTCCCACTCACCGTAGGCATCATGGCGATTATGCTGGCAATCGCGTATAATGGTGATGAGATCCGCGACTTTGCGGATTCCCTATATCGCGTAGTGACCGGAAAGCAGGACCGCCGGTTGTCGGCGGGCGGAATCAGCGTGCTGCAGAGGAAGCGCGCGGCGAAGGGCGCGGTGGACTCGGCGACTACGCTGTCTATGGCGGATGATGCGGAATACGTGGCTCCGCGCGCGCGACCAGACTACGAGGCCTGGCACGGCAATGCATGGGATCGGTCTAAGAAGACCGTACAAGCCCCTAATGTCACGGTGTACCGCGAAGAAATCGACGTTCTACCCCAGACCCGCTTCGCCCGTTCGTCGCGCATACCTGCATTGGGGACAAGCGCCTTTCCCAAACCCGTCCCGTACTCGTACACCGAGCCTGCAGGCATGCCCGTTGAGGAGTCCGCACCAACACGCCAAACATTCACCCGAACCCGGATGTCCAAAAAGACAGCGCTACAACAATCCTACTCTTCACGCTACGACCGCACGCCCCCACCGCCTCCACAGCCCCTACCGCTTCGTGAGCGTCCCACTTACACGAAGGTTCACAAAAAGTACGTCGTTCCCTCGGTACTGGACGACGCCTATCTGCCCTGGTCCTATGACGATAACGATCCAGACTACATCATCATAAGGCAAGATATGCAGAAGTGGGAGACGGATGCGCTGTTTGAGCGGAGCAGGGAGGTGAGGGAGGGCAGGGGTGGGAGTGGTGCGAGGACGTCGGGGAGGTATGGCGGTGCGAGGGCTGGACATGAGTATGTGTGGACGAGTAAGAAGGAGGGGGGGCGGAGGTCGAGACGGCGACGGGGAGGTAAGGATCAGGAATTGTGAGTAAAATATCAGATACAAAGTTAATCTCACTTGCCTTTCCTGCTTGGCTGAGACATGCACCACCCTGTCTTAACTCAACCCGATTTTTACTCTCGTCCTAGGTGACGGGCGTGTTGCGTGCAGAGCAGGCGATTTAGAAAGGGAGTAATGCAGGCGTATGTGGTGGAAAATGTACACGTGACATCAACCGGTAATATGAAGTCGCTAGGCCTCAGCCTCGTCGCTGCTGCCTCACATACTCATTTTATTTAACTTCGCCCAAATCCTGTCTAACCGGAACTGCCCTGCTTCATCGACCCATCCGCACACATAATCCCACATCCATTACTAGCACGCGTCAAGAATCCTTTCCCCATGCGCCTCTTACGGGTCCAGGGTGATGGCACTCTCGGCTTCGCCGAGTTCTTTGGTGCGGATGTCCCGCCATATGTGATTCTCTCGTATACCTGGGGAGCTGATCACGAGTAGGTGACCTTTGGAGACTGGATGGAGGGTACTGGTCTTACTAAGACTGGCTATCACAAACTTGCTTTCTGCAAAAAGCAAGCTGCACCAGACAACCTCCAATACTTCTGGGTGGATAGCTGTTGTATCGACAAACCTCATAGTCCTGAGCTTTCTGAGGCTATCAGCTCGATGTTCGATTAGTGTCGTAGCTCCGCAGTCTGCTATGCCTATTTGTGGGACGTCGTAGACGCACCGAGATCTGTTTCGATTCTCTTTCTCTAATCGTGTCGTTGGGGCTCTTCTTAGCGTTACCGATGTATCTCTTTGTGCACTGAGGCTCGGGAAGATACTGGAGTGACCGCCGCGACGTACATCTTGGATCTGAAGGTGGGAAGAACGACTAGATGATTATCGATCCTGGCAAACCTGACCAGGCGGCTTTGTCGCAAATAGAAGTGATCATTTGCAATTAATTTGTCTGTTGAGAAGGTCTGGACAGAAAGGACGAGAAAAGCAAGAACGGTGCGTTTCCGTCATCGACTGTGTATACTTTGCCCCTTCGCATCTCTACCCCAACCTATGAGCAAGAATCCACATCCACACTCTTACTCCACTCCCCACTTGTTTGCTTCGTTCCCTTGCCTTGAGCCAAAACAATGAAAACAAAAAAGAATACCACACATCTGTTCCGACACCGGGAATCGAACCCGGGCCACATCGGATCAATACCTAGACGATATGAGAGCGATGTATCCTAGCCACTAGACCATATCGGATGTGAAAGTGTGGTTGATGGTCACTATGGGGGTCGAACCCACGACCTTGGCGTTAACTCGCAGGAGATATTAGCACCACGCTCTAACCAACTGAGCTAAGCGACCGTTGATGATTGGTTGATTGATGAAACAGAATCTAATATTGCATATTATATACGCATACACAAAGCAGAGCAGACAATGAGAAGAGATGATGGGCAACGTAAGTAGTGCACTGGAGCAGCGGCTGTTGGGAAAGTGCCTGGTTCCGGTGGATGAAAGATTTTTTCTTCTCTGGGGAAGCGGCGAGTGTGGAACCGTGGAAACAGCGGGCGACCCACCCAACCTATCACCATTGCGAATCTTTTGAACAGCGCTCTACGCGGAACAGACCTTCAAGCACACTGTAATGACAAGTCTCTCGACTTATAACGAACGCTGCTGGAAGGTTACTGCGCGCTGATATTCTATATGGAGGAGAACAGTACCGCCTTGCACTCGGCTACATTCCGCTCTTCAACACATCACACATGCACTTTCTCGAACTCAGAACAAACTTCAAATTAAGCTAAACCATCTCTACACGGTATTACAAAGCTACTTTACAACTCCACTGCGTGCTTCACTACTACACGAAGAACCCGCCAGTAACAATAACCACAAGCCCCTCCCACCTAACGCAACAAGCCGCCAGGGTCGTCGGTGCAAAGCCCACGAGCCGAAATGCTCAAATCGTAAGTCGTAGAAAGTCATGAATGCCCGCCCGAAGGTGAGCGATCGCTGAAGCGCTGGAAACAGACTCGCAAGTTGATAGAAAAAGGAAGCTGGAGCTGAAACTAGGAGATGCCTGTCGCGGTGGCTGATGTGGCGAGTAAGTGGTAGTGTAGACATAGGAAAGGGGTATGTACAGGGACAAGGACAGGGATGCGGGGTGGCGAGTGTGAGTCTGAAGCGGTGAAAAGTGTCAACAGGGAGCAGTGCGGGGCGTGTGGGTATCTGCCGGCGACGTGGCTATCTTATCGTCGGATTCTAATGTTGTTGGGTTTGCGGGTTGGCCGCGGGCGGTTTATTCTTTAGGGTGGGTTGTTGTGCGCTGGTCGAGGTCCTAGGAGGTTGGGTGTTCCCTGTCGCCTGCAGCGCGCGCTGTTGTTCCGCCTCCTTCCTTTTGATCAGCAAGCTCTTGAACGCACCCAACCATTTCGAGAGGGCGTTCTCGTTGGGCGCGCTGAAGCGGAAGTTCTTCTCCTCGGAGATGACCTGGAAGCAGTGTTGCTTGCTCCTGGACGGAGGATCGATATCGACAGCGTCTATAATGCTTGAGAATGGGATGATGAGGTTGGCGGAGTACTCTTCTTCATTCTTGTAGAGCCCCAGCGCCTTTGGGCGAAGCACCACCCATACCTTCTTCCATTGGCGCACGCCGCCCTTTGATTTGAGTACGTACAGCCAGCCGTGATAGATGACTCGTTCGTTGTCTGGCAGCGTGCCAATATTGCTCTGTTGGCTGGTATTGTGGAGTTGCTGCTCTTTTGGCGGCGGGAGTGAATTGGTGGACTCGTGGAATTTGACATGCACAGGTCCGCCCGTGTCTGAGAAGTCGGACATGGACCCGTACTCATTGCCAGAGTATTGGAGGCTGTGCGAGGGCCGCCGCGCGCTGTGCATGTTTTCAGGTGCCACCGAGCTCGTGGGCCGCTCCACCTCGGACGAGCTCGACCCAATGATCTCCTTCTTCGACCGGTCGAAGCCGCTGAATGTCTTCTCCCCAGTTGGGCTCATGACGATCATCTCCTCCTCGTCCTCGTCTATGCGCGCCTCAGCCCGGATCAAATCAACCCATTCCTGTGCCTCCCTTTCCGTGGTAGCGCCGAAGTGATAGTTGCGCGCAGGCGAGAAGACGCCAAAAACATGCTGGATCTTCTTCTTGGAGTCCTTCTGGCGCGCGACGGCCGTGATTTCGGAGAGGGTGATTTGGTGGCGCAGCTTGGTCTCGTCCTTGTCGCGGTAGATGGAGAGCAGGTTCGGGCGGAGGACAATGTAGACGGGTTTCCAGTGCTGCGACAGTGTCAACACAGGCGCGGACAGGAGGCCGACAGGGCGCATACCTTGGTCTTGCGGGTGCGCTTCATGATGGTGCCGGACTTGACGACACGGTCAAACTCGAAGCTACCGTTCTGGTTCACTGGAGACATAACGCCGGCGTTGTCTGCGCGCAGGGCCTCGCAGCGCGGCTGGTGCGCGCGAGTCTCGAGCTTCATGGGCGGCGGGCGGATGTTGATGGGCTTGGTGGGCGTCTGGAGGCTGGGCTCGGCCATGGTGACTGCCATGTTCGGATGCGCTGCATCCACGGGCGGTCAGTGGTGTCCGTGTGTGGGCGAGGCGTGAAGGGGTTTTGGCCTGCGAACGGCGGTATGTTTGGGGGTGTCCGCTATGATTCTGGGTTAGTGCTATAGCAGGGAGATCGACAGCAACCGCAGGCTAGGCGAGCGGCAGGGGCCATGCGAGGGTGGAGCTTGGCCATCAGGCGCGAGCATGGACAGCAGCAGCGTGCGAGTGTGCGCAGGTGCCGCAGAAAGGTGGACTGCAGAAATACATATTCCAGCGCTGCTCGACGAAAGCCGTTGACGCGTCGATGCAGAGGCACAGCCTAGCTCCCGCGTTCGATCGGCGCTGACGTAGGACTGCGTCGCACACGGCGCGCCCCAGCCCGTAGTCATTATGAGTAGTGGGGTCGACGATACAAAATTCCATTGCCCGCGGTACAAAGGCACCGCAAACCGCGCTCGCCAGCACCTCGATCGCCAGTTCCCGCCCAGCGTCCTTGGTAATCTTGTCTATTTTTGACGCCCGCGCGACAGTTCCATCGCCTGCGCTGAAACACTCCTCCCACGCGCGAACCCACTGCCGCCCGCCAGGCACGCCCCGCCCGCACTGCGCGACAAGATTATTCTCGACCAGCCGACCCGCAAACATGCCCGTCGTGGCGCCCGAGAAGCTGGTGTCGCTGCAGCAGGCGGCTGAAGGCATCAGAAACGTACCTCAGACCCGACCGACCCTCGCCCTGTTCTGCAGACTAACAGTGCGCAGATATGCATCCTCGCCCATGTCGTACGCCGTCCGCACCTTCCCTCCCACCGCTCGAGCTAAAGTCGGCAGGACCATGGCAAGACGTCGCTCACCGACGCCCTCATCGCCACCAACGGCATCATATCGCCCAAGCTCGCCGGCAAGATACGGTACCTTGACTCGAGACCAGATGAACAGCTTCGAGGCATTACCATGGAGTCCTCTGCCATCTCGCTGTACTTTTCCCTGCTGCGGCGATCTGCACCCGACGCGCAGCCTGAACAGAAGGAGTTCTTGATAAACCTCATAGACTCGCCCGGCCACATTGACTTCAGCTACGAAGTCTCCACCGCCTCGCGCCTGTGCGACGGCGCTGTTGTGCTTGTAGATGCAGTGGAAGGCGTGTGTAGCCAGACTGTCACAGTGCTCCGACAGGCGTGGATCGAGAAGCTAAAACCCTTGCTCGTCATTAACAAAATGGACAGGCTGATTACAGAACTGAAGATGAGCCCAGGAGAGGCATACACACATCTAAGTAAGCTTTTGGAGCAGGTAAATGCCGTCATGGGCAGCTTCTACCAAGGTGAGCGCATGGAGGACGACCTCCGATGGCGAGAGAAGATGGAAGAGCGACTCAGCGCTGCCGCTGCCGAGAAGGAGACTTCAAGCTCTTCAGTCCTCGATAACGGGGACAGCATAGACACCACCAACACACCTGCCGAGTACGAGGAAAAGGATGACGAAGACATCTACTTCGCTCCTGAAAACAACAACGTCATTTTCAGCAGTGCCATCGATGGATGGGCATTTACTGTCAGACAGTTTGCAAGCCTATACGAGCGTAAGCTTGGCATCAAGCGCTCCGTACTAGAAAAGGTGCTGTGGGGCGACTACTACCTAGATCCTAGGACGAAACGTGTACTGGGCTACAAACATCTGAAGGGCCGACATCTCAAGCCCATGTTTGTCCAGCTAGTGCTCGACACCATATGGGCTGTGTATGAAGCAACCACGGGAGGTAACAATGGGAAGGGGTGCGTGGATTTCCTTTCCTCTTGTTTTGCGCTGTACATACCTTCTTCAATATACTCATACATACATCAACAGAGATCCCGCGATGATAGAGAAGATCACCAAGTCACTCAATTTGACCATTCCAGCGCACGTTTTGCGATCCCGCGACCCACGCGCGCTTCTGACTACACTTTTCGCGGCCTGGCTTCCCCTTTCCACAGCATTGCTCGTCTCTGTAACCGAGCATCTTCCATCGCCGCCCAAAGCACAAGCAGAACGCATTCCTGAAATTGTGGACAATTCTCCTGGAGCAGACTATGTTGCGCCCGAAGTTAGAGACGCCATGGTCGACTTCAAGACCTCCAAGGACGCGCCCGTGGTCGCGTACGTAAGCAAGATGGTCTCAATCCCGGAAAGCGAGCTGCCGGAGAACAAGCGAAGAGGAGGAGCATTGAGTGCCGAAGAGGCTCGAGAGCTTGGTCGCAAGAAGCGTGCGGAGATTGCCCGACAGCAAGCATTGGCGAGCGAAGGTGCCAACGACGTTGAAAGCGTGACCGAAGCACTCAGCTCAGCTGCCATCGGGGAGTCGGAAACACCCGAGGAGAGTGAGGAGACTCAAGAGGAGGTAGAGCATCTAATCGGTTTCGCGCGCATTTACTCAGGAACGCTGAGCGTTGGTGACGAGGTATACGTTCTGGGACCCAAGTTCACACCAGCAAGACCAAACACCGCACCTGAGCCCCAGAAGGTCAAGGTCACCGGGCTGTATCTCATGATGGGGCGCGGCTTGGAGTCTCTAACTACAGTACCTGCTGGTGTCGTGTTTGGTATCGGGGGTCTTGCTGGGCACGTCCTGAAATCAGGAACGTTATGCTCGCAGCTTCCGGGCTCAGTCAACTTGGCTGGTATCAACATGGGTACCCACCCTATTGTGCGAGTTGCACTAGAGCCAGAGAACCCCTACGACCTGGAGAAGATGATCAGTGGTTTGAAGTTGCTCGTTCAGAGCGACCCATGTGCTGAATACGAAGTGCTTCCAAGCGGTGAACATGTCATCCTCACTGCCGGTGAGTTACATTTCGAACGCTGTCTGAAGGATCTCAAGGAGCGGTTCGCAAAATGCGAGATACAGGCTGGTGCTCCTATCGTGCCTTACCGCGAATCTATCATTGCAGCCGCAGAGATGAATCCGCCGAAAGACCCGAATCTTCCTCGTGGAACTGTCGTTGGCGTCACAGTAAGCAAGCAGGTTTCCGTTCGCTTGCGTGTCCGTCCACTCCCAGCCAATGTGACAGAATTCCTTAGCAAGAACGCTGGTGCTATCAAGAGGCTCTTTAGCGATGAGAGGGAGGAGCAGGAAAGGCAGCAAGCCGCTGATGAGGCGACTGCGGAAGGCGATGGTATGGAGGAAGCCGAGCAGCTAGAGACTGGCCATACCCTCACCCTCGAAGAGTTCAAGAAGCAGCTAAAAGATGCATTCAACGACAAGGATAACAAATCCCAACGGGAAATATGGACGAATGTCATCGACACGATCGCAGCCTTCGGACCTAGGAGAATCGGGCCCAACATTCTCATTGACGCGACCAAGGAAGGCATCTGCGCCAAACCGTACGCAAGCCATTTCCCTTCCTCTCAGTCATGACTAACATGCCACAGACTCCGCGAATCTTCTACCCCCGAACCCAAACACTCATCCCACTCCACATCTGCCATAACCGCGCACACCCTCACCGACAAGATAACCTACGCCTTCCAGCTCGCCACGGCCCAGGGCCCACTCTGCGCCGAACCTGTCCAAGGCATCGCCGTCTTCCTCGAAGAAGTGATCCTCTCTCTCCCCGAAGAATCTGAAAACAGCTCTGAGCGCATGGGCCGCCTCACCGGCGAAGTCATCAAAACAGTGCGCTCCTCGATCCACGCGGGCTTCCTCGACTGGTCCCCACGCATGCTCCTCGCCATGTACACATGCGAAATCCAAGCCTCGACGGACGTCCTCGGTCGCGTCTACGCCGTACTGACGCGCCGTCGTGGACAGATCCTCTCAGAGACCATGTCCACCTCGTCCGCGTCGACGACAGGAAATCAGACCTTCACCATCACGGCGCTGCTCCCTGTCGCGGAGTCGTTCGGCTTCAGCGACGAGATCCGGAAGCGCAGTTCTGGAAGTGCGTCACCGCAGCTGCGGTTTGCGGGCTTCGAGATGCTGGATGAGGACCCGTTCTGGGTGCCGTTTACGGAGGATGAGCTTGAGGATCTGGGCGAGTTGGCGGATAAGGAGAATGTGGCAAAGAAGTATATGGAGCAGGTGAGGAGGAGGAAGGGGATGGTGGTTAGGGAGGTGCTGGTGAAGGATGCGGAAAAGCAGAAGAACATGAAGCGGTAGATGGGTGGGTGGGTCGTGTCGGGAAAACGGGGCAAGTAGATTCCAGATACAGCGTTAGATTTATATGAGTTCATGGATATGATCTACAGACTGGTTGGGCGGGAACTCTGCGTCAACTGCTGCACAGCCACAGCACAGAGTGAGGTGCTCAGTACGCGAAGCGCTTGTCGGATTGGGTTTGTAACACTGGACGGCTTTGCAGTCGACAAATAGACCCACCAACTAGCATCTCATAGCACATGTAAGTTGCCTTTCGGAATCTGTACAGAAAATTGCGACGTTCGGATGCAAAGTAAGTGAAGTGTGCGTCCTCGTATAAACAGTGCGCTCGGTAGCACAACGTTGCCCCGCCCCGGGTTGTGCATACTGAGGCGAGTTATCTACACCGGAAACCAACACTTATATATCTGAGGTCACACGGTAAGTACTTGCACCTTCTGTCATTCTCTTTTCCAAACCACTTCCGAAAGGATTGGCACCATTGCCGGAATTTCGTCTCTTTCGATTTTGAACTCGTTTGTACATCGCAGCTGCTATTTCTACTCTAGTCCTCATGTCGGAAGCATCTCACGACGCACCCCCAGATCCGTCGATAGACCCTCCTCGATGTTTCGCAAATCTGGGGTAGTCACCCGGAGTCCCGTCAATATGTGGTGGTAATACAGCTTCAGTGTATTCTGCATCCAGCGCAGACGAAGAATCCTGTACGCATCCGGCCACCATACTGCCTCCTTCAGGGTTGCCCTTACAATCGCCTGGAACCTATAGCCCACCCAAAGAATCTCAAAGTCACGCCTACGACGTGAATAAGCCCACCTGTTCGCTGAATCTTGTCTGCTATCGCAGTGGATCAGATGGCTGTGTGTCGAGTCAGATGAACACAATTCTGGCTTCCAAATTCGACGACGAGGCGAAGTACAAGCAGGCCATAGCCTCAGATCCTAGTTTAATTACCGACGACACAATTTTCTTCGAGCAGCTTCATCGACATTACTTGAAAGAATTGACGACCTTCTGGCGCACGCACTTTTCTCTAAAAAGCCTCACAGGCTTGCGGCTCTTAGAGGTGGCTCTCCAATCCTTCGGGCCAATGGTCGTGTAACAGATACCCTAACTTATGGTAGTACTCACCCGGCGCCCGACCGATAATAGTCCCTCTGGATGAATTTGTTCTCCAAGAGCTGTTCTACGCATACAGACACCCCCAGCAGGCCACGTCCAGTGGCCAGACCAACTGGATCGAGTGGGTCTTCCGTCTACGGCAGCAAAACAAGCGGCACGCGCTTGAGTTTGTCGAGGGATGGAATACCACACGCATCGTTATAGCTGGGGCGATACCATGGCTCATATCGTGCCTAGTTGGTATCGTTTGGACGGCGAAAGGTGGCGACGCGCAGACTGCATTTACAGTGGCTAGCTTTATACTAAGCTCTGGGACTGGTACGTGTATCTGTTGAGAGGAAGTACGTGATGTGACTGACTGTGGCTTGGATTTGCAGTTATGATTGCGCTGCTTGCTGTGGTTAGTGGTGTCGAGACCGTGGGGAGAGGTGTTGCTCCAGGGGCAAGTGCGTGGAGGGTGAGAGGTTCCGGAGAACCGGCCAGCTCCAGTGGTGATCTCCATGATCGTCTAAGCTCAGTGAAGTCGTAGCGGTGAGGGCATGCAGCGATGACTGCACTGTACTGCAGCGTTGGATCATCACTTTACGAGTCCGAACATGTTATTGAATCTCTACTCTAGCCGCAACAGTGTGAAATAGTCGATACTACCTTTAGATATATCGAGCGATACTTAGTGATGTTAAGGATACCTACCTATGGTATAAGTAACGCAGAGCTGCTGCACTAGGAGACGCGTCACCCAAAAGCAAGCTCGTGATGACTGTTGTTGATGAGGCTGAAGCGAGTTTCGTGTTGGTGCTTAAGAAATCAAGAAGCGTTCAGAATTGTTGCGCAAGTGACGGAGACCAACAATTTGATCCGCGTGCAAGATTCTCCGTCTCTTGGAACGCCGACGCGACTTGGTTACGACATGTGTCTATTGATTTCCTGGACTACTGATGTGACGCGTGTTTTCATGAAGTGGAGTATGGCGATCATCGTCCAGGACTGGGCACATTGCGACCGCAGCATGCTATCGTCGTCTAACGGATGGACGTCTGGGGCACTGTCTACATCAGTGCCTGTGAAATGTATACATAGCAACTTCCCTTCAACGTGAAGCAAACGACCGTTTGCGGTGTCGCAGGTGATGCAGCAGATATGCGCTAAGGCAAATTATGGCTTAGCGGGCTACCGACGAATGACGCGCGTTGTGGCGGAGACAGTGGAACACCAGCGCTGTCAGCGCCCGTTCGGGCCTTCTTTGTCTCGGAGTGCCTCTCTCGCAGCCTTCACTTCTGCCATATCCTTTTTACATACCAACTTCTTTCCTATAGTAGTCTCAAGATGATTTCGCGAACTCTCAACCTGGCGCTGGCCGCCGCAGGTGCGGCGAGCGCAATCCTGATTCCTCCCAGCGTCTCATCGGCTGAGCTGGACCTCGGGGACGACATGGCCATGGAGATCGTGGCCACCTCGTATCCCCGCAGCGTTTCGCTCGACTGCGCGACTTGCGAGTTCGCTTCCAAGGAGGCCGACGACCTTGTGTGGACGCAGCGCAACGGCAACTCGTTCGTATGGCACCCGGCCGGCGCTCCCGGCTGACAGCTACTGACATGTGGACAGCTGCTCGACTTCGAAGTAGGACCTCGCGAGGATTCTCTCACCATCGACGGCACCCAGCTGTACCCTCCCACCTTTGGCTACTTCACCCAGCCCTTCCGCGTAGCCCAGATCAACCCTGACGGCGAGAACCTGACCCTCCGCGTCACCGGCTACACCTTCCACTACAACTCCGCCGAAACCGTCTCTGAGGCGGGCATCGAACTCATCCCCATGACCTTCCAGATCAACTCGATCGAAGGAAAGGCTGTCGCTCCTCCCGCGCTTACCATCAATCTCCTCAAGGACCCGAACGGCAAGCTCATGATCGCCTCTTTCCAGACCGCGAAGCCCAACGAGAAGAGCCCCATCGACGAAGAGAAGGAGTGCAAGGAGTGGCCGCTGTACTGCAAGTGGAAGGCCATCATGGCCGACAAGGTCAATGGCATCAAGTCGCACATGGGTCGCCCAGGCTGCCACAAGAACAAGGGCAACCCGATGGCCGGCGAGCTCTACGAGGGCAAGCCGCCGCACCGCTTCCGCCCCGGCCATCCGCACCACCGCCCGCACCACATGGCGGGCAGCCACGGCCATCGTCACCACCGCGGCCACCGCATGCACATGATGCTCCGTCGCGTCTTCCTCACTGTCTTCATTCCCATCTTGATCGGCATCTTCGCGGGTACGCTCACCTACCTCGTCGGCATGGCGCTCGGCTGCCTCATTGCCGTCGTGGTCGCCAAGGCCCGCGGCCAGCCAATGTACGAGAGCGTTGCCCAAGAAGAAGAAGACTCTGAGAACGTGGAGGACCGCGGCGAAAAGGAGGTCTACACCGAGTCTGAACTTCCCCAGTACGATGCTCCTCCAGTCTACGAGGAGGCCGTGGAGAAAGAAGTTGTCGAGGACAAGCAATAGACTCGCAAATGCAAGGCATCGCAGCTGTAGGATATGATGCAGTGCGAAATGGTAGGATGCGTTATCCGATTGATTGCCAGCAACAAAGCGATTCTGTCATCACGGGCGCATTACGGTCCTTTTGATTTGTTTAGATTTCCTTTCTCACGAATCCCATTTGTATCATATTCGTAGCTGCTGCGCTTGTCGGCGTTGGTGATATACAAAATGTTCCGTTACACCTGCGTGCTTTGTTAGCTGTGTTACAGTGTTCGTTCCCTTCACTAGTCGTCCAATCATCTATGCCATTCTCTCACCTACTTACATTCATCGCAGCCTTTGCGTAGTACATCAGACTTTTCTCTTCCGTCTAACATAACGATGGTGCCTGCTCCTAGAGGACAAACGATCACTGCCTTCGCTGCTCGTTCTTCGTCTGTTTTCCAGTACATACCGGCCTTGCTTCCAGGCTGCGCTTGGCTGCACCTTCCCCGCCCCCGCCCCCGCCCTGACCCCCACCGCCCACCTTGTTGTCAGCCTGCTATCTTCAGATCCGCACCTGTACCAACAGGCACACCTTACGATAGGACGCCCTTACCACAGGAACACGCCGTGGCGCGATGCGCTTACTACGGGCTTCCACGATCCGCCTCGAATCCTTCTTCGACGAAGCGAAGACGCCTCCCTACGCTATCTTGAGCCACACCTGGGGCGATGAAGAAGTTAGCTTCCAGGACCTGGAGCATGTGAACAAACATCCTGATTATCCCCGCGCGCGGAAGATCTTATCATCGCAAGGGTATTACAAGATTCGCAAGTGTTGCGAATCCGCTCTGGCTGATGGTTGGGTGAGTTCCTCCTGTTGTATCACTCAATTTCCGCCTCTACTTGGGCTTCCCGAAGGGCTTGCTAACACTCTCGGTCAACGATGCAGGAGTATGTCTGGGTCGACACATGCTGCATCGATAAGACCAGCTCAGCTGAGCTCTCGGAGTCCATCAACAGCATGTTCAAGTGGTACAAGAACGCCGCCATATGCTATGCACACCTGGACGACATTGATTCATCAATTGTATTCCCGAATGAAAGTGACTCGCCACGCGAAGAGAACCTGAACAAGTTTTACTTCGCAATGGCACGATGGTTCACGAGAGGATGGACACTGCAGGAGCTCATAGCGCCCCGAGACATAGTATTCTTTTCGCACGACTGGAAAGACTTGGGGTGGAAATCTGGCATGTTGAATCTACTGGAAGAAATCACAGGTATCGATTCATTTTCGTTGGTAAGTTTGCCGCTCCATCATCTTCGGTATGGCTTCAACATATGGGGCCCAGGATACCAGCAGCTTCAGCTCTGGTCACTTCTTCCGGGCTCGTAAATGCTACTTGAATACTTGAGCTAGTCCCATTTAACATAACACTGACTGTGCATAGTCGGGCGAAAGCCTGGAAGCAGTCAGCATTGCACAAAGAATGAGCTGGGCAAAGAATAGACACACGACCAGGACTGAAGATATCGCCTATTGCTTGCTCGGAATTTTCGACGTGAACATGCCGCTAGTTTATGGAGAAGGAGAGAAGGCATTTGTCAGATTGCAAGAAGAGATCATGAAGGACTCAGACGATCAAACTCTGTTCGCGTGGGTGCCCGACAGCGCGAAGGATCAAGAGGTAACAGACTTCCAAAGATTGAGTGAGCAGTTGGGTTCGACTTATCGTTTGTCTCATGTAAACTTCAGGAGGGATACCAGAGGGATATTTGCAAAACATCCGCGCGAGTTTCGCGCCCCGTTGGTCTTGCGCGCATGGACACCACCTTCCTCTGGGCGATTAGAACAAGACCACGTCGATGCTGAAACGCCATATATGCTTACAAATAAGGGAATAGAAATAAAGCTGCGCTTCCTGGAGCCCTCATACGACGTATCTATAGCCGTGCTTAACTGCGGCGAAGCCACTGAAGAAAACGTCCTTTTTGGTATTGTCGTCCAAAAATCAATCCCTCGATTCTCGAATCGATTCTATCGGATGGAGCCCTATGGTCTGATAAGGATCAAACTAGATTATTTGCGCAATTCAACCCTCCGGCAGGTGTATTTGAGCAGGAAGCCTTACACGCTAATGCCATACTGAGGCAGGCCAAAGCCGAAACTGGATCTAGGGCAACAGAAAATATATTCTTGTCTCCACGGAAGGTCTCTCGTCATTCATATCAGAGATGCTGCTTGCAGAAGAAAAATGGTACCCTTTTTGGGAAGGAAGAAGGAAAGACGGAGAGCGGCGGCTCGAAGGCTCCATTTCAGTTTCCAGCACAAAACTGAAGCACAAAAGAAGCTGATCCGGCGATAAACGGCAACAGGAGCGTAGTATTCCAATCTTGCTGATAAGCCTCGAAATCTACAACTCCCTACCTACACGCCATCGCTTTCAAGGCCTTCGATGTCGCAACCAGCACCGTATTGCTTATCCATACTGGAACATCCACGCCACACCACCCACCCACCTACTCGCCACAACCCGGAAACCAAGTTATCCTCACCCTCTTCCCCTATCAAATCTTATCACCTTCGGCATCCTCGGATTCGAATGATTCTACAAAAGCCTCTCCAACCACTTCCCGGGGTGCCGCTCGATATTCTTCTTCGGCGGCACCGTGCGGCGTATCGAACACGTACTTGCCCAGCGCGAGATCCTTCGATGGCGCACCGCCGTAGTCCTCTACGAAGAGAGCGTGCTGGGCCGGATGGCGGCGGTCGCTCCATACGCGCACGACGACCCGGGTGCATCGACTTCCCGTTATCAATAGCTGCCAGCAGCACCCATGCTTCATAAGGGCTTGCGGTCACCGAACTAGGCTGCGTCTCGTCAGGGTACAAGCCCATCCTGCACCTCTGCTCCTCGACCTTTGGTTTTGCAGTAGTTCCGCTTTTGGATACTCTGATTGAGGAGCAGCTATTGGTATTGAGCTTCGAATTCGGCGGCTTCTTGGTCGATCCGGGCTTTCTCATGTTCTATCTCGCGTGACGTGCGCGGGATGGGCTTGGGAGCTGCGAGGAGAGGGCTGCGCGAGCGGTCTATTGATGTCGTTAGTGGTTGGATTTCCGCCATGGAGGGACTGGTTTACAGCAAGTCTCCTCTGTTTGTATAGGGGACGCGGAGCGTGGGCGTTGCGAGTAGTGGAGAGCTGGAGTCTGTGTCAGTAATCGTACAGTGGAAGACAGAAGAAGACATACTCGGCCTCCTAGATCTACTCTCACGGTGGCTCTCCGTCGTAAGGCCATCCCTCACGAAATCATCTGGGCTCCTGTCTTCGAGGATCCGTCCTCGTTCCTGAGTGTGGCGTCCAATTTCGTAGTTCGCTATGCCCACACCAGCAGAGCGGTTGTCGCGAGCAGCAGACATTCGGGCAACAGATGAAATGTAATGGGCATCGATCCGCTCAGGGCCGTTGCGCTTGTTGACATCGACATCGCTCCGGACGCTTGACAGCGGAGACGAGTCATGACCCTCTTCGCGGACAATGTGGCTACAGCGTGCTTAGCATACGCGCATACGAGGCGCTGCGAATAGGGGACACTTACGTGGTCGTGGGACCGTCCTGCTCGGGGCGATAGACCTCCTTGGACGTGTCTGCTTGCGCTCGCGCATGGCGTACCGCGACTGCTGGCTGAGTGGTAGAGTGGAAGGGCGCAAGGGCAAGCTATGGGATCTTGTTGAAATCTAGTCAAGCGTGGGTAGGAAGCTGTTGGCGTAGTGAATGCGCAGCCTCCGGCAGGGCTCTCTGTGCGGAGCTAGAGTAGGCTTCAGATTCAACTCGAGTACTCGCGCGCTGAGAGCAGAGGTTGTGTGTCTTGAAGCGCGTTTGGCAATTGCTGGAAATTTGCTCTACGGGTTTTGTGATCACACAAACATGTGTGTAAGATCATTAAACTGTATCTGATTTATCAGGCACTGGAGACTTCTTGGAGAGATGGAATCGACGCTGTGCCGAGAGTTGTTCAAATCGCGAGAGTGACCCACGCAGATGTTTTGTTGATGGAACTTGGACCCTCGGCCATTTATGACGAGTTGGTGTCCCACAGCACCAGATATTTGAGGCCAAGTTGCCATATATGCAGATAATCTTGATGCATGCAAAGGCCCGGTACCTACACACAAATACCTATCAGGATGCCCGGTGTGACTACCGCACTCCAAAACCTCCAATACCGCCACATTTGGCGTTATCTAGACAGATTTGCGTCCTTCAAGTAACATCATGAAGAGCCAGCCGGTGCCTCCTCCTCATTCTCCTCAGCCGCGGATCCCTCTCTTTCTTTCGGTCCTAGCTGACACCCCATACACCACTGCGCAACACCCAACACCGTCCCCGGCGCATCCATATCCCCATTGTACATCTCCTTATCCGTTTCCCACGTAAGTTCCGTAAATCTTGCGTCCTCCTCCTTCGCCCTCCCCTCTCCATCCATGCTCATCACCAATTTCGCACTCACCATAGCATACCCCGTCCAGCTCCTGAAAAACCGCACCGCCGCGTTGCCCTGCGCATCTGGCCCATCGGTATAAACGAACCACTTATCTTCCATCTGGTTGGGAATGAACCCATTGAGAAGCTTGGGAAGCTCAGAGGAGGGGATCACGTGGGACCAGGGCCGGGTGACGGGTTTGGAGAACGGCTTGTGTTTCCAGGAGGAGGCCGTTGCGCGGGTCGTGGAGGGGGCGCCGGGACGGCCATAGATGGACCAGTGCATGATGCGGGCTGTATCAGGTGCATGAGAGATGGAGTTGTCTGGAGAGGTGATTTCGTCTGCTGTGCTTGGGGTGGACATTTTGGTGGCTGTGGGGCAGGATCTTGGGGAGGTGAAGAATCTTGAGCGGGTAGAAGCGATGTGTGAAGGAAAATTATTCTTTGCAAGAAGTTTGAAACGTATTGACGAATATTGCCTTTGGTGATTACGTTTTATAGAGCTGGCGGAGGTTTCATGGGGCTGCCGAAGTGGGGGCAGGTTGCTGCCTAGATGTGGCAGTGTATGTAAGTCAGCCATCGACCAAGCCAGCGCAGCTTTAGCCACATGAAAACTATGAGATATACAGGAGATTCAAGCATTAGAAGATGACTCAACTTATGACTCCATGGTTTAACAAGGGTGCCTTGATTCCGATACCAGAGATGACAAGAGTTGGGATCAATCCGAACACGGTCGCTCACTGCATTATCCTAGTGCGAGAGAATGAGACCAACCTCCCCACACGACAGCCACATAACACTCTCACAGATGCCTCAGCAGATTTAGCAATCTGCTGGACGTACGTAAGCCTAAGCCATAGTAGCCATACGACACTAAGCGCGACAGGCTCGAAGCGTACATGGCATTGCTCGCAGCGTCTGTTCCAACGTTCAAGCCCGTGGTTCGAAGGAAAGGCAACCAAACTAATACTCAAAATATTTATCGTCTTTGTTTACGCTTTGCAACTGAATAAAAGAGGATGGGGAGTGGGCCATTCTCTCTGAGGAAAACCCTTCATGGAATGGCAAAGGTAGCCACAAAGTGACCACTGATGTGGCATTGGGCAACATCAACACAGCTGGGAACTCGAATGGCATCAACAAGATTACAACGGTGACCATCTCTCGCCAAGAGGATCGCGGAGGAGGGCACCGCAGCACCTTTTGTTGGCATGGACAAAGACCATCAAGAGTAGGAATTTGATAGAACACTGGCAGAACAAGTGAGAGGGTTATATATTTGGTGCGTCATGTTCGCACAATTCAGTACTGAACGATCTTGTTCTTTTTTAATCGTGCTCTCGAGCTTAACGCTTCTCGTGACTGTGGAAGCCAAACCTTCCCAGGAACTCATAGATCTCATTACCTCTGACCTTGTAAGACGCTTGCAACAGTTTCGTTTAGAAGAGAATTCCAAGCAATGGGCGAGGAGGATGCTGGCTACTGCGCCTTTCGTCACGCTAATAAAGGAAGTCTGTAAATCCGACCAGCCATCATCCAGTGATTCATACATCACCACTGAGCGCACTAATCGGATCATTTAGTAAGAAATAAAATAAGGTGCTATCTGCACCAGTCGTTCCGACCTTGAAGATTGTTCGAAACGGCCCTTCTCTGGCTACGATGGCAGGCCACGGGGGTGACGTCATCCACCCCATGGATTGAATCGTTGTCCGGAGTACACTCCGCGACAATTGCACATGGAACTGGATCAGCAGCTGTTCTATTGTAAGCCTTCCCAGGCCGAAACAATTGGATCGATGACTACAATGGCAGGAATAGGTAAAGGGCGGAGTGGCCTGTGTACAGAGGCTATATACTTCTGGTACAGACATTAAGATTAGTTCTCACGATACAAACGAACCTCACAAGACCTCAAAGATTTACGAAAATGGGGAAGTACATGGGATATGAAATCAACTCCTCGACCCAGGTTCCACGGAGCCATGGTGGAGTGAGCGACAGCGAGAGCAACGGTAAGCACGGAAGCGTGCAGCTTGCACTTGCGTCTATACATGAACCCCTAAGTCTTACTGACCGCACGCCATAGTCCTGCAACAACCCCTGCTCCAGCACTCCTCGCGCGCCATGTACCCCATGGCCAGCAAATCGATACCGACCGACGTCTTCAAGCCCGGCTTCTGCGACTCGGAAACGCCCATCGCAGCGGAGCTCACACAGTCGTTCCTTGACTTCGCATCGAAGAGTGGAGGCATAAATCTCAAGCAGATGGGTGTTAGGCCGGGGCAGAGATGGTGTGTTGAGGCGAGTAGGTGGCAACAGACCCTACAGCATGAGAAGGAGGCGGGAGTAGAGGTGCCGCCAGTTAAGCTGGCCTGCACGCATGAGAGTGCGTTGAAGACTGTAGATCTGGATTTGTTGAAGAAGTATGCAGCGCCTACGGATGCCTAGCCTTGTCGTGCGCGGACCATGTACTATCATACGCCATTGGGTTTGTTTTTGATCTTACTGGAGTACACTGGACCAGTAGAATAAACGAAAAAAGTATAAGTTCAAGAGAGAAATACCAAATTGTCGAAAATCTTATGGAATGACATGGAGTGACATTAGCGCAGGAAGTAATAACAAGAGCATGCCTTTAGTGCTGAACGAGCCGGGCCTACGGCAATTGTAGGGCTCACAATTCCAGAGTAATGGGCGTCAACGTTAGGTAGAGGACAAAACGACGCATAAGTAATGTACGCATGTCGACGAGGCACCCGTAAAACCCCACGTTCCGTCTTGTTCTCTTTACACTACACTTTGACCGCTTGGGTGATTGAAGATATTGACATTGAAGAAGCTTGTCTTGGTCTACGCCTCCGCGACTAGACTCTTGCAAGTAAAAATGTCACACTTCAAAGAGTTTCCGGTCATCACCAAGAGTATGAGGTATAGTCCCCACAGTTCACATTCATCTCCGTAAACTAAGAGCGATGTACAAGGCGCAATCGAGCGCGAACTAGATTCCGACGTTGCTAGAATCCAACGTGGCCATTTGCTATAGCGACGAGCATTGCAATGAACATGGCGGTAATAGCTAGCTATATCCAATCGTCAAGCCACTTTTCAACTTGACGCAGAGCAGAATGGCCAAACAGCGATGCTAGAAATGGCCTATATACATATATATACATATGGTCAATGCCGCGGAGATGGACTCCAGGAAGCCCCAAAAATTCAAGCTATTTTCTCTTCCGTGATCAGACTTTGGAACACGTGTTGTGGCTCGTTTTCCACACCAAAACTTCACCATGTCTTTTGTCCCAAGCGATATTAGAAAGGAGGAGCTCCGTGACGTTTTCGATATGCTCTTCAAGGCATACGACTGATCTTCCGCCTTCGTCAATGCCGTCTATCCCCACAAGCTGACCGAAAATTGCATTGAAGGTCTTGACGTGGTGATCGCGCGTCTGTAGTATCTGCGGAACATTGATCTCAGCATCAAATTGTACAAGGTCACAAACACAAAGACGGGAGAAATCGTTGCCGGCTCTCAGTAAAATATCTACGAAAAAGAGAAGCCAGCAGAGACGATGCTTGACGGTCCTCCGGGGGCCTGGGCAAGCGAAAAAGAGAGACGGTTTGCGATAGAAATGTTTGAGGCGTTCATTATGCTGAGATACGCGAGTTATCGACAGATCGATGCCCCGATCGTTTGTGAGTTCGCTGCCCCTGTAGTACATCCGTGACTAAGATGGAAGGCCTCAACATTATGGGCACGGCCAAAGTACCAGAATCAGGGAGCGGCGTCTCTGCAGATGAGAGGTATCGTGGATGAGCTCAATGCGCTAGTGGGTAGTTCTCAGAACCTGTGTTCTAATGCTTGCGAACAATATACAAGTTACTATAGAATATACTACTCAGGCTCGTTGGTTCTACAAGAGGAATGGATTCGTTGTCTCCAAGGACCCGGGGCACTGGAAGATCGAGGCAAAATCAGCGGAGTTCCTCCCAAGGCCGAAGGAATGGCTCTTCTTCATGGAGCGACCGAGGGCAAAGGAAGGTTATGCAGCGACCGGGTATTTACATGGCATCGATTGGAGGTTCTCATAACAGGTGCTTGTGTTGACCTATCCTCCTCGAAAGGACGGTCTGCGCGAGCATTGATTCTTCCTGAATTTTATAGTGTACCTTACGAGGGACTTAATGTTCTTAGTCACTTGAAATGATGATCGTTGAGACGGCCGCTCTGTCATGTGTCTGTCTGACGATAATACTCATCACTTCACTTGATTTCTGCAATTCTTTTTTTCTTCATCATCTAACCACTAAGTCAGACCTCGAAGAGTGCTTGTAGTCTTTGAGCTATGCCAAGGATAAGCAGCTCTATGCGCTGAGACAAGCTGTTTAAAGGGAACGTCCTGAGCTACGTGCAAAAAAACCGGATGCCAGGAAGTCTAAGCGAGCCACAGCTGAGCAAATGCTGACCCTACCTTGGCAACGACCTCACCGGGTATACGAAGTTCCGATGTAAGCTGATCCTCTCGAGGTTGAAACTCGCATACAACAATGTCCTAGACGTTAGTTCCGAGTATACTTGTACCAACCTCACCAAATAGGCATTTTCGTACCACCATGACCTCGTCCCAAAGTCGCATAGCTGAGCTCGCAGCAGCAGTTGCCCAGAATACGCAGCTCATCGATCAATACCTCTCCGAGAAGGGTCTGCCACATCCCTCATTTGATGCCACCGGTCCGGCTGATTTCAATCTGCCACCGGAGCTCGAACGAGCGCGCGTCGCAGTCCTGCAAGCAACGCAAGAATTGAATGATCTTCTTCAAGGCCCCAGGAATCTTGTTGAAAACCATCAAGTCTGTCAGCCAAATCCAACGACGTGATGCGTGACACAGGGCTAATGTGACAGCACAATCTACTGGTTCCCCTCAAGCTGATTGCACACTTTGACATCGCACAAAAAGTCCCTTTGGATGGAGAAACTACGTTCAAAGCACTTGCAGAAGCCACAAACATCGAGCAAGGGGCACTTACACGCATTCTTCGTCTCGGCATCGCAAATCGCATTTTCAGAGAGCCACGGCATGGAGTGATTGCACATTCAGCCGCATCGAGGGAGATCGCCGAGGATGAGGGACTTGCTGGTTGGGTACGCGCTAGCGTGGAAGAGATGTGGCCGGCTGCAGAGAAGACAGTTGATGCACTGAAGAAGTGGCCCCGAGCCGACGAGCCGAACCAAACGGTATGCAGGTCGTGACATGAATTTGATGTCAACACTGACGATGGCCCAGGGCTTTGCACTGGCTAACCAATCCGACAAACCCTTTTATGCTGTGCTTGCCCAAGATCCGCAGCGCGCGAAGCGATTCGGCCAGGCCATGAGCTTCTACACCACGGGCGAAGGGTTCTCCTTGCGGCACCTGACGGACGGATATCCGTGGGACACAGTTCCCGGCACCGTCATCGATCTTGGGGGCTCCCATGGTGATGCAGCTTTTGCTTTGGCTCGCAAATATCCAGACCTCCGCCTGATAGTTCAAGAACTGCCCGGAGTAGTCGACAACGCGAAGCCAGTGGAAGGCCTCAACGTTAACTTCATAGCGCACGATTTCTTCCAACCGCAGCCAGTGAAAGGTGCAGATGTCTACTTCTTTCGCTGGATCCTGCACAACTGGCCGGATCAATACTGTATCCAGATTCTAAGGGCGCTGATACCGGCGCTGAAGACGGGTGCGAAAATACTAGTGATGGATTTTGTGATGCCTCCACCTGGCTCCCTGCCAAACCATCTTGATCGAAAATTGAGGTAAGTTTGTCCGAGTCTCCCTCAACGGACACTGCTCACGCGAACCTAGAGCTTTTGACCTCACAATGTTGGAAATCGGCAACGCGAAGGAGCGCGATTTGAATGAATGGAAGGCGTTGTTCGCGGAGGCCGACGCGAGATTTGTGTTCAAAGGAGTGAAGCAGCCTCCGGGATCTAGGCTTACTATCATTGAGACGTCGTGGGAAGAATGATTCTGAAGTTTTCGATGAGATTTCGTTGTTGCGAGTGGATGGATGATGTCGTTGCATGGTCTTCTTCGGTGTGTAGAATTCGTATAATGTATGTCAATCTAAAACCATGCTACCCGTGATTATGCGACTGAAGACTTCCGGTCACGAGGAAAATGCGTCTTTTGGTTCTCGCACGCGTCGTTACCAAACAACTGTCCACAATTGGTGAGAACGCGGGGGCGCATCCTCACAAAAAAGTGAACCACAACTACCAGCACCTTCACTCCTCCATCTGCCGTCCACAACGAATGCACGAGCACACACACATCATTTCTAACCTGCGAAAAAAGCATCCAGGTACACCGCAAGAATGCCTCGCACAACGGACAATGCGAATGAATACATGCAAGCGCTCCAGCTTGTCCTCTACGACGACCCCAGCACCAGCACCCGCGAAGTCCTCAAAAAATACCTACTTGACGTCTGCATGCCTGGCTCCTTCGTGCACGACGACTGGGTCTCGCCCGCCACCACGCACCAGGCCCTCGAAAAGCTCGCCTACCACCCTGCCATGTCGCCTAACCTCCAGTAAACCTACGACACCCCCACCAATATCAAGAACAACGTCTACTTCATGTGGGACCATTTCGGTCGCACGCTCGGCCAGTGATCCGGCATGGATCCTGAGTTGTCGAACGTGATTGACGAACCGATGCAGGACGTCGTCCGCACGACGGCGGCTAACCTGATCCTCGACGTGCAGCAGGGCGTGCTGGATGGGATGACGGAGTCGCAGCACCCGGAGCAGCGCGGCAAGCACCTTGCGTTCGGCGAAGGGATTCTCGCTCTCGCGCGGGAGATAATTAAGTTGAAAGATTCCACCGGGGAGGGCTGCGAGGTGTGAGTGCGGCACACGGCGTGGGACGGGTCGAGACGGCTGTTCAAGTGCGGCGGGCGCCAGAAGACGCAGTATTGCAGCGTGCAGTGCCAAAATAGGGGCTGGAAGAAGAACGATCATAAAGGGCGATGCAAAAATTGACAGGGAAAGACGGCAGCGGTTGAGGAAATGTAGGAGTGCGAGGGCGGAAGGCTGTATGAGGATATGGAGCAGAACGAGGGCGTGCGGACGGGGGTGAAGGAATACGCCAAAGAGCATCCGCAGTGTGCAGATCAGGTGATGCCGAAGGAGATGCGGGATGCTGGTTTAGATTCAGTGCTCTTCGCGTACGTTTGCAAGTCACGGCGAAAAGCAATGCGGGGGGGCTCGATGGGGAGCTGAAAAACAAATGTTCAAAACCAGGCCAGACGGAGCAATGCGCCTTTTGCCTTTCGAAAAAGATCACAGATGAAAGACTACGTCTCGTATCCTACACAGCAAATCCGCCTGCTGGCATACCAAGCCTACGCTCCTCTCGCCATCCACCTACGCGCAGCCACTTCCTAAGCATGCCACTCAACCGACCTCCTCGCGTTCGAGAACGGCTTCTCCTGACACTGGCTGCTCGTATCGCCCCAAGCCTGCTGACTATAAACCCCATGCTCCTTCCAGCTCCAGCTCGTCCCATCCTTCAACCACAGATTAATCGTTGCCGTGTACCCCAGATCCGCCTTCCCACTTTTCGCCGTCGCCTGGCACCAGACGTGTTTACCCGGCTTGATCGGCGCCTCGTACGTGATCGTGCGCGAGACCTCCGTCTCCTTGGTCTCGACCTTCTCGTTGGTCTGGCTGTAGCCGTAGGAGAGCTCGACGCCACCGCCGACGCTGAAGGCGAGGATAGAGGCCTCCCAGTTCACGGAGACGGAGGTGCCGAAGGTTTTTGTGACGGAGGTGGTCGTGGAGGTCGAGGTGTGGACGGAGGCGGTCGTTTCAAAGGACCAGTTTATGGTGGCGTTGAGGTCGTTGGCGTGGTCGTACGAGTCGACGATTTGGAGTTCAATGCCCCTGGTGAACATTAGCATCCGTCAAACTGGGATCCATCGGGAGTGTTCCACGTACTTCTGCTGCGCATTCAAGTTCTCAGGCGACTCGTCGAACACGGGGTCCGTCATGGTGATGTGGTCGATCTGGCTGCGCAGAAACAGCGCATAGCCCTGCTTGATGTCATTTGCACCCCAGCCGCCAAAACCCAGCATCACGCCCGCGCCGACATCGATGGGGAACTCCGTCTTCTTCGAGCGCGTATCATGCCTGTTTCCAACATCGAACTCGCGGCCATCCGTCAGCACCATGCGGATATTCCCGAGCTTCTTCCCCCCACCATTTCCCCAAAGACTGAAGCTATCGATGAATGTCTTGCTGTACTCCCAGTCGATGCTCTGGTGCTGCGGGCTCGACCCGGGCACGCCGAAGATTCCGTGCCGGTCGCCGTTGGCGTACTGAATCTGCAGCGCGTTGATGCCCTCGCCTTCGTCGTACCAGACGTCGAGACCTGTCACGGGGATTCCCACGTCCCAGAGCGAGGAGCAAAATTCCACATTATCCGTGTTCTCGCCAGCTTTTGAGTCGCCGATTTTCCAGACGTGGGCAAAAGGCCCGGTTGAGCAGTCTGCTGCGTCGACGGTGGAGAAGAGAGTGGTGAGGGCGAGAGCAGCTCCGCAGAGGAGCCTGGAGGAAGGGATGATCATGGAGAGGGAAAAGTGGTAATAAAAGATTGAGTTGGCGGGATCGAACGAATGAATGTTTGAGATGTTGAGTAACGACTGAATTAATGACAAGTAAAGAATGTAGGGAAGACGAGAAGCGAACTGTACTGTGCGGGATGATGCGATATGGGAGGACCTGTACAGCGTTATATACTACATGCAAGCACCGGAGTTTCGGTGCTGAGCTAGAAAATCTATGGACTTTGCTGATCGAGCTGATAGACTTTTCGGTAGGTCGAAAGCATATATTTTCCTCTCTACGGGTCCTTTTCTGAACTCCGGCAGCTGAGCTGAGGCTTGGCGTTGGCGAGCATTCTTAGCGACTATTATCGTATTCAGAGGTGGGTCATCCGAGTGATCCCTAACCTGAGAAGCTTAGTGGGATAAACGTTAAATTGCTTGGATAGTGTATGTTTGGTCTTGTGGCTGGGCTTTCTTTCTCCGTCGTTGTTGGCGTCTGCGTGTGTATTCAATCATAGATAACTGTCTTCTTGAACCGCTGCTCTGTCATGTCAATCGATGGAAGCCAGGGCACCGCATATCATGTTTTAGTGTCGAGGTCAGTTCTAGCGCTTGATCAAGAGTCCTTGCTCGTGTGAGTGGAGATGTACGGACTGCATAGGGGCAGGAAGTGCTTATTCATCGCGGAGCGGGCACCAACCGGACCTTGGCGATCAATCAGCATGCAACATTTGCGTGCCGATGAGCACCCAATAGAAATACACAAAAGTGACAGAAAATGTGGTCACGCGGAATTGCATGGTTCCCTTGATGGTAAAGGGCGAAAGTGAGGGTATAATATTGTTATCAATTATCTCGACAAGTTCTCAAGCGTCCCTCTCCTGCTGAGGTGAGCGGCTGGATTATGAAGCCATCCAACGATTCTCATTGGGACTGTCCTCGGGGCATCTATCAGAGAAGGACAACAATGACAGTGCCAATTTTAGTCGTAGGACGGCTTCAGGTTCAAGCTCTCAAATTCTCAGGAGATGGAAGCGGTGAGTCTGCCGAAGAAACCGACCCAGCGAGCGGGATAGATCATGCACTCTAGAACAACCACGAGACAAACGTGCGGTAGAACCAATTCTGCTTGCCGGCGGGTCGCGCAGCCTTTGCGGCCAGGAAAGCCTCTTCCTCGCGATCGATCTCGTCCTTGCCCGTGTAGAAGTCCGCTGGAAGATAATTAGCAGATATACAATTGTACAAGGCGTCGAGTTTGACTTACCCTCGAGCGGTCGGACGCGCCGGGACTTCATGGTGAACTTGTAGCCGAAAATGCAGATCAGGTACACCGGAATAGCGAGATACCCAGTAACGAAGTTCTTGTAGTCAAAGTTTCCGTATTTCGGAGAGCGAGTGAAAACGTTGAAGTTCTTGGTCAAGGCAATAAGGACGCAGAAGAAGAGGGCGAAGTACGAGCCCCAGATACCCAACGGCGCAACAAACGGCATCTGTGCGTCCGTGATGCCTTGAGCCTTGCGGGCTTTGACGAAGAAAATGTGGGTGACCAAGAGCGAGATCCAGGCGCAGAGACCGAAGATAGACACCAAGTTGACAAAGTAGCTGAAGACTTCAGTGGAGTCCTTTGCGGCGTTCATGAAGGCGCTGCAGCAGAAGAGTGCTGAGATGGCGAGGGCGGGAACGGGCACACCGCGCTTGTCAGTCCACCTGAAGATCTTGGGTGCGTGGCCACGCTCGGCAAGACCGAAGATCGTGCGGGACGCAATGTACAAATCCGAGTTCGACGCGCTGAAGGTGAACAGCAGGATGCAACCGTTCACGATACCAGCGAGATGCGGAATATTGGCGTTTGCGATGGCAATGACGAACGGGGACGCCTTTGCGCTGGTCTTCGCCGAGTTGGCCTTGATAAGAGCGGGGTCGTTGTACGCAATTAGCATGCCCAGGAAGAAGACGCTCAAGACGTAGAAGAACAGGATCCGGTAGAACGTCAGCTTGATGGCCCGGGGGATGGTCTTACGAGGGTTCTGGGCCTCTCCGACGGTCACACCGATCAGCTCCGTGCCGAGATAGGCAAACACTGCGTTAACGAAAGAGCTCCAGAAGCCGTAGAACTTGCCTGCCGACGCATCGCCCTTCTGGATGTACGGCGCAAATGCTCCGGGGTTCTTCCAGTACTTGAATCCGGTTGCGGGTCCTGGGCCAGCTCCAACAGCAAGGAGGAAGGATAGGAAGATAACGCCAATGATGACCACAACCTTGACCGAACTGAGCCAGAATTCAAGCTCTCCAAAGAAGCGGATACCAAAGTAGTTGATGGCTATGATGACGACCAAAAACACGGCGATGAACACTCCCGGATTCACCTTGTCGGGTGGACACCAGTATTGAATGATCAAAGCAGTCGCCGTCAGCTGATTTGGCGTAGTAATGATGTATTTGCACCAGTAGGTCCATCCAAGAGCAAAACCAAGAGCGGGGTCGACGAAACGGGTCGCGTAGCCAGAGAAACCAGATGCGTGTGGGAGCCATGCTGCCATCTCGCCGAGGCCGCTCATGACGATCCAGACGAGGAAACCGACGAAAGTGTAAGAGATGAGAATCGAGGCGGGTCTGCGTGGATTAGCATACGAATACTGAACACGGAACCATTGTCGCCTACCCAGATTGTGCCAGCGCCTTTCCTGTACCAATAATCAAACCAGTTCCGATAGCACCACCGATAGCAATCATAGTGATATGGCGCGACTTGAGACCACGGTGCAAGTGCTGGTGATCTTGGTACTCAACGACTCCATCGGCGGTCACTGGTGCTGCGGTGACACCCGCCTCATATTCCGTCTTGCCATATTCCGCGTTCGCCCCGTCCGAGGACGAATTCGAGTGTCGGTTAATAATGGCCATGTTGACTGGGTCTCAAGCTGAGAGGGCGAGCTTGAGTGGATATGTAGGCGACAGCAGCGAGCAAAGATTGTGCGAAGTGACAATCTTTGCAGGAGTGGGTGCTCCTGTAAATACGTAGGCGACCGACGCAAACAGCGAAAAAAGCCTCGGGTCTGTCGTGTTGCGGGCTTGACCGGTATATATACGATCAAGGCAGAGCCGAGCACCAAGCACGGCGGCTGGGGAACAAGCGATTTTCAGCTAGGCTTACGCTGCGGCGCCACGGCACGAGCGACGTAACCTCAGAGAAGCCAAGAAGAGCCGATGGAAGAGGGAGCGAAAGAGATTTGCGCACAGGTTGGCGCACGATACAGCGCGCATGCGGCCTACATCGGTTTTACGTACAGCTCCAATGGCTAGTTCGTGTGCACCCCACAAGAGTGAGCGGCACAGCGAGCTTCCTGTCTAGGAACGGTGCGTTCGTCGACCCCGTCTGTGTGCACTTGGCAGGCGTATTGGCGTTGGGCCAAGCCATTGCGAATTGATAAGGCTTCTGGAATGTGGCGCAGAATAGGTCGCACAGATTAGACTCGGGCGCTATGGCTGAAGCGCCCTGCCATCGGGGCGCTTGTCCCTGACCTTGAGCACCGTCTCCGGAGCAAACGCGGCTCTGCTGGACGCGCCGACTGCGCGGATAGTAAACATGTTGTGCTCGAGACAAGGCTAGAGGAACATGCGCGTGGCGGATCAAGGTGGGGAAGCCGTGCGGTGCCCAGGCGCCAGCACGTTGCTCACCCCAGCGCTAGATCTCGGACAGGCCTAGCGCGCGCGAGTGCACGATGAATTTCGTTATCATGGTCAGCACCCACCACCATGGAAGAGGAAATTTGCGGCTCGCCAGCCGACACTTATCTGCAGAAACTTCCAAGAGCTGCATGGCCTGCTATGGTTTGGAATCCTTAGCTGCGCGGCAGCCATGCTCTGGACCTAGGATATCCTTGAGCGTCCCTCATCCCGGGTGCTGGTACGCTGCGCTATGCGGATGCGACGCGCGCCCCGTCAACTCCAAGGGAAGAGCCGCAGACTATTCCCATGCTTACCCAACTCAGATACGTCGTGATAGCATGCAAACCAATCAAGCTCAGATATTCCACAACTCGCGTGACTGGAGACGAACGTGGTCGAATCCAAGTATTGGGAGTTTTTGCCAGGATCAATAACCTTCATGCTGGCCAGGCCATGTGACGTGTCCTTAGCCTACTCCAGATGAGAAGGTCCGAAACAAGAGGGCCGCGCTGTATAAGGCCGATGCCTACGCCGCCTTGAATTGCTAGGCCTGGGCATGGTCTGCAAGGGGAAACTGCCTTCCCTGCCGGTCACGCGCGGCTAAGGAAAAAGGTCCCTAGCAACCAACACCCTGTTAACACGACGTTGGGCTCAACAACTCAAGTGCTTGGAACGACGTTTTTTCTTTCTGCCATGCCACACTACAGGTAAAAGCATCTGCAAACATGTTCACGAATCGTTATCACGAATCGTTATCACGCCAAGTCGGAGGCCCATATGAGGCCCACAGCTCCACTTCGCAGCGTCTACACACGCGGCCACTACAGCGATATGTACGATTACTGTCCATGCTCTACGCGGTATGCAAGGGTCCAGAAACATATTTAGACACCATATACAGACGCCTTCTGTAACGCTGATTGTCGACTACTTCCAGTTTTTCGGACTTTTTCGCAGGCTCGTTACTTCTTCGTTTCATCACTGCTCCTAAAAGCCTGCAATGCGACAGCACAAGACAGTGCTTCAGACTAACAGCAGAAAGGTATCCTTACGATTAAGCAACAAGCAAGCACACTAGTCAAACCCTCCTTCCATCAAGGCCAGCCCGTCCCGCCTATCATCACGGGTCGGGCCGCCTACGCACACGCAAACTCCATAGATCGCAAATATGTGCAGTCCAAGCCTGGACAGTCCAGTACCGTCCCCTGCACCATGCATCCCAGCCACCACGCACCCCATCCATATGTGCAAACCGCACATCCAGCCCACGTCTACTTACTCCTTCTGTCCCTCATTAAGCACTAGCTCGACCACAACCTGGCAGCGCTCCTGCTGCGGATGCTGCAAACTCAGCTTGATCGTCCGCGTATGCGAGCTACCCCCGCTAAGCCCGTCGTCGAGACACTTGACATCTCTCCCCGAGATGACCTGTCTGAGCCGCCCATTCTGCGCATTCCGAATCTCGACGAAGTCGGGGTCGAACAGCAGCACGTACGGCCCGTACATCGCCGCGCTCTTGGCCTTGCCCACAAACTCCATGATGACGGAGCGTGAGATGTCGCCCAGCTTGTTGACGTAGACCGCGCACTCTTCGTAGCACAGCAAGAACTCCTGGTCCGAGAGGCGGAACATGCCGAGCGGTTTTTGGTCCTGGAGGCGCGACGCGATGGTCGCGACGTGGGACTGCCGGAGGTCTGGCACAGACCAGGGCTGTTTTTTGTCCAAGGTGAGGACTTCGAATCCTTTGGCTGTGGAGATGGCAAGAGAGGAGTGGAAGAGGTCGATGCCGAAGCAGTCGGTGGGGATGTAGAACTCGTCGTACTCGCGGAAAAACTCTGTGCGGCCGGATTTCCATATCCGGGATTTCTTCTCTGTTGACTTCTGGTACACGGGTTCCAGGACCTTGAAAGTTGATGAGAGGCCTTCACGCTTCTTGTAGAAGACTAGTGTTCGGTCCTTCATGACACCGGTCGCGAAGAAGCCGATATCTCGCGCACCCGAGAGCTTCTGGGGTGCTCGTCGTGTGGAATCGTTACTGGGCGTTACGCCGCTCACCGGGCAGACAGCGTCGAGGTGATAGGCAACTAATGATTTGTCGGATATGAGCAGCATGAGGCTGAACTGCTCCAGTACCGCGATCTGTGTGACCTTGGGTATTTGAATTGCCTGCATTCTGTTAGACGGACCTGGGTCATCTTGCAAGAGGATCTCACCTTAGTCCAGCCTCGCGGGTTGTCGTACTCAGAGATGTAGACACCAATGTCCGTCCCTACGGCAACCATGTGCTTGCCGTATGGTTGGTTGAAGGCGGTGGCGCAGTTCACCCGAGCGCGACAGATAGGAACAGGTCGACCGGAATTGGAGAAGAGCTTCTCGACTTCGTCTATCGATCGATCGAGCGGCGTGCCCTTGATCGTGATGCTCTTCTGAGATGGCATGGCGCTTTCGTAGGCGAAGGCAGCATCTGCCATGACTCTTAACCTGAATGGTTCAGCATTCTGTGAGAACAGAGCTGCTGCGTGGTTTGTCTTGGCGATAATGAGCTTGTCGCACCATTCTGCCCGGTTCTGCGCGGTAGGAGCAAACAGTGTGTAAGTTTCTTTACCCAGATGTTTGATGCGGAACGGATACATAATCTTCTCGTCTCTTCCGTTTTCTAGGTTAACGGGTTGGCCTATCGTCTTCCCTGATCCACCAGTGTTGGTTGATGACAGCGAGTTCGACGTATTGGTGTGGACCAACATGCCCGGCACGGGTCCATTTACACCGGCACCCCGCGCCATACGAACTTCCGATGTGCTCTTTGCCACCGGTGTAACGGCAGCGATGCCCTTGACTGCGGATCGGATAACGGGGTCATCGTCTTCGCTCTCCAAGACTAAGAGATCCATGGGAATAGGTAGCCTGGAGACGTCGTACTTTTCGGACTTTGTCACCCCGTCTTGCTCCCGGTAAGTAACGGTCTTCGCAAGGACCAGGTAGTGATCGAACAGAAGAGCATGAGTCTCGAGCCACGTGAACCTGTTGCCTCCCATCCTCAACAGATCGCCCTTGAAGATGAGTTCTCGCCCGAGGTGATCAAGATTGAGCTCCACACGCTGCATACCGGGTCGCAAGATAAGCTTCGCCTGAAGATCACTCAGGTCCACCTTCCTTGTCATTTCGGCGACGCGGGTATCGCACTCCATCGTAACCGCCTTGATCTCGTCGCGTGCCATCTCCAGATTTCTCTTCTCCTCATTTTCTATCTTAGACTTCTTAAGCACAGAGTCAATGAGGAGACCGTAGTGCTGCAGTCGCGTAATCGGGCCCTTCAAGAAAGTGTTCCAGTCAAGCTTGTTTGCTGCCTTGTTGTTCCGAGCCTCATCCAGGAACGTCCTGAATAGCATGTTCTTGTCGGCTTCCTGACGAACCAGGAAGTTAGCATATGGAAAAGACGAGGAGTATTCGATGTAGGCCTGTTTCGCTTTCCGAATCCATTCTCTGAAGATGTCGCTAAAACCCACGACCCACGGCCCTTGCTCTTGCTGTCGGTACTTCATCTGAGGTAGGAGATGCTCCTCGTTGGCCTTCTTTACAGCGTCTACCTTGCTGAACACATCCTTGATGAATTTGTTTAGCTTCTTCGGAGGAATGACTGGCGGTTGCGCAGAGATCAAACGGTCTCGGTAAAGCGTGCGAAGGACATCTAATCGCTGCATATAAGCGTCTTCACCTTGCACGATCTCGTGCAAGATGTTCTGTCGTTCGATTTCCTTCTTGTCTGCGGTTGCAATGGAATCCTTTGTCAAGCCGTAGAAAGTCGCCCAGTCACCAGATTGCTTGGATATTGACGGAGACGTCAAGTCAAGCTTTTTGATTGTGCGCTGGCAATGGTGTGAGTAGCAGCGCCCAGGCATAGTTTCTTGATGCAACTTCGGTGCATAGCAACCAGCGTTCGTCAATTGATATATCACACCAGTCATCGTCTCCGATGAGAATTTCAGCCACTCTTCCTCATGCACTAGCGTCCCGGCCTTGTACATTTCGGCCACGACGCGGCTTGCGAGTGTTTCGGCATCGGCGATATTCATTGTGGGCACTTTGTGCGTGAAGAGAGCGATCAATCCCTCTCGGATTGGCCCCTCCTTCAAGTCATTCTCACCTTCTGTCATGTGCTTGAGCCATGCAATGATGGAGCTCAATGCCCAAGGCTCAGTGCACTTCTTGAAGTCGCTGGTTGAAAGCTTGGCTGGGTTGAAGCGCTTTCCGGCGGGCAGTGTTGGCAGGTCAATGGCCACTGCGTCGGCACTGCCTGGGGTCAGTGTGTTGTTGTCGCTGTCAATCGGCCCACCGTAGAACGTTTGACGGTTTGCCTGCTGTCGGGGCTTGTACCCTTGCTCGGCATCTGTCTTTGATCTGGGAAGAGGCACAGCTTGTGGTGTATTGCTGTGTTGCAAAAGAGATGTGGAGCGAGGCACGAGGGTGCCGGTCGGTGACACCATGTGCATCGTATTCGGGTCTGCGGGGTATGAACCGCGAGAGGACTGTGAGTTGCGCCAATACTCGTAGGAGCCGGAAGAGCTCGTGCTAGCGTGGTGACCTCGCCGGTTGCCACTTGCTGGTGGAGGCGGCAATGGTCGGTTTGTAGACATTCCAGGATGGAAAAACATGTCAGGGACCTCTCCGGACATAGCGGTCGAGGTATCCATGAGCGTGGATTCGTCGCCCTCATCGTAACTTCGTCTTCGTGCACTGGGCTCCTCTAGGCCTCCTGTGCCAAAGGTATCGACTCGCGCGTTGGAAGAGAAAGGCGGGAAAGGATGTACGGGGTCGTAGTCCTCGCTCGCTGCTTCCGATCGTCGTTGCGAACCGGAAGATGAGACTGGGTGGCTGTTGGGTGTGACGAGCTGGTCCGGAGCACCCCCGTACGTGAAGTGGGGCGCGAAGTTTCCGCCGTACAGACCAACATCCACGGGTACGTAATCGCTGTCACTTGCACTCTCTACCCCTTGTTGCCCTGGCGGGTTCGTGGCACTCGGCAAAGGCGGTGATTGTATGGATGCGTAGGTGCTAAACAGGCCGGCGCCGCCGCTTCTTCTGCGCGCTTCATCTGCCTGTTCCTGTTCTTCGGCCATGCGCAGAGCAGCCAGACCAGCAGCCGCTTCCACATCGCTATCACTGGTATCCGCAGCCTGGTTGTTGTGCGGTGCTAGGTGGTTCCCATTCACGCGGGTGCCATTGCGGCCAGTTTGGTCATAGTAATAATCCCCATTCGCGTGCTCAACGGTGATGTTGGGACTGGCTGCCCCGGCCGTCATATTCTCGAGCTGCGAGAACAGCTCGTCTTGGTTGTACCCTCCGTTCTGCGCCTGGAAATATTCTTCGCTATCGGACTCGTTGGGCGGAGGAGGCGGGGGTAGCGGCCGTCGGCCTAGCGTGTCCTGTCTTTGCAAAGATTGATGCGGTGGCACTTCGGGCGTGGGAGGCAGAGGGTTCGACAAGTGGCTCGAGGTCGAAGGATAGCGAGTGAGCTGGTCTTGGTTCGCATAGGTAGGTGGCGAAGGCAGCGGTGCGTGGGGGTCGGAAGGTCGATGGTAGGAGTGCGAATGCGAATGTGAGGCGGAGGAGGACTGGCGGGTCGGATAGTTGCCCCAATCGTCTGCAGGCATCTGCGCACTCCCCGGAGGTGCGGGCACTGGAGGCGCTTGAGGGGGGGAGTAAGCCGAGCGTCCCGAGTGTTGTTGGACGGACGCTGTCCGGCCAAACTGAGATTGTTGGTAGTTTGTCGGGGATGGGTACGACGTGGTTGTGGGCGAGGTTGGCGAGAAGCCGTACGGATGGCTGAGGGTACTGGTCCTGCCTAGCGTGTTGTCTGCGTAGAGCGCCGGGTTGTAGGGCTGGTGCAGCGGCGCAAATGTCCTGTTGACGCCGCCGTAGTGCTGTGGGTTCGGCAGCTGGGTCACGGGCGAACCGTAGTTCTGCGGGTTGTACTGCTGCTGTGCCTGCGCCTGCGCCTGCGACTGGTACTGGAACGCGGGCGAGGCGGGCTGCTGGCTCGCGTCGCCGCCCATGAACAGCTCGTCGTTCTGGTGCTGGCTGTGGCTATTGCGCCGCGGGGGGTAGCCGTAGCCCTGCGCGCCGCCATTGGTGCCGTCGCCGGCGTCGGCGGTCTGGTGCTGATGGTCGTAGGAGTTGTGATACTGGCCCGAGCTCGAGGGCGGGATGCTCGGGTTGTAGTAGTTGGAGCCGCCGTTCTGGTAGTACGACATGCCGGGCGACGGGGCGGGTCTGTCTGCCGGCGAGATGGTCGCGGGATGCGTTCACGAGGCTGCGTCGCGAGCGCTGTTGGGCAGCATGGCCGGGCCGTCGAGCTGAGCTTGGTGGGCGCAATTTCCCAGGCCAAGAGGATCCGTACGAAGCGACCAGAGCAGTGCGCCGAGGAGCAGTGCGCGCGGCGGTCGCGTGAAGCCTGCCGAGTTGCGCGTGTGCGGGCGATCGCGGTGCAGGACAGTCTGGCGTGGTGTCGAGTGCGCGACGGGTGCGCTGTGGCGGCGGGCGCGGGGTGGATGCCGCCGACCAGGGGACAGGAGCGATATTAAGATTAGGGACCCCCAAGCCTGGCTTGCGGTCTGCTCGAGCGTGCTGCGGACGTGTCGGCGCTCGACCGGGACGGAGACACTGTGGGCGCGAGTCTGCGGAGCAAAGTGCGAGATGTCTGTCGTGGGTCGATGCCGCACGGCTCGTTCCTCCACGCCAAGCTCGCGTTGTCGTTGTTGACCACTACGGCACTGCTGTGTTTCAGTGGGACCCTTCAAACCTCGAAGCCCCAAGACTTGGAAGCTCAAGAACCCGCCCGCAAGCGCTCTCCTAAACAGGAATGAAGACGGCTATGCGCCTTGTTCAGAGCAAGATTTTCGCCTTCCCGCGGTCCTCGCTGCCTGGTTCCGCGCGTGCAGCTGGCTGTGCAAGGCGTTCCGTGGTGACCTACATCAGCTGGACAGGGCCCTCCACGCTGCATCCCTACCCCTGCCTGCATATCTTTGACACTCTTCTCATACACCGGTCAACAACCGGTACTACTCACTAACACAAGTGCTCACAACTATCCCCAGTGACACATGTCAAGTCAATTCAAATCGTTGTCATCTTGGCCGGCGTTTCTAACGCGACCAGTACGAAGAAGGTCCTGTTGTTATGCACTCTCAGCGCCAACTGAATCCTGCCCCGCATCATCACTGTCAACTCACCCTCAGAAAGCTCCCGAATCGCCGAACCAGCGACCAGTCCTGAGGTGAATATTCATTCGCTACCAGTACTTCTTTCCAAGAATCCGAATCTCAGCAAGCCTTCATGCCAGACTACGCCACCCCCAACCTACCGTCGCGAGACTTTGACGCAACGTCCCGGTTCTACAAACAATTCGGCTTCACCGAATCGTGGCGTGATGTAGAATGGATGATTCTTAAGCGTGGCGGTCTCGTCCTTGAATTCTTTCCGCACCCGGAGCTGGATCCTGCTACCAGTTGGTTCAGCTGCTGCTTTAGGATGGACGATGTGGGCGCATTTTTCGAAGAAATTGTCAGAGCGGGAGTGCCCGTGCAGACGACGGGATTTCCACGTACCCACCGACCAAAGCAAGAGGAATCGGGCATGACTATAGGCGCGTTGATCGATCCAGACGGCTCTCTGATCCGCTTGATTCAGACCCAAGGCAGCAAGTAGCGGCGAACCGGACGAACAAGCTTGCCCACATGTGTACGTTTATTCGAGACAGACATGCTCATGTATTCGTTCTATCCGAATATGCTTCAGACCAAACAGCATGAAAAAGGTGCTTCGTGTCTTGTTAGGGCCGGCTACGCAGACCTACCCCGCATCATCACTGACGACCTCACCACCAGTAATTCTTACGGTTCACTATGTATTCCCGAGGTAGTACATCAAGCTTACCAATTCTTATGCATCCCATTGGAGAGGCTCCACATCGTTCTTGCAGCCGTCACCTCTCTCTATCTTCGTTTAACACCCTTCTTCCAATGTGCACATGAACGTCTTGCACCACCATCATCGCCATGGTCATTCATTCAGACTCCAATTCGTCACACGCCACAACAAACGACACCACACTCCCAATCCAGCAACCTTACACCAACATCCGCGATGCACCACCTCCAGCCGCCGACGCCCACGGCTACCGCATCCGCGAACAACCCCTCGGCACCCTCAAACCCCTCAGAGTAATCCTCATGGGCGCCGGCGCCTCAACCCTCAATTTCCTCAAAAAAGCTGAAGAAGAAATGACCAACCTCTCCATCGTCGTCTACGAGAAGAACCACGACATCGGCGGCACGTGGCTAGAGAACCGGTATCCCGGGTGCGCGTGCGATATTCCATCTGTGAACTACCAGTTCTCGTGGAAGATTAAATTGTGGAGTCATTACTATAGCTATGCACCTGAGATTTGGGAGTACTTGAAGGAGATTGAGAGAGAGAATGGGTTCATTGGGAAGTATATCAAGCTGAGACATAGGATTGAGCGTGTGGAGTGGGATGATAAGATTGGGAAGTGGAGAGTTCAGGCGAGGAATTTGGAGAGCGGGGAGGTTGTTGAGGATGAAGCGGAGTTCTTCATCAATGCTGGGGGCGTGCTGAATAGCTGGAAGTGGCCGGACATTCCTGGGTTGAAGGAGTTCAAGGGGAAACTGATGCACTCGGCGAACTACGAGGAGGGATATGATCTGACCGGCAAGAAGGTCGCTGTTATAGGAGCTGGGAGCAGCGGCGTGCAGATCGTCGCTGCGATACAAAATAAAGTGGACCACCTGTATCACTGGATTCGAAGCCCGATATGGATCACCGCTGGCTTCGCGCAGACATGGGCAGCCAAGCAGGGCGCAAACTTCAAATGTGAATCCGCACTTCCCCTTGCTAGTATCAACCCTTTGCATCCTGACTCTTCTCAGACAGCGAAGCCCAACTCTCGTACCTCCAAAACAACCCCAAGAAATACCTCGAATACCGCAAACAAATCGAAAACGAGCTCAATCAACGCTTCAAGTTCATCCTCAAAGGTAGCCCCGCCGCCGCCGAAGCCCGCGCGTACTCCACACAAGAGATGACCACGAAACTAAAAAACGACCCGCGTCTTGTAGACAAAATCATACCCAAAGACTTCAACCCCGGCTGCCGCCGCCCGACCCCCGCACCGGGCTACCTCGAAGCCCTCACCGCGCCCAACGCGACCATCTTCACAGACCCCATCAACTCCATCACGCTGAATGGGTTCATGGACCACCAAGGAAAGCAGCACAACGTCGACGTCATCCTCTGCGCAACCGGCTTCGACACCACCTGGCTCCCGCGCTTCCCCTTCATCGCGCACAACACCGACCTGCGCGACGCCTGGAACACGCCCTCTGGCGTGACATCGTACCTGTCCATCGCGATCCCCGGCTTCCCCAACCACTTCTCCTTCTGCGGGCCGTACGGGCCGCTGGGCCACGGGTCGTTCATGCCGCTCATCGAGCAGTGGACGCGCTACATCTTCCTCGCCATTCGAAAAGTCCAGGGTGAGAATATCAAGAGCGTGAAGCCCAAGATGGAGAGGGCGCGCATGTTCCGGCAGCACGCGGATCTGTTCCTGCAGCGCACGGCATGGACGTCGCCGTGTGCGTCGTGGTTCAAGGGTGGGAGGAAGGACGGGCAGGCGGCGATCTGGCCGGGCTCCAGGTTGCATTTTCTGAGCATGTTGGAGGCCCCGCGTTGGGAGGACTATGAGATTGACTACTGGGATGACAATATTTTCAGCTTCCTGGGCAATGGTTTCCACGTCAGGGAGAGCGATGGACGCGATATTACGAATTATCTAGGGTGTCTGGATGAGGAGGGGAGGGATGTGCAGCCGGAGTACGATGAGGGGCTGATTGATGTGTTGGGTGGTGTTACGTTGGATGACAAGTATATCGTGAAGGGTGGGTAGATGCTAGGGTTGGCTTTAGCTTGGGTTGAGCAAGCGTTTGATGATCGATGGTTGCGCAGAATTTTCCGTGTCGTGGTACGGGTACAGATCAAAGGTGACATCAGACAATGTGGTATATGTCCAAGCTCAAGTACCCAGTCATTTCTTCTGCTGCAAAAGGACACGCCAGTTTCTACCTAACGATCCGTTCACCAAGCAGCCCGATGAGGAAAGCTATATTCACAGCCTAATACGAAGAGCCAGTAGAGTTGGGGTTGTACATCAACGTGGGCCTCACGCTTTGATCGAGATGGGCGTACAGTTGAAGCCACAGATCGGCAGAGGCTGGATCTGCTCTGCCCTCTAGCAGACTTTTCGCAGTTTCCGAATCCCGCGCCGTGATTTCCTCGGCGTGAGAGCTAGCGGCATCGACCATGGGCCCAAAGGCTACTGGAAGACCGAGCTTGGGGTCTGGCGAGAGGGTCACGGTCTTGCTCTTTCTTGAAGCCCTTGTGCCTCCTCGTGTACCGGCCGCTGTTAGCCAAAGGCGTAATAGCTGTGTCTCCTCTGTTGTGACCGTTGCTTCATCGATTGACAAATCAGTATCTGTTTTTTTCTTCCTCATGCTCTTTCCCGTATGTTGACCTCCGACTCGTTGCCAACGGACGTGGTGCTCATCTTCGGTGTTGAGATTTGTGTAGAAGTTCCTCAGCACATGGCACGAGCGATACTCTTTGGCTAAAAGAACCCGCACTGTGAAGTGGATCGTGTCGCATGTTGCTTGCAGCGGCTGCGCCATCTGGGTATCCAAATGCTTGTCTTCTCGTCCGTTTTCAACAACGGCTCCAACGTTCAACCCCCGTTGCGGCGTGGAACTGCTCGTCAGGCCGAGATCGTCTTTCGCACCCCTGATTCCTATACTGTGTTGCACCTTGTTCGTCAGATAGGACACACCCGGTTTACGAGGGCGCTGGCCGAATGGTTGCCACATCAGCGTGAATGAGTTGGCAATTCTTCCTGACTGATGTTTAGACTTGAATTTGGATGTTGATTCATCAGAAATTACACTGACCTGCTTCACCTTTATATGCCCACGTTTCCTTGACATTCTTGACAGCGAATTCAACGCCTGCTGTCTTGAGAGAGAATCCAACTTCGTTGGTCTCGGTGGTTATCTCCCTGGTCACTAGAAAATTAATCAGGTCAGTCACATCGAATGCAAGTGATGTGAAGTGTTGAAATTGCGCAACCATCCAGACCAACGCCACATTTGCTAACCCAGCATCCTCGTACCCACCCCCTACGTCTGCATGGGCTCCCAGGAACCAGCATTGCCGAAGCGTGGTGCTGTCACCGGGCTCGGACCACGGTACCGGCCAGAAGGCGGATCTACGTTCGTTGAGTGCCATGGCGTGAAATGCGTGCTCTACACATGGCGGAATTCTGTTGTCTACGTGACCTAGCCTCCTGGGAGGCGGCTGAGGCAGCCAAGCTGGCAGTTGTACGCCGATTGCGCTCACCGTGTCCCAAACACCACACGCTTTGATCTTGATGCCAATTTTCGTCAGCCCTGCTTTATCTAGACGCTCCACGAAGGCTTTCAAAGCAGTGCCAGAATCGGCCTGCTGATTCTTCCACAGGCCGTACGCATCGTATAGTCCCGATAGTCCAGGCTTCGTAAGGATGCCGATACTATCTATGAGCGAAGCGACGCAGCGGACGGTGAACGCGCCCCTGGAAAACCCAACCAGGTATATCTCATCGGTACAGTCTTTATGGTTGAAGTTCTGGCAGAGGAAGTTGTAGGCATTACGCACGTTCGCACCGAGACCTGTATGTCCAGGCTTCAGAATGCGCCGATTTGGCCAGCGACCTGCAAACGGCGGGAACTTACCTCGACCAACTGCTCCATCGATGCTATTGCTGATTTTTGAGGTGCCGGCACCTACGCCAGTGTGATAATACACGATCTGTAACACGCCATCTGCAGCCCGCTCCTCAATAATCCGGGAGAAGCGGGCTACGTTTGTCAATGGGTTGTTCGTACTGACGCTGTCGTTCCATGTGCCATCGCAACATAGAATGAGGCGCTTGATTTGCGTCATGGTTACACTAGAACAAAGGTTTAAGATTATGTAAGGCAAATATATTCTCTATCGAAAAGCTCAACGTCAACGATCAGGCTGGTCCCTCACCAGGCTGGACTCCCACCTTCACGTGCTGTCGTGCCAGCGCACGGACAGTCTGTGCCCGGCTGCGCTAGCACTAGCGCGCCCACAGCCTATTAAAACGCGCCCTCCCCCGTTCCCTCTTCTCTTCCTTAGCTCTCTTTGCCTTTTGGCTTAGATCAAGTGTAGTATCTGTTCTTTTCAGTTTAATCTCTGAAAGTGAGTTCTCTACTGTTCTTAACTGTCAGTTGCATGGAATGCTAACAGCGACGCAGCGAGACTACGGTCTCATTCAAGATTATTCCCATTTTTGCACCTCGGCCTCCTCTCACTGGGCTTGCTCACAGTTGAGGTCACAGTGTCGCCAGTGTACGCAGCTGTTCAATCCCATTCACTCGGTTTTGCTAATGTACGCTCAGATAGCACTACCTCTGGCTGACGCGAACTTCATTTTCATTGAGTTTCGCAGCGTTGCTGTCTACTCGAGGAAGAATTGATCACTCCTTCGTCGGTCACCACCCTGATGCGTATTTTACACAGGTCGCCATCGCCGAAAAATTACTACTATACCCGTTTGAGATAGGTAAGGTACGTAGCTATATGAAAAACTTGAGTGTTTAGGAATGTTCTGCATATAAAATAATAGTAATCTACTTTCTACAGTAACCTTGCAGTGTCATTGCAGTTGATAGGTAACAAGTCCCCTGGCGTTGCCCCATCGCAATTTCTAAGCGTAGTATCTGCTCCGTTCGCAACTAACCATTTAATGGCGGACATCTCTTTATAATCGTTCCTGTGTCGTGCATATAAGGCCATTCTTTAAGCGCCCACGTGGGGTTTTCAGAGGCGCTAATAGCGGTTCCTTAATTAGTTAATGCATCTGCACGAGCAGGCAACATACTCTTAGCCGCGCCAAAAACGAAGGGATTGCGCGCGTATTTAGCTAATGCTTCCGACTTCACTTGATCAGGTTCAAAGCCTATGAACATCGTTCCTGCCCAGTCATCCATGAATTCATTGGATTCAAAAAGAGTACCAAAGGTATGGTACCCTGGGTTAATTGCAACAAAATCATCAGCCATTGTTTTCGTGCCCTTGGTATAGAAAACAATCTTGTCCTGCGGGATGTCATTGCCTTTGCCGTCTTTAGCCATGTTCTCAAGCCACTGCAAGTACTTTGCTGGATCTGTAGCATCCGCTGAGGTGAAAGCTCGTTTGAATAACGGCTAAAGAGGCTAGTGCGCTTCGTCCTTCCGCATTAGCCAAGAAGCAGGCCTGGATCATCCTGGCGCAGCAGGCGTAATCGGACCTGCGTTAATCTCACTGTGAAACTTACACAGCATGTGGGGTGACTAAGCCTCCAGTCTTACGGTCCCACGCGTACTCAGCAACTGAGTTTCGGGAATCCATATCTGAGCAGCACAGCTAGCGCTACAACCACCGACGCAACTTTTGGTTCTTCTAAAATTAATTTACAGACAATGATAATTTAATGTAACTGCAACATGTTATCCTTTCTTAAGGTATCACCGCAGCAGTGTCGCCAGAGTCCGCACGACTCCTGGTCGACGCGGCAAACCTTTTTCATTGAGCTGGCTTGGCGGTGCTGAGCACTTGAGGAAGAAGTTGGTCGAATGGCGGTTGAGATGTCGGCGGCTCAATGGTGGGTAATGTGTTCGTGTATCTAGAGGTACTACGGGTACTATTACAAACAGACCAATGCCAACGTTCCTCATTAAGCTACGCAGCGCTGCTATATGCTCGAGGAAGACTTTAATGACTTCTCGCCTGCGTAGACCCAGTCGGAGCATTAAGAGAGATGCCAGCCATTTCATACCGCCCTTAGCCTTTTGCCTTATTGAGTTCATAATAGAAAACGATGACGGTCTAGCGGCAATAAATTGAAAGCTTCCCAGTGGTATTTGGTCAACTTTGACTCCTAAGAACGTTCTCCCATTGGTATCGTAATAAATAACAAGAACGCCTGCCTACGTTTATGGTATGGTATGCTACAACGACGCCGCCCAGCCACAACCCAATCAAACTATCGATACAACCTACACACGGTCTGCCCCTCTCGGCAGTCCGACTAGCTGTACCTCTTCCAAGCTTCCGAATTTCTCGTATTTCTTGTAGCCACCACCACTCCCGATGGTCCCATTGCTCAAACCGTTGCCTCCAGTAGAGTTCGAGTTTCCGCTCTTCCCTGCGCTTTTTGCTGCGGAACTGCCACGCGAGCTGAACAGCTTGCTTCCATGCGAAGAAAGGAACGCAGCAGACCGGACAATGAGAGGGCGGTAGGTGGGCAGGCACGCGCAGAGAATAGCGATACCGGAGTGAACATCGAGCCATAACATGTCGAGGACGAAGTCGATAGCCTGGACGCCAGCCTCAGCAGACTTGAGGATGCGGACGATCCCAGTGATGACGACCCTTTCCGTATGTCAGCGAACAACTCCGTCGCAACGAGAGAAAGAGGTGGGGACTCACAGCCCTCCGAGAAGGAAGATGAACGAGAGCTCTGCTTTGCGCGGCCACGGAAGCTTGAGGCGCGACACGTAGAACAGCGGCAGCGCAAGAACACACACATCCAGGACCAGCTCGACGCTGCACATAACAATGAAGAAGGTGCTGTAGAAGAAGCATTTCTCCGGAATCAAAAGAGGTGCCTCCCAGAGCACGCTGGGGGGAGAACACACTGCATGGGTCAGCGCAGTACGGGCCAAAGTCCTATAATTATGTAATGCGGGTGTGAAACATGCAGAGACGCCTGATGCACGACATTGCCAAGACGTGTACAACCTTCATGGAACGACCGCGAGCAAAGCTGAAGAACGAGGTAATCACTTACTCGCTGTTTCCGCAGCAAAGGCAGGAATAACCCACAGAGCATGGGCAACCATCAAAATTGTAGTCAAGAGCTTGAAGCTCTGGACCGGAAAAAGTCGTCGGTAAAGGAAAAGAATCGACATATTTGTGAAGAAGATCACAGGGAAATAGAACTCTCCAGCGATGTAGACGGCCTGAGATAGCGGTAAGTCTCATTCTTGATGGCGGACATGTGGTGGCATGCTTACGCGCAGGTAGGTCGTCAAATGCGGATCCATCAGACTCTTCATCTTTCGTCCCTCGACGATGCCATGGACCTGGACACCATATTGCGCAAAGTACAGGCCCAGCGCCGTGATGATACACGCTTCACCCCAGCCATACTTCGCCTTTGTGCTCCAATTTGTAATCAGACGCAGTACCACGCCGACGGTGGTCAGTACGGCAAAGAACGAAGCAACGACGATGGTAGTGCCGCCGTGCGCGAGAAGCGATGTGAGCATGTCCTGCATTGTGGATATTGGGAGCTTCGGCCCCACTCTCTGGAAGAAGGTGGTCTCTCAGAAAAACAAATGGACAAGACCGTGCGGCCGACAAGTCAAATGCCACAGGTCACAAAATGGAGAGACCGGATGATGCGCAGCGAAAAATTTCCGAGCGCCTTGCGTATTCTCAGAAATACGGGTGACCAGTAGAATATTAAGGCTTTGTACGAGGCTGAGGAGTCGTATCGGAGACCTGATCCGGTCGGATATGAGCCTTGCCTATGGTAGGGTGCTAATCGTGCGACAATTCAGAGCGTTTGCATGTCCGACGCAACCCACGAGATAGAATCCGGTCGCTAGACCCGAGAGGTGCTGATCTCAAGCCTCCAAGATACACGGCAATCCTGCTCTAGCAGGGGTTGCGCTGGGTGTGAGAGGGTCCTGGAACGGGCCTCGGGACGAAGATGGTCTGGGGCGGCGAACCACGTAATTCGATGGTACCAGTCCGATCTTGGAGATTTGTAGGGAAATTCCGATAAACAAAGGCTAGGGTGATTGGCTAAGGACATCAAGGACCACTGCACGGCAGTTTGTGGCACGAATCAGCCTCGTTGGCGACTACGGGAGGAGCTAGTTTACCGTCATACCCGCTCATGCCGTTGCCGTTGCCGTCGCTGGCGCTGGCACGGCCCCGGCATTCAACACCATGGCGATGTAAGCATATGAGCTAATTAGAAAGACCAACACAGCACTCTCTTCTTGCCCAAAATAGCGTCTAACCTGGCTCCAAATCTCCTCACTTACCGGTCCCTTCCCACTAACCATCGCTAGAGCAAGCCGATAAGCAGTAATTTCCGCATCAGCAAGACCTTGTATGGGATCTCGTCCTGCTAGAGCACTTGCCACTTGTTCATCGCTTAGTCCACAAAGCTTCGCAAGACGCGCGTGTGCATAGTTTTCGTATGCAGCTTGGAAGTGGCCCCCAACCGCAAGAATAGCAATTTCTTTCACACGTATGGGTAGTCGCTGATCGGTACCGACTTTGATTGCGTGGTCAAAGAACGCAGTGCCAATAGTCGGGGCGTACCTGTTTCTCAAGCACGCTTAGCGGTCATTGGGCTTACATATGCAAAGGCCCCGCAACTAAGAACGGGCATAGTGGCGCAATGCCATGGCTGCGAGGTCACACCACATGTGACAGACTTACAGCATGGAAGTGTAGGGTCCTATCAGGCTTCCCTCGCCGTCGGCCCACGCGAAAGGTGGGTTATCTCCAAAAACGTACTGGGAGACTGAAGTGACATGGTCGTGTACGGGCTTCTGGGCTGCGGACAACGAGGCGGGAGGGACAGTGGGAAAGCGGGTTGCGGCAGGAATCCGTTCGGAATCCATATTGAGAATCGCCTTGAATGAATGATGGCCTAATATTGTGAAATCAGCGAGGTTTTATAGCCTAAAATGTCCGAGGCGGTTTGGGTGAAGCCTGCGAATGAGTGCGCGGCTCACAATGCCTGTCAACTCGTACGCTGTGTGCAGCATTGGCATGCATCGGAAATACCAAACCCCTGCAAAAACATGGTAACCAAAGACCATAGGATCAGCATCCCTGTATCAACCAGTGGAGCATGAAACGGATCGGCAAGCGCTGCACTAATTTCACGGTGACACGTGGGCGTTGATTTTCGACACTGGCATTGTGGAAGCGGATTGTTCAACGGGAACATTGCGACATCCCAGTGAGAGGTCTGTAATCTGGCTAAAAATGGCAATTGGGAAGTTGGCAATCGATTTCAGAGTACACAGGCGTTGATCCCCGCAATCTGAGGTAAGAAAGTGGTAGGTCGAAGTGCAACTTCCAGAGACAGCCCCGTGGGGTCGCTTAGAGCTTTTCTACAAAAGCCTTCAAGATCTCTAACAATTCGTCCTTCTTCTCAAGTTGAATCCAGTGACCACTTCCTTGCACGACCTCAAGCTTGACATCTGTCAATTTGCCGCTCTGCGCGATCTGTCCAGCAACCTCAGCACGAGTAATGTAATCCTGGTCCGAGTTAACAAAGAGGGTCGGTAGGCTGACTATCTTACGATCGTCGGGGACGGCAGCTTCATCTTCGGCGTTCAACCCTCGAATGGTGACCTTGTACCTAAGGGGCCAAGGAGTCAGCTGTAGCTCACATTGCTTTAGATGTGGTTTAGTACCAATTGAAGGGTCCAGAAAAGCCCTTATCACCGATGATCTTGTTGTGTGCAGCGACTTCGGCTTCGGAAAACCAACTGGGAGGCTCCGAAACTTTTCCGGAGGAGATCCATGCTTCCGCTGCCCCATAAGGGCAGAGGTTTTCGCGATGCTGGTCTGGAGTGGTTGGATACAGTAACGACGTGAGCGATGCATTCTAGAGGCGCGTGAGCCAAGCCAGGGGCGTTTCGATACCACATCAATAAATTCTCGACTCGATGTTGGTGAGGGATGGAACCTGATGCACTTACGTTTTTATCACAAATGTCCGCAGCATCGTCTCGATTGAAGAACGGCCAGTATCCGAACACTGGATAACCAAAAACCTGTTCGGTAAGGCCGTTGATGGCATCTTCCAAACGTCAGCATGTGAGATTTGCATCGGACAAGTCCGTTCGGGCTCAAGGAGGGGAAATGCAACGAATTCTCTGTTGCGGCTCAGCGACCTACCCAAATTGAACTGGCCAGGTTCCATGTACGGTACCGAGAGGAAGACTAACCCCTTCAAGCGCTCAGGGTAGTAGTTGTAAATGCGAGAAAGCAACCCCGAGCCCCTGTCGGAGGATCAGCAAATTGCTTCGACGAGCTTTCAAGGGGCGCACCAGTCGTGCGAGACGCCAACCACGGGCGCTACGCCCTCTTCTCTCAGAATCTCGGCGACATGGCCAGCTTGCGTCTTGAACTTGTACTTTTCCAGCTCCGGGGGTGAATCTGTTCCTCCGTAGCCAAGGAGATCTGGAGCAATCACGCCATGACCGAGTTGCGTCAGACTTTGAATTTGATGGCGCCAGTCGTAGCTCGAACTGGGGAAGCCGTGGAGGAGAAGAAATGTAGCCTTGGAAGGATTTTCTGCAGCAACAGACACATAGGTATATGTCGTACCGTCAGAGGTCTTGAAGGACTTGGACTTGTCAGGAAACTGCTGAAGGGCCATAGTGAAGGGTGTGAATCCAGCAGAAACAGGGAAAGACGGGTAGCTCTTGGATATATACAAAGTCGAATTGAGGGTCCGAAGCGACGCAGCCAAGGCAACCCTTTTGAGCCCGTGAGGTTAGGAAGGTGCGGCCTGGCGTGACGAGACGCCGGCGGCGTGGTTCTGCCTGGGGCTCTACTTTCTCACTATTGTGTTGTGCCTCTCACTTCCTCCCCACAAGCCGACGGATGCTTTGCACGACCTCCTGCACAGCCTTGTCCATGCCCGAGCCAGGGAGCTCGTGCGCTCCTGGGTGCCAGATCACGGGACCCCTGTTCTCAGCATCGCACTGCTCGTAGAGCATCTTGTTGCGCTCGGGGTTCGTGACATCCTTCACCCCCCACACTGTTCGCAAGCCACACGATCAGCCATTGAGCCGTGCCGTCAAGGGCCGGCTAGACTTACCGTGCGCTGTGGGCACGCGCAGAGCCCCTTCCTCGGAGCGAGGGTCCAGGTCTCGGGCCTCTCCGCGTGCGAGACCCGCAAGGCTTTGCGCGGGCTCGCCAGAAAAGAAGACTATGCCTTTTACTGGAATGTGCTGCAGCTGTTGCGCCCGATAACACCATGTTGCAGCGAGGCTGCACCCCTGCGAGAACGCCAAGATGGCGTCAAACGGCCCGTCCTGCCTAAGTCAGATTACGCGCGGGAGGGGCGGGTAATGCCGATACCTGGTCCAGGTAGCCTTGCAAATCATCCACGGCCTTCAAGATTGTGTCGGCTGATCCAGGCACAAAGTAGACGAAGAAATTGTCTCCTGGCCTCACAAGCGACTCGATGCCTGGGGCTCTGAGCGCCGGAATGGAGCCTTCAACGAACTCGAACGAAGTCTGAAGTCCAAGCTCATAGCGGATCGCAGCTACCGGGAAGCGCGGGTAAGCAAAGCTTGGAGTATCAGGGATTCACTTGTCGGCTCGGGAATACCTGTCTGCAGCTCGAAGATCTATACAATATTAGAAGTCGTTGGTCGTTGAGCGTTGAACAAAGACCCAGACGGACCTGATTGTTGGTACCGCCTCCATGTAACATCAAGAAGCGCATTTTGAGAGTCTTCGGTTGTCTCGGGAATGGATGAATATGCGATCGATTCCACAGCTTTGTATGCTTTGCTACAAGATCCCTTAAATATTCTTTACGTACCATCCCATCGTTGATCCTAGCCAAGTCTCCTCACTGCCTGCTTAGCATGGCGGGAACGGCACGCAGTAGCGCTGTACCCGCGCCCCCTAGTCGCAGTCAGCACTGATTCTTTACTAACGAAGAGAGGCAATACAAGGGCTTGGACGCCGAAACTAAGTCGCTAAAACCCAAGAAGGCAACCTGGCCCGGAATTGTGGGGTGGATCAAAGCGACAGTAGGGAGGAAAAGATGTCACATCTATCGCACTTCTTAAGTCGAGACGACGGACAGCAGACCCTGGGAGGTATTGAAGCGGGATTTGCTACGTCGGCATCGGCAGCGCACTTGCTCGATTGACGCGCGGACGCTTTCCATATAGAGCCGCGTACTGCGGCCACGCCGCAATTGTGCCTCGGGTACCCGCTTTCTCTGCAAGCATCTCATAGGTCTCAATTGCATATGATTTAATTTACCATGCGCTTCAATCAATAAGTGGAGTTACTGCCCTCCCAGACTATCAGTGAATCCAGTACTTCGATTCAGCACTTCCTATCGTGATGCCTTATGTTGAGACGCCGCCCGAAAGAACCTCTGAGAATGGGGATTACGGCCACGAGCTCGACGACGTCGTAGATGGCGGGCTTATTGAGCCAATTGCGATCATTGGCTTTTCGCTCAAGGCCCCTGGAGATGCATCCACGGCGGATGCATTCTGGGACATGCTTGTTGAGGGACGGTCTGGAGCATCAGATTTTCCTAGAGAACGCATCAACATAGAGTCTTTCTCCCAAGATGGGATACACAGGAGTGGGGATGTGAGTGGGAAGCATCATATTGCTCCCCGTACGCGGTATTGACGATGTCAACCAGATACCAATGCGCCGCGGGCATTTTATCAAAGATGACATACAAGCGTTCGACGCTGGTTTCTTTTCCATTTCACATACAGAAGCCCGGGCCATGGACCCTATGCAAAGGCTGTTGTTAGAGACCGCTTACCACGGTTTCGAGAACGGTAAGCGCACACTTCCTGCAACGAAGAACTCCAGTCCATATCTAATTCGATCAGCTGGTATACCCATGCATGATTTGGTTGGGTCCAATACTTCGGTATACACTGGATGCTTTACAACGGATTACTTGATCCAATTGACCAAAGACCCTCTTGCTATTCCAACATATGCAGCCACTGGCACAGGGGCATCTATTCTCGCCAATCGAATCAGTTGGTTCTTCGACCTCAAAGGCCCTAGCGTTAATATGGACTCTGCATGCTCAAGTAGTGGTATGGCGTTGGATCTAGCCTGCGAAAATCTCCGCAATGGATCTACCAGGATGGTAAGACACCTATCCTTCTATCCTCCAAAGAGACGGTATACTAACTACCACCAGAGCCTTGTCGGGGGCTGCAACCTTACCTTCTCCGCCGAGTATTTTACTATGCTCACCAACCTAAATATGCTGTCTAAAGACGGTCAGTCACACAGCTTTGACTCTCGAGCTAATGGATATGCAAGAGGTGAAGGCTTTGGCACAGTCGTGCTAAAGCGAATGAGCGACGCCATCGCAGACGGTGATACAATCCGAGCCGTCATACGATCGACAGGATGTAATCATGATGGCAAGACTCCCGGTATCACACAGCCAAGCAGCGAAGCCCAAGAGCAGCTCGTGCGGGAGACATATCGAAAGGGCGGTCTCTCGATGATTCCCACGCGCTTCTGCGAAACACATGGAACAGGCACCTCCTTGGGTGATCCCATCGAGTCTATGGCACTTGGACGAGCTTTTCAAGATGCCAGGTCGCCAGCCGATCCACTGATCCTGTAAGGTTGCCAAGGCAGCATATGACTCGTGCATTCACTCACCGAGGCAGGGGTGCGCTGAAAAGCAATATTGGCCATCTAGAAGGGGCGAGCGGCATCGCTGGTCTGATAAAGGCGGTTATGGTCCTGGAAAATGGACTAATACCGCCGAATTATGACTTTGAAAGTCTCAATCCAAAGATCGACGCCGAGTATCTTGGGATCCAGATTCCTGAGCGGGTTATGGCATGGCCATCAAATGGTTTGCGGAGAGCTTCCGTCAATTCATTCGGGTTTGGCGGTTCCAACAGCCACGTGGTCCTGGATGATGCATATAATTATCTGCGGCTGCGTGGCTTACATGCAAACCATCGAACTGTAGTTCGTCCTTCCATACTCGTCAACGGCCTCAAAGACGGTGCGCAAAACCACAATCGCTTCTCGCATAGCAACGATGGGCTTTCTAATGGCAACACCAATGGATCAAAGGCAGAAGTCGAACCTGAGATACCTAGGTCACTTTTCTTCTCTGCAGATACCGGGGAAGCTTTGGAGCGCGTGTTATCGACTTACCAGGGTTGTTTCACAGAGCGCGAGTTTCACATCGGCGATCTAGCGTACACGCTTGACAGCAGACGATCACACCTTCCATGGCGGTCATGCCTGACAGTCACGAGTCCCGAGGACTTGATGAAACTCAGCTCGCGGTCATCAGTCCCTCGCAAAGTGCAAGACAAGAAGCCTCGTCTAGGCTTTGTTTTCACGGGTCAAGGCGCGCAGTGGTTTGGCATGGGCCGCGAATTGATGTCATACCCGACGTTTGCAGAGAGCGTGAAAAGATCGGACAAGCACCTCAAGAGCATCGGATGTCCTTGGTCTACCACTACGATGTTCGCCAGTACCACAAGGCTGGGACTCGACGACCCTGTCCGCTCGCAAACACTATGTACAGTCTTACAAGTCGCGTTGGTTGATCTCCTGGCCCATTGCGGCGTGAAGCCGTCCGCGGTCGTGGGTCACTCTTCCGGAGAAATCGCCGCCGCGTATGCCGCGGGCGCCATTTCAAGAGAGGCGGCGTGGTCGCTGGCGTACATGCGTGGGTATCATGCGCAGACACTGCCATCTCGGACAGATTATCGCGGCAGCATGATCGCCGTCGGTCTTTCAGAAGAAGATGCACGTCCTTATCTCGAGGAGGTCATTCGATCTAATGCTTCACCTTGGGCATTGCGTGTAGCTTGCTACAACAGTCCGCGTAGCATAACCGTATCCGGACCAAGCGATCAGGTGGATAACCTCGAGACGATTCTGGATGAAGCTTCGGTCTTTAATCGCGTTCTACGGGTTCCGGTGGCCTACCACTCACCACAAATGGAAGTCATTGCGGCCGAATATGGCGATTCTATTGGTGCGATGCAGGTCCAGGAGCTGCGCATCCCAATGGTGTCTTCGGTCACGGGAATGATAGCCACTGCAAAGCAATTACAACGAGCACAGTACTGGGTCGACAACATGGTCTCCGCAGTTCGTTTTGATGAAGCTGTTGAGGCCTTAACCGCTGTCTCACCCAAAACATTGACCAAGAAGCTTGACAGAAGCCACCTCATGATGCCTGCAGTAGACCTGCTCGTGGAGATTGGGCCGCATACAGCTCTAAAAGGGCCAGTCCTGGACATATTGAAGAAGACACCCAGAGCCTCAGAAGTGGATTACGACTTCGCTATTTCCCGCAATGTGTCTGCAGCTGAGACCGTACATCATCTCATCGGGCGGTTACACTGCAAAGGCCTCGATGTAGACTTGAGACAGATCAACGATCCTATTGGCACTCCGCGAGCGGTCCTCACAAATTTACCAGCATATCCATTCGACAAGTCCCAGACATTCTGGTATGAGAGCCGGATGAATAAGGATTATCGCCTCAAGGAACACGGCCATCAGGAATTCCTAGGTTCACGATCCCTGGACTGGTGCTCGCTCGCTCCGCAGTGGCGGTACTTCATCCGCACCAAGGAGCTTCCCTGGACAGAAGATCACAAGATCAACGGCGCTACCTTGTACCCTGCTTCCGGTATGATCGTGATGGCTGCCGAAGCAGCTCGCCAGATGGTCGCACCCACCGGCGAGATTAAGGGTTACCAGCTCCGAAACGTCACGTTTTCCACAGCTCTGAATATTCCACCATCAAGAGGAGAGCTTGAAGCACGTATCGGTCTGCGGCCCTCGGGTAACATTGAGCATGCGTTTGAATTTATCCTATACTCCGTGCAAAGCAACAATGGATGGGTTGAAAACTCCAGAGGCGAGATTCAAGTCTATCTCAAGGCCGCTGGGGACCTTTCCGATGCGCTCCCAGGCCTAGATGCATCCCAGGCATCCCTGACTTGCGATGAGAGCCTTGACACCGAATCTTTCTATCAGTATCTCTGGGAGATGGGCTACGGATACGGTCCAGCATTTCAGCTTGTTCAGGACATCCACCACGACTCGAAGTACGGAAAGGTCCTAGGCCACATCAAGCCGTTGGTGACAACCGTAAGTAAAGACTCGATTGTACATCCTGCGACGCTTGACGCGATAATGCATCTTGAATTCGCAATTCTCTTCAAAGCCGGCACAGATCGCCCTGGAACTTTCATCCCCACCAAGATCGACAACCTCTGGATGTCTGACAAGGGGTTAAATGTTCAAGATTCCCTTGTCACTGCAGTCACCACAGTGCAAAGTCGCACTCAGCGACACGCTAGAGGCTCGTGCCAGGTATTCAGCCCGGATTTTGGCCAGACTCTTCTACGGGCAGAAGGGATCGAGCTCACCATGGTCGCATCATCAAACAACAAGAGCCTGGTGCAACCTGGCTCCGAGCATGTCTTGAGCTACGTTTGTTCGGAAGTCGATGTTGACATGCTGAATGCCGAGCAGCTCAAGGCTTACCTTGCAAAAACATTCCCGACAGAGTACGATCCAGTTGTGAAGCGCAAGGCGATTCGAGACTTCGTCCTGCTCTCGCTACAGAATTTAGACTCGCGCTTAGCATCCCTGAATTTATCGCCGTCGACACCGCACGGGCGCGCCTACGTGGAATGGGCCAAGTCGCTGTGGCAGCGCCCGGACATCGTTCTCCCAGACGCAAGCCTGTCAGAACTGGAGGAAGAAGTTCTTAAACATGGTACAGAAGGTCGTATGATAGTGGAAGTCAACAAAGGCCTCCTTGACATAGTGCTCGATCACCGACCGCCGCATGAGCTCCTCTTCGGACCGGATCGCCTTCTTCCCCTGTACTACGAGGAGAAAGCGAAAAAGGAAGTCTACTTTAGGCGTCTCGTCCACTATGTCTCCCTGCTCGCACACAAGCGGCCAAATCTGAGAATCTTGGAGATTGGTGGTGGAACAGGAACGTTTACTTCATACATTCTTGAGGCGTTGAGTGTACCAGGAGATGACGGATCGAAGCGCTTGCGGTGCATGAGTTATGACTTCACGGACATTGGTCCGGCTTTCATCGATCAGGCCAAAAGCAGATACGTCCAGTACGGCAGCAAGATGAAGTACAACATCCTCAACATCGAAGACGACCCAGAACGCCAGGGCTTCCGACCTGAGTCTTACGACATCATCATCGCCATCTCGGTGCTCCACGCTACTCGGAATCTGGGAGAGACTTTGGCAAACACACGTCGATTGCTCAAGCCTGGTGGTAGACTCTTGCTGCAGGAGCCAACCACGCCTGAAGACCCTTCCCACTTTTTCGTTTTTGGCGTCTTCCCCGGATGGTGGCTGGGTGTTGAAGAGTACCGCCGGCTGTGCCCTTTGGTGGATCAGCCGAAGTGGGATCTCTTGATGAAGGAGAATGGGTTTACAGGAACAGACATAGTGCTACGGGACTACGAGATGGACGACGCGCATCAGATGGACTTCCTCATCTGCCAGGCGGCTGCCAGTGATGTCGCAGCCAAACCTACCATCAAGCAAGCAGTCTCACTCATCGTGGATAGTGGGTCTGCAGCTCAACTTCGTGCGGCAGAGACCGTACGGAATACACTCCTCGCGACAACAGGTACAGAGAGCGAGATCGTCGCGCTGAGTGAGTTGATGACCGAGTCCGAGATCTTGATAAGCACGTGCATATCTCTGTTGGACTTTGATGGTCCTTTCATGACTAGCATGTCGGAACAGCAGTACGACGGCCTCCAGCAACTGCTCAAAAAGGCTAAGCTTTTGGTGTGGGTTTCTCGCGGCGGTGGCGACCAACCCCACCAACCAGGCTTTCAGATGATTGATGGCTTCGCACGATCGTTCCGACTGGAGGCTGCGTTTCTCAAGCTCGTACACCTGGCTTTGGAACCATCGGAAATCCTGACGGCGGACCAAGCAGATGCAATTGTTCAAGTGCTCGACGTGACTAATGCATCCGACAATTACGAGCATGAAGTCACCGAGAAAGGGGGCTACCTCCATGTACAACGTGTGGTGCCGCAGCCTGCACTGAGGCAGGAATTCCTATCCAGGATGCGCCCACAGCGTACAATCCAGCGCCAGGCCACCGCAGACTTGAGCGTACAACTGGATATTGATGTGCCGGCGCAGCTCGATACACTCGCTTTCACCACTACAGCGAATTTCAGTGGGCCGTTAGGTTTTGACGAAGTAGAGATCCAAGTCAGGGCCGTCGGTCTCAGCCATGAAGACCACCTCATCGCGATCGGACGTTCGGAAGCTCGTGCTTTCGGAAGGGATTGTGCGGGTGTAGTCACCCGCGTTGGTGAAGGGTGCAAGCTACAGCCAGGCCAGAGAGTTTGGATGTATGCTAGCGGAAGATGTGGCTCCACCGCGCGCTCATCAATGCATGCTGTGGTCTTCCTTCCTGAATCGATCTCCTTCGATCAGGCCTGCGCGCTTCCGAGCGATGTAGTCACCGCTGCACATGCTCTTCATGCCATTGCGAGGCTTGAAGTGAGCGATGCTGTACTGCTCGATTGCGCGGGTTCCCTTCTTCATAGTGCGTTGGTAACGAGCAACTCGCTGGGTCTGAACGTATTTGTCCTGGCGCATAGCCACAATGAAAAACTTGTGCTAGAACAGGAAACTGGGTTGCCCCCGAGCCACGTGCTAGTTCTCGGAACACCCTTCCAGCACCAGTTCAAAGCACTCAATGGAGGACAAGGAGCAGATGCTGTGATCAGTACACGGGCCGATCCCGCATGTGCAGATGTCCTATCGACCTTTGGGACGTACGTACACGTTGCCAACGATGGACAACTGCCTAAAATACCATTTTCGGCTAGCAATCTTACGTTCGTCAACCTGGATATCGCTGCGTTGGCGGAGGCTCGTCCTAGGCTTCTCCAGCCTAGTCTGCAAATTGCAGTCAACCTTGCTGCTGCAGTCAAGCAGGACGATGTTCATACCTATCCCGCGTCGGACCTGGGCAGAGCCTTTGAGAGGCTGGGTGAAGTTGAGCACGGCAAGAAAGTGATATTGACGTTCGGCTGCGACGATCGCATTTCGGTGAGTAAATGGAGCATTTCGTTCTCTCTCTCTCTCTGGCAAACTAACAAGTGTCGATAGACCAAAGTCCTGCAGACCGAGGCATATACCTTCGGTGCCGATGGCACGTATGTTCTTACGGGGGCTTTCGGTGGACTTGGTGTCCAGGTAGTCCGCTGGCTGGCAAGCAAGGGCGCGAAGTACATGATTCTTCTTTCACGCTCTGGCCCTCGAACTGAGCAGGCGCTGAAATTAGTTGCCGAGCTGCAAGCCATGGGCATCACTCTCGCGATGCCGACATGCAGCGTCACCGACGCTGAGGCAGTGAAGAAAGCGGTCCGTGACGGTCAAAAGGGCATGCCACCAATTCGGGGGTGCGTTCACTTGGCGATATCGGGCAAGGTAAGCATCAAAACCGATCTGTGCAAACGACATCGTTGACAATGTTGCAGGACAAATCCTTCGAATACATGTCGTACCCCGAGTGGGTGGACCGAACGTCAGCCAAGGTCCAGGGCACCGACAACATCTATGCCGCGCTCCCTTCGGATCTCGATTTCTTCATCATGACAGCCTCGGTAGGTGGCATGGCTGGTCTAATCTCCATGTGCGCCTACTCCGCTGGAAATGCGTACCAAGATAACTTCGCGCGTTATCTTTACGGCAAAGGGCAAAAGGCCATCGCCATGGATTACGGCGCTGCGCAGGACATCGGTATGCTTGCAGGCCAGGACCTCATGTACGACCGCCTCATCCAGACGGGGCAATACACCCCCGTTACTAGTCGCGAACTGGTGGCGCTGCTCGAGTACTACTGCGACCCCGCGGTGACGGTGAACTCGGTCGAGCAGGCCCAGCCCATCATTGGCATTGAGCCGCCCGGCCGGCGCATCGCTCAGGGCAAGGATGTGCCCGAGGGCATGAAGCACTCGCTGTGGCTCAACCTCTACGACATGGACGACTCCCTTGGCGCTGCCGACGCTGTGGATACAGGGACAAACGCGCGCTCCGCGAATCTCAAGGATAGCATTGACGCTGCAGCGAGCGTATCCGAAGCGGAGCACTTGATCGTTGATGCGCTGATCCAACGCGTTGCGAAGACCACGTCCATGCCGCCGGAAAAGATGGAGGCAGAGAGGCCGATTCACAGCTACGGGGTGGATTCGCTAACGGCGATAGATCTGCGGAATTGGATTGCGAGCGTATTTGAGTACGATATTGCGGTGTTTGAGATTCTGGGGGAGGCGACATTCAGGGGTGTGGGCGAGTCTATCGCGAGGAAGTTGAAGGAGGGCAAGTGATTCGTGATGGGTCCGCGCAAGGTCGACTTCGGGCGTTCAGTGGTGGTTCGATACCCTATCTAACCTAATTAGCATAGTTTCAAAGATGCGTGTTCTCACTGTCGCTCAAGGTTGAGGATTTTCTGGTCTCAACATGCCACTGTGTGTACAGCTGCGTAATGTCACGTATGCAACAACCGGCAATGAATAGAGATAGCGGATAGGAGATTCACTAAGCGTACTCGGTCATTGAATACGTGCGTAGCGAAATGCCAGAGTCCCTGGCCCCTATACGCAATCTTATTCTGCGTACAAGGTAGCAGCTTAGTTACAATCCCACAAAAGGAAGTCACGACAGACGCGAGCGACAATGCTGTCCGCACTCATCCTACTCTGCTGCCTCCCAGTGCAGGGTTTGTCGTTCAAGACTCGCGCAACTGATATCCAGCTGTTTCCCGCAGATGGATCAAAAAAAGTAAATCCGGACACTCAACTACGCTTGGCGTTCCCATCACCACCATTGATCAGTGCTCCCAGCTTGATTCGCGTATATGATGTCGCGTCCAACCACCTCGTTGATTTGCTGAATTTACACATCCCAACCTCGCCCAGTCCCTACGGCAATGGCTCCACCAAGGCAAACTACACCGATAAGATTAAAACTGGCGGCCACATGTCTTGAGCAAACTCGCATCTTAAACGAAAAAAGAAAGGTCTAGAGTAAGATTCCACGTGAAACCTACCTGATCACTAGTGTGCGTTCGCATTATCAGGTGAAAAGAAGCCGCCAAGATCACCAGTTGCTCGAGGCCTACTGCAGATCTTAAGAACACTCGCCCAAGCTGAGCTGAAAAAGAATGTCAAGAATGCCACTTATACACATCTACCAACTGGCGTCGAGCGATCCCAGTTATAAATGCAAAGTATGAAAGACGCGCTACTCTCTCATAAAAGTCTCGTATTAGGCAGTCCTATCTTATCATCCGGCCCCCGAGCAACGTGGAATCCATTGTAACTTCTATCAAAGTCCATCCAAGCTATCTCGTTCCAAACCTCTACTCACCGGTGCCCAAAAATCAATTTTTCTCGCTTGGTATCCAAAAGCCACTACTCCCCGTGTCCTCACCCACAGCACCAAACCCACCACCGATAAACAAACATGAACTTCACCGCCAATACCACCACCTTGAGGTGTGAGGTGTATGTCCTCAGCAAAGCGAGGCAGAAAGCTATGCTTTCCGCAGCACTCAGCAGGTCTGGTAGAAACGGTATTATATCATATCATATGCTCGACGACGCGCGAAAAACTTCGCTGCAAATAAGCACCACTGCGTACACTTTTAGTTGAACCCGTCCAGCAACCCCTTCAACCACACGCCTGCCGCGTACGCCCCCGGATCTGGGATCTTAGACCGCTCGCTCCCATCGTCACTGATATACGTTGCGCGCCCAAACTTGGCCTTCATATTCGCCGTCGCTGCCGCGCTGTCCTGCGCCACCTGTACCGCTTTGCTGAGATCCTTGCTCTCGGCAAGAGCGTTGATGAACGGGATCAGCACATCCATGACCGTCCTATCGCCCTCTCTTGCGCTGGTGTAGTTCTTGAGGTTCTCGAGGGCCTGTGCGGCGGCCTTGCTGCACGTGTCTACGCTCAGCTCGGCGTCGTTCTTGACCGTGGCGGCGGAAAGCGCGTTGATGAAAGCCGTCAGCAAGATGGACAGGATGGCGCCCAGCGAGCCACCCACGTCCTCGACGTTCTCGCCGATGTGCTCCAGCAGCGTGAGCAGCGGCGGCGGGGAGTCCGACAAGTTGGACAAAATGGCTTTGCACACGCCGGCGACCGCCTCGCCGCAGTCGCCGTCGCCCATCTGCAGGTCGTACTGCGTGATTGTGGGCTCGGCTTCGAGGCCGGCGTTGCACGCTGAGGTCAATGCCGCGATGAGAGACGCCGGCGTAGCGGGGCCCTTGTCGCTGTCCCCGCCTTCGTTGTGCGCGGCGTGAGCAGCCTGCCTTCGCGACTCCATCTCCTTGGACACTTCGACAGGGGCATAGTTGTTCTTGGGCCAGGCGGGTGCGTTGGTCGGGGCGTCGAGCAGCGCGAAGATCTCCTCGTCCGACACGCTCATGGCCTTGGCCATGCCGCTCATGTTGCCGAGCGTGATGCTGAAGCCCTGCCCGTTGAGCGACGTCTCCATGATGCCGGCGTAGATGCGCTGCGGGACGATGTTCCAATCCGACTTGAGGACCTGGAGGGCGAGGTTGGTTAGGGCTTCGAGCTCGAGGCCGGAGAGGCCGCCGAAGTTGTTGACGAGCATGACGACGTTGTCGGTGGGGCCAAAGGGTACGAAGGCGCGGTCGGTGTCAGAGGGATCGAGGAGGTATTTCAGCATCTGCTTGATGATGTCTGTCGCGGAGGGCATAGGGGAGATGTTCTTAAGGCCCTGAGTTGTATTAGAAGTGACGCTCACGTGCTGAGGCGCCCGAGACTTACAGGCTCGTTGTGGATGCCCATGCCAATCACGCACGTATTTTCCGGCACCTGCTCGAAGGCCTCGCGCCCGGGGACGTGGCAATGGTCCAGACTAGTTCCAATGGTGACGAGGTTGTCATTTCCCAGCTGCCCCATCTGTCTGCATTTCTCGAAGGCCCAGCCCTTTTGTGAGGCCGCGCCGATCAATTTTATGACTGGCACGCGTCAGTACGCTCCCACAGACAATTCTTTAAAGCACCCATGCACTCACCAAGTAGATTCCCGGCGAGCCCTCTCCGCCCAACCTTCCCGCTCTTTGCCCGCCCCAGCGCCGCATCCTCGGCCATACACACAACATCTACCTTATACCCCAGCGCCTGCCCCTTCTCCCTCGCGAGCCCAAAATGCAGCATATCCCCCGTATAATTCGTAATACACAGAATAATCCCCTCGTCGCTGGGCACATTCCGTATGCCGCTCATGATCTGCTTCGTACTCGGGCTCGCAAAGATGTCCCCGCAGATTGCCGCCGACAGCATGCCGTCGCCCACGTACCCCGACCACGCGGGTTCGTGGCCCGACCCGCCCCCCGATATGATGGTGACCTGGGAAGGCTTGTGCGCGGTGTTGTAGACGACGCGTTCTCTTGCGTCAAGGGCCATGTGCTTGTTGCGGGAGACGAGGGAGGTGAGGGCGTGGACGACGACGCCCTCCGGGCTGGAGAAGAAGTGTTTCCGCGACATGGTCGGCAATTGACTTGTGTGTGAGAGGGGGACTCTAGCTGCACTGCAATGCCCAGAGAGAGATGGCACCTAAAAGGTACTTTTTTTTTTGGCTATTGCGAGAGCCACCGGTTATTTGGGTTGGGCTTGGTGTCTTCGCAAAAGATCAATACACTGCATTGGCGGTTGCGCTATGGAAGCGAAAATGGGCATGCATACCGTACTTCAAGACGAGTCTATACAACGCGATGTTCTGGTCCGACAAATCTTGAGCAGGTGAGAAGAAGGAGGGAAAGCAGAGAGCAAGGATAAATAGCCAGCGAGCCACAGCAAGTGGCTCCTCGCCATATATAAAGCTCCCCGCGGCGCCCCGCCTTGCTCCCCCACCCCGCCTATACAAGCAGCGCTCGCGGCTCATTTCCCGTGCTGCCCTTCTGTCAACAGAACAGCAGCGTTTTCGTCGCCAAACTCAGGTAGCGAATGCCGTTGACTTTCCTGCATCCAGTATGTCGGGCGCGTCTCTAGCTCTGTCGCGTCGTGACAAAGTCGTAGTGTTGCGCCGGCTTTGCCTGTTTGGGGCATCCCGGTGGGGTTGCGGCTGGGGCTGGAGTGCGGAGGGCTCGTAGCCTTGGCTCGTGCCGACGCAGAGCCGTCCAGGCCCAGCTGTGTGGCTCGTGACGAGGTGTTCAAGTACCCTCTATATGTGCCGTGGCCCAAGGCGAAGCCACGTGTGAAAACCAAAGCTTCACGAGAGAACACGTCGGCTCGTCTCGAGGTATGGGCAGCTTTGGTATTCAATTGTGCTGGCCGTGGCAAGAACCTTCTCCATTGTTCGTTCCGTGTTGTGGATGGTCTGATTAATCTGTGTTCAAAGCCTGCGACGGCCCCAGCTGATGATACAGAGAATCGACTGTGTCTGGATTAAGAGTTATCTACTATGACTATATACATGCTATCAATATCGTCGGGCCATACCGAATACCTGTGGCAGTCCCGTAATTCAAGAACCGAACCCAGCTCCACCGCTTCTTACACCGCAAAGCCACTCTGCTTTCAGCATACACAGTCATGACGATGCGAGAAAGGGCCGCTCAACGCCAGAAACTCCGTGCCATGCAAACGTTACAACAGAACAAGTACTTCCAAATGGTCGAATAGAAGAAAACAAGATACGACGAATGGGCAATCAGTGTCCTACAGCCGAGTAGTGCGATGCCCGTGTGTACGGCTGCTGGTAGACCGAAGGGGTGTACTCGGACTCATTGTAGACGGTGCCTCGCTTGTCCTCCTCGGGCAGAAGCTCCTTGACCTCCCAGTTGTGTGCCTTGACGCCGACAGAGAACTCGAGGTCTTCACGGGTGATGGAGTCCCAATACTTATAGACCATCATCACGGCGAGCAAGTTGCAAATGGTGGCGAAAAACAGGCCGTCTAGGTAGTGCTGGACACCTTCACAGAGAGTGTCGCTGAAGACGTACAGGATCACCTGTCCGATGACAAAGAAGAAGACGCCAAAGGTGATGTCGCCCAGCGGCCAGCGGTCTTCGAGTGTTCCCACGACGAGGAGAATCTGGCTGCAAAGATAGACGAACAGCATGATGGCGTTGATAATGTAGGTGACAACGAAGACGCCGACAGGGTTCTCGTGGCTCAGGCCCGCCCAGTCCTTGAAGGTGAGCAGAGACACGGCGCCGGAAACAATGAACATGGCGAGCGAGCTAAAGCGCAACAGCCAGACGGACAGCGTCGTCCCATCCTCGTACAGCTGGAAGCCGACAAAGCCGTTGATCAACAGGCAGGTGCAGAGAGCCGAAACTAGTCCGTTCTGCGCTGCTGCAAAGTACGGGTACGAGGCGGAGCCGGGCGGGGTGACGCCGGCGTCGAGGACCAGGGAGATGACGGTCAGGGCCATGTAGATGTAGAAGAAGGACGTGATCTCCTTGCGGCCTGTGTGGCGTTAGCGCCTGCGCAGCTGAAGGCTCCTCGTGTTCCACACAGAAAACATACCGACAGCAGTGAACTTGGATCGCACGTGAATGATCATGACAACAGTCATGACGAGGGCGAGGATGTGCATGAAGTCGTTGGCGGCCTGGAAGATGAGCGTGTTGGCGAGCATGAGCGAGCGCGAGTAGCACTCGGCCTGGATGCCGCGGTTACCGCTGATGTTCTGGTGCCCGACCAGGGCGCACAGCGGTATCGATGCCTTCTTGCATATCGTCGTGAAGTCGCCGAAGCCCATCGTGTCGCGGGCGAGGAGGGCGGCGTTGGGGTCGGGTGGTTGTGGCCGGTCGAAGGCTGATCAACAGGAGGCGCAACGCAACGCGCGATGGCAATAGAAGAGTAGCGTGGAGTGGCGGTGGGTGGCCGAAGAGCGAGTGAAGCGTGCGCGCGGGTAACGAGTGACAGAACAACTATGCACGCTCGAAGGCTGGGAAGCGACGGCGGGGGAGTGGGTCGGTGAGGCTCGCGGTGGTTGTCAAGGAGACATGGTGTTTCAGGAGCGACGGACAACCAGGCGCACGGTCCGTGCGGCCCCGCGTACAAGGGTCCGCTTTTCCTGGTATTTTCGTCCCTCGTGCTCACAGACACCATTGTTGCTGTCCATAGCCAGCATTGATGCGGACAATTATTTGAGTATAACACAATCTGTCAAGCTTCTGAATGCCCACGGCTCTCTCTTCTTTCGCTGGAGCCGGTCGTATGCTCTTTAGAGCGCAGCCACCCACAATTCGCCCAGCCTCCTCGTGTGCAATACCCGGCGCAAACACCTACAACCCACCCTACAAGTTCCCTCCACTCAATCCCCTCCTCGGTACCGTAAACCCCCTTTCCCTTCCCTTCAATTTCTCAAATTCCTCCATAAGCCCACTCCTCCCACCCCGCTCAAACCTCTTCGCTTCGGTCGCCTTCTTCTCCCTCTCGGCCTCCGCCTCTTCTTCCCCCTTCTTCCTCTCTGCCTCTTCATCTACCGCCCTTTTCGTCTCCTCAACCTGCTCAATCTCCCGTAACAACCCCTCCACGCACTCCCCAAATCCCACCGCACTACTCGCCCGCACCCACGGTTTCGTCACCCGTCTCCCCTGCTCCTTGCGATCCACAAACACCGTGATTTTGTACGTGTGCAGGATACTGTCGGCGCTGTGGCAGCTGCAGTACTGCGAGCCGCAGACCGAGGGCTCCGAGACGGCGATGAGAACCTTCGCGGGTGTGAGGTCTGGGCGGACAGTTTTGAAGAGGTGGGATAGGGATGCTGGGGCGTTCTTAGTTTGGTAGGTGATAGGGCGGCATAAGAACTGGAGGACGTTACCGACGAGCGTGTCAAGCTGGTGGCCCGGTATGTGTCCGCTGAGAGCGAGGCGAAGGCGCTCATTCACAAAGGCGTGCATTGTTTCTGTCATTTCGTGTTTCGAGTATAAGGCTTCGAAGATGGGTCCAGTGTGCAGTTCTGTCGTGGTCAGAAGTTTCGAGTGCATAGTCGCAAAGGCACACTTGAGGGGAGGTCGAAATGACATAGCGAGGTTTAGTGCTATTCAATTCGCATGTGAGTTCTTTGTCGTAAATGTAAATGGACAGTTGTCGCGTTTGTAATATGACATCGGGGGATGAAGGGACAAACCACCACGCCTCATCTTTCTGGGGCGCAGCATCGTGATACCTGTCACGGCGACGTCATATGCCATCGGAATTGGTTTGTTTGCTCCGTAGCATTATGACTTGCGATTTTTGAAATGTGTTCGTAGTGTTGCCCACGTCAAGGACTGGCCTTGTGATGTTCCATCGAGATCCATGTTTCGAATGTTGGACCGAACTATACTTCATCTGTGTAACGACAGTGAAACCGCTGCGATATAGGCTCATTCTTCGACGCTGTACTAGTTTCAAACGCACGTTCAATTCGCGACTGGGTTGGCCTAGCCTGTGAAGTACGTTACGCCCAAGATCCGAACAGTGTCGTACGAGGATAACGCCCACGAACGCGCCAACTGGATCACATTACCAGCATCAATACCTTATGCAAAACCTTGAGACCAGTTCATGCCAAGCCGAGTCCCGACTCGTGGAGTAGGCAAGGAGATTGACGACCGATAGAACTCCTTGATAACCAAGCCATCTGCCATGCATCTGCTAGGGAGCCTGCGCAACGTTCCGACCCGTACCCTCAGTGTGTGGTCCAGACACATTTGTGACGAGGTATAGGGAGTAGTCTATAAGAGATTTGTTGGCATTTCAGATGAGCTATTAGCTGCTCTTGAGTCGTTGTAGACTATAAGCTGGCCATTGCTTGCGGACCGTCCATTGACCTGAAGCGCCTCTTAGCTGTCACGTGCTGGCCAAAGAGGCAAGAGCGACGTCGCAGATGCAGTGAGCGTGGAATTGCATGAAGCAACCTGGATAACAGGAATTGCGAGAGGTACATCGAAGACCGGAACCGTTCACCTACCGGCTGTCTGGATATTGGATAAACGCAATAGCTCTTGTATTGACGTTGCGGAAACAGGCAGCAATGCAGGACTCTCGCGTCGACCATGCACTCTCAGTTCTATAAGACCGAGTGCGTCGACAAATATTTGGTGACATGAGTAGCGCCAGGGTGAGCTTTACAATGCCCACCATTGCGCACGCAGCACTGCACAGGGTACCTGGTTGCTTGTGTACGGTGTTGTGTTATACCATACTCGGGTTACGATGACGTATCATCGGATAAGGCTACCCAATGAAGTCCTCAAATTGCCTTCAGGAATGTCGGATGAAGAAGAAATATCCATATTGATGCAGTGATTGCTCCAGGATGAAGCCCGCGAGCCGATCGGGAGCATGCAAGCTCATTCGGAGCAACTCCTCGCGCCCCGACCTCACTCCTCGGAGCCCTCTCATTCCTTCCAATTGAGCAGCGCCGCCACCCAGTCAGTCAGAGCGACTAATCGCACCTAGGCGCTCTCGATCCACTTGCCTCGGCGCTCAAGTGCACAATGACAGTCACGACACCCTACGCGTGCGGGGTCGTTCCCGCGCGATGGTCGGGTATAGCTCATGGCCCCTCACGTAGCTGCAAAGGCGCATCATTGAGCTTCCGAGACATCGCAGACTGAGCTTCGCATCCCTGCCTCCAATTGACCGCGCGCTGAACAACGCCATGGCAGACTCGCAGACCACGTTTCCGGCCTTTGACAAGCTGCCGAAGGTCGAGGGCGAGCCGCAGGGCTCTATATGGGGAATTTTCGACAAAGACGGGAAGAAAGATGAATGTGGAAGTACGCAAGCAATCCGCCCGTCGTGCCATGTACCATATCGGCAAGCATGACTAACTGGCCGTCTCTATCCAGCTCTCAACCTCCTGACGCCCGCCGTCGTCCGCGCCGCCGCCCGCGAGATCCAATCCGGCGAGCACATCCAGCTCGACTGGCCGCTGCACAACGTGCAATTCCCGGGCTTCGGGCGTAAAGAATTCAGCCAGACCAAAATTGATCTCAACGCGTCGCTGAATTTCAAGGCGATGGACGACGAGCTCTATATCAACACGCAGTCGGGGAGTCAGTGGGACAGCCTGAAGCACTTTGCGCACCAGAAGACGGGGCGGTACTACAATGGGCTGACGCACGAGGAGGCGACGCGCAGCGACACAAACGGCATCCACAACTGGTGTGAGAGAGGTGGCATCGTAGGGCGGGGCGTGTTGGTGGATTGGCTGGCGTGGTACGAAGAGCACAAGGGGAGCGCGCCGAGTCCGGTTAGCAGGCATGAGATTCTGGCCGAGGAGCTGGATAAGGCGTTGGCGTGGCAGGGGACGAAGACACAACCTGGAGACATCCTGCTCATCCGGAGCGGGTATGTGAGGTGGCACAAGTAAGTCTGCTATCGCTGCAAGCACGCCCAAGCGCACTGCTAACGTGGAGAAGCAATGCGTCCGAGGCGGAGCGCAAGAAGGGGACTCAGGAGAATAGTATTGCGATCGGCTTGCAGGGGAGTGAGGAGTCGGTGCGCTGGCTGTACGACCATCACTTTGCTGCCGTGGCGGGGGATACGGTGGCGTTTGAGTCGTGGCCGCCGAAGCTGGATGAGGGCTGGTGTCTGCATGAGTGGCTGCTTGTGCAATGGGGAAGTCCCATTGGCGAGATGTGGGATCTCGAGAAGTTGAGCAAGGTCTGCAAGGAGAAGAAGAGGTATACATTCTTCCTGACCAGCGCGCCGCTGCACGTCAAGGGGGGCATTGGAAGTCCGCCGGGTGCTATTGCGATTTTTTAGGTCTGCCGATAGTAACTAGAAGCTGGTTATTGCTTTGTCGCTACGTGGACATTTTGCCTCATGTGCTAACAATATTCGAGATGTTATAGTCAGATAACGCAAGGAATCCAAGTTATTGATAATTATGTACCGCAGGATGGGACCAGGACGCCAGTGTGTGATCAGACCCATAATGATCTGCTTTTTAGTAACTCATCGTCACTACTTATTGTTTCTGTTTGGCAGTCCCAACGATGACTTTGCTCAAAGTATGTGACCGCCAGCTGTTTCGCTACGAAAACAAGCTTCCTCCATCCGACCTCACCATACTTGCATCCATGTTGTAATCCTTCATAATGCCAATGAAGCTTTCGGCTACATCCTCCGCAGTAGGCACCCTCCCCGTGAACAGACTCGTCTTCGACCCTTCGAAAAATGCCTGCTTCTCCTCCTCACTCATCCTCCACAGTTCCGTATCCACAACACCAGGACTCACCCCGTTCACTCGGATCGGCTTCAGGTCCAGCGCCAGATTGCGCACCATCGAGTGGTGGCCCCCCGCGTACGACGCGATTACGGTCCAGTCTGGGATCGGCTTCTCGCTGATGGCGCCCGTGGTGACGGTGTAGGAGGATTTGTATGAGGCGTTCATGTATGTGGCGAGGTACTTTGCTAGCAGGAGGGGCGCGAGCCAGCGCACTGTGCCGGCACGCTGGATGCGTTCGACGGTCATATCAGTCAACTTCATGGGAGCGAGTGCATCGCCGGCTGTAAAGACCACGTGGTCTAGCTTCCCGCCCAACGTCTCTGTGGCGCTCTTAAGGACGGTGGAGAGTTCGTGCTCGAGGGTTTCCGGGTTTGCGAGATTGACAGTGAGGCCGTGGATGTTGGATGCGAAGGAGGGGTAGGAGGACGTGAGTTTGTCGGCGGCGGCTTTGATGCGCGACTCGTTGCTGGAGGATATGGCGACGAGGGCGCCGTGCTCGAGGCTGGCTTCTGCGACGCCATAGCCGATGCCGGAGGAGCCACCGATGATGAGGATGCGGGTGTTGTGAAGCTTGTTGGTGTATTTGAGCTGGTCTTTGGTGGACATGTTGGCTAGTATGTGCAAACTGGAAGCAGAAATTGTGGAGAAGATTAGGTGCTTTGCGCTGTATCTATATGTTATTGTTAATCTGGTCTACCACGATGATACAGTGACTTAGTATCTTACATTTCTATATATCCGCCTTCTCTCGACATCAAACCGGGCGAGACACATCTCCGAATTTTCATCCAGGACCGTCATGCACTTGCAATTACTGATCGCGTCGTGTAGCGCAGAAGATATGGAAGATCGACATACTCGGATGGTGAACGCGGTATTTTGATCGGAGATATACGGAGTTAGTTCAGGGTTGCGCTAGCCATGAGGAAAAGTGGTGATGGTATGGATTACATCAGAAATATTATTGCACTGGCTGGCGTCAGCGTACTGGGTGAGGTGAGGTGATGGTCGGACATCCGGAGTTAGTGTTCAAGGTACATGAATGTGAGGGGGTTCGCGGGCGGGTCTTTAGTGACTTATTCCTACATAGGGAGTATAATTGCTTTGCTGCTACTCACGCACCCAAGTGGATTATGCAAGACCCATTTCTAATGGGTATAAATCTCTGTGCCCTGCGCATCTGGCTTGTCCCATTTGCCATGAGCTCCTCGAGCTCCACGTTGGCATGATATGCGCCAATGCGCCGACGCCTAAAGTAATGTTCTCGAGCATCTTGAAGTCTGACCGTGTCAGTTCAGTATACAGATCATGATCGAACCTCTGTAAACGAAGCTGGAACAGATCCGCCGACAACGGTAATTCAGTGTTTTCCTGTATGGGAACACAGAGACAGAATTGCAACCGCGCCTGTCAGGGATACGAAGCGATCACCACCATACAAACATCACGATCGACAAGCATGGAGGACTCTACCAAAATGGCCAGATCCGCGAAACACAAGCTATAAGGGTGCAGCGTGAGGATGCAAAACAGGGCAAAGAGTACAATTTCGACGAGAAGTAGGGTGCCTGGCGCAACATGCCGGGAAACCTGGTAGAGACTCTGAACATGCCCATTCAGGGTGGACATGCGCAACCCCGAGTTCCGCCCAAGCTACACATGCCGTATTGGCCATCCTAGGCTATTTAGGTAGAAATTGGGAGTATGGTCTATAGCAGACATCACTGCCGCAGGGCTACGAATGCTGATCGAAGGAATCCGAGTTCTGGCCGCAGCACCAAATGCTGTACTGTGTGGACACATTTTTGTTCATTCATAGTTAACGTAGGGTCTCTCAATTGCTGCACGAATGCAGTGTGTGATACGTTCGATGCAGTTCGCTTAGGTTGCACAGCCACTCCATCCGCATGCTGATGCCTCAGCCTGGCGATGTTCAGAAAGCCTCTCCAGTCACTTCACTGAACTCAGCAATTACTTCTGAGCCCTTTTGATCATCAGGTTCTACCGGGCTTTTTCTCCATATTTAAGCGCACTCGATAGGAACGGAACCATGCAGCGCGATACTGATTTAACGTTCGGAGAGATCCATGGAAGCCACGACAGCTTCGTCCAAAATATTGAGCAAATTATTGACACTGCGCTAGTAAAAAGCGAAGAAGAGGCTCCGATCAGACTGCGTTTCCTTACGCGGCCTGAATCTGCAAGGGTTGGACCTGAGAATACTGATCCTGCTTGTTATCAGCTCACCTCGCCACACGAGCACAAACCTCGTATGCGATACATATCTGTGTCCTACTGCTGGAACCATAATCAAAGCTCTGAGGGGCTCACACTTCCGGACTATCATATACAAGTCGAACCTGGGAGCCAACGACGTCCTATTTCCTGTCCACCATTGGTATTCCATCGCTCTATGCGCTTTGCCCGGTGGCAAAGATGTTCCTATGTTTGGATCGACCAGGAGTGCATCATGCAAACAGATCCAACCGATGTTGAACGGCACTTGAAGGTCATGCACCGCGTGTATGGGCAAAGTAGGTGGACAGTGGCAGTTTTGGCGACCCCTATATCAGATGAGTACAACCTGGAAGCGTTACTCAAAGTGACTCGTACCCCGGGGTCACCAAACGGACGAGATTTCGAGATTGCGACTGTAGTTGCTTTGAACCTCCTTCACACCATTTCCAAAGATCGATGGTTCAGCCGTACATGGGCTTTCCAGGAGAAATACTGCGCCACGTCGTTGCACTTACTGATTCCAATCGCTGGGTTCAAAATAACAAGCTACTTCAAGCAGCATCTTCTCGGGGATGAGGTTGATAGCAGCTGGGACTTTTGCCTGCCTATAAAGATCGTGAGGAAGCTTCTTATGCGCTTGAGATCAGGACCCTCCGCAGCCAAAATTGCTGATCACTGGAATTCAAAAGACGGCTTATCGTTTCGAGATACGATCGAAAACTTAGGAATCTGGTACCACAATGTGGGTCAATCCATCGTTGGCGAGGGAATATTGGATTGGTTTGAGAACTCACATCTCATTCACGGCGCGTTCGCGATGCTGGAAATATGCGACAATCTAGTAGTTGCGGACAGGATATCCATATTCGGCAATCTCTGTGAGCTCCCGTATCGATTGCTGTCGAACCGACTCAACGACCCACAATATAGCTACAGTACCTGTCTGCTGGCTCTTCTACTAGCCAACTTCTTTCCTGGTCCGCAACAGCGAGCCGAAGCGATTAAACGATATGCATGGCATATACGAGATCACACACTAGGGTCTACCCTCGAAACCGAACTGTTCGCCCAAGCCATTGATGCGTCTGATCCGGAGCACATCAGTGATGTCATGCAATCAGGAAAGACGGTAGGATGGGGTCGCTTCTGTGCCATCTTCTTCATTGGATCAATCGTTCTTTTGCAATTTCTGACCGTGTTCAATGTGCTACTTAGTTGAGCAAGGCTAGATAGCTGTAGGCACATGCTGGGCAGGTTACATAACAGCATTTGAATTTCATGCACATCGTTCCCATCACGATCATAATTTCAAAATGTCTCATTGAAAAGAATCATAAAATTCCTTTCAGACAAAATTAGAGTAGAAAAGAAAGCACCCAACAGCCATTCAATTACCCTCCCTCATCCTCGTACACACTCGTCCGGTGGGCGTCGTATACAAGGACCAGTCCTGGATGTCCTCAATCTTCTTATCCTCAGTGTACAGCCTCACACCATCCAAGCTCTCCACCTCGAACTTCTCGTTCTCCGAATCCCACATCTTCGAGTCCTCAATATCCTTCAGATACTCCACCTCGAAGAGCTCTACCTCGGGGACCTCTGCTTCTGAGCCCTCCTTCTTAAGGTCCTCTGTTTTCGACCGAGCAGGTCGCCTGCCCGCACGCGGCTTGATCGTAAGCTGGAAGGAGTTTAGCAGTAAGAAGACCTGCGCATCGCTGTCCGGATCCATTAAAATCAGTCCCACGCCTGGAACATCTTGAATTAAATTTAGGCTACACGTTGGTCATGTGTCTTCAAGAATGAGCCTTCTGCGGGAGTCCGGGAGAAAAGAAGACTGTTCGCGGCAGACTTGGAGTAGCGACAAACCTTTCCACAAGTTTGGAGGGCGCGGCAAGATCGACGACGATGTGAGCCGGTCCATACCACACGTACACTAGCTCGTGTGCTATTCTTTGCCGTAGCGATCAATGTCGCTAGCAACAACTGCGTCAGAAGGTACGGACCCGAGCAATTTGTCGCGAGCTGCAGCTTATGGCCGTGCGGCGAGACGTAACCCACCGGGGGATTGGAAACTCCGGCGTTGTTGAAGAGAATGTCAGGCCGATCTTCTTTTCGAGAACCTTTCGTACGGCTGGCTTGATTGTGCTTAATTCGTCGAATAGTACTTCTAGAAACTGGAGCTTTCCGCGCTGTGGTGGACAGTCCTTCAATGCGAGAAATGGCAGCGCTAGCATTTGCTTCAGAGCGACCAGCTAAGTGCGCTGTGCCTTGTGCTTGGTAGAGCATGCGACACAGCTCGTACTCGACACCTGAGGTTCCGCCTGTGAAAATAAAGGTCCGTCCTTGCTAGGGTGGCAGTTTCTTCTCAGTGAATGTCGGCGCCGGTGGGAAGAAGAGACAATAGGCAATACCCATTTTGTTGTACCCGTTTATGATCACGAAATATGAGGTCATTGACGGAATTATTCATAACCCTACGAGATCCGAGTTGTTTCTTGCCAGAAGCAGATGACTTGGAGTGCCGCTATTGACAACGGGTACAACTTTCTGTCACTCGTTGCTACAGGGCAAGCTGATGATCGGTGAGGGGATGCCACTCGCACGACAGTATGTGCCCGCCGCCATACCATTTTCGGCATCCCTCAACTCATCATGATCGTATAGAAAGCTGCGCAATTGGCGCTTCCAGTAGTGTCGCCGCTGGACGTACGCGAAATGCAATGCTGAAACAAGATCAGGTTTGTACACATAATATGTCCAGTCCTCGCCAGGACAGATGTTGTGCGTATTCAAAATAGTTCAAGGGTCTAGTATGGGTGTGGCGGGTTTGTTTTAAAATGTAACGACTATGAAATCAACTCATGTGTCCGTGCAGCAACGCTTCAATTTCTTACCGACATCCACCAAGGTAGCCATGGCTCCCACATATGCCTTTTCCACAAGTACAGCAGGCCTGCGCTATAGGTCCTGGAACTCGAGCTTGACAAGGAGCGTGCATGTTGTCTCGTGGCCTTTCAGATCCAACTGTGAGTGAAGAAGAGTTAGCGCATATCAAGGAAGGTCAAATATAATATACAAGTATGGTCTCAACATCGGTACTTACCATGCGTATGAAGTTCCAGCCTGGCGCGGCGTAAATCAGGCGGACTGCTGCTACAGCAAACAAGGGATTGCGGGCGAAGGAATCGTCGCTCTTGATGAGAAGACGCAGGAAAACCAGTTCGTTGTCATCGTACTCCCACTCGAGAACCTCCTTCCAAAGTGGATCCGTGGGTGCAGGATTTTCTTTATGGAGGAACCCGGTAAGCTTGTGCGGCTTGTAAGGTTGCGTCTTACGTTTCTGTGGCAGATTGTTCAGATCATTCGGATGAACAAGTGTGCAGGTCAGGTATGGCTTGATCTCATCGTCGCGATCATGTGGCAGAGGCACATCTGTTGCACCGGCAACATGCAGCCTTAACCTCTTTCTTCTGCCGGTGTTGAGTACGCCATTTCCACCTAAACGTAGAGGTGCAGGCTTCAACACATAACCACCAGAGCCTGAGAATAGGGCTTCGTTGAGTTGGGAAGCGGCTCCAAAGGTTTGCCAATTTAATGCGCAGATCTGAGCGCCGATCCCCTATAATAAATTAGATCAAGCTTGCTGTGACAATTAAAGGTCGAAACCTACCCAAAACGGGACGGGTGCGAGGTTCCTAGATGAAATGCGGGTTCCTTTAGGGAAGACGCGCATCAGATGCTTAGAATTATGCACTGCAATCCTAGGGCTGTCCGCTGGCATATGCGACTTGAGGCCGGTTTCCGAGACGTTGATCAAATGATGATGGGGCGCATTCTCCAGTACGCTTTCGTACCAGGAGTTGTTCACTGGCTTGACTGATTGAGCGTAGACCCCCAATTCGGCGAGTTCGGGGATAATGCCTCCAGCGTTGACTGCCTTCTTCTTCTCGCGATACTGTTCATGGGCCTTTCGCTGCTCTTCATCTTCAGACGAGTCACTGCTGTCGTCGCTATCCTTCTCGTCTGGAAGATGGTACTCGACCTTTGGCCGACATTGTATCAGCATAAGTCCTGTACTCAAGGGGATATGTTACGCACAATCAGAACAATTTTGTTGCCAAGTTCTGCAAGAGTGACATGATCACCGCCTTCCTGTTCACGAGTACCCTTGTCGCGTATCGCTTTACTTAAGAGACGTTCTCCAAATACTTCTCTCATGATCTGCACCATCCGAAGCTGGCCATGAGCGCCGCAGTGGTTCTCAAGAGATATGATAATGGGAGCGGCATTACGCTCTTCCCGGGCTTCTTTGTCAACAACGTCGCGAAGAACTTCGCAAACTTGGCGAAAGGGGATATGGGAAACAAGTGTGTACCCATGAGTGACTTTAGGCTCGTCCTTGTTGTCATCGTCATCCCAGGCATCAATCTCGACACAACGGGAGCCGGTGTAGAGTGCAGTCTCGTACGCAGATGCGTGACTTTCACCAAAGAGCTGATGGGCCATCAAGTAGGTGTTGTGACTTGAGCTTATGAAGTAGTCCGGCAACGGGTACCTGCGATCGAGGACCTCCGCTGGGACATGAATGTGGGGGCGATCGAGAAACTCTCTCAAAGCCGAGGTAGGCTCATCTTGATCCACGCCAAGTTCGTCCTCGGGCAATACACCTTCTTTTGCTAAGAACGACTTCAAGGCGCGGCTCACTCTGAGCTGGTTCTTCGTGATGGCAGATTGGCGGGAGGCATGTCCACCACCAGCCACCGTCTGTTCGTCAATAGCCTCGCCCTTGTCCTCATCGTCGACGTCCGATCGCTTGGAAAAAGGATTGAGTCTAGCGATACCGGAGACAAGTTCGGACATGGTCAGAGACACGTTGCAAGGTGATAGGGAGGAGTAGGGTAGGTTGTTCGTGCGGGCGCGGACGATGACGTCCTGCGGCCTGGTGGGGTTGGACGCGCAGCGGGCCGGCGGCAAGGAGCCGCGCTAGCCCACAATTGAGGAGCCACGATTCACATCAATGCACTCCAAGTCCTTCCTCAGGCTCGGCATGCAAGCCCGATACCATCGTCAAGATAAATCAGACTTTGAATGTGTGCTGGCAGTGGCATTCGGTGACTACACTATGAGGTGGTCGTGGACCGCGAAGCGTGGTTATTATCGCGCAAGCCGCGCGATTGACTATTTGCAGACAGGTACAGCGCGCTTGGAGGGGTCTGGAATCCTAGGATATTTCAATTGCGCGCTAAGGAATCATTACCTGCCTGTTTTGCTTCGAACAGCAGCATATTAATCTCTTTTCAGCCTTTCTCTAAGCGAAATTACTATATGCTGGTATATCACAGAGTCCCTAGACGCAGAACGGTTTGCCAACCATGTAATTGAGGCGCTTATCTACCGAGCCAAACGGGGGTTGCAAACCACACATTCTCACCGCCCAATGCAACCGACCAGGCTATAGCACGTGATGTTCGGAGGATTTCTTGTAAAAGGCAAACATGCCCAGGAACGCAAATTTCACTTCGTCAAACTGTCCGTTGCTATCTGAATTCGATAGTTCTGATTTCAAGCTGCATTCCGCTCTGCTTGGGTTATTTACTTCATAGTGTGCCTACCCTCGCTTGGCTTGACACTTCACCTGGCAGTGGCCTCCGGTTAGACATATTGGAGGAGGAGATCCAGATCACGTTAAGGTAAGCTTACACAGTGTTACCAACCACTGCTGTATGAGCATATAGGAGCTGACTATGTCGTCAGCATCGAGAAGCTGTACATCGGAAGTTCTTGTGTCGGATCAACTTTCCAGACACGCTCTTTCCCGTTGACAGACCGTCACTCCCAGATAATGAGCACATCACACGCTCGACATGTGACCTCACAGTGGGAGGCCACAAAGCAGCGTGCGTCACCGCTGATTGTCGACGGCAAATCCTTGACTCTTGCGCAAACAGTCACACTGGGAAGATATGGAGGGACAGCTACACTAACCCAAGACCGCAAAGTCCTTGATAGGATAGATGCGTGTGTTGCAATGCTGAATCAAATGTTACAGCAAGGCCAAACTGTGTACGGTCAGTACAGGTGTCTCCATAACTGCTCATCAGAAGTGTTGATTGAAATGCAGGGGTCAACACAGGATATGGTGGAAGTGCAGACGTTCGTTGCAGCCATGGAGAGATGCACAAGCTACAGCAAGCGCTCATCCAATGTCTGAACTCCGGGCACGCCCCCATTCCAAAAGTGTCTGGCAGCGATCAGGTCGCACACTCGCCGACATTGAAACAAGAGTGGGTACGAGCCGCGATTCTTATCCGGGCGAACACAATCGTGAGAGGCCACTCTGCAGTGCGAAAATCTACTATCGAGGCCCTACTAGAGCTGCTGAGTCACGATATCCTTCCTTTGATCCCCACCCGTGGAAGTATATCAGCGTCTGGAGACCTATCACCGCTTTCCTACGTTGCCGGTATGCTAGAAGGTAATCCAAATATACATTGCTGGATCGGCCCGCCAAGTGATAGGAAGATCGTTCCTGCCTCTGTAGCACTTGCAGCTGCCAATGTCAAACCAACAGTCTTCGAGCCAAAAGAAGCGTTAGGTCTTGTCAATGGCACTGCTGTATCGGCAGCTGCCGCAAGCATGACTCTGGCTTCAATGAACAACATAATGGCTCTCAGTCAGCTTCTCACTGCCATGAACGTGGAAGCAATGCTTGGTACAGCCACGTCTTTTGCTCCGTTCATTTCAGCTGTTCGCCCACATCCTGGTCAAGCGGAAGTCGCGTCTGCTATCCGTGGCGCTCTTGATGGCTCGAAACTTGCCACAGGTCTTCTGGAAAGCCACAGCCATACTCTCTTCCAGGACAGATACTCCTTGCGCACGGTTCCCCAGTGGCTTGGTCCTTTCCTTGAAGATATCGAGCTCGCCAATGAACAACTCCGGGTCGAACTGAATAGCACGACGGACAACCCGCTCCTTGACGCCAGTACTGGAGATATCTACCATGGCGGTAACTTCCAAGCTGTATCAGTCACGTCGGCTATGGAGAAGTGCAGGCTTGCTGCGCAAGCTATTGGCCGAATGCTTTTTTACCAGTTCACGGAGATGACGGACCCAGCCAAGAACCGCGGATTGCCGCCAAACTTGTGCGTTGATGAACCTAGCACCAGCTTTACTTTCAAGGGAGTTGACGTGAATATGGCGGGTTACATGTCGGAACTGTCTTTCCTTGGCAACCCGGTACACAACCATGTCGTCAGTGCTGAGATGGGAAACCAAGCGCTGAATTCACTGGCGTTGATCAGCGCACGGTATACCGACACGGCAATGGATATTCTTTGCCTCATGTGTGCTGCCTCGCTTTACGGGACTTGTCAAGCGCTGGATTTACGCGCTTTGAACCGCATCTTCGAGTCGAAGTTGAAAACCGCAATTGAGGACAGCGTACGGAATGTTCTCGCTGAAATAGGTGTCAGCGAAGAGTGGGAGGCAAAGGCCCAAGTCGGTGTCTGGGGATACGTCTCTGACCAGCTAATCGCGACGACCACGTTGGACTCAAGACCTCGCTTCGAAAACATCATGAAAGGCGCAAAAGCACCACTAGTGTCTGTCCTCGAAGAAGCGAACGCGACATCTTCCGGGCTCCTGCAACACCTGAGCACGTGGACTGCAAAAAACATCAGCGCAAGTCTCTCACTGTTCAATGAGACAAGGCAGGAATACATCCGATCAGGCGATGCAAGCGATCTGCTTGGAAAGGCTTCGAAACGGCTTTATCGATTCGTCAGGAACGAATTGAAGGTGCCAATGCACAGAGGTGTTGTCGATCATCCAATGTATCAGGCCTCGGGCGACCCGAACAACGTGTTCGAGAAGGTTGAGGCCGCGAGTATGAAGCGTACGATTGGCCACTGGATTGGGGTTATCAATGATGCCATGAAGGATGATATCTGGGAGGTGGTTGTGGAGTGTCTTAAAGAGGGCTTGGATGCCGAACCTGAGCTGATGCCTGAGCATGTCGAACCAATGACTAATGGAGTGAACGGAGTGCGCTGGTTGAAAAATAGGTGAGCGTAGTGGCAAATGCAAGTTCGCTTGTTTGCGCGCGTTCTAGGGTCTGGTAGGGTGGGATCTTGGGATGGAAATAGAGCTTGTGCAGCATAGACAGGACCAAGAGTCTTTACTTGTGGCCTCAGTAATTGGCTTTATTTGCACTGTGTTTTGACATGAGCAGCGATTGAAGGCATGATATCTTCCAAAGGTTCCTGCCAAGCGATTGTCATTTGCGCTTGGCTGTAGAGACTGTCGGGCAACTGCTCCACTCCCAAGGGCGATGCGTGAAGCTTCGCAGCAAGGTGAGACAATGCATAGCCTTGGTCGACGCTGGTGCGATGCTTGTATTGGTTTGTGGGTGGATATTGGGCGGGAAGAGTGGAGAGTTGTACATAGTTGCGCACGGGCTTCCATTCCAGCCAGAACACGCATTTCATCCCAACCCATCTCTGCACCATCACGGATACGGAGGATGGTCATCTCCCGGAAACACACCACGAAACAATCCAAAAGCATACACGGCTCTCACTATGCTCAGCAAAGGAAAACGCGGGTTCCATACGCGTCTTCCTGAGGCAATCAACCCCCGCCAAGCGCTTGGCCATGTGATGAAACGCCTCCCCGTTGCTCTGTTGAAACCCACCTTGACCACACGCAAACCCCGGGTCCGAAGATCCTCCGCCATGGCCGCGTCCAGCTGCGGATTTTCGGTTCCTTGCAACGAGTTTCAAGCACTTTGGCCAACGTTGCCGAGCTTAGCTTAAGCATTTACTATTGGACTTGACACGCCAAGCAGCACCCATCACCACCCTTGAAACTCCTCTGTGCTGCCCCGCATTTGCAACAGTGGAGAGCAAAATGGGCAGCTTTCCCAAGTATAAATCTGCGGATGGAGATCCAGGAATTTCCTTTTCCCGACTTTCTGCTAAAGATGCCGTTCATGAACCCTAAAGGCATGTCGACGCTCGGCCACACCTTCCGGTACGCATATGCATGAGGCTTCCTCGGCAGCTCTAACATCGTATAGAAACTTTGATCAGACCATTCTAACCGTAAAGGTTGGAAAGGGCGAGTACCCAGAGTCATTCAGCTGCCATCGCGAGCTTCTGCGAAGATGTTCAGCGTACTTCGACCGTGTCCTAGAGCAGCAGAGCTCTTCACCATACAAGGGCGGTGAAGCTGCGCTCGAACTAGACGATACGAACCCGGACGTCTTCGATGCGTTCATGATGTGGTTGTATACTGGATATATTCCGCATCATCTTATCGAAGGCGGAAAGGAGGTGCATGCGCCCTCACGTTCTATCGATCTGGGATCGAGCATGAATGGTAGCACGAACAGCACATCCGAAATTGATGCCAAGGACGGAGCCGATGATGTTGACACAGCATCATGGGGCATCTCGCTGGACAACGACGATGTCGATGCCCCGCCAGCAGAAGGATCGCAGAATGGGGACGTTCCGCCTACGTCCGAGAATGGTGCTGAAAAGGTCCCTGGTGATGCCGAAAGCGAGAAGAGCGCTCCAGCACCTCCAATTCGCTTGACCGCGGCAGAGAAGCCGGAGATCCCCAAAGAGACCTTGTGTCCCTGCTGCTCCAGGCCCTACAAATGGCGAGGACTGGAGGGCTTTCTTGAGCGCCGCTTCATTGCACTCTATATCTTCGCCCACAAGTACGAGATTCCGAAACTTCGCCACGCCGTCATCCTCGCTTGGCAAAAGAACGATGAGATTCTGCAGTCGATGCCCGACCACAGCAACGTAATCGATGCTTACGAAGGCCTCCCGACCGACTCGCCGCTGTGCAAGTACTTCCTCGACATGTACTGTGTCTACTGGGACCCGAAGAAAGATAATGAGCGGATGGTGTCTTTGCGGTCACAGCTCCCGCAAGCCTTTCTGTTCGAGCTTGCGACCACTCTTGCTCAGGGTGAGCGTCCGAAAACAGAGAAGGATTGGTGCGAGTGGCACGAGCATGAGGATGAGGCAGCTAAAAAGGCATGCACGGAAGATATGATGAAGGATGCTGCTGCCGCGAAAGCTCTGAAGAGGATCCGCGATGTCAAGGGCTGGAAGGGTCTGGTAATGAAGAAGGGCAAGAGGTAATATCAACTTCTCGACCACCAATGATGTGTTACTGCATGAGCAAGGCGTTTTGGGACGGTACTCGGACTATGGCCGCCCTGGTTGGCGCAGGCCACGGCCAAAATTAGATGAATGGTATACCCCCTTGTTGAACACACTACAACCTCTTATCAGTTCACCGTGCTTCCGATGCTATTCCCATTAGCTCATGCTTTTCATCACCAGAGACATGCAAACTTAGCGCCTATTGCGACAGCGCCCACCCTCCATGGTGCGCCGATAGCCATAGTCTAGCCACGGCTGTTTCGGGCACACACCGATGTTATACGTTCGGATGCTCGTAGTGCGGGGTGCCTATGTTGAAAGGGCTGGGGACGCATTGCGTGATGCAGCCGACAATTGCGTTAGGAACACAACATCGCGACTTCGGCCTACTGCTCGGCATGACATGACCTCCGAGGGCCTAAACATATAAAATAGTCGCGAATCATGGACGTATCGACTAAAGGAACTATACAGTTTTTCTTTTCAGTCGCTCAAGACTCTTCAAATCAAAGATCAGAACTTCATCATGGCACCTGGTATCTTGGAAGAGAATGCTTCCAAGCAAGCTCCCATAGATAACGCCCACGCATCTGAGCCTCTCAAGCCTTCTGGGGTTCTGGACAAGTTCGACTACGAGGAGGTCACGCCAATCATTGGCCGTGAATTCCCTCAACTCAACATCGTCGACGATCTTATCAATGCCGAGAACTCAGATGAGCTGCTACGGGAACTCGCTATCACCAGCATGTCTTCCAATTTGCCACTATATGCCCATAACTAACAGGTGCAAAGTTTCTCGCCGCGGTGTCGTGTTCTTCCGCTCCCAAGATAACCTCACCAACGATCTACAGAAGCAGCTCGTAGACCGCCTCGGCAAGCTCACACAGAAACCATCAGGCTCGACCCTGCACATCCACCCCGTACTCAATAACACCTCCGAATTTGGCGTTAACGACGCTGAGATCAGCACTATCAGCTCTAAGGCTCGCAAGCAGATCTTCAAGCACGACCGCCAAGCAGACAGGCGCCGCTACGATGCTGCGCAATGGCACTCTGACATTCAGTTCGAGCCTGTGCCAGCCGACTACACTTCTCTGCGGCTAGTAGAACTCCCACGGGACGAACGAGGTATCCCAACAGGCGGCGATACCCTTTGGGCAAGCGGATAGTACGTAACACCCCTGGTACCAGGCCGACATGTCTCAGTACTCGATGCTTTTTCTGTGACAATCTTTCCGACACCCACTGACTCATTCCCTCGCTTCCAGTGAGATCTACGATCGCTTCAGCGCCCCCTACCGCAAGTTCCTCGAGAGCCTCACCGCAACATTCTCAGGCGAGGGCTTCACCCGGGCCGCCGCCGCGAACCCTGACAAAGTAAAAATCCATGAAGGACCACGCGGCTCCCCATCCAACGTGGGCAAAGAGCTCTCCGCCGTGCACCCCGTCGTGCGCACAAACCCCGTCACAGGCTGGAAGTCTGTCTTCGCCCTGGGCCCGTTTCCCAAGCAGATCAACGAACTGCACTCGGACGAATCTGAGGAGCTGCTTAAGAAGCTGCTCAGTGTCATTCCAAACAGCCATGACTTGCAGGTGAGACTAAAGTGGAAAAACGAGAATGATTTGGCGATCTGGGATAATAGGAGTGTGTTTCACACCGCTACCTTTGACTATGAGAGCTTGGGCGAGCGGTTCGGGAACCGCGCTGTGGGGATTGGGGAAAGGTTGGTTTTTCCTTTTTGGAGGGTTTGGTGTGACGTGCTAACAGGGTGCCAGACCGTTCTTAGATCCCAACAGCAAATCACGGAGCGAAGCGCTGGCAGAGGAGGCTGGAGCAAAGGCTACCTTGCCTACGCGTAAGGCGGAAGGTGAGCAGAAGGAGCAGGTTCTCACAGGATCTGCGTAGAGCGAGGCGTAAATGGAGTGGCTGAGACAATACCGAAATCTCAACTGTTGAGTAGCTGCTTTCAATTCACTCGCCTAGCCCCGTGATGCACTATATCTTCTGAACCAAGCTGCAGGGTCCAACGCCAAATATGGAGCAAATCATGTGTGTGAGGCCCCAATCAACACAAGAGTATAACATTTGACGCACCGAGACTGGGAAGGGACTTAGCTAGGATTTGACAGTTCTTGTAATCGTCTGTATGACGTATGTCGGTCTGATTACCGTGGTAGTCGTCCGGGATGTGTATGTCACTACCTTCGCGCTGACGCTGATAAACGTTGATGTTATGGTCGAGGTCCTGTATACCGTCATATATACCGTTGACCCGGGTACATTTTGGACTTTGGGTCCGGCAGTGACCGTCGATCGTACGATTTGTGTAAGCGTTTGCGTGGTTGGGCGGATAATTGTCGAGACAATTGTGGTTCTCTGGACCGTCGGGACGACGAGGGTCGAGGTTGATGTGAAGCGCTGGGTGTTCGGGACAAGTACCGTTGATGTTGTCAATGCGGTGGCTCGCTGAGGCGTGGGGACGAGGAGCGTTGAGGTGGATGTTGATGTGGCAAATCGAGTGGCTGTCGCTAGGACCGTATCTGTTGTCGTCATGGTTATGGTACTCGTAGATAGGAGCGTCATCGTTGTTGTATTCACAGACACGGATGTGGTAGTAGATAGAGCGATGGTAGCGGTGGTCAGCTGAGTGACTGTCTCAGTAGAAGCGTAAGAAGGAAATGCGCAGTCCACATCGTAGTAGTAGTATGGCTGTGAATTGTCGCTGACAAAGAAGGTTTCACTGCCGTCAATCAGTCGTGCTTGTTCCGAGCGAGGCGATGTTGGAAAAGACAATAGACGAACAGGAATTCTGGGAAGAATTCGCAGTACTGGGCATCTGCGTCCGAGTAGTAGCTGTATCGGAAGCTCTTGCAACGTGGAAAATCCTTCTTGCAGAAGTCCGCACAAAGAGCGAACGTTGGTGGTGCCCTGAAGAAGAAGTTTCCCATGTAGTAGGTCGTCCCTGCGGCGTTGTGCGTCCCGATATCACCACAAATTTGACCCGCCTCCACCAGTCCTACAAGAGGTCCGAGAGTTACCCATGCTAAAGACAGGAGCAGACGGTGTAGGCTGGACATGACGTTAAGAGATGATTGGTGAATGGCGGAGGCAAAGAGTGCCATGTCCTTCAAATGAATCTGCCGCGCGCTTATGATGTCTCCTTTGCGTCCTGCACCAGCAGATGTTTACTTCAGTAAATTGTGGAATTCGCGCGTATGGAGGAATGTGCTAGGTTTCGTCACTGGCCATACCGCTGTGTCATCGCGTCTATATCCGCGCGGTATGGAGTAGAAGATAACATCCTCAATTAGAGGGGTTGGTATTTGATAATGGTGTTTGAAGATTTCCATGGTTTTGGATTCCGTAAAGTGATTTAGATATTTTGTCCGAGGGCATTGGGGCTCAGAGAGGGATATATAAGACACGTATGAAGGGAGGGGTATATTACCTTTTATGTATCATTCCTATTATTTATTATTCGGCGCAAGCGCCGTGGACATGCCAATTGAAGGAAATAATCGCGTTACACCATCTTTTCGCGTTCCACTCGGCAGCGAACCTCCGGTCCTCGAGCAACGCGAGAACAACCTCACAGGCTGGAAGAGAAATGCAGAGAAGGCCCGATTCGGTTCTCAGTCCCCCTGAAAAAAATCTCGGATATTATTGGCTATCTCAAAGAATAGCATGTACACCGGAAGTCAGTCACATGGCACAGCAACTCGTACGGAGTTATCCAGACGACGCGCCACAGTGTAGCCTTAGTGACCAGTTCAACCCACACGCATGCGAGCGGAGAACGGACCGGACAGCTTTGAGGTGCTAAGTTCTCGTTTTCGCTTAAGCTTCGTCGATACGAGGCGCCATAAGGCTGGTGTCAAGGTTGGTGAATGGGTCCTCGCTTAGCGCAGGAGCAGGCTATAGCGAATACGTGGGGGAGCTGAAACTGGTGGATGATATCGCGAAGATCCCAGACCTGCGAAGATATGATCTGTGAACTGATAAGTATGGGAGCTCGAGCATATGGGGTTGAATCTGAGTTGTCCAGACGCACATCCATCCTTGATCGCAACGATGTACGCCCTTTTCCACACGTTCATTTTTCTTGCTCTGTGCCACCCCATCCTTATTTGCGCTGCTTTCGTTGACCCATATCCCGTCTCGGACTGCTCTTCAGGCATCAGCTTTGGCTACGCGACCTGCCCCAACCAACCTGGCTGCTGTGCAGGCGGCGCAGCCTGTTGCGCCGGCGGTTGTTGTCCCATTACCGCTTGGTGCGTAAACCAAGGCTCTGCAGACGAAGGATGTTGTCCCGTAAGCGACTCCACGTACTGCGGTGCTAGCGTCGCATCTTTCGTAAGTTTTCATTCCTCTCAGAGGTCATGTTGTAAAAGATCGAGCTCATTATGGATTCAAGAGCGCACCGGCGTGTACGGCTGGCGCTGGCGCCCCGAAACCCTCGAAGCAGTGTGTTTCAGCGGATGATGACTGGTTGTGTCCACCTGGATCGGTTTGCGGGTTAGCGGTTTCGGCATGTCTTCCCTTCCCTGAGGCAGAGTGTACGTCGGATGCTTCGGATGATGTATCGTCGCCAACAGCGACACCGGACCCGTCTACATCTGACGACACTGCAACAGTAGATGTAACTTCAACAGAGACTGGGTCAGCTAGTTCCAGTGGCGGATCGGGCACTCCAGCTGCGGCAACTTCGCGACAAGGGGATGCGGTGGAACTTCCCCTGCCCTCAATGGGCATAGCCATTGGTCTGGGATTGGTTTTTGTGCTGCTGATGTGAGCCATCAGTCTGTCAAAGATTCCCGTCGCAGTCATTCTGCAACATTTCTGCGCTTATGCAATGTCAAGTTCTAATATCAGATACCTCCCTATAGTAGATAATAAATAGTCACCGCTTTTCTTACGCGGCACCCCCACCGACCTTGGTCTTTTCTTTCTCCGAGCTGTCCTCTGAAACCGAGTTCCTCCGTATCTGTGCAACGTCTTGACCTTCCGTCAGTCCCTTGCCTTCCAAGACATGGTTTGGAATAACAGCGCCCTCCTCACGATGATCGTAGTTCGTGTCTTTGATATGATAGATGCCCAGGTAGTAAAAACTGCATATGCCGAGAACGTAGAAGAGGAGAACTCCGCCAGCCTCCGCAATGAAAGGAATTTTGATAGAATCAAGACCGAAACACACGGCTTCACCCGCGCCGAGAACGCCACGGAACACACCGACGTAGTGGGTCAACTTTTGTGGAGAATTAGTGATAGCACCGATCCAGTAGTAAACGATGTTGTGCCACAGTTGCTATCAATAGATTAGTGTCTTGATGAACACGCGTTGCCCATCTCGTTACACTTACTGAAAAGACCCAGTTCAACATGAAAAGCACGAAAATCCAGCCAAACCTGGGTTCATCCCAGTCGGTAGGGTCCGTGACGGTGACATTACGGTCGTAATTGCGCACACGAATCTGCGATATCATCAACGTCAGTTCACGTGATTCGAAACCAAAAAAACGAGCCATACCATTTCCCACACCCAAGCGGCGAGTAATGGAACAGCAACGACTGTCAAGCCAATGAGACCGCGCTTGCGTCTCCCCCAGTATGGACGGTCGAGGATCCACTGTAACGCCCACCCAGCAGGGATCTGTAAGCAAACAGCGACAAAAGACAACAACGACCGAGCGCGGAGGCCGTTCAGGTAGGCTGCAAAAGTTAGAACATTTTCATCAAAGCTCTAAGGTGTAATCCTACCATTAACAGACCCGCTGTATACCAAGAAGCATTCAGCTGGAAAGAATGCTGGCAACATCATGAGGAGAATCGGATCGCTGAAGATCAACAAGTTCGACCTCAGCTCTTCCCAGGCCCCACGAGCCGGATGTACAGCTACTGTTGATCCGTCATCTCGTCGAAGCTTCTGTGGACGTTTTAGAAGCAAAGTGATGAGACCGCCGACAATCATAATGATGATAAACGAAATATAAACCGGCCGAGGCACGCCAGCTGCAGTGTTCTTGTTCCTGTTGATGATAACCGGAATGATGCCGCCGATGACCGAACCAAGACCTTGCATGTTCATCAACATAGTCGCATACGCGCCCTTGTCTTTTTCTTCGGGGTACGCAGTTGCAATGTAGCCCGCCGTGATGAAGACCATGCCAGCTCCAATTCCAATGATCGGACCAGCGGCATACGGGTATCCCGTTTTGCCTATCTCGTCGTAGTACCAGAGCGAACCAACGTAAATAGCGTACGTCTGTACGCCGAGACACATGGTGATTCCTGGGCCCAGCTTGTTCAAAATGGAACCGCCAAAAGACGAAGAGAAGAACCAGACGGAGCACAACGTCGCATTGACAACTTGGACGACGTGTGCTGAATCCGGTCTGCCGCCACCGGCTCCCAGCAGGTTGAGCGCAACATAAATGCCAGCTGATGCTCCAACGCCAATTCCACTGATGATGTTCTGTACCCACGGGCTGTGGTAGCGGATCTCGCGTCCGAAGAATTTCAGCGTCATTGTGACCGCATTCGAAAGGATAGAAGAAAGTAAAGGGAACACGGAGCGAGGGGAGGACGAACGTTTGCAGGACCGTGCAAGTGTGGAGTGTGGAGAATTATAGAGGTGACGAGAACATGGTTCAAGAGGGGCCGCCAAGTTTCGCGGCAAGAACCCGGAAGCCGTATCTCTCAAACGACAATCTTGTACGATCCTGGGAAGGCGTAAGAAGCGGATAAAGTAAAGACGCCCACAATTGGCGAACCATCGTTAAGTCTTGCGCAGGGTACTTGCAAGCGCAGCCTCGGGTACGGCTATGACTCGGCTAGTGCACGCCAGTCCGTAAGTGGGGGCCTGGTTTTGTGGGACTCGGCCTGTTGCCGAGCGTGCGGCAATAGAAAGTATTTGCGATTTGCATTGCCAGCATTCCACGTCCAGGTTGCAAGCTGACTGCGACGTGCATGGGGCGTAGTGTTGTGGTATTCCTGCGCATATGTACCTGTGCATTAGTGTGGAGTGTGATGTCATACTCCTTGAGACGAGTATACCGCGCAATTCTCACACGAGTTTGAAACGACTCTGCTAAGTCGGATTGCTGGGTAATCATGAATTGATTTCTCAGAATGATTTTCCCGTAATATTTATATCCACATAAATCCGTTCGTTGCTATGAAGGGCGCCCTAAGATGCATAATGCCCCCCACATGTTCAATGTCGAGCCTCGAACATGAATCAATCCCAAACTTGGCGGCAACTGACATTGATCCGCTTCGTCCCCATATAACCCTTCCACTTCTTGTACATCTTCTTCTCTTCTGGTGTTGCGTTCGGTGTACCCACAGGCCAGTCGGATAAATAAGAAGGACAGGTACTCGGAATTGTTCGAGCCATTGCATGCCAGGCCCACCTTGCTTGTCCCGTCAGATGCACAACATCTCCACTCCGGACTCTTATAGCGACGGTCCTCGGCGCGTTATCTCCTTCGCCTCCATCCTCTCCTCGGGCCATAATGAAGATACCATCACAACCTACACTAAAACTGGCAAGGGCGCGCTGGCACTGCTCGCTGACATCGCGATGTACAGGCATGAAGTCTTTCGCTCCGTACATTAAGACAACCCCTGATTCAGGTCGAATATGTGGGAACAGGCCAGTGACTAAGGTGGATAGATCCGCGGGGAAAGGTGTGGCATGCTTTGCATAGCTACGCGTGGGCCAGTCGTATTGTTCGCCGAGCGTAAGCCAACGTAGTTTGGTGTAGAGAGCTTGCTCGGTATTTAGCTGCTTGTGCTTATCCGGTATTTTCGGTGCCAGTATGTCTTCTTCAGCCGCTCGCTCGCGCAGAAAGAAGGAGCTTTCAAAGCGATGGGAGGTTGGCGATGATGATTTCGGTGGATAGGGAACGTCGTAATCCGCCTGAAGGTTCATCTTATGGCCAGGGTCCGCGAGATCTCGATGCATCAAACAAGATGTAAACAAAACCTGTGTTTCGGGCGGCAGAAGAGCTGGAACAACCTGCAGGCCTGGAAAGTCTCGATGTTCGAAGAAAGGAACATCTTCTACAGTCGTATCAAGTGGCTTTCCTCCAGCATATGCTTCACAAGCGGCCTGCACTTGCTCTCCTGGGATTGCACCCGCTAATCTCCATATATTTCTCTTTTCTTTCGTAAATGTCTCCCAGTTACTCAGGTCCTGGACGTTAGTATCATTTTCTAGGTCCGCCCTTCGCATGCTTTGGTATTTCCAATGTTGTCTTTGGATAAACTCCGGAGGCTGTGCATGGGTATCATGATGCACGGATCCCTTCTTCTAGTGTATGTCAGTACCACTCGTCTGAAATTGGTGATGACCTACGGACTTCAACAGCAGCCGCTGTCGATAGGTCCATAGCGCGCTGTTTCACGACTTGGCACGCAGGCCTTGGCAATCTGTGAGATACACCACAACTACTAGACGACACTTTGATGAAGTGGAGAAGATCCTTACGACCTGTCCTTATTGACATGAGGCTTCAAGATTTGGCTTGTTGGTCGCGCACGTGTGAATTGAGGCCTCGAAAAGTTTTGCCGGTCTGGTGGCTCGTGCGCAGCTCGTCTGCACCTGCCTTTTCCAATCCCACTTTCCCTTAAACGTTTAGCCGTTCATCCACGCCACTAACGTCACAACCCAATGCCCCAGGATGGCAAACACTGTCAACCACTCTGTATCTATGGTGACATAGCGGTCGAGTCAGAGTGCATCCCTTCGATACCACAGACGTCTATACGCTCTTGCCTATCAAAGATCTTGGGACCATGACCCCTGGTCTGATGGCTCCCCCTCGAGAACACTACGAGACAAGCGCATAGCACGCGCTACTTCATCGCTGATACTGCGGGACGTCTTCTCCAGTAGCCCACTTGAACCTAGAGCCAGGATGGTCATCTAGAAGTCTCTTCGACCCGAGGAATACCTCCCTCGCAGTCGCGCCCTCCTTGTCGACTGACGTCCTAAATTTACCGCGTCGTTGCAGTTCCGGGATCAAATACCTCGATATATCCTCAAAGGTGCCCGGATTAACGACATGTGCCAGATTGAATCCGTCCACGCCTGATATATCAAACCATCGCTCAAGCTCGTCAGCTACCTTTTCAGGTCCCCCGATGATCTTGGCTTGCATTCCACCAAGACTGAGATACTCAACGATCCTTCGCTTGGTCCAGGGCTCGTTTTCTGTTCCTGGTACTGTGGCTGACCAACGTGCTACCAGAGACTGCAGACGCGGAGAATCGCTCAGACGGAAGTCTTCATCGTCGGCATGTTTGGATAGGTCGACTCCAGTCCAACCACCAAACAGCGCCAGTGCACCTACAAAGAGATGATTAAACTAAGCCCGATTCGGACCAAGGAAAATATTGGATGCGGAAACCAACGTACCTTCGGAGTCAGAGTATCTAATGAACTCTTTCCGTTGCTCCTCGGCTTCCTCGTCATTGGCACCAACAATCACACCAATACCTACGATGACCTTGATATGCCTCGGGTCTCTTCCTTCCCGCTGAGCAACTGCACGAATATTATCCACGGTCTTCTTCACAATCTCTGGCGTCTGACCACCAACAAAAATAGCTTCTCCGTGCTTGCCACCAAACCCATTTCCCGCCTCCGACACGCCAGCCTGGAACAAGAACGGCGTACGCTGCGGCGACGGTTCGCAAAAGTGCGGTCCCGGAACCTCGAAGTATTTCCCCTTGTGTAGGATCTGGCGCACTCCATCAGCAGCAATGTAAGTGCCCGTATCGCGGTCTGCCCGCACGGCGTCGTCTCTGAAGCTACCCTCCCACAACTTGTAGACCACGTCCATATATTCGTGGGCAATGGCGTAGCGCTCGTCGTGGGGAATTTGTTCTTTCAAACCATGATTGCGTGCGGCACTGTCAAGATATGATGTAACAATGTTCCATGCAATTCGGCCCTCTGCCAAATGATCTACCGTCGTAAACCTTCGTGCGAGCGCGTACGGCTTCTCATAGGTTGCACTGGCCGTCACGCCGAAGATCAGGTTTTTGGTCGCAGCTGCCATGGCTGGGACTAGATAAAGAGGATCGTTGACGGGAAATTGAGCTCCAGCTCCCAAAGCCGGAACGACATTGGCAGGACCTTTGTACACATCGTATGGACCCAGTGTATCAGCAATGAACATCGCATGGAACCCGGCTTCGTCCAAAAGTTTCGCCAAGTCCGTCCAGAAGGACAGTTTCTTGTAGTTGTCTGTTTTACTCCTGGGATGACGCCAGAGTCCGGCCGCTAGATGGCTAGGAGTGTTCATTACGAAGGCATTCAGAATCATCTGTTTCTTTCCTGTGCCCTACTCATGGTAAGTATCGAACTCATGATTGCGCAATGACTTACATTGGCCTGATGTCCTACATCGGCCGCCATGGTGGACAAGATAATGCCGTTACACCTCTGGGGTAATGAGAACACGAGTAGTAGCTGCGAGATTCTGTAAGAAGTGCGTTTGAACAGCTCCTGACCATGAGTTATTCAATCACCTCGAGAAATATCCACCTCAACTTTGACGTTCTCCTACTGATCCGAAATAGGATTAGGTCCAATTTTCGCAATCCTATGCATGTCGCACGCCAAAGCCAGGTTGCACCTCCCGTCGACGACGGCACCTTCGAACCGTTGCTCGCCCCGATATTCGTGCTCGTTAGTATGTTCACATTCCCCGCTTTAGCGCAGGTCGCTCTTGTCGCAGCCAGTGAAGCGTTCCCAAGGCTACGGGCGCCCCCAACGCTTCGCACGCAAAGGATAATGCTTATCACGATCCAAGGAGTTCTAGCTTAGTGGCGTTGAGGTGAAATCCTAGTAGCCCGATATCAATCTCAAATGAGGCATCGATCTACATGTAGAATCCATGCTATGCGTGGGACTCTTCGTCTCCAGTGTGTAATAGCGCAATTGTAACGACCGAGCGCATCATTCGCAGTTCATTTGGGGGTATGCCGCGAGTCAAGGTTTCGTTCCCTCGCGGCGTGAAGGAGAAGAGCGCATCCACTATATTATTGGAGTTGGTACATTGCGGAGTCCGCCGCACAGCGCGGTAGCCATCGACAATTATCGCGAGCACAGCCAACAACGGCAACTACCTCGGTATCCGATCGCTGTATCATTAGAAAAATGTCGTCTCTCCAGCTCGGCGTCAGTGGCATAGCACTCGTCCCCCAGTCCACCGGATATGCCTTACTCATCGGCCTCGGAGTTGCTTTCTGCGGCGTTATTCTCGTGGCACTTCAGATCCAAAAGGCCTATCTCTCTGAGGACTCGGGTACATCAGAGATGTTCATGGTGGCGAATCGGAGCGTAGGGACAGGTTTGACGGCGTCAGCGGTGTTTTCGTCTTGGATGTGGATCAACGAGACAGTGTTTGCAGCAGCTATGTGTTACCGCTTTGGTATTGCGGTGCCTTTGGTACGTCATTTTCCGGTGTATATTGCAAGAGAGAATCTGGTACTAACGAGTATATGTTTAGTGGTGGGCTACCGGGTTATGCTTCCAGATCGCACTCATGGCTGCATTGGGCGTGCTCGCCAAAATCAGAGTGCCTTACGCGCACACGTCTTTGGAGATCATTCGGATGAGATATGGAAAGATCGGTCATGTTGTGTTCATTATCCTCAACATAACGAATAACGTCTTTGGATGCGCGTCCATGATCTTGACCGGATCACAGCTTGTCTACGGCATCTCGGGGATTCACTTCGCGGCCGCCACTGTGCTGATTCCGCTAGGAGGTATGATTGCTTTCGATGCTGTGGAATACGCAAAATACTTACCATATCTCGTCAGTTGTGCTGTATACTGCAGTGGGCGGACTCAAGGCCACATTCCTGACGGACTACCTTCACACGGCAATTGCTCTGCTGCTAATCATCTACTTCACCCTTGAAGTCTTGACCAACGAAGCAGTAGGCGGACTCGGAGGTCTTTATGACAAAGTCATGGCAAATGCATCCGCGAACTTCATCGAAGGCAACTTCGAAGGATCAGTGCTCACGTTCAAGTCCAAGCAAGCCATCATCTGGGCCCTAATCCTCAAGTTTGGCAACCTCGCGCTCGTCGTCATGGCAAGTATCAACAACCATATGCCAGCGTGCTGCACTAATTCGCACCCAGGACACCGCCTTCTGGCAGAAGTCATTCGCAACCGAAGTCAACGCAACAGTCCCCGGTTATAACCTTGCCGCGCTCGCCATCTTTGGCGTGCCCTGGGGCCTAGGTACCGTGTTCGGGTTGACCGCGCGCGCCCTCCACAACACCCCCATCTGGCCCACGTACCCCTCTCCGCTTACCCAAGCCCAAGTCAACGCCGGCCTCGTGATGCCGTACACCGTCAAAGCGCTCATCGGCGCCCCCGGCATCGCCGCCTTCTTCGTCCTCCTCTTCATGGCCCTCACCAGCACCGTCTCCTCCTCCATGATCGCCGTCAGCAGCATCCTCTCCTTCGACGTTTACAAGACCTATCTCAACCCGCGGGCGTCGGACAAGACCCTCGTGCACGTGAGCCACCTCACCGTCATCTTCCACGGCGTCTTTATCACGGGCGTCGCCCTCGCGCTCAACTACGGCGGTGCAAATATGACCTGGATCGGGTACTTCCGCCCCATACTTTCCTGCCCGGGGATCATCCCGTTGGCTCTCACGCTTCTCTGGGACCGCCAAACCTGCCTTGCTGCCATCTTATCCCCCATCCTGGGCTTCTTCACCGGGCTGGCCATATGGCTTGGCACCTCGAAAGCTTTGTACGGCGAGATCAGCATGGCGAGCACGGGCATGGGTCTGCCGGCGCTGTACGGCGCGACAGCATCCTTCTTCTCGCCCGCACTGTACTCTGTGCTGCTTAGCTCGTACAAGCCGTCCGTCTTCGACTGGGCCGTGTTCCTGCGCATCGAGCTTGCGGAGGAGACGCAGTTGGCGCGGAGTAGCGGTGCGCTGCCCGCCAGCGATGCCACAAGCGCGGCAGACGAGGACGACGAGAAGGCGACGCAGCCGCACACCGAAAAGGCAGTCGCAGGGCCGGATATCTCGATCCTCGCGCCCAACCCAGAGCACTCGCCTACCGTCCAGAAGAACAACGCTGCCATCTTCGCTTCTCCTTCTCCCCCTTCGTCCTCCCTCTCCCTCACGCACCCAACACACCCCTTCCCTCCGGCCACCCTGCGCAAGCTGCACTGGTGGCACCGCGTCGCATGGGCCTGGTTCGGCGTCATCGTTCTCGTAACCTTCGTCGCGTGGCCGCTCCCGCTGTACCGGGACTACATCTTCACGCGGAGTTTCTTCGCTGGGTGGGTAGGCGTTGCGATAGCGTGGCAGTTTTTTGCGTTTGCGGCTGTGGTCGTGTATCCGGTGTATGACGGGTGGAGCGAGATTGCGAAGGGGGCGAGGGGGGTGTGGGGGGCCGTGAAGGGGTGGGTGGGTAGCAGGGGCTGAAGGGGTGTCAGTCGAGCACTTCGTACCGTGTCCGATGTTTTGTGCGGGGCTGCTCGACTCCCACGTGCAACTGTGGTTGTAAAGACCGAGTGCGACTGTAAATCGAGCCACCCTATGTGACAAGCACCGCCGTGACCGCGATCCACACCAGAGCAGGTTTCTACTGCCCATTCCGCCGCGTGGCGGATACTTGTGTAGACACTTGCGACAGAGCTATATGCACTCCTGTTTCCATGCTACCCAGGAGAACATTTTGTTGATGGAGAGGGCAAAAGTATGCTTGACTGCACAGATAGCACCGCTCGTGCATCTGCCACTTCACACTCGATGACTACGCGCCCCCATCACTTCTCGCGTCCCGCACCGCACTGCGACATCACCTTCGCACATCACTGCCACACACATGCACAAGCCCACGCCATCTCAAAGCAAAAAGGGTATATTCACTTCTCCGTCCGTCCCGAGATACGTACGCTAGACTAGAGCAAACAAGTTTTCCCCTCCCGCGCGAAAAAAAAAGGGGGATAAAAAAACACTGAATCATACACAGCATAACATTCATTCATGGTGGCACAGCCCAGCCCTGCTGCAGCTATAACCGTGGGAATACCGCGAGAGCAAGCATGAGAATTGGTGGAAAAAAGGGTTAAGCATTGAGAAAGCGAGTCCTCGGGAGTGAGTGGGTAGCTGTACTGTGTTGTGGGATGGCGATATTGTTGCGCATTAAAGGGCCAGGAGAGTGGGGTCGGTCGATTGGTGTGCGTTACGAGGATGTTCGTTCGAACGGTCGTTCAATTTGTTTGATGCAAAGAGCCAGTAGCGACGAGGGGGAGCGATCTCGTCCAGGTAACAGAGACCTGCTTGGTAATACACGTCGTCTGAACGATGCAGTGAGTCTACAACTCATCCTTGACGCGCTTCGTCGCCTCTGCAGCGACGCTGCTCGCGCTGCTAGCTACAGCCTCCGCGTTCGTGGATGCGGCAGCATAGAGCTCACTGATGCGGGAGTTGGCCGCCTCGACGGCAGCAGCGAGACGGGCGCTGGCGCTTTCCACGGCGCCCTGTTTCGGTCCGTAGATTGCTTCGCTGGCTGCCGCTGCGGCGTTGGCGGCCTTTTCACTTGCGACGGATGCGACAGAGCTGTACACGCTTGCTGCAGCAGCCGCGCCGTTGGCGGCAGAGGCTGAGATTCCTGTAGCAGCAGGGGTGCCGAAAATGGCCTCACTGATAGCTGCCTGCGCGCTGGACGCTACAGCTGCGAAGTCGTGGGATGCCTGGGCGGTGCCGTAGATGGCTTCACTAGCCTTCGACTGAACGGAGGCGTAGGCGTTGACGACAGACTCGCTGGCTTGCTCGATAGTACCCTTCTGGGTGCCGTAGACAGCCGCCGACGCACTTTCGACAGCGGCATTGAGCTGCTCGTTGACGTTGCTAATGATGGTCTCAATGGCCGGCGGAGGCACGAAGACGGACTCAACGACTGAAGAGGCGGACGCGTAGGCCTCGGCGGCGAACTCAGAAGCCGCTTCAAAGCTCTCACCTGCATAGGAGGTGACAGCTGCGATGTTTTCGGACGCGATCGAGTTGACGGAAGAGACAGCAGCCGGGAGAGCGGTATAATAAGCAGCAGAGAAGCGAGCCATGACGCTCTCTGTGAAGTCAGGCTCCTTGCCGATGACGAGCTCAGAAATCAGCGCTTGAACAGCGGCGGCTTGTTCAGCAGCCTGGGCAGTCGCTTGCGCAGCGTACTCGCCAGCTTGGGAGTAGACAGATGCAGCCCAAGGCGTTGGTGCACCGTACACTTGGTTGCTGGCCTTTGCGATCAGTGCCTCCCAGTTTTGACTCGCTTGGGAAGCCACAGACTCAGTCCAGGCAGTTTCAGATCCAATGACACCTGAGCTGACCTGCGAGGCGAGAGACGCGGCTGCCTCCTGGGCCTTCGCTGCAGCCGACTGTGCAGAGTCGGACACGTCCGATGCGTACGACTGCGCAGAGCCAGCAACAGAAGCTGCTGATTCAGAAGCTACGGAGGCGAGGGACTCAAATGTGCCTTGTTCCGGGCCGTAGACAGCAGTAGACGCTGCACCCAGGAACTCGGAGTATCGCGCGTGGGCCAACCCGATGGCCTCGTAATACTGTCGGCGTGCACCATCGAGTACAGGCGAGTCAGTCGGCTCGGAGGAGAACTGTGCAGTCGCTTGGCTCAAGCCTTCAGACAACCTTGAGGATGCAATGGAAGATACCGATTCGAAGTAGCCTTGGGTTGGACCAGCCGCATAGCTCTTCACCGACTCTGTGTATTGAAGAGCAGCATCCAGACGTTCGCTAGCAGCTGCCAGGGAATCTGAGTACGCCTTTTCGATCATGGCAAGCATGGTCTCATGAGCAGGCTTTGTGGTGCCAGAAACCAAGACAGAGAATTGGGACTTGGCATTCTCGAACTGCGCATTGGCGATGCTGACGGCCTCGTTGTAGCGCGAGCTGGCGTGTGTGCGAACGGTCTGGATGACTGCAGTAGGCGTAGGTGTACCGTATATGGCGTACGAAGCCCTAGTATGTCGTTAATAACGTTCTCAACTGGGAGAAAGCATGTACTGACGCAGTAACGGCTGAGGCAAATTTGTCCGATGCAATGCTGGTAGCGCTGTCGAGAGGGGCTTGTTGGCTCCCGTACAAGACACTCGAAGCGGCAGCAAGAGCCTTCACATACTGTTCGCTTGCAAGTGATGTGACAGACTCGGCAGTCCCTTGAGTTTTCGTAGCACCGAGGAGAGCCTCGCTCACAGCGCGGCTGAGATCCGATGCTCGGTCTCCAGCATTCGCGACCATACTCTGAACCTTCTCGGAATAGGTTCCCTCCTCATCATCTTCAATCACGTCGTCAAACACAGGTTCTCTTGCTTCTACGAGGACTTGGGCATTGACTCCACCCCAAACCTTCTTGGGCGCTCCTGAAGCGGCTGAAGCCGCCGCATCCGCGCTCTTCTTGGCGACCTCGGTCGCACTTTCGATGTTTTCTGCTGCGTTGGAGACTTGGGACTTCACGACCGACGCGATGCTTTCAGTGGCGGGTGTTTCGGAGCCAACGACAGCCTCAGAAACCTTGGATGCAGCATCGGACGCTGATTGCTTGGCAGCGGATGCTACACTCTCGGCGACGGGAGTCTCTGAGCCCACAATTTTATTGGAAAGTTGCGATGAAGCGCTGGACGCGGACGCCTTAGCGGCGGATGCAACGCTCTCAGCGGCCGGAGTCTCTGAGCCAACGATCTTGTCAGAAAGGATGGATGAGACGCTGGATGCGGATGCCTTGGCTGCAGATGCGATGCTCTCGCTGGCTGGGATCTCTGAACCGAGGATCGCTTCCGAAGCCTGCGAGGAAGCCTCTCGGGCGTTGCTGATAACCTGTTGGGCAGCGTTGTAGGCCCTGGCCGGTACTTTCTTGTCCGAGAAGTCATCAGTTTGGTCGCCTGCCCAAATCTTCCACTTGGACACATCCTTGAGACGAACCAGCTCGTTGACCATGGTCGATGCTATCGTCATAGCCTTATCTTCGAGCTTCGCCGCCTCTTCGTGGGCTGCCTTTAGGCCATCGTGCTTTGCGCCAACGGCCTCGACTTCTTCCTGCCATTCATTGAGAGTATCCCTGAGCTTGTGGTAGTTCTGCCAGTCCTTGTACTCGACCCCGTCGAGCCATGCCCAGCGCATGCCAACCTCCTGGAGGCCCAAGCCGTGTATCTTTTCGAGCACCTCAACTGTGCTTCCCACGGCGGCGCGGACAAGGTTATCGGTTTCTTGGTCGAATGTCATTTTCCAGTTTCTTACCGCTTGCGACTTTTCTTTGACAGCCAGGCCGAGCTCGCGCATCTTCGTGATGCATTTCTCGTGGGCTTTCTCCAGCTGCTCTTCGGTCGCATCTTCTGGTAGAGATCTGATGGTCTGCTTGGTGAACTTCTTCAACGAAGAGATTGTCGACTCGGCAGTCTCTTCAAGCTGAACGATCATGGCGGCGCCATGTCCATGGACACCATTCTCAATCTGCCGCTTGGTGATCTCGGCGACACGTACATCCAAGTCATCGGCACCCTTGTCTGCAGCAGTTGCAAACTTGGTCTGCCACTCGCGAAGGTCCTGATTCAGCTTCTCCCTGAGCTCTGCACCAGTGAGCTGAGGCTGCTTTGGTTGAGTAGGTGACTTGGTCTCGACTTCAGAAGGCGTTGCGCTTGACTCCGCGCCGAAGAAGTCATCAAACACGCCCCAGCCAGACTTTGTGGATTCGGTGGCGGAGCTGACGGCCGAGGAAACGGATGAAGCAATAGTCGCGGAGGACGTGATGGCATCCGTCTTTGACCGCGCGGACCTAAGAGGGAGGGGGTTAGTATGGCATTCAGAGGTCGGGAAGTTTGCACTTACGACGATGACCCAACGGCCTCCAGGACTGACTCGACCTTCTGCTGGTCCTTGTATCTCCCCAGCCTTTCACGGATGCGAACCAATTGAGGCTCAACATTGTCGCCGTAGAGGACTCGCACATACGGCCAGAGCGTGCGGGAGACGAATTTCCAGGTTGCATCACGTCCTGTATGGACAGCAGGGAAGATGTAGTGTACTGTGGCATGATGACCTTGGGCATAGGCCTGACGCCCATACGGTAGCAGTGCTTCGTACGTGGGAAGGATGCTCAGATGGTATATCTCGACCAGACTTGCTTTCGTCTGTTCAACATATGGGCCCAGGGCGTCCGACGCCGTCTTCACGTAAGGGCCCAAGTGGTGTTCGTACTGAGCATACGCCTTGTTCTGAAGCTGTTGGATCTGGGGGCGCGCGGTCCTTGCCCACTCGGCTTCGACGTACTTCTGGGCCTGCTCCACGCGGCGGGCGCCGTAGGTGGCATATTGGTTCTTTGTAAAGGTGGATACAGGAGCATAAACGCGCTGGTCGAATGTGTCCACGTACGGCTGGAACTTTTCGACCTGAGGTGCGACGTAGGTCTGGTAGTAGGGATCTACGTAGGGTGCGGCGTACGAGCGAGCGTGGAGATAGGGTTTGCAGATTTGTGGTGAGGAGTCGGATATTTTGGTCAATGACGAAGGACACCTAAAGGCCAGTGTAATGATGAGATACCACGACGCCAATCTGTGAGCAGTCAGTATGTGCTGTATCACGAGAGCTAGCGGCGGTCTCTGCCATTGTAAAAATCTCATCACAAGCAAAAACAGCCCGAAGACGGCTTCGTCGAGCGACGTACCTTGCCACGAGACTCGCAAAGCTGCCCGTCCAGCTTGTCCTCGGCTTCCTGCGAGCATTCACTTGTTTGGCAGGTGCTGCCCTGGACTTGTCGGCGTGGCCATTCAGATGGCCATTCGCTGTGCCGTTTGGGGCGGCTTTGCTGGGCTTCTTAGCCCGGCCATTACTTTGGCCAGCCATGGCTGTGTGGGAGACGTGCGCGTGGATCCGCGGCAGTCGGGGTTCGCGTGTTGGGCGAGCGGTGAAAAGTGACAGGCGGGGTCAACAAGCCTCTGGGGAGGACGTGAGTATGCCGGCGATGCACGACAGCTCGCGCGCGATAGACGTACAGGTGTTTGGCTGCCTTTCGGGGAGTGGGTGGAGGGAATTAACAGCTGCGAGAGAGGGTGGGCAGACGGACCAGGATGCAAGCTCCAGGCACAGACACACGGGCGCAAACAGGGATGATGTCAGAGCAGCGGAAAGCACGTGCAGATCGCGTGCAGATGCTGGCCTTGATCAGCGTTGGGGCGCGATTACACGGGCAACCTGGGATGGACGAGCTCGATGCTGGCCAAGGTGCATGTGGCAGGAGGCACGGCGAGAGACTGATGCGCGTGTTTCCCGCGCCGCGGGCACACGACACGGCCATGTATCAGATCCACGCGGGCGAAGGCAATCCCGCCGCACCGCACCGCACGCCAGCAAGTTTTCGCTGGGCGCGTACGGGTGCGCTCTTTGTCTGGTGCCGTATCGCTGTCGTGACGCCATGGCCGCCGCCCCGAGCCGGCCAGCTCGCATGTTGCGATGCTGCATCTAGCTACGGTGCATGCCGCGGACCCCCAGAGCGGCGCCTGCAATAGCTGGCTGCTACCGACGTGTGCGTCCATGCAGTGGAGAGGCCGTGACGAGCGCCTGGCTTGCTGGGGGCCGCGGAACCCCAGAACTAAGCAAGCGAGCCCGCTCCGGCGGCGCAGTGGCTCACTTCCGCGCTGGACATGGAGGCGACCAAAAAGTCCGCCGACCGTTGTTCAGCGCCTGCCATTCACGACTGCGCACCTACGCCCTCTGCTCGGCCCTCCGAGTCTCCACAGCAGCAGATTTCATTTCTACGCATTCTGCGCGACCCCACCCCGTCGCTGCCACGCTCTCCGATGTGCTCATAGCCCCCCGCTGCGGCACCACGCCTGTTCATTCGCACCCACGTCCACGCCCGCACCCCCGCAGCCCTCGCTGTCTCCGCTGAGACATGGCTTCCGCAGGCGATTCCCGTCTCAAGCACGCGCCAGAAGCCTCGCCCGCGCCCGACCTGCCGCCAGCTGGCCAGCCGACAGACAAGGACGACGTCGACTCTTGTCGCATATGTCGCGGCGAGAGCACGCCCGAAGAGCCGCTGTTCTACCCGTGCAAGTGCAGCGGCAGCATCAAATACGTGCACCAGGAGTGTCTCATGGAGTGGCTGTCCCACTCGCAGAAGAAATACTGCGAGCTTTGCAAGACGTCGTTCCGCTTCACCAAGCTGTACCACCCCGGCATGCCCAAAACCATACCTACCTCCGTCTTCTTGCGCCGCGCCGCCGTCCACACACTTAAGCTGTTCATGACATGGTGTCGCGCTGTGCTGGTGGCCTCGGTCTGGCTGATTGTGCTGCCCTGGTGCATGCGCGTCGTCTGGCGGAGCCTCTTCTGGGTCGGCGATGGTGGATGGAACCGTGACGACTACATCGAGCTGCGTACCCTGGCCAACGCGAGTGCAGCGCCTTCCATCTACGACCTGGACGCCCTCCACAAAGCCCACACGGCCGCCAAAGCTGCCAACAGAACCGCCGATGTCCCGATTCCGAGCCTGCTGTTGCCATTATCACAGACCCTCAACGCGAGTGCTGGCGAGCCTACCGTCTGGACCTTCGCCAAACGCTTTCTATGGGGTTTCGTGACTCCGCTGCACACGCTGGCACCTCCACCTGCCCTCAACAGGACCGAGCTGAACACGACGGCAGACCATCTGGGCCCGCGGAACCCATCGCTTCTTTCCGACGTCTCCTTCTTCAACTGGTTTCCTTCAAAAGCGGCGAATGGATTCTTGGTCGACGTGCTCGAAGGCCAGATTATTACGCTCGCTGTTGTTGTTGCATTCATTCTAATATTCCTCATTCGCGAATGGGTTGTCCAGCAGCAGCCTGTCATCAACATGGTCATGCTGAACGGCAATGCAGCCGCGGCGGCTGACCAAGCGCCGCAGAATCAAGACGAAGAGGGCGAAGAGGAGGCTGCTGCGAGAGAAGAACATGACCACGAGCTCGAGGCTGAAAATCTGGAGGATGAAACGGATGCAGCAGAAGATGAGGAGCCGGCGTCCCCTGTGCGACCAAAAATTAGGGGACCGAGTTTTGAGTGCAGGGAGAAGCTAGAGAGTGAACTTCCCGAGGGTAGAGCCATCCTAGAAACCTGGCATGAAACAGGCATCCCTCCAGAAGACATGATCATACAAGCTTTCAAAGATGGGTCCTTCGACCTGACCGAAGAATGGTCTTACTTCCTCGAGGAGCTGCCTGGCAGAATCCTAAGTAAGCTTGATGCAGAGGCACTACGCCGGCGGGAAGATTCGCGTGTTACCCGGGGTCGAGCTCTCCCTGAGCGCTCGAGCAGTCTTGCGTACAGCACTCACGAGACGCCTTCGTCGGCACGCACGGCATCTGCATCGCCGTCAAAGAGACCACCTCTGCCAGCTAGAGGTCGCACCTCTCTTGCTACCGACGTCAAACGGCGCTTGGAAGAAGATGGTTCCTGGTCGTTTGCAAATGTGCAAGAGCCGGGAGATGAAAATGTGCCGAAGCCCGCTCCTAGTATCCCAAACTCATGGGATGATGAAGTGCCGGACTCCACGCCGCCTGACCTAGAACAAGGTAGCGAGCATAGCAGCGAAAGCTGGCAACAAGTCCCGGATATTGTGGTGGACAGTAGTGTCCAGGAGTCATCACAGGATAAAGGCAAAGGCAGAGTTGTCGACTATGACACTAGCTCTCCCGCTGTGGCAGTGCCGGGGCCTTCAGTATCCACACAAGGCGAGAAGATGCCAGAGAGGACCACGATAAAGGTCTGGCCATCTACACAAAGCGATGCAGCCGGGCCCTCTCGAGTTGGCGACGAGGCGTCAAACCTATCGACGTGCGGTTCAGACTCTTACAGAGACACACTGGACACAGACGCTGAAGACTCTGCCGTTGAAGTTGCACCCCAATCGACGCAGGAAGAGCACAACGAGACGGACGCTGAGCAAGAGCGTGAACCAGAGCCTGCTGCTGTTGTCGATGTGCAGCCCCCACGCCGGCTTTTGGACCGTGTCCTGGATTGGATGTTCGAAGGCGTGGCACCCGGCGTGCACGCGGCAGAGGATGGTGGTGATGATGCGCACATTGTACGCAACATAGCCGACGAGGCGCCATTCGTGCCTTTCGCTGGAAACGAGCCGCGTGAAGCAGCCAACCCACCGATCCAGGATCCTGAAGTTGCAGCGGCAGCCGCGCAAGCTGGTATTGATGTCAACGACCAAGACGCCATTGACGACGCTGAAGACCTCGAGGGTATCCTCGAACTCATTGGCATGCAAGGCCCCCTTACCGGTCTGTTCCAGAATGCCATGTTCAGCGCTGTTCTGATCTCTGCGACTCTTGCCTGCGCCGTCTGGCTACCTTACCTGTGGGGAAAGGTGGTCATTTTGTTTATGGGCAGTCCTGTTGCACTCTTCATCAAGCTACCGTTGCAGATCGCAGCGACCTTGGCAGACCTCCTTGTTGACAGCTTCGTTTTCCTGGCAGCCGGCTTCGTATCCGGAATGTTGGAAATATTCTTCTTGTTTGTTCGTCAGGCGAGTGGGGGTACTATGGAACGTCCCTTTGAACTCGCGTTCAATCAGTCAAAGACGATATCAAACAGCGCAGCAAGTCGTCTCTGGAACTTAGTCGAGACTTCCCCTCTGCTACCTCCACCGACCTCCTTTCGTTTGTCGGTTCACTCGCATGAGGCTTTGCGAACGATTCAAAACACCACATCCTTCACAATGAACCGGACCAGTAACATGGTGACCGCATTCCTAGAAGACGCCGCAAGCTCCTCGTCGCCTTCATTTATTGTGGCCACCGTTCGATTGCTCTTCGAAACCATCAAAGTGTCATGCACGACGATGTACGGTAGGGTCGCCTCACTCGCATCATGGCTCTTGGCTACGAAGTCGTACAAGGTGACATTCGATCTTGATTTCGGCAGCGACATCAACCCAGCTTCTGTAGCGGATGCGCACTGGACGGCAACTGATCGCTTGATCGCGGTCCTGGCTGGCTATGCCTTCCTCGCATTGGCTGGTGCCATCTATCTCAAGAAGGGCGGTTTCTTCAGTACTTCGAGCCAGGGCATCAAGATCGAGCGGATCATTACAGAAATCCTCCTCCAGGCCGGTGGTGTGCTGAAGGTCATCTTGATCATATCCATCGAGATGCTCGTCTTCCCCCTCTACTGCGGACTTCTCCTCGACATGGCACTTCTGCCCCTCTTCAAGGATGCAAACCTCTATACGCGCTGGCAGTGGACGCGTGAGAGCCCTTGGACGTCAGGGTTCGTACATTGGTTCATTGGCACGTGCTACATGTTCCATTTTGCCCTGTTCGTCTCCATGTGTCGCAAGATTATGCGGCGGGGCGTCCTCTACTTCATCCGTGACCCTGATGACCCGCAATTCCACCCCGTGCGCGATGTGCTCGAGCGCAGCGTCACCACTCAGCTTCGGAAGATTGCTTTCAGCGCTTTGGTGTACGGAGCACTGGTCATCGTCTGCCTCGGCGGCGTGGTATGGAGCCTCGATCAACTCACTTCCGGTGTTCTCCCTATTCATTGGGTTTCCCATGCGCCGTCGCTGGAGCTTCCGCTTGACCTCCTTTTCTACAACTTCCTCACTCCCGTCATCATCAAGCTGTACAAGCCAAGTGATGCACTGCAAACGATCTCGGGGTGGTGGTTCAAGCTCTGCGCACGCTTTCTCCGACTCTCCAACTTCCTCTTCGGCGAGAAAGCCACCAGCCAAGAGGGCCGCACCGTCAACGGCGAATTCGTCTTCGAAGGCCGCTACGTCCGCGCGCCTGCTTCGGACCAAGCCCGCATCCCCAAAGGCGACCCCGTCTTCGTCGAAGTGGACGAGCACAACGTACGCAAAGACGGCCTCCAAGACACCGGCGGTGTGCACAACTCGACGCTCGTCGCCAAAGTCTACATCCCCCCGTGGTTTCGCGTCCGCATCGCCATCTTCGTCTTCACCATCTGGATCTTCGCCGCCGTAGCCGGCGTCAGCGCAACCATTATCCCCCTCCTCTTCGGCCGCTACCTCTTCTCCCTCCTGCTCCCCGCCTCCGTCGAAATGAACGACATCCATTCCTTCTCCCTCGGTCTCTACTCCCTTGGCTCCCTCGGTTACACCACATACCACCTCCACGCCTTCCTCACCGCCATCGACCGTCCCGCCGCGGCCGCCCTTGCCACCCTCGCGGCCTCCGCCTCCCGCGCTGCCGTCCGCGCCGCCCGCTTCACATACGTATGGGCGTCCCTCGTCCTCTTCATCCCCTTCCTCTTCGCCGTGCTCATCGAGTTCTACGGGCTCATCCCGCTGCACGCGTATCTGGGCCCCGCGGACCCGCACGTTGTGCATCTCATCCAGGACTGGACGCTGGGCTTCTTGTACGCGCGGCTGGTCGCGCGGCTGGCGTTTGCGGATCGCAGCAGCAGGCCTGCACGCGCGTTTGCGGCGGTGATTCGCGACGGGTATCTGGAGCCCGATGCGCGCATCGCGACGCGCGTGTTTGTGCTACCTGCGCTCGCGCTGTTTGCGGTGAGCATCGTTGTCCCGAGTGCGGTCGCGCTGGCGCTGAATTACACGGTGCTACTTGCTGCGGAACAGCAGACAAGGAAGATGGTGTGGCGGTTCGTGTTCCCGTGTCTGGGCTTGGCAGTCGGGTTTGTGTGGGCGGGGAAAGAGGGGCTGGATGTGGTGAGGAGGTGGAGGGGCGTTGTGCGGGACGAGGTGTATCTTGTGGGCGAACGGCTGCATAATTTTGGGGAGAGGAGGAGGGCGGTCCATGTGCCGCTCGAGGGGCAGGAGTTGCTCGGTGGGAACATATAGGAATTCGAGGCGCTGGGTTGGGGCTCGGGATTTGAGTAGGGAGTAGGCGTTGGTGGCGGATTGGGTTTTTACACGGGGCTTTCTCTTGTAGATTGTTGATGGACTGGCCTTGGGCTGGAGCTAATTACGGCATTGTAGTGAATGGGCCGTACCTGGATAGCTGAATGAAGACTGTACGTCTATCTGTCTGTCTGTTCTATGGGGTATATCTCGTCGCTACTTCGCCATCGCTACCCAGAGGTATCGCATGCCTCTACCACCGCTAGCTGCATCCACGTGCTGTGTGTCGGTTGGGACGCTCGTGTTCCCAGTGCACGGGTGAAGGTGCCCAACGTCGTGCGACTTTGCCTCTGCCTTCCAATGCTGCGCGCCGCGCACCAGATCGATGCCACCACACAGGCGCTTGTGCTGTCCTCACGGACGCGATCCTTCTCCAAGCACGGCTCCCCTCGCCTCTCGTGTTCCTTATACCATAGCATCCTTTTGCTCCCGCCTCTCACAAATACTTCTTCGCCGCGGCCGCCACCCTCGCCCGGAACACGGGGCTCTTCACCACATCCCCGTTCCCGGCGTGGAAGAACGGATTCATAACCGTCTTGACCCAGCTCTCATACACATCGACAAAGAAATTCTTTACCGCCTCCTCCGTCGCGGGCGCGTCGGGCCTATACACGCCGCCGCCACCTCCCACGCCCAACCTCCCTCCGGCAAGACTGCCCCTCTGACCCCCCAACCCCCCTCCCGAACCCAGGACTTCATCCCGCGGCCGCGTCAACAAGAGGAAGCGCACGTTGGCGCCGGTGATCCAGCAGCTCACGTAGTTGTTTGCGTACTTGTCGATGTGCTTGAGATACATGGGGGCGGAGCCGGCGGTGGAGGAGGGGCCCCACTGGACTTCTTCGAGGATGTCGAGGGCGGAGTGCAGGATGAAGGGGGCGAGGTGGCGGTCGGTAGGGGAGAAGTGGGGGAGGCCGTCGCCCGAGGAGCGCGAAGTGCCGAATTCGTGCGTGAAGAGGGGCGTGTCGGTTGGGCTGAAGATGGTGAAGTAGTAGGACATTGTGGTGGGACGGACGTCGAGGCGCGCGCGAGTGGTGTGTGGATTTCCTGGAGACGTGGGTTCGTGTCGCGGGATAGCAGCCTGGGTTGTAAGGCGGGCGGTGGCCTGGGAAGAAGGACCGTTGTTCTAGGCGTTGGGTAGGGCAGCCGTGGGCCGGCGCGAGAGGCTGCTGGCGAAGGCTGGCTTCAAAGGTAGGCGCTCGGTAGCCTTTGCTGGTGACAGAAAGACTGCAAGCCTGGGTTCGTGGCGTCTTTGGGCTCAGAAGTCGTTGCACATGAGCGCTGGCAGCTTCTTGTAGATGTTGGTGGGGACTGATGCTCGGAGGTGATGCGGAGATGGGCCGCTAGCAGGGGTCTGCTGCCAAGCCATGCGAACCGCGACTTTTCCACATCCTCGCTGCGAGCGCCAACGCTGCATACCACGCGCCCACCATGTTCGGTCCCTTCCGTCTCACAAACCCGCTGTCGGGCGGTCTCCTCTGGTACGCCATCCGCCAATTGCCCTTCGAGCCCCCGCGATCGTTCCCGACTCGATGACCCGTTGCATCTTTGCCTCCCTATGCAAGCCACCTTATCATGCACCAAGGCTGATAGATGACCCACAGGAAAGTCCCATGGCGCCTCTCGCGACACCAGAAGTACCGCCACCGCGAGCGCCTCCGGGGCGTCGATTCCATCGTATCCACGGTCGACTCGGCGCTCGCGCGCCTAGGCCAGAGCCTGAAGAAGGTCGAGGCGTGGAAGAAGGACATGCCGACCGAGCAGGAGATGCTGCCCAGGGACAAATACACCGTTTTCGATCGGAAAGTGAAGAGGTATAGGAAGGGAATCCACAGTGAGTGCTCCTCTACGCGTAAAGGAAGGGTGACAGAGCTAGAGGAACTGTAGAGGAGGGGCAGCGCTGGTGAGAGTGAATGCTGATGTGTGAACAGAGGTACCCAAGTGGACGAGAGTCAGCCAGAGACTGAACCCGCCGGGTTTCTAAGCGAGGGACGGACGACAGACCTCAGGTGTACATTATGTGGTATTATATGGGTTGCATTGAGCGGCGCTCTTTGGGAATTGACATCCTTCATCATATATCTCGCTCTGCAAAAGTGATCGCCAGTGTGCTGTGCGTTTGCTACCCCGCTGTCTTGGTCGCACTTTCTTAACATGCCTGCTGTCCTGCAATCTTGCAAGTCTCTCTCACCTCAATTTCGCCGTCACACCGAAATCAGCGAGTCGATTCACCTTCACCTCTGCATGCTTGTTACTTGAACAGCACTTAAAGTAGACGATGGCTCGCTTTCTGCTAGAGTTCCCCGTCCTCTTCCCTTTCTCCCCAGCGCGATTTTGGGTCCCAACGCGCTACCAACATGGCAGCACGTAAGCCACCAGGGCCACAGCCGCCGGGCGCGGTGCCACCGGCTGTCATGGAAAACTACCTGAAGCTCAAACAGGAGCAAGACAGCACAAGCGATGAGTTCGAGCGCCGGGTGGCGGACACGCGGCGGCAATTGCTGGAGCGACATGCCCAAGAGCAGCAGGCTTTCTGGACTGGGCAGCCTTGTGTCGCGTGGCAGCCTCCAAATGGACATGCTGTTGCGCTTCCCGACCAACAGGTTTCGCAGAGGGCGGTTAATCAAGCTCCTCTCCCGGGTCCGAGGAAGCAAGCTCAAGATGAGGGAAGTGCTGCGCAAGGCCATGCAAATGCGCCAATCAACGCGCCGAAGAGGGCTGCTATGAAAGCGGAACCACCTACAGCTATTCGGGCTCGGGCTCGGACTCTAGTTGCGGCTCAGCATCACGTACGTAACCCCTGGGAATAATACTATGGACAGGCAGACTAACAATGACAAGAGCCAATCTGTCGCGGAGGCGCAGCCGCAGCATGCACCAAAGCCTCGGACTAAAGCTGCTCCTAAGGGGGGGGAGATCGAGATCGTTGACCTATGCTCGGATGATGATGTTGAGCCGTCTCGATCCACAACTGCGACGTCGGGTCAGCGGGTTGAGTTCAATTTTCAGCCTCCTAGTAGTGGAGTGCTCTCATTCTTTGGCCGAAATGACAATTCTGAGGTGCGTGATACGAGAGCATTGCCGGCGATAGCTATTCTGACCATCACAGGTGATTCGTCCTAATGTCAAAGGTGACGAGGACCTCAGCAAACGCCAATCCCCGGCAAGCTTCAATACGCCGGTGGCGATGGATGTCTCGGTGGAGCCCACGCAAGTCAGCCATGGCCCATCATTGAGTTCCATGCAGACCCTAAACGGGCCTCGCGATTCTGGAACGAGACCTGCATCTGCGGTGCCCAGTCCCGTGCAAAAGGATAGCTCAATGCTGCAGGACCGACAAACCCAGCTCGGTGAAGGCAAGATCAATATGGACCTGAAGAATTCCCCAGGTCGCCCTGGGGGGAAGTATTTCCAATCGATCACTGCGTTTTCGCGTTCCTTTGAGCAGCCGGAACAGCAGCATCAGCAGCGAAGACTAGTTTCCGCAAACGATACCTTATGCCATCCTGGAGGTCAAGACCGGGTGCTGGGACCTGAGAAGGCTTCCGCGCGACAAACCGAAGACATCGACATGGAGGGCTTGCCCGCGGAGACGAAACAGAATGAAAATGGCCCGAACGTGCCTCATCGCTCCCACACCCGTGGTGGGAAATTGTCCGATCGCCAGAACGACAACACCGACGCAGAACACGCGGACAGGGATGCTCGAGCTGAGTATGAGAAACAGAGGCAGCGTTTCATGGCCATCGTGCAGGCTAACGGTACACTTCCCGCCGCTATACAAGCCCAATGGATGGAGATCAACGAGACTGGAATTAAGAGAAGGGAAGAGCTAGAGCGAACTTTACAGAATGCGAAGGCTGTAGGAATGCACAATGCGACCGATAGCGATGGCTGTATCCGCCGCGTGAAAGACAAGATTCGTACGCCTTCATGTGTTCAGGGCTCTTCAGCGGGACGCCCGCAGACTCAAGCCAACACCGCTACAGACTACCAGCATCCCCAACAGGCGTTCGTTGAGAGCCCTATGACAGGAAACCAGAATGAGAAACTATATCAGGGCGACGTGTCGGCTACAGGTGTGGATGCCTCTTCATATCAACCTTACCATCGGGCGCTCGATCGCCAACACCAATCGCTACTGTTTAAGGTCCCTCGAGCCCCGAATCGCGCCGTCCCTATCAACGAACGTACGCGACGAGAAGACACTGTCACCTCACGGGCTTCGAGCCAGACGTTGCCTGGGCACTCAATTGTAGCAACAGAGAAGGGCCGGCCCGATCGACTGCCATTGCCAACACCACCAAATTCGGTAGTCTCGCCAACCCGCAAGCGCAAGGTCCATCATAATGTCAGCGATGATAGCGACGTTGATCCCGACTTCGAGCCGCCCTCATCAGATGATGAACCGTTGATTAACAGGAGACATAAGCCGGTGGTGAAGAAGGCAAAGGGTGTCAATGGCTCAGGCTCTGCCAGGCCAGTGTCTTTGGCCCCGAAGATTGGGTTTAAACATGTGAAGCTGTAAGTCCACCAGTTATATAGTGTCAGACATCCCTCTTATTCTCACTCATAGAACTAAGCCGAATCGTTCCGTGACGCCTGCCCGACCCACCACCAAGACCACGGCTCCAGCCACCCCGGAGAGTTCCCTGAGCTCGCTTGATTCCGAGTCGCCATCCGTGCAAGCAGCTCAGCGCTCGTCCTCCCGTCGCGCAAAACAAAAGGCCCTTGCCGCGCTCGACGAACACTTCCAGAAGGACTTCGAGTTCTACAACGAAGAGGACATCCGCGAAGCTGATGAGCGCAAGCAGCGTCTTAAGGACATCATGCCCGCGAGCACTGAAGCGACCCTCAGAAGGACGCTACAGCGCATGAGCCTCACTCCCGTGCCGCCTTCAGCTTGCCCGGATTCGGATCGTATAGAGACTGACGGCGCACAAGAGGCCAACCGTAGAGCACATGATGGTGGCCGGAAACGAACGGACAGCGTGTATGGCTTGGTCCACTAAACGAAAGATAGGATGTGTGGGGATAGAAATCTCCTCAAGACTCGGTCTGTGTCGTCGTGGGGACGGGGCGAGGAGGAGAGCGAGAGCGAGTTGGATATATCTGCATATCAGTGGGTGAACGGGAGGCTTGAACACCTGGACGAGGAGAGGGACATTGAGGAGGTGGATATGACATGACGGATGAACATCGCTGATAAGGCCTATGTCGAGTGCTGACGAGGCAGTTAGTAAGGTTGTGATCTGAGTTTGCGTCGCGCGGCCAGCGTTGCGCAAATCACTTCATGTTTACTCAACGGAGAGCTTGGTTCAAGCCTTCATCCACTGGCTTGTAAGTACCAAAAGGAGGTCGTCGGTTATGGCGATCAGGACCGTCGCTTCTCAAGCTTCCGTCGTTCAATCGTTGGCGGCGTCACAGTGACTTCAGAACAAACGCTACTTTCAGTATTGAACCATGTGTGCAAAGCCATCTAAGGATATTCCAGGTACCTTCATAGTAGGAAATGGGGAATGAGTAGCAGGCAAGCACATCAGCCCACCTCTCGTCCGAAGCAGCTCGTGACGCATCTACCAACATTCGTCAGAGCCACAAACCTAATAATTAGACTCCAATACCGCGTCTTCACTGGCAATATTAAAAGGATCTGTAGAGTTTCCCCGTCGACCTGTGGCGATGCCTGCAATGTCTTGCGTGTGGTCAGCTTCGCGAGTCATGTGCCTCCGCGCTGTACACGCGGGACGCTGTTTCCCCTTCCGCGTCCGCGTCCCCGTCTGCTGCACATCAACGCTTTGGCCTACTCATTTACCCTCCCAGCTTCAGCCGTTTCCCCGACGTATGTCCAAAGCAATTTGCCAATCGCGTATATACTCCATCAGTCTCGTTTCTCAGTTTCGCGTCATTCTGCAAGTCGCGACTCCTCCATATAGCATACTCTCTAACCTTCTCGCTCGCTCTTTCAGTTCGGCGGCGTCCTCGGCCACGGGTAAATCGGCCTAGCTGCCGCTCGTCGTAGTTGACGGTGTTTCCGCGACGCGAATATACGGAAGCGAAAGTTTATTCGACTGGGGAATGTTTTGAAGCAATGGGGTGGGTTGCCAGAGCTGGGGGATTGATCCTTCGAGCATGGGTATGCTGGAATGTCAAGGGAACGTCAAGCGAGTAATTTCGACGCCACAGCGTATCCCAGGCGGTGGATCGCGAAGCTGAGGAACATCAGGAGAGCAGAGGCCAAGTTCAGAGGAACGGGAGATCCCAGCGCTAGGGTCAACGGGTACAAGGCGTCATGGCTGCCCCGGTTGTGAGTGTGGGGATGGATCGAACCCTTTTTACTTCTTCCTACGACGACTGAGTCTTTGCACTTCGATTCTTTCTTGTAGTTGCGTCTGCGGGGGTTTGCGGGGCCTCGCTTTGGATATTCGACGCCTTTCCTTTGGTCTTCTCTTTACGCTCGTGCACGATTACGAGTGGGCTTAGAGAATGATGAGCGCCTCAGACGGACAACCACCCCCAGACACAAACTATGCGCCGACCTTCCTCGCCGTCACCGGCGTCTTCACGCTCCTTGCCATCGGCCTCTGTAGCGCCCGGATCTACTCGCGGCTACGGCCAAAGCCCAATCTGCGCATCGACGACTACCTCATCTCAACTGCCACTGTACGTCTCCCACCAGCATTCCCCACACATGTCCTAACCAAACAAAGATACTATGCGTCGTCGACTTCTTCCTCTCGCTGATCGCCTCTCTCCACGGCTGGGGCCACCACTCCGCCTACGTAACCGCGGCCGACGTGACCATGGTCATGAAAGTAAACTTCGTGCAGCAAGTCGTCTGGATAGCCGCCATCGCGCTGACGCGGCTCTCCATCGCGCTGTCCCTCCTGCGCCTCAGCCACGACCGCTACTGGCGTCTGATCCTCTGGAGCATCATCGCCATCCAGATGGTGACCTATGCCGGCCACATGCTCTTCCAGTTCGCAAACTGCGCGCCGCTCCGCGCGAGCTGGGAGCCCGTGTACGATGTGCGGTGCTGGCCACGGAAGTACGTGCTGGTGTTTGGCTGGGTGGCGAATAGTACGTCCCTTCTCCCCCGACCCGCCTCGTTGCCTCAAGAGCACGCCAGGACTAACATGGGTATGCAGGCCTCCTCGTCCTCAACGACACCATCCTCGCCCTCTTCCCCATCCACCTCATCCGCACCCTGCACCGTTCCCCCCGCGAGAAAGTCCTCATCTGCTTCCTCATGGCTACCGGTCTCCTCGCCGCCGCCATTGCCGCGTACCGCATGGGCCTCTCCAAAGCTGCCTTCGCTGGGGACCTGCTCTCCAGCACCGTCATGATGAGCATGTGGTGCATGCTCGAGGTTCTGCTAGGCATCATCGCGGCATGTTTGGCGCCGCTGAAGGCGCCGGCGGAGAGGTTTCTGCACAGGGCGGGACTGCTGGTGAGTAGGAGGGAGGTAACGAGGCCGAGTTTTGTGGTTAGTTTGGGTGAGAGGGATCTTGAGGGCGGAGGGGGAGAGGTTCCGCCGAGTAGGAGTACGGATGGCGAGGGATGGAAAGATTCGGTGCATGATGGGGTGGGCAAGAAGGAGAGGGCGGGTGTGGCGACTGTGGAGGTTGGGAGGGGGCAGGGGGATGTGGTTTGATAAGAGGATTACCGTGCTTTTGCAGAAGACGGCGTGTTGGCCCGGGAGTTAGATAAGTATATGTCTTGTAATAACGCCAGGAATTGCATTGGATTGGTTCACGTTGCCCTGTCTGAGGATCTGTAGTGGTGAATCTGGACGCTCCCGCAGATGTCTGTTCAGAGGCAACGCTCCATGCGGAGCGCAATTCAAGGTCAACGTTCCCCAGCGGCAAATTCTCAAAGTCGGGAAAGGCCGTGATGTTGGAACATGTGGTAAGTTGCTGCGATCTGGTTCTGACTCGTGCGGGAAACTAGTTCTCAACACGAAAATAAGGGTGTAGTGCTGTTACGCTGTGCTGCAGTGGGCTGATAACCCAGCACCACAGCTGGACTCGCAATTTGCGAAATACGTGGCTAGAATCTTGACAGCCCTGTTGATATCCGCAAATTGGAAAGAGCAAGTTGATGCGAATCAAGAGATCGATGCTCGCGGGGTTTGCAGAGTATGGAGCCTCCTTGAGAGCCCAGAGATGGTATGCATGTTGCAGGGACGGAGGAGCGAGCACTGGACGGTTTACAAGGATGGAGCGGTTCGTAGCGGACAGTCAGGAACTTGCGAGAGCTTAGAGAGCTTGAAGTAAATTCAGCAGTGAATGTCGGTGTAGATCTTGGGTTGGTGTTGGAAGTGTGGAGAGTTGTCCTCGGTGGAGCATTCTATTTCCGATATTCCGAGCCCATTCCGACCCACCAAAGCCTTAGAAAACTCGCGATGCATCCGCACTCTGCCTCGCAACTCACGTAATGAAGCTCTGAGATACCCTCGGTCACGCGCAAAGCACGGCTATATATCCGCCCCCTTCCTACCATTGGTGCGCAACCTCGCACACGGAACCGACCGCGCGACTGCATTCAAGAGCCCACCGTATAGCCTGTATCACTATACGAGAAGCGCGATGAGCCATAAAACCAGCAGCTTCAAGCGCGAAAAGCGGAAGCAAGTCCAGTCCGACGATGGCTGGACCGTGGTCTCCGGCGGGCGAGCGAACGACGGCGCGCAAACCTCGCAGCTACAATCTGCGCGACCCACAAGGACTGCAACCGGACTGACGGAGGAGAGGCTGCAGGCCGAACTGCAGACAATGGAGCAAAAATGGGAGAAGACGTCCTGCGCGAAGAATCTCGTCCGCATGCTCGGGCTGCGGGACTGGACCGTGAAAGAGGCGGTTTGCATTGGCATTGGGAGCTTTAGCATTGATTGGGACCATCGGTATCGGTCTTTGTGGCAGCTAGTGCTTTTCAGAGCGGTGGTGAAGATAGGTAAGCTGGAGCCTTGGAGATTTGAGTGTGTGATCTGATGTATGAACAGTACAGCAAGAGGGCGTGGCGATCGTGTTGTACGCGCAAGAACCGGCATTCACACCTCTTGACATATCATTTCTTTCTCGCCTTGGTATCAAGGTGACATCTTCCGAGATCGAATCTCACATCACGTCGAGGTCGTTTGTATATGCCCCCTTCGTCGACTGGTACATACTACTGCCGATGTTCTTGAAGGGAAAGGATCCAGAGCTGTATATCGGCAATGAGATATTGGGCAGTTATGGGACGTTTGCAAATACACAAGAGAAAAAGGACGTGCTCGAGGACTGCAACGAACTAGGAAAAATCTTTGCTAATGGGAGGGAGAGAAGAAGGGTACCAGAGTTTGAAGAGCATGGGAATGCGCTGGAGGGACTGATGATCTATTGGAACGAGGATGAAGACGACTGAGACGCAATCGTGATACCCACGTTTGGATAAGGCACAGCGATAGTGCAGTAGATGGGGCATTGGTCAAATGACAGGTACCTCCCTGATTGTAATCGCCCCTTCCTAAAGCACACGTTTGTCCGCCGCGCCTTCACTAGCCATTCCTTCCTGTTCTGTTCTGTGCCAGACTGTCGGAACAACGATACGGTACCCCGCGGTTTTGTTGGGATCTATACCTTCACTTCGCGGCTTGCACGCTCTGCTCAACCTTCAACCTCAAAGTCATCATCGCAAACGAGGCGCCGCAATTTAGTCGCTCCAAGTTGCTGTAGAGCAGCCCCGTGGTAATCACATGCCCGTCGAACGATGACAATCTCGCATTCGTGGAACAGTGTTACAGGTACAAGAGCCAATGGTCGTCTCAACAGGGCGATGAAGCGGATAGGCAACTGAAAAAGACGATGGCGGATCTGGAAAAGGCGCAGATGACGGAACGCACGTTCGCCACACTCTCGGCTTCTTCTGGTCGTCGATCGGTTTATGCTGAGAGATTACCAAGTGATCCAAAAACCGGAAATGTCGCATCTGCAACAGGAAAACCACATTTGCGATTCTTACTGGATTGGTCGTTGTCGGTCATTCAATCCGAGCGTGGGATGACCAATACGCTTCCGCTGCGTCAGCAGGACATCCCGTCCAAGGACAAGGACAAGACCCTCTTGTCCGGAAAGTCTTGCACTCGATGGACGGTCCTAAACAACCCCAAATGTCACATTCTCAGGAACGAGATAAATGTTGGCAAACATGGTCGGACGACGGGTTTCACGTACGGACAAGTCAATCCGATACCCACCATCATCGACCCGATCATTGCAAACATGAAATTCGCATCCATGGCGAATGCCTATCGTCTCACGGTGGATGACTGCGGTCATGCATTCTCTTTTGTCGGTCATACTCATGGACCAGTTGTGAAGTCTGGGGATTCTGGAAGTCTTGTGCTCCATGCACCTTCTGGAGACTGGCTAGGCCTTCTCTTTGGTTCGACTAACACCGGTGCCGGATTGTTCACGCCGATAGATCTCGTTCTGAGAGATATTCAGACTGTGACAGGATATGATGTTCTTGAACCAGCTTTCAACCCCAACTAGATTTTGCTGTAGGAGAGGTGGAAAGCGGCGAAGCGCCCCATAGCGGCGGCGTACATATCGCCGCAGGTAGGTTGGACAAGATTCTTACTAGTACAGATCGTAAAAGACAAGCATTGAGTACTGGAAGGGCATGCCATTAGATATGATTCTTGAAAAGGTTGAGAAAATAAACTATACTCACTCTTGCATCTCGAAAACAATCGATACTGTGATCCAGCAATATATCTGATACGACTATCATACCCCTAACACGAATATTGACCCGACAAGAGATAGCTTCTGTTATAGGAAGCCATATGAGAGTCACAAATGGCAAAGTCCCTAGAAAACTGACAACGAGGGATGCCTCAGGCACATCAATTAGACATTGAATCTTGCATCATATAGTTGTGAAATCATCGTTCGATGTAGTAGTTTGTGCAACCGGATACGCACCCTGAAGTTTTTCATGAATTATTGTCGTCTTAAATACTTCCTATACTACAAGAGATATTCTACCACCAATCGCTCACATTAAAGAACTCCCGACGCCTAAAACAATGCATAACCCGATTCTATTTTATGCCAACATCAGATTGGATAGACCAGAGAACATATGTTACACGAGCAGAATTGCGGACTTTCCAGACCTACGCTGTAATACCTCGCATACCACCTCTCAACCTTACACCCATACAGACTGCACATTGGGATGTCTACAAATCCACGTTCGTGCTATCAACCTGAGAATCAATACAGCAAAGATGGTCAAGTCAACCCGAAATACGCACAGCACGTCTACCTGATTCCACCCACCACCGGCACAAATATCCTCAAGACCTCCTCCAACCTAAGAACACCAGCATGTTCATCACCAGCCCGTTTGATGTACAGAAAGAAGTCTGCTTCCCACAACGCGGTAGTAACTTTACTTTGTACTCCTGCGGCTCTGGCGACATTCTTTTCTTGGCCATGAAAAGCGACGTACTCCTTCTCACACAAAACTCACCGTTCAAGCACAGGCATCGTAACGTAGTTGTTCACCATCTATCTTCCTGGAGCGCCAGCCTTGCTTCGGTCCCCGTCTGCTAGCATCAAGTGTACCTTGCGCTTGCGCTTGCCGACTTCTGCTCGAATGCCAGAGTGTCTCAGCTCGTGCGTGCAAGTGCACCGTGCGAGGGAGATCTCTCATTCCTACAGCCGCGTGTCGCAACGGCAGTACATAAACCAGAACCATGCGTTTCGCATACGGAGTGCGAGGTCCGCTCGAAACCGTGTCGCCATCTGAGCAGCGCATTAGCCCAGTCCATCGCTATATCCAAAGCCGCGCAGTCTTCCAGTGTCCCCCCAGCGACACGGAACGCCAGCTGAACTCAAGCGACGAGCCTCGCAAGCAAGCATTGCCCCCAGCCCACGCGTAGATCCGCGGCAATCCAGCAAGGCGCCCCAGCACCCCCCCAGCACCTCTACAGCCCCCTCCCAACTCTTCTCCCAGCGCCATCCACACACCCTCACCCTACCTCCGCCTCACGCTCACCTGCTCCGATCTACAGAAACAAAACCTCACTTCCCCCCCTTCATCCGGCTGAACGTCACCGTCCAAACTGCCGTCGCCACCGCAAAAACAGGGCGAACGCAACCCAGGACCTCCCTGCATACGCGCGCCGCCAGCTCACTCGCTCCTACCCAACGGCGCGCGCGGCACACACCACATCGAACGATGGGTGCGTAAGAGCTAGACGACGTGCTGATGGTGCTGTTAGCACGTCACTTGGGTAGGTGGATCCATGCATCTACTATCTACTTGGATTGGCACGGCGAGGCGAGGCGGATGGGAGGGAGGGATATCGTAGACGAGGTAGTAAGGAGAGGGGGGATGTGCGTATAGCTGGGTTATTGGTAGGGCTCGTCCGACTCGGGGCGAGAGGAGCGATGAGCGCAAGGTCCCAGCCATCGGGGAACATGGCTCCAGCACATCTGCAAATCTCTTCTCGTCGCCGCGTCGACCATCGGAGCCATCGCCAACACACGCCCAGTCCAGATCCGTGTCTGAGCCAGTAGAGATTGATTGATGGTCTGTGTTTTGGATACCCATAGATCACCTCTGGACGTTGGCCCGGTTTGACTCGAGTCGGTTGCCTCACGCCCGCCCTGCGAGGCGTCAAGCAGCCCATCCTCGTCTCATCAGTTCAGCACCTACCGGGCGCCCGTCCGCAAGGACACTGCTGGTCCAACAGGTACGTGAAAGGTACTGGCATCTCTGACTGCCCACGCATCCAGACCTTGCTCACAGGCCTGAGCCTGCCGGCGCACGTCGCACGATGGGCGACGTCTCCAAAGCAAGTCTACCTTGCCTCGCCTTGCCGGGGCAGCCGGCCTTAGGGCTGGAGTGGAGGGCTGAAGCCTCGTGAGGTGCCCTTGTTATGCGCGGGCGTCTGAAACAGGAAAGACGGAGCTAGAGTTGTTTGATGGGTTTGGTGAAACGTTGGGGCCCTGGATACTGCTTTCTACTTTCTACAATGCTGTGCTTCCCGAAATGGAAACCAGTCAATCATAGGTACGGCCACTTCGGTGCTGTCTAAGTACCAGGATTTGTCAAGTAGGTGAAATGTTTCTTTTGGGTTTGTGGGAGATCTGGTGTTGCGCGTCGAGAGGTGTTGCTATTCTGGGCAGCCAGGGTCGGACATTGTAGCCTTAGGGAAACACAGAATCTCCACGTTACGGTTCAGCTCGGCACCAGTGGTTCGCCTCGTGGGACTTGACTCTCCGATGCTGTCAGTGGCACAGGCTACACAAAGCACGCGACTGGGAATGCGCTGGTCTCTCGAGTCATTGTTGGTGGTGATCACTGTATGATGGCGCTCTGGACTAACTGTCGGTGTCATTCTGGAAGCTCTTGAAACGAACGACGCTGCGTTGCTCTGAGCGCAGCCGCTAAGCGGCCGGTGTAGGTGGATGCGTAGAGTACCGCCGGCGCCAACTTAGTGTTGCTGGAGTTTACCGTCTGACACTCGGTTGCGACCGGCGAGATGCACCGCATGAACAACAGTGTTGCGAATAGAAGACAAAGGAGCTCCTTTCTCCCAAGGGAACAGAGGTCGAGGAACGGTGAAACGAACTACACGCGTGTTGTACTCAGAATAGAAGCCCTGCGGTGTGAGAGGTAGCAACTGGTAGCGAGATGAGCAAGGGCATGGGCGAGTAGGGTGCAGGCATCAGGTTGGTAGGGCTACGCGACTCCACTAGCACACGTCGTCTTCAGCGTCCGTCCAAAAACGACGGCGGGCGCGATTTTAGTCACACTAATGGCGTAACTGGTCCAACTGCCATTGCGTCGTTGCAGTAGGGCTGCGGATACATGAAGTTCCGTGCGGAAATGCGCTCAATTCCTCTTTGGTGGACCAGACGCGTACTTCCGTTCCAAAAATACGCGTATCTCCTGGACCCATTGATACGTGGTCGGCGTGACACAATGAACGATGGATGCTATTGTTGATCAATACGCGCCCGTGTTGAAGTCTCCTTATTTCTGTATCAGTTGTGCCCCAAATTGCCGCCAAACGCACGTTCGTCTACCTCAACAGGAAGGCCACGAGTACATCGGACGGCATGCAAGAGATTTGCTTGATGTGAGCCAATGGCTGCTGGAGATAAAACAGGAGAAGCTGTCGGGCGTGCTATCGGTGAGAACGGGCCGGTGTACTCGACCTCGGGGCTGTCCCGAAGTGTATAGTGATTCATGCACAGCTTAGAAGTCGGTCGGAAACTGTCCGGTTCTCAAGGTTGCCAGTTTTTGCTTCAGCACCAACTGGTCGATAGCCCAACTACCAAATTTGGTCGCTTCATTCATCACTATGTTTGTTCATGCTAGATAACGCGCAAGCGACTTGGTGGTCAGGCTGAGGACTGCCGCCCGAATTACTTCGGTCCGACCGAGTCATGAAGTTTTCATGTGTTGTTGGTGGCAGCATTTATGCGACTATGGCTTTTCTTTTTGAATCCTGCGAGTCCATAGACAACCCGATTTGAGAACGCGAAGGCTTTTCTCTCGGACTTTTACTGGAATAGTAGACCATCCGCTATCCAAGGCTGAGCTGGAGATGTTACGATGACATCGCATACGCGCTGTATACGAGGTCACGAGCACGATCCTGATGTGCGGGTAACCGCGCAGAAAGACCATCAATCTCTATCTGCATCTGGCGAGGCGAATTTGCCGTGGCCATTTCCGATGAATCGCTCCTTTCATATGCCACGTCAGCGTGGGTTGGAAGTGAATCAATCCGGAGCCATGAATGGGGGTAATTCGACATCCAAGTGTGTTCAGCAGTCATGCATCTAGACGCGTGACAATTCTGACCTCATGTGGGGTCTCTCAGGATGATTGGCAGACTGCAAATACTTGATACTCAGCAAGCGCGTTATAGGAGTAAACCCGGGACTCATGCATAGTTTGGCTATCAGTCACAACGCGGACGTTAGCATCGACTTGTCACGCGTGCCATGTTTTGATGGAGCGCGAAAGTCTAGACGTAGAAAGCGGAGGACGACACGGCAGAGGACCCGACAAAGTGGTACGAACACAAAACATCTCCTGAAGTGCCATGTCGCCCAATCACGAAGATCTTGGGGGCGGGGAACGCAGTTGCATCGGCTTGATGAGTGCGCCGCGAGCCGTGTTCGCATTTGGTTAGGAGGCCGGGCAGCTCGAATCAGGCTGCTGCCCCTGACATCATGATGGCTGACGATTGAGAGTAGGTTGCGGAAGCTGCAGACATCAGCCCATGCCAGAACCCTTTGCCCAAGTGTCCGCGCGAATCAATGGCATCAGCGGGCCCCCCTCAACCAGGACAGCGCGGGAAGCTGGGTCATCCTTGCCCATGTCCTCTGATATTGCTGGGATGGCACGGTGTATTACCGCGTCAAAAGCCGGCAGACAGAAACGCATCTCTGTGTCCAATGATCGCAACTTGTCAATGTGCCAGATTGACGCTTATGCAGAGGCGTTGACTTGAGAGCTCGGTTAGAGAGCGTGCGATTTCAAAGCAAGACTGTGGCCGGCCATCTGAAGATGGCAAGACTACTATCGAGCTGATATTCTCTTTCGCGTTCGGGTCTACCTCTGGTGCCGCTTTTGCAGGATGCGAGGTGGGCCCCGGCGGTGCCCAGGTCGCCTTGTGGGAACTCTCGTGTGAGGATGCTGGCGCTTGCGTGCTCCCTCGTCGCCACGGCAGCAACCCTCAAGGGCAGGCGGGAAGCATGGTCGAGGGGCCCTGAAGGCGATCTTGAAGCCTGTCAGCGAGATGGATCGCGTACAGCTTGTTCCAACGTCGCATGCTCGCGAACCAGCGTCCACGAACGCGCCTTGCGGTGAGATGAGGAGCAGAACCTGTTTGTACACTGCTAGCGTAGTCCTTCCGGACAGAGCGGAGTGAAGGGCAGCCGAAAATTCGCCATTTTACAGAAAACGGTCGCTCACCTCGAACTGGCATGTCGATCGCTACCCGTACGATTCAGCCGGGGCCCTAGTCCGTTTCCAAGCAGCAAAAACTCCGGCAATACCGGGATGCATGCTCATTGATCAGATGGGCTGCCATAGGCCCATCGGGGGGTGAGCAGGGCGAAAACCCAGATTCAGGTCCAATCAGGGAATTTTCATCGGTGATTTGGCTATTTGCAGGCGGGTCGTATGAGTTGACGAGGGGCTATCCGGGTCTGAGGGCCCGTCAGTAAACTTTGGCGGGGGCTGGGCTGGGGGTTGAGGATGACGGGACGAGTCGGGAGCACGGCAGCCACCCAGCCCAGGCCTGCTGCGATCGCTGACCGTTGCTGGCGCAAAAAGCATCCCTGCTTGCCGCGATAGAACCGCAACCTTCAACGTCTTGTCAATAATGTCGAAAGCTTGCGGGCGATTGTCGGTAAGCAGACAAGAGGCGCGGACAGCGGGAGGAAGTCAGCTGCGACGCGGGACGTTCACGCTCCGAGGGACACGAAAAGGAAAGCGCGTGGGACGCGACTGCCACGCTTATGGCCAGGCAGGTATACCGACCGCAGCTGACCTCTTTGTTGATGCATGTTGCCGCTGAGTATGAGTAACACCCCCGATGCGCGAAGCCGTGGGAGCGGCGACGACTCAGAGATTCCATGTGTCGTGCCACACGAGATGCGATGGAGCGGCGTCTTTGACTGGACGGGAGGGTGGCTCTGCGCGACGTTCGGGATGCCGTTATCGTGGGCACACCCCGAAAGCTGCGTTCTGTGCTCGGCAGTCGAAGCCAGGAAGGCAATGCGGCTGCCATGTGCTCGCCTGTGCCGCCAGGGACAATGGGATTGTCGCGAGCAGACGCTGTCCCGAAGGCGTTGGTTTAGAGTTGCTCGCCGCTCGGTACCTGGCTTGTCTCCCTTGTCGCTGGACAGGCCGACGCGATGGTCCCAGGGGCTCTCCGCATTCGAGCGCCGTCGGAACATTACTTAATCATGTACCATGTCTCGATCGCCCAGGGCGGCTAACCAACGACCTCTCGAGCGCAAAACGTTTCTCACGCATGAGATTCTGGAAAGCTGTCAACCGAGCGCATGAATGGGCGCCCAAACGCGCGGCCTGTTTCACAAGGCGGGCCCAGGGCTCAAGCAACGAGTGCGCACGGCGAGGGCTTGACACTGGCGATGGGCGAGTGTTGAGCCTGGCAGGCAGAATGACGGGCGCCGTCGTGATTCGACGCGTGCGCGCGGGCTCGCTCTACGTCGTGACGGCTAATGTGGGTGCTCGCGACGAGAGATTGTTTATCGACGCGTGCAGGCGCGTCGCATAAGGCCAATTTCTCGCATTATAGGTGCCGTTCAGGGATGCATTAAACATGGCCAGCTGCCGAGTCCGCGAAACTAGTCACCCTGGACGCACGGCCACTGACCTCATCGCTTCGATTCGCATCGCATGAAGTTGGAGGACGCGGACGCGCCCCCGAAGGATCCTCTCCAGGCATGTCGACCGCATTCGTACACACGTGCCGCCTCATGGTCTTGACAGCGCCAGCGATCAGCACGCGATTCTCCAGCCCAAGATACATTTCCGAGCAACTTCCTCGTGGCGGGCGGGCTAGTCAGCGATGAGATGCATGCGCCCGTTGCAGTTAGCGGCGCCACAGCGACGAGCAGGTTACGGATGAGGACCTGTTCGGCGCGCTGCTAGAGCGCCACGCAATACAGCGATAGGCAGGCCGGTGGGCCGCCGGTGCAACAGCAAACGGTCGACTAGCGCGCTGCGGGACTCGAGCATGCCAGCGACGGCGATGACACGGGCGCTGTCGAGAGGCCGACTCTGTCTGTGGCGCGCTGGCGGGCTCGCGCGACTGCGACTGCGACTGCTGGAGAGGCGGCGGACGGGGCGCAGGACGGCGGGGGGGTTGCGAGCATGATGGCTCACGGCTGCAGGGGCGATGGAAGCAGAAGGTGCGTTTGGAGCATCTGCACTGGCACGCGGGTATGAGAGAGCTTCCGCAGGTGCATTTACCCGAGTAGGATGTATTACGGCGGGCGGGTGCGTAGTGCGCGGTCTGGTGCCTGAAGCTGAGCGCGCGCTGGCCGTGTGCAGAGACGACGCTCGCAGAGTCGGACGCGCCGGCAGCGATGGCGTCTGCTGCACGGTGCCTGCAGGCAGAAATATCCATCACGCAACGCATGGCAAGACTGTGTCGACGTGCTCAACGCATGCACCGGACGCTGCGGTGCGCGCTCGACAATCGCGCGGCGTCCGATCTTGATAGAGGGCGAGGTACAATGCCCTCAGCGGCGGCGATCCCTGATCCCGGCCGCCGCGCAGCCGCGGGCTGGGCGCTCGAATCTGGGTGCTCGTCCGTGGGTGCAGGGCCAGCAGGGAGGTGGCTGGCTCCGGGAGGCGTTAGCTGTTTGACGTTTATTTCACGCCAGCTCCACCGTCGGCGGGCACAGGCAGCGCCGTGCTCTTGATTTGATGTGCAGCCGACTGCTCGCCTCTAGGCTGCCTCTGCCCTCTGCCCCGTGTGCTTTGGTCTAGTGCCAGTGCTCTGAAATTGCGCAGGCTGCGCTACTGCACCCCCGACGGCACCCTCGTCCAAAACGCGCGGGCCTCGCCAGCCGGTTCCTCGACACCACACTGGTAATTATAACAATGTCGCAGTCGCATGCGCCGGACGTCAAGCGGAGGTATAAGGAAGAGCCGGCTCCAGGCGCCGCGCAGAGAATGGTGAGTTGCCTCTCGTTCCGTCGCCCTTCCAACCCGGTCGCCATCCTCCCTCGCGCCGCACCGCTCCCCGCGCAGCATCCCTCGTCGCAGCTGCACCGGCCTCGCGGACAGGACAAGGCCAGCTCTGAGCGCGCGCCCGTCGCCAGTCAGTCGACCAGGCCAGCGTCTCCTCGCGCGAGCGTTGCATACTGCAGCCTCTGCAAGCCGCACCCTCGCTCGCCCGCCGCGCGACATGGTATGGCCCTCCACTGCTCCCGCCAAGCAGCCCTGCTCTCGCTCCCAAACGCCGCCCCTGCACACGGTCGCACCCACGGCGCCGCGCGCTGCGATGCTGGCCGCCTCTTGTCACAACCCACGCAGGCGCATCCTTGCACCGCCATGAGCTCCGCAAGCCCACCGCTGCCCGCCTGCTGTGTTGTCAAGTCGCCCACGCTCGCGCGCTCGCCGCCGCGACCCCAGGTGCACCTGATTTATACCCTCCCCTCCCGTCGCCTCCCAGACCCTGCCCTCGCATAGCACCGCAGAGAGCTCGTCGTTGCTGCAGCCCAAGCCTCAGCCTAGCTTCTGCCACACCACCAGCCCGCGCTACCTGACCGCTGCTTGCACCCCGCATCCCGCCCACCAACATCGCCCCTGCCTCTTGCACTTTCTTCTTCGCGTCTTCTTTTGCACATCTCTGCTGGCCACGGCGCATGCTGACCGCATCCTCGACAGCATCATCCCCACCCCCAGCAAGGCTTGCCACCGCCGCACCACCAGCCGCACCCGCAGCATCCTCAGCATCCTCAGCATCATCCGCGGCCTGCCGTGGTTCAGCACCAGCACCAGCACCACCAGCACCAGCACCCCGACTCTCCGCACCAGACGCAGCCCACCCAGTCGCCCGCCACTGCGCACTACCCTTCGCCGCACCCCTCCACTCAACAGGTCCCGCCGCCGCACCAGTCGCCCTACGTGCAGCAGATCCAAGGACCGCCAGGACCGCCGCAGCAGGAGAACCCTTATTATCCTGCCCACCCCAGTCCGTATAGCACAAACAGTGCGCCCAGCAACTACTCATCCTCAGGTACGTATCCATCATGTGGCGCAGGGTGACGATTGGACGCGTCTCTGAACGCGCCGTCCATGTTTCGGACGCGACTCCGATCTGATATCTCTTGGCTCTTTGCCCCAGCTTTGTCCGAACACCATCGCTGACTTGACCTCAGAAACCCCAGAGCTCATGGCCGCAGCGACCATGAACCGGTCGGGATTCCCGCCAATATCCTACCACACGCCTCAGTCAAACTCGCCCGCATCTGTGCAATCACCACAGCACGACCAGCATGGACGGCCCATCTACGGCCAGCCGCCCAGCCAGATGCCTCAGTCCATGTACTACACGCCTTACGCGTCGTCGGGAGTTCCACAGCAGTCGCCGTATCCCCAGCACCCTTCGACACAGCAGCAGCAACAGCCAATGCCCACCAACTCCCTCCTAATGTCCCACCAGCAAGGCCAGCAGATGCACCACCCGCATCAATCCCACCCTCAGACCCCTGGTATGACGGGAAGCCCCAAGTCGCGCATGTCACAAACGCCTTTACAGCGACCTCCTTCAGGACTGGGCCCGCCTCAAGCTCCCCCGCAAGCTCCCCCAGTTGGCACCCCTGGCATGCACAATGGACCTCCTTCAGCAGCAAACGTGAACCCCAACGCTGCCCCTGGACCAATTCCTGCAACTACACCGCTCGTGGTCCGTCAGGACCAGAACGGTGTGCAGTGGATCGCGTTCGAGTACAGTCGCGACAGGGTGAAGATGGAGTACACCATTCGCTGTGATGTCGAGTCGATCAATGTGGATGAGCTGCCCCAGGACTTCAAGACCGAGAACTGTGTTTACCCCCGCGCGTGCTGCAACAAGGAGCAGTACAAGGGTAACCGGTTGCACTACGAGACTGAGTGCAACACCGTCGGCTGGGCGCTAGCGCAGCTGAACCCGTGCCTGCGCGGCAAGCGCGGGTTGATCCAGCGAGCCGTCGACAGCTGGCGCAACAGCAACCAAGACCCGCGCCTCCGGAGTCGACGAGTGAGGAGGATGGCCAAGATGAACAACCGAAAGGCAGTTCAAGCACCGCATGGCAACCACATGGCAGGGCCAAATGGGCCGGCTGCACCTGGAGTCCCCAACTCGGCCGGCATGGCGGCTCCACCCCAGCAGCCGAGCATGAGTATGGGCGGACAGATGCATCACCATCACGAGCACCCCGGAGGACCTCAAGGAGGAAGTAATGACGTTAGCGGTATGTTTCACCAGATGTGATGCGCGATTTGAGCACTTGTTTGGTTTTGGACGTTGAATGATACCATCTGTCGTTTCTGCACTGCCTGTACATTACGCACGCTCCTTGCATGTAATTCCCCTTTTGAGATACCACACCCCATGCACATACACACGAAGCACACATATACACATATTGCTGCTGTACATGTCTGCCTGCTTTTGGACGGCGCTGGAGGGTACCCATGCATTGAATCGTGCGAGTCAATTTCTTATGTTCACAGCTAATCATGGCCCAGAAGCGAACACCCACCATCACCAAGCGCCAAACGGGCAGCAGTCACCCGAAGTCCGCGAGGCTCACAACTTCTATCCCACTTACCCACCGAACGAATCGGTAGCCAGCTCCGGTGGCCTTCCGCCCATGCATGACTCTATGGGACATCACCATTCACGTTCATCGCATGGCTCTTCGGTCCCTGCTTCACAACAGGAACAAGACGAAGAGGAGCGCAAACTAGCCATGTTTGGCGATCTACCGGAAGCAAAACGCCGCAAATTCATCCTGGTTGACGATGCGCAGCGGGGAACCCGCGTGCGTGTGCGCGTAACTCTGGACAGCGTCAAGATGGAGGAGATGCCCGACTCTTATCGCAAGATCAATTCTGTATTCCCCCGTAGCTATTTCGCCATGCAGATGACGTCGCCACCCGCGAGCCCTCGTGGTAGCAAGGTCTTCAGCGACGAGCCTGACAACGAAAGCGACCCCAGCTTTCCGCTGGGCGGAAGGACTACGGTGCCAGTCCCGACACTAGACGGCGAGACGACTGTGCCGAAGCCTCGATTGACGCGGGCGAAGCGATCGAAGGAGATCACACTCAATGACCTTGGCTACCGCATGAGCTGGAGCCAGAGCCGTGTGTTCGCGGGGCGCACTCTGTTCCTACAGAAATCTCGTAAGTACTTGGCATGCTCAACCATCAGCAACGATACTGACTGCTCTAGTGGACGCCTATCGCAACAAGATGCGAAGCAGCATGATGGGGCACGGGCAAGATGTCACGACCGTGGCACCACACTTCGAAACCCGTGTAGGCAAGCGGCGGTGGAACGAGAGAATCGAGAAGAACAAGAAGAGAGGGCGTGAGTCCTCGCCTTAAGAGCGCGGGCGGTCGACAGTGCCCTGGTCGCCATCTGCAACCATTACCCGCTTTTCCCGGGGAGCTTGCAAGGACCCCTTACAAGCCTGCCGGGGCATTGCCTCTTTCGGCCACGGCAAGTGATTGCGTGCAGCGGCCATCCTGATCGTTTTCTTGAGCACGCGTTTCACACCCCGACTGCCGTGGCGTGACGGCGGGTCCTTACTCCCGTTGGTTGTCGCTACCGATACTCGTCGTCGGCATCTATCAAGCACACTCTCACCACCACCCATCCACATTCACGCAACCCAAAAACCAAAGCTACGGGCACGCTTCCGGCATATGATACCCTGTCTGTCCTGCAAGTAATGTCCCCTTGTAGAGCGACATTTCCAGCCAGCATTGTTCGCGCCTGAACATAACATAGATATCTACATATTCGTCTTCTGTTCTATATCCCCTGTGTGCAGTTTCTTGATCGGCGGTTTAGGAGCAGCTTTGGCGCTGGTTCGACGGAGCGGAGCGGTTTGGCCTGGCCGGGCATGCGTCGTGTGCATTTGCAGATGAGATGGAAAAGGTGTTTTGGGATGGGGGGATGGTTTTCGGTATGGTGCGGTGCTTCTGGTAGATGGACGGGCACATGAAGGATAAATGCATTTCGGTATTCAATCCAGCGCTTCCTGTCCATGCTGAACGTTGTATTGCGCGATGCTGGCGGCGTGAGTCCAAGACAGTTGTCGTCTGGAAACCGGCTCGTGCGCGCCGTTATCTGACAGCTCTTGGCAGGGCGACTGCGCAGGGGGAGGCCACGCGCGTGCAGCCTGTGCGGTGGGTTTTAACGTGCGTTTAACGTTTGGATGAACCATGGGTGCCGCCCAACAAGGCCCCCACACACCCGGGCCTGCGCTGGAGGGGATTCTGCAGCGCTATCCCGTCCACCAACCATTTCCACTCAGGCCTACGGAATTTTCTGCTCCGTCGATAGAAAGCGGTCGGCTGGCGTCCATGGTGGGCATTGCAGCAAGACGACGGATGCGTCCGCCCGCCGTGCGTTTGTTGGGCAGACATGGACGACAGCGGCTGCACACACCCCGCTCCTCCATCGCTCATCTCGCCCGTGCTTGCTACCCGCCGCTCCCACTCACCTCATCTCGCGCGTCCTGCTCCTTTCGACCGCGCGCCCGTCCGCTAGCGTGGACCCTACACTGCCATCTGCATACGATGTTGCACTCCACGCTTCCTCGTCACCGCGCACGCCTTTCCTCAGGCTCGTTTTCCGCGCGGCCTCGGCGGCGTGGTCCAGACACCTTGGAAGCTGGGCTGGGCACGTGCAAAGCACCGGGTGCACGCTGCCGGTGCGAGGCAAGGTGCCGGCAGCGGCGTCAGGTACGGGTGGGGTTGTCGCGTGGGGCTGGCTGGCTATCTGTGACATGTTTGCGCCCAGCGCAGTACACAGTCTCGGAATGCTTGTGCTGAGCAGGTTTGCGCCTCCCTGCCTCGACTCGTGCATGGAGCTGTGGTGTCCCAGCACTTGGACATGCTCGAAACCTGTCGGTGCAACCGCTTGGCCGGCAACATGCACAGTATGTTCGTTGTTCAGACGACGGCCATTCTCTGTGGACAAGGTACGGCACGCGGCAAGGAACGTGCCAGTGCGAACGCGCGGAGAACATGGTAGGGCTGGCTACGAGGGCGGCACGGCACGGCACGGCAATGACAACTTTTCATAAAATGTGAACTTCACGTGGCAGTGGCGGATGCGTTGATGTTTCTTGTTGTTCTGTTTCATCAAATGTATTATGTGCATACCGATCGTCTAGGCTGCTTTCTCAGCCCATCTCCTTTGCCAACGGTCGCTAAGCTGGTATCCAATGCTTCCTCAACGTGCAGACTAGATGTGATCTTCGCTGCTCTCGGATGCGTGCCTGTGCTGTGATACCGAACCGGCCAATGCAATCGTACCAGGACAAGGAGCTTTTGCTGACCGGCATGCCTAGTATACATGTGTATGGGTGGTGGGGTGGATATCTTCATGCTGTTCCTGCCTTGTTTCCCCCGCGCAATGAAACGCAGCCTGAGGCAGGGGTCTGTGATGAGATTCGGAATCCAAACGTCGTGATGGGGGCAGGAATTCGCATGTGTTTCACGATGTGATGGTGATGGGTCCTGTTTCTAAGAACCCCACTGCCTGCGAAGTTGAACGTAAGGATGGTATAGATGGTAGTGACGTAGGCGCAGATACGGTCCACTGTGAAGTAGTGTTGCCTCACTTAAAACCGCTTCCGCCGTCTCGAGAGGTACAGGTCACCTATCGACGAACACGTCCACCCCGTGTGGTCTTTGCCGGAGTTGCTTTGGCTGGGGGTGCCGCGGGAGGCTTGGTGGCACGTTTCTTTGGTGAATGCGCTGGAGAGTTTGCGGGGCTGTGGGCCTTGCGTTTGCGAGACGTCTGCTTGATCTCCAAGGTGCGGGGCTTCTGTTTGACTTCCAGACTGTCGTCTCCCATTGCTTCATCCGCTGGGTCTGCGTTCGCGTCATCCTGTGAGGCCTGAGGGTTCTTGGTGCCTTGGCTGCCGTTGATCTCTGACGAAGTTGATGTTGCAGCGACTCCTGCGGCGTCGCCTTTGGGAATGTCGCTCTTGCTACCATCGCGCTGCTGAGACACCCATGACATCAAGTTTGCCTCCGCTTCCTCGTCGTCTTCGTCTTCGCCTCCCTGATTCAGCATCTCGTCTGCCAATTCACCTGCAATGTCGTCGCCCGCGTCCTGGTTGTTGGCCATGCGTAGTGCGAACTGCAGCAGCTGTTGAGGATCCATTCCACTGAGCGGGCCACCGGCAGATCCAAGGCGCGACTGCAGTGCAGCCATCAAGGCCGCGGGGTCGATGCCATCCATGCCTGTATCTTCCTCATCATCATTTTCCTCATCCACCAAGTCCTCGTCTTCCCACTCCTCGTCGGCCTCCTCTATGTGAGCCTGGGATGGCAGCGACACAAGCTCTCTTTGTGCAGCCTTTTGGGTCCGCTTCGGCGCCCTGTCCAACTTGCGCCAGTCCTTGAGTATCGCATATGGTTCTGCATCTTCTGGCAGCGGTCTCGCTTTCACGCCTCTGTCCGCCTGGGCGCGCCATATGATGGGCGCATTGGACAGCCACGCGACGTCCTGCTCGAGCTTTCCATCGCCATTGGCAAGCCTCTGCTTCTTGCTGCTGGGACCAACTACAGCGCCGCGCTTCCTCTTTTGCCCAACCTTGGGCTGGCCCGTTGCGCCGTTGTGGGTCACGAAGTTGGCGTCGTCGTAGCCTTCGAAGTCGTACTCGAGGTCGTTGAAGTAGTCGAAACGGTCCCACTCGTCGAGCCTGTCGTCGTCGTACGCGAGCGGAGGCGGCGATGCAACTGCGTGTTCGGCTAGGTCATCCGCCTGCATGTATTCGTCCTCGACATAGAGCCAATCGTCGCCATAGTCGTCTTCGTACTCGTCGCCGTAATCGCTCATGTTTGCGTCGGGCTGAGAAGGCACAGGCGATGCGCTCCAAACATGGGTGGTCGTCTGTTGCTGGCGCCTTTTCGGCTGCTGAGGGGCGGCGCAGCTTGCTCGACGTTACGGACAGCTCGAATGTCGAGGTTGTGCGTGGATGAATGCGAGCGCAACGGCAGGACGGGCGGCGGCGGGTGCGAGGCTGCAAGGGCTTGCGCGGAACGTAAGCACTGGCTGCCTGTGCTGTGCGTGCTGGGCGCCAAAGATGTTGCGCAACGGCGTCGGCGCACAGCAACTCCGTGCGGGCAGCAGCGAGCTCAATGACCGCTGGAGCTGAGTATTTTGGGCGCCGCGACGCGTTTCCCCGCGTTTGCCCTCTCCGCAGCCCGGCGGCCATCAACTCGACGCTACGTATGCCAAGCGGTCGTGGTCGCGGTTGGATGCGGCTTTGGGTAAGCCGAGGCACCTTCCCTTTGTACTCCGCACACTCCAGCGGGCAGGCAAACTTCCATGTAGTCTGAATTTACTCCTCTGCCACTGCTCTACGATTCTATGTGACCATGCGCGCTGTTAGAAAGTCCACTCGCCTCTCTCGCCAGCTCCTGGCCGCCAACGCGGTCCGCCACAGCTCCACCAATGCCGTCTCCATCAAGCCGCTTACATCGGTGCTCATAGCCAACCGTGGAGAAATTGCCCTGTGAGATTCTTCGTCGTGATATTTCCTCCCTGCAGAATCTGACAAAAGCTGAAGACGAGTCGGACGGACCGCCTCGGAATATGGCATCAAGACCACGACCCTCTATACCGACCCGGATGCCAAATCCCAGCATGCCCTGAGCTCGCCCTATGCTGTCAACTTGGGGGACGCCTCGGCCTACCTCGACGGCGATCGCATCATCCAAATCGCACAAGAGCAAGGCTGCCAGGGCATACACCCAGGCTACGGCTTTGTATGGACCAAGAGGCTGTCTCAACTATCCGGGCACTGACGCGTTGCAGCTGAGTGAGAATCCAACGTTTGCGCGGAAATGCACAGAGGCAGGAATCACATTCATTGGCCCGCCGTGGCAGGCCATTGAAGCCATGGGAAGCAAGAGGTGTGTAATCTCAAAGTTGGCATGAGACGTAGCTTACCCGCCATGCAGTGAGTCGAAAAACATCATGATAGCCGCGGGCGTGCCATGCATACCTGGCTACCACGGATCAAATCAAGACCCAGAATACCTCAAGAAGGAGGCCGCCAACATCGGATACCCTGTGCTGCTCAAAGCCGTAAAGGGTGGAGGTGGCAAGGGCATGAGGATCGTAAACAAGCCCGAAGACTTCTTTGCCCAGCTTGATTCAGCAAAGTCCGAGGCCAGAAACTCTTTTGGCGACGAGGTCATGCTGGTGGAAAAGTACATCACGACGCCTAGGCACATTGAAGTCCAGGTCTTTGCGGATAAACACGGCAACTGCGTCGCGCTCGGCGAGCGTGATTGCAGTATCCAGAGGAGACACCAGAAGATCCTGGAAGAGTCGCCTGCACCACATCTGAAGGAAGACATCCGACAAGATATCTGGGAGAAAGCAAGAGCTGCTGCTTTGGCAGTCAAGTACGAAGGAGCTGGCACTGTCGAGTTCATTTTCGACAACGACACTGGCGAGTTTTTCTTCATGGAGATGAACACGAGACTGCAAGTCGAGCATCCCGTCACCGAGATGGTTACAGGAGAGGACCTCGTGCGGTGGCAGCTTATTGTTGCAGAGGGTGGCAAGTTGCCGCTGACACAGCAAGAAGTCGAGCAGAGGATAAAAGAACGAGGGGCAGCCATCGAAGCACGGATATACGCAGAGAACCCCGACATGAACTTCATTCCAGACTCAGGCTTGTTGCTTCACCTCAAGACACCAAAGCCAACACCTACCGTCCGGATAGATGCAGGCTTCGTCGCTGGCGATGAAGTCTCCTCGCACTACGATCCTATGATTGCAAAGCTCATCGTGCAGGGCCCCACAAGAGAAGCCGCGATTGCGAAGCTGCGCGCCGCACTAGAGGAGTACGAAGTCGCAGGTCCCATCACGAACATTGAGTTCCTTAAGAAGATGTGTGTCAGCCCAGACTTCGTCGCTGGCGACGTAGAAACAGGCTACATCCAGAAACACCAGGACGAGCTCTTCACCCCGGAGCCCCCCGCACCAGAAGTCTACGCACAAGCCGCGCTCGGCCTCGCTCTCCAGGAGATATCACGGGCTCATGCAGATCTCTTCGCCGGTCCTTCCGTCACATCCATCGGATACGGCAACCACTTCCAGCGGCGGCAGGTCGACCTCGTCGAGACGCCCGCCAACGGAAAAGGCGACTCCACCTCCACACCAATAACGCTCGTCCAGACTGCCCCCACGAAGTTCGACATCACCGTCGGTTCCCACTCCTACAGCAACGTCGTCTCCACCTTCGCCCCCTCCACCAACATTCTTACCACATTCTTCCCGCACACGCGCCTGTCAACGACTTTCATCCGCGACGGCGACCGCCTCACGCTCTTCCAGCAGGGCAAGCAATACCGCCTGCAGCTCGCGCTGCCGAAGTGGGCGAGCAAAGCACTCGGCGTGAAGGATCTCACCAACAGCGTGCTGGCGCCGATGCCGTGCAAGGTGCTGCGGGTGGACGTGAAGGAGGGCGAGACTGTGAAGCGGGACCAGCCGCTCGTCGTGATCGAGAGCATGAAGATGGAGACTGTGATCAGAGCGCCGCATGACGGGGTTATCGCGCGAGTTGTGCATGGCGCGGGGGATCTGTGCAAGGCAGGGACGGCATTGGTGGAGTTTGCGGAGGAGGAGAAGTAGACGGGAACAAAAGCGAGAGGTAGTGACAGCCATGCAGTTCGATATCCTTATCTCACACATTTTCTCACATCCAGTCTAGTCTACACTAACAGCATGCTTCTGTCCCCTCTGCTACTCTGACCTGGACTGGGTACCTCCTCACATCCTAATTACAACCTTCCCAACATGGCTCCCACCCTCCAAATAGGCAAACGCCTTCTCCGACTCCCCAAACGCAAACACCCTATCCACTAACGGTCCCAAATCCACCTTCTTCTCCTCGAGGAACCTGCTAACGGCCTCCAGATCTGCGCGCGAGCCTGCAAGAATGCCCCTACCACGAACATCTAATCAGCCACCGCACTGCGTACAACGGAAGAACAGGAAGAGTGGGAAGGGGATAGGGAGATTCTTACTTGATAGAAGCGGCTTTCTCGATGAGGCCCATCAAGAGGGAGGCATCCCACCCGGCCTCGAAACCCTCCAGGAACCCAATCAATGCGATCCTGCCACCGTAGCGCCGTAGCATGCGTAGGTCGGATGGTATGGAGGATAGACCGGCGTTGTTGAGGACGTAATCGACGCCTTTGCCGGCTGTGAGAAGCAGCACCTCGGCTGCGACGTCCGGCGTGGTTTTGTAGTTGATCGTTTTTATCTCCGGACTGAGCTTGGCCAGGCGCGCGAGTTTGGCGTCCGAGGAGGACGTGATGATGGGTCTAATACCGGCGGCTAGACACACAAGCAGCGACATGATACTCACACCCCCGGTGCCCTGGAGAAGCGCGGTTGCACCCTCGGGCACGTGCTCGAGGCCGTTCAGCGAGACCCAGGCGGTGATGCCGACGCCGGTGATGGTGGCTGCCTGTTACACGGATCAGCTTCCCCGATTCCACACTCCTCGTCCATCTGTGCGTTCCAATCCAAGCCAGTCCAATCCAGGATACCGCCTGACCCCATCTCACTACGCTGAGATATTGACAGATAGGAAGAGAACTCACCTCCTCCCACGAAACATGTCCGGGCAGCTTGACCAGATGCTGTTCGTCGAAGACCGCCCATTCCCTCAGCACACCAGCAGTATCCCCGCCCAACGCACACACATCCGCGTCTCTCTCCTCACCGGAAAGGAAATTCAGATTCACCGTCGGCGCAACACGCTCCCCGATGCTAAACTTCGTGACAGAGGAGCCGAGCGCGACGACCTCGGCCGCGCAGCATGAGCCTTCGATTTCGCGCTCGTTGACGGGGATCGGATAGCTATTTTTCTCACCATCAGCATTCACAGGAAATGGCTGAAAGCGGGTAGGGTCAAGGTTAAGGTTGGGGTTGGGATTGGGTGGGGAAGGGGCGTAGGCGTACCCTCCTTCGCGCAGCATAGCGACATCGCGATAGTTCAAGGACGCGGCGCGGATGCGTACGACGACGTCTTTGTCGCCCAAAGTCTCGGGGAGGGACTCGGTTGTGAATTCCAGATGGAGGGGGAACGGCGGTGCGGAGCGGCGGAGGGCTCGGTACGTCTTTGGGTACGCACGCGATGGCATTTTGGTATCCTGGAATGCACAAGGACGTGGTTGTGCAAGTGTTCGACTTGGTGTGAGTCGCAAGATACATGGCGAGGCTTTCCAGTTTAAATGTGCATGTACGGCGGAGCGCTGGTGCAGGGGTAGAGCTGCTCCCCTCGCCTGCACACTCACTGGGTGATGTGTCAGAGCTCATTGCGTGCTGTACATAACTAATCATTGCAACGGAACTCCTCCTGATAGCAGCGTTGGGTTAGGGGATCTGCAAGGTAGAGGTGGAGGTCCAGGTGGAGTTCCACCCACCCGCTTACCGTGCGCATGGCTATACGAGTATGCAGCTGACAAAGGCGAATATCAGGGCCGCCTGCGGTCTGCCTCATTCGAATTGTTTGCTGTAGAGTACAAATCGCTGTGAGGGGAGAGCGTGGACGTCAGAAGACGTCAGAAGCGGACGTCAGAAGCGAACGTCAGAGCGTGGCACCATCGTACCTGGCTGCCGAGCCCTCAATGACTGATGCAATCGTCTACTTGTATTCTTCTAAAACTGCAACGGTAATTTTCCTTTTCCTCATTACTCGTCACTCGTCACCCCACATCACCTACGAACTCCCAATTCCCGCCCCCACCGGACAATCCGGCACGTTCGCCTGCCACGCCACCTTTGCATACGCCGGCAAATAACTGTTTGTCGTGAAGCTCTTGTCCATGTAGTAACTCACATCCGCGACGCTATAGGTACCCCCGACATCCGGCTCGTTCAACGCATCCACGATATTCGACGCGATGAAATCCAGGAACACGAGATCGACCTTCTCCGGGAGCGAGCCGTCAGTAGGGAAGGACGAGTTGGCCTGCAGATCGTTGGGCTGCGCGTAGTGCGGGATGCGTGCGTGTACCGTGTCGTCGCCGTCGGACCCGAAGTCGTCGGTCGTGGTGTAGCCCGGCGAGGGTTCGGCGGCCTGTCTGCGGATTACACGGGCAGTGGAGCGCTTAGCCATGCCGGAAGCTTGCGTGAGCGGGGGGTCGACGCAGATATCGCGGTCAGCCAGCACAGGGCCAAAGTTGAAGTCACTGGTGGAGAGGTCGCGCTTCTTCTGGTAGGGCCCCGCGTTGAGGATGCCAAGGACCTTTGAGGCCTGGGTGTACGGTACGTCGGGGAGGAATTGGAAGGCGTCTTTGAAGGGGGACACGATGAAGGAGTCGTCGTAGGTGAAGGGGCCTTTGGCGAGGTCGAATCGCACGGAGCCGGTGTTGATGATGATGAGGCGGGGAGTGTCTTTGCGGGTCTCGTTGACGACGACGGTGGAGAGGGCAGTTTGGAGGAGCGCGAAGAGGTTGCCTTCGGCGAGGAAAGGTTGGCAGGTTTGGCAGTAGGATTGGGGCGCGCAGCCGTAGAGGCTCGTGAGGTTGAGCTTCTCGCGGTCCGAGGTGATCTCGGATGTGATTTTCTTGCCCTTTGCAGTGTCAAAGGTGGCATGCTTTTGACTACCTTTAGCATGGTAAGCGAACGTCAGACGGTTCCAGTCAAGGTATCGTCGGGCTACGAGGAGATCGGAAGAGCTAGTTGAGCTCGGAACGCTGGAACCGGGACTCGTAGTGCTGCTTGGAGGAGGAACGGGCTTGCGTGTAGGGTTGGGAACGCCACGAGGAGCCTTGGATTTGCAGTTGTCCGACTCGATACCAGACAGCGCAAGCCATCCTAACGTCTCACAGTAGCGACCAGATTCCAGTCCGGTTGCCTTGGTGTCATAGACTGCAAAGTCTCGAATGTGCGAGTGTCCACCAAACGCTTGGATAGGAGTATCCGGGTGCACCTTGCGAATAGCATCGACCACCTTCCCAATGGTGCTGCTGGTGTCGTTCCTCCTGACGGGGTTGTGGCCTGTGATCAAGTTAGCGAGGCACTCACAACGTGAGATACAACCCTACCTGTAATAACGAACAAATCAACAGGTTTTTTATAATTCACAGCATCAAGAAACCATTGCTGCTGGACAAGCTCGGCAGCCTGTACATCCACTTTAGCAATCTGCAACTCAATCCTGGCCCTCAGAACTACTCACCTGGATAACCTTGGACACATTCGAATTACCCTTGAAATCGAACAGAACGCCAAAAGCCATGATCCTTAGCCCCTGCTCAGTCGTAAAGTACCGGTACTTGTGTCCAATGTACTCGAACTCGCCAGTCGCAGGGTTAATGATCTGCACGTTGCTCGTGAGATACCTGTCGCCGTAGACTTTTGAGAAGTTGGCGAACGTCTCGTAGGCGATTTCCGTGACGTAGAGCTCGTGGTTTCCAATGGTAAGGAGCTATTCGTCGGATCAACTGAAGTGCACATGCCGTGGGTCTCGTACGTTACGTACATCGTAATCAACATTCTCGAAAATGACGTTCGAGATTTTGCCATTGGGAACAGTGGCATCGGACAAACCAGCTCCATCGTGCAGGTCCTGTAGATATCAGCATCTGGGAGAGCATAACACGGCACGTATGGTAGGACAACATACACCCGTATCCACTAGCAGCAGATCTACACCCAATTCCCGAGCCTTCTTTTTCATTCCCTTGGTGAAGCTCACGTAGTCGCCCCAATCTGCGCCGTAATTCTGCTCCTTGAGGTGTCCTACAATGACATCGTTAGTCCTCGTGTATTGTGACAAAAGGTACATCGTCAATCCCCTCTCCCCTTCCGCGTCAAATCTCCCCCGGACTTACCTTCAAGCCACCCATGCGTGTCCGTCGTATGCAAGAAATTAACCTGCCCCCATTCCAGCGGGCCCCTCGGACCAGAAATCGCGTTCTGGGCTTCGGGCTGCATGCGGCGTACGTGCCGCGTGAGGACGACGTCGTGCGCGGGTTCGCCGTAGCAGGAGTCGCAGGCCAGCGCCGTGGCCGCGAGCGCTGCCACAGTCGCAATCCTAGCAAACATATTGAAGGCTGTCGGTGGCTATGCGATGGGACGCGCGGGCTTCACATGTAGACGGGAAAGCTACGCCCAGCAGCCCGGGTTCTTATACCAGCGACCCACGCCCGGGGTGCTGGGGCGAAAGTGCGCCAGGAACGACTGATGTGCATGGGCTTTCCTTTCGCGGCGATAAGCTCGCGCAAGCATATCGCGCTCCTCGGCGCGGCTACTTGGAAAGCTTAGGCCTGTACCCGTTCTACGCAGTGAACGGCAGAGATGCGAGAAGGACCTGCTTGATCGGTCCTAGCGCGCCCACGTGCTGGCGTATCTTGATGACAGGAGAGCGGACGGCGCCGCGAGTGATTTCCGACATCGTACTGGCAATCATTGTTTATGCGCGTTCCCGGAGGAATTGGGTGTGTAGGTAGCCACTGGGGAGAGGGACACCAGCAGCGGGGACGAGTACAACACATTCAGCGGTACAGCGTCTGCTCGACGCTACCGTGCGGAGTAGATAATGTCGTCTTCATGCTCTTCACACCAATATATTCTACAGCGATACGCAACTTACTTCTGACCCAACTTCAAGGGCACGAAAGCGAGACACAATGCGTCACACAAAAATGGCTGACCAGCACTGCCCAGAATGCGCCCGAACCATACGACCCAGAACACCACCCAATGCACCCGATGATCTTGCAATGCTCCCAATCGTGCACTTATGCACCAGCAACATCTCCTACCTTCAGCCACCGCTCCTCCATCGCCAGCACAGCAAGCTCCTTCATGCTCCCCAGGCTATCTTTCTTCGCCAGCGCACTCGGCTCTAGCAGCTCTGCAACCCGCTCCAGCACCTTGTACAGTTTCATCGCTTTACGCGCTATCTTGCTCTTATCCTCGTTGCTGGCCTCTACATTGCGCATGATCTGCGTGCTCGAAAGATTTGAGGGCTCATTGCTTTCTAGATGCTCGAGGAGCTTGTAGAGGATGAAATGCGCCCAGACGAGATTCGTCTTGGGGTGGAAGGAGCGCCAGAGGTCGGATGGCGGGTCGCAGTATGTGTCGGAGGGAGGTACTTGCGATGATGATGGCTCCGGATCATTGAAGCGGATGTGTTGTGCTGTCTTTCGGGGCGAACGACGGATTTGGTCGTCTTCGTTTTCTCGAGGGTCCTCGAACTGAAGAGGGTTGTTGTAGAAGACGGCGCCGCGCATGTAGCGGTAGATTTCATATTGGTATTCCTCGGAAGCATCGCCTTCAAATAGGCTCATGTCTTTGTTGAGGTCGAGGAAGGCGACCTCCAGAGGTGTCGATGCTATGCAAGGGGATGAAAGCGAGAAGGAAGAAGCGTCCGTCATTGAGGATGAGCGCCGGGAAACGGATGAGGAGACGTCCGCTCGTGAAAGAGTGTAGTCGATGACTGTCGTTTCTAGCCCTGTGAAGCCAAGTTTTCGACCTAACGGATCTTTGATGATAGGGTTCAGAAGATCTTGTTCGGAATCGGTCCGTGATGATCGTATGCAGATGTTCTCCAGATGCAGATCGCGATGCTCGAAGCGACATGCCTCCTCAGCTTTCGCTACGCTCAGACACACGCCCCAGAAAACATCCCAAATCTCCCAGACGGTGCTTAGTCCGCCCTTATCCATGACCTTTTCGACATCCGAACCAGCGTCCTGCATCTCAATGACGGCCCAAAGTTGAGTGTCATCATAGCTGGCCTTCTTGCTCGGGTCCGGAAACTGACTCTTCTTACCCCGTGGTCTTCCCTTGTTCCAAAATTTCCACGCGTCGATGAACCCTCTTGATGGCCGGCCCTGAAGCACTGTAAGCTCGCGGAAATTGGTGAAACCGGGTATGTAGTTGAGGTTCTGGAGGAGCTTAACCTCCGAGTACACATCCTCAACTTGCGACTTCCACGAATCCTCCTCTTCTCTTGCTTCTTTGTCCATCTGGGCTTGAACATCTGTATTCCGGACTGGGCGTGATAGGCTTCGCAAGGGTGCATTTGGGGCACTTTTCAAAGGTACAAGCTTCAGAACAGATTCCTTCATCGACCTGCATGCGGTATTCATAGCTGAAAGACGATAAACTTCTGAGAAAGACGCTTCGGCGATTTTGCTAACTGTGAAATGCGGCTCAAGCGAGGTTGACCATTCCTTGAATGTCATGAGAGATCTCCCATAACTCTGCAGCGACAGTAGCGGTGCCACGTACGATGTGTACGGGTCTTCGGGGGTCGTTGTCGAGGTAGGATTTGGAGTGAGACGCTTGGGCATTAATCTTGGTGCTGGTATAATCACCGCTTTGAGCTTCTGGCCATGTTTCGGCGTTTCTGGTGCAGTTTGTCGCTTCGGTTGTTGCTTAAGCTTTGCGACTTGCTCTTGTTCCGGGGCATACTCAATGCTTGAGCTTGGCTTGGCACGGGTTTTTGTGGGTTTCCTCGGGCTTTGCCTTCGCTCTTGGGGTGTCCTGGTACAAACTTCATCCTGCTTGCTGATGTCCAAGGCTTGGCATTGATTTGCGAGAGCGATAGATTCATCATCCTCTTTCGACTGCGTTGATTTACTGGTATTAATAGTGTTCGATTTCTTTTGCACCGAGGGCTTTCTAGCCGTCTTTTGCTTTGCGCCGGCAGCAGTCTTCCCGATACTCTTCGCCCTTCGGATCAGCTGCTCAGGGTCCATTTCAGCCAGCGCACCGCCATCCTCGATCCTCAGCCCCTCCAGATCCCCCGCCAAGTCACCAACATCCACCTCTTCGTTGGCTTCCCGATTGACACTTTCGTTCTTCGCCACATTTCCGGCTCTTCTCTTTGGAGCCTCTTCTTCTCCTTTCTTCATTGCGGCGGCGTCTTTGCTTGGGCTAATGAACTTAGCATAGCTCGTCGAAGGCTTAGCCACCGGGCGTTTTCCATAAACTTGTTTGGCCGGCATGTTATATTTGAGCGAGCGATGGCGTACCGGTTGACGAGACGGTGAAGTGAGGTTCATCGTTTGTGCGGGTTTAGCGGGGCGCTGGAAGGGGCTTAGTCTGGTTCGTTGACGGGGCAACCGCGATGGATTCGCAACCCACGTCATCGTCTTCAACAGTGTACACCTGGCAAGAGCATGTGGTCACGAACAAGAATTGCAGATGGCGTGCGAAATGATTAAGATTACTCCGGCGGGTATACCGACGTCTCAAGTCTTACCCATCGCAGACAAGAACAGATAGAGACGCCTACCCCCTGAAAAACAAGAAGGCTCGCTCCCCATCCCAACTGGGGCTGCCTTGCCCGTTCCATCCCAGATATATATATATGAAGATCGCTAAAGGACAGTAACGCTAGCAAGGAAATGCAAACACCATAGGTATTTGGCTAATATAAGGAAACCCCGAACAATGCAACCGGTAAATGCATGCGGATGGATGCCAATTTACAGCCCAAGGAAACTTTTGGTGACAGATGGTGATGGGAACATAGATAGATAATGGGGAAAGGCGCAAGGGGACTAGTTATCTCCACTGTCAACATCCGGCGTCGAAGCTGCGCTGTCAACCTCAGGAAGTGCAGGTGGTATAACACCCATACTCCTTCGTTTCGACTTCTTGTCCACGTCGTCTTTCGACTTAGTAGCCGTACCGTTAGCACTTGATGGTCCGGCTCCATTGGGAGCGCTCGATGTCGGACTGGCTGCTGCTTTGCCTCTGCGCGGAGCAACGCTGGAGTAGCTTGTGGATAGATTTGAAGTGCTGTTCGTGGTGTCGGAGGCGTTGGTAAAATCTTTCCAACGACGCCAACCGTCAAAGTCGATGAGAGCTTGCATACAACCCCATTCTTTGACTTTACGTTCAAGCCAGACGAAGTTGACAGGCTGAGAAATGGTCAGTGAATAAACCAATCCCCAGATCGAATAATTCTCACCTTAGTCAAGAAGTCGTTGCAACCGGCTGCCAACGCTTCGTGTCTATCGCTCTGCAGAGAGCTGGCCGTGAGCGCCACAATAATGACAGGGCTCTTGAATAAGTTCTTTTCACCCAGTTTGTCATCGTCCTTAAGATCTCGGTCTATCCCTTTGTCTCCAAGCCTGGTGTTGGGTGCTTCGCTGCTGCCGCTGCTAAAGACACCAATACTATTGACCCGCTCGAGCCGCCTGATCTCCCTGGTCGCCTCCAGACCGTCCATAATGGGCAATTGAATGTCCATGAGCACCAAGTGGAATCCGCCAACCCTCCACTTTTCAATGGCTTCCTTGCCGTTCATTGCTCGCTGCCACCGCACCTTCAGACGCTGCATGAAAGCACCCAAGACTCGCAAGTTAATGATGTTATCTTCCACGATTAATACGTTGATTGGAGGTACGGAGTTGTCCAACAAGCCCGGAGGCAAGCTCGGCGTGTCGATCGGTCTCTGCTTCTTTGGGCGCTTTTGTGGCTTTGGAGACGATACGCGGGGAGTCGGAGGCGTAGAGTTCTGTCGCATATTTGGATCCGCCAGTGCCGGAGGGGTGGGTATGGGCGGGTTTCCAGAGGCGGAGTGCTTATCGGATGCGGAGGAATCGTTTCGGATTCGAGGGGGCCGGCTGCTCGTAGCGGATTGCGGCACGCCGCCAGTCAGCGAACCAGGCGAGGCGGTATTATGGCGGTGGTTCTTAGGACGGCTAGCTATGGGCCTCCTCGGGCCTCCAGGCGATGGCAGCGGGGGCAGCGTGCCCCTCTGGAGGATGGAGATCGAATGCGGCGCATGGTCGAGGGAGGCTCGTGTCTCATGAGAGGCGGCGGTCTGCAGTGCGGGAGAGGGATGGGCTATGGGCATGAGTGGGAAGTACTCGGTCTGAACGTGATTCTGCGAATCGTCATGGTGTGCGTAGTACTGCGGCACCCGCGGCGAGGGCTTGGGGGTGCGTGCTCTGATGGGAATGTCGATGATGAGAGCCTCGTGTACTGTCTGGCCGCCCGGGAAGTATGCGTCGAGCGTCCTGCACATCTCCTCCTCTGGGCCCAGGATGCGCTCCTTGCCCTTAGCGTTGATGTCGCGCGGCAGTATGCGCAGCGTGAGGTCTGGCGCGTCGAAGCTCCGGCCCAGCGAGTTGCCGTACTTCTTGAGGATCATCTCGCGCACGTCGTCGACGAGGTCATCTTCACGGATCTGCACCAGCGTCGCCGAGGCATTCTGGCGCTTGACCCAGATCTTGCGGTGCAGCATGCTGGCGTTGAAGTGGGAAGCGCCTGCGAAGTAATCGGTGGCAGTGGGTGGGACCGTCGCCACAGGATTCGCAGCGGCGTCTGATGCGAGCAGTGTCGTGATAGCGCGTGCATTCGAGGGCGCCACGAGGGACTGGCGGCGGGTGGGCGCGGGTCGCGAGCTGGATGGAAGCGAGGGGAGCTCGGATGGGCCGTCTTCTGAGCCAGCAGAGCCTGCGCCGCCTGCAGCGAGGGCGGGGAGCACCGGAGGCGGCTGTGCGGGCGGATGCACGGGCGTGGGCTCCTCGAGCGTGACGGCGGGACAGGCGGTGGGCACGTCGCTGTCGTTGGGGAGCGAGGCCGTCGCAGTCTCTCTCAGCTTGACGTTGTCGTTGCGGCTCGGTGCCTCGTGCGGATGCCGATCCCTCGACATGGAGCTCTCCAGCGTTTCGGGCCTACTACTGGTGCTCACGCTGCTGCCGCTGCCGCCGCCCGTCGACCGCACCACCAGCTCCGACTGCACCATGCGCGTGTCGTCCCCTTCTGCCGGCACGTCGGACGCAGAGATGGCGGGCAGCTTGGACAGCGACATGCTCTTGCGCACGCTGTGCGCGGTGCGGACCCGTTCGCTGCCGTTGGACGAGCACTGCGATGCCGACGACGATACGTGGCTCTGCCGGCGCAGAAGTTTGGCCCGCGCATGGCTGATGCGCGACCTGATGCTGCTCATGGCGGCGAGCAGCCGACGTCTGCCAGGCTGGCGCGCGCTCGATGCCGTGGTCGCGGACGCGCGAGGGCAAGGTCCTGTGTGTGGCGTGCGCGGGCAGCTCAGCTTCACGTGGTAGGCGGATCGCAGCTGCAGCCAAGAGGGTCGACGAAAGAACAACAAGAAAACGGGTAGTGAGTGTATCAGGGTCAGGTCAGTAAAAAGGGCAAGAGAAAGTCAGCACACGCCTGCGTTCGAAGGATGTCGAATCTCGATGATGGGGAATTTGCGCGCTGCAATCTCGATTCTGGCATCTCCCATGTCACGCCGTGTCCGCAGGGCTAGCACGACTCGCGGAGCCTGACGATAGATAAATGCTGCCCGCACCCACGCTGCTGTTCCCAAGGACACGCTGGCTGCACGCGTAAGCCTGGTGTCGCCCCAAGCCCAGAGACAGCACGCCGCAGTCCTGTCTCGCGCGTCCTGCTGTGTCTCTTGCGACTGGTTGCAGACCATGGCACTCCACAAACATCGCAGGCCAGTCCCCGCGTCGCCTGCATGACCGCCTCCTTCGCCATCGCATTGTTGACACCTCTCCAGCTGCACCTCTGTTCAATTGGCCCCCTTTCAGCCTTGGAGTTGTTCTGATATGCGCTACCGCCCGTTCGTCGCCACCATCCATCTCCTGCAGAAACCTGAAATTGCAGCTAGTCGTTGTACCCAAATCCTGATATCGGCCCTACTGTTTCTCCTACTCACCGATAAGCGCCCCGACACATGCGTCTTCACGACAGCCCGTCTTCGTAGAGTGATTGATATCGATCAGTAAAGAGCGTCTGCCATGACACTTCGATGAGGCAACCGTTCTGAGTGTCCGCGGCATTGCGCGCCGAGCATCACCGCCAATTATACTCTATCAAACATCGCGCTGTCTTTCCGCTTCGCCGTGTCTCATGTCAATCAGCTGCCAAAGCCGGCATTTTCACGACCACAACGACTAGTAAACACCGGACGCGAAAATTCGAGGACACGGTACCGTGTACCTGGTCGATGCCATCAGACTCTTGTAGACAAGCGGAGATTTCCACAGCTCTAAGCAAGGTATTTGCAACATGGCGCGCGCGACATGGGAAGGACTGCCCACAAAAGCAACCATGTTACGCAATTGACTGGGAGCATGGAGTTCATGGTTGCATCGCGTGCTATGATCTTGATGGCCTGATAAAGCAATCTTCAGTCTCCTCGCTATGCAGATTCAGGGGCCATGTGACCCCCCTCCCCTGTGGACTGGGCCGGGCAGAGACTATCAAGCTATCAGTAAGAGAGGGCTACAATACTCGATTGAAGGTGTGGGTACTGCATTGCTCCCCAGGAGTAACACCATGTATCCAAACTATCCAAACCTTTGACGAGGCAGTACACACTATACCACCAACGATGTCACAGCCCAAAACAAACTCTGAGTCATATGCTGCGCACACATAGAAAGGTAACTTTCATTTGCAAACGTCAAACCTTAACAGGCGCTGCTCGAAAGTTGAGCCTACTATCGCCGACTGCGCAGCCTTCTCCCGCTGACGTGCTTCGAATTCACCGCTCACCTTCACAACAGCATCCCCATCACCGTGGCCACTCTTCACCACCCTCCTCACTGCCTTCAGCACCGCGCCGGCCACCGAGATGGCGCTCAGTTTCCCGACAACCGCACACCGCATTGGAGACACTCCACTACCGCTCTTTGTCGCCTCATTACATGGAGCAAGATCCGGCATTTCCACCGCTGCTCTTCTCAATACTCACCGCGGGCCTCTCGCCTACGAGAGCTATGGAGGTTCAATCCGATCGAGTTTCAACCGCAGCGGACGAGCCCTGCATTAACAAGCAGGTGAAGTTGAACATCAAACTACGGATATCGAGCATGCGCCGCTCCCGCTCAGACAGTGAAATCTATGAAAGCCCGCCGTCGCCGCCCTCAACCTCACGACACTCGCTCCCACCCACCTCGACGCCGCGCCGCAGATTAGAAGATTTTTCATTGCCACCACTCCAAATTTCCAAAGCTCGACCCAGTATCGCAATCGATCTTCTTCCCAACATCCCACCTACGCCAGAAGCGATGCTCAACCCACCCTTGAGCCCGTTCACCCTTCTCTGCCCAGCATGCCACACCCTGCGGCCCCGTATCGCCAAGGGCCAAGCTACTGCCGTGTGTCGAGCATGCTTGACAGCATTCAAGAGCACAGAAAGGACCTGTAAGTCGTCGCATAGGCTAGGAAGCGTCCTCACCAGCTTCCCGCCATTGGTTGCTGGCGAGAGTAGCGAGAGTGAAGAGGAAGATACAAACGCCGAAGCTGGGGCAGGATCGAGAAAGCTCAGTATCGTCGGAGGTATCACTCGAGTCTTTGGGATGCTGAGGGGCGGAGCGGCAAAAAGCCGGAGGGAAGTGAGAGTAGTGCGGAGAGCTGGTGGGATAATGGAAGTGGTGCGAGTGGAAGCCGGTCTGCGTCATGGTCGTTATTCACGGTCTCGACGACTTCTCGAGACTGATAAGTAGGCAGAGATTTGCTTTTATGTATAAGCATTTGGTACGCTTCAATATTGCAATGGCACCGTGCTTCGTTTTCGTATCGTTCTATGAGTAGGACCTAGCTCAGTCCAATGCGTCTGCAAGCAGTAGGAATCTTCCACAGAGAAAGCCAATCTGATTCTACTGATCTGATTAAGTTTTCTCACTTTCAGCATCTAGGTTGTACTTACCTTAGACTATTATGCGGGAAGGTGCGGTCCCTACCATTAGGGCAGTCCTTCACTTAGCGCCGCCCGCCACACTCCACCATCACTCCTACGCTACACTCTATGAACACCTCCGACAACTCCATGTAGCCACTCAGCGCTTAACTTCTATCAGTGAGAATCAAACTGCACGGAGATGGCACGGACGAGCGTGAGGTTTATTCGGCCTCAACGGCGGGGTGGTGTACCGAATCTGCAGGATGTATTGCGTGCTTGACCAGCAACAGCACGAAGTTCCCACACCTTTCCACTCCAGGCTCAAACCACAGCCCAGACGACTCAGACGCGCATTCTTCACGTTAGCAGCATGACAAGATGCAGCGGCAATACTACGGACAAGCCGACGGGCGTTTTCGGTCCTTTGCATTCGACAAGCATGTCGCAAGCCGGAGGCGCAATGAGGACAGCTGCTATCATGCGATTTGAGAGATTATATATGCCGGCTATCGGTCGCCTGCCAGGCCTTGCATGCTCGACTGAGTTGTTCCGTGGACACCATGGGCAACCCTCAAACCAACGTCTATTCCGATGCGGCGGACACCGAGTCGTCTAACCCGAGCATCTCGCAAGAAGCTATTGTGAAGCCTATCAGGAGTTGGAAAGGGTACATTTGGGACACCTGGGATCTACCGCAGGACCAGCGCCGATTACTTTTCAAGGTCGACGCCTTTGTCTTGACGTTTGCTTCGGTTAGTACTCATTCGCATCGCACGCACCTTATCCTAACGGCCCTGATCAGCTTGGCTATTTTCTCAAGAACTTGGATCAGAACAATGTCAACAATGCTTTCCTTAGTGGTATGGGGGAGGAGCTGAGCATGTACGGGAATCAGCTCGTTACAAGCACATCTATCTGGACTGTGGGCTACGTGATCGGGCAGATCCCTTCGAACCTATTGCTAACGAGAGTGAGCCCAAGATGGGTAATTCCTGCGGTAAGCTACTCTAATTTCGCTGTATCTGCTCCACATATTGATCGATACGATAGCTCGAGGTTGGCTGGGGCATCGCTACATTTTGTACTGCGGCTGTTAAGTCTTACAAAGAGTTGTACGCATTAAGATTCTTGGTTGGTTTCTTCGAGTAAGTGAGTTGTTCCATACTGTACGAACATGAAGCTCAGTAATTCCTCCTCAGATCTGGCTTCTACCCTGGAATCCACTACCTCCTGGGATCGTGGTACACGCCACAAGAGCTCGGCAAACGCGCGATGATCTTTTGGCTGGCTGGAACTGTAGGCAACATGTTCTCTGGCTTTCTTCAAGCGGCCGCATATACGAATCTCCACGGCGTCCACGGACTTTCCGGGTGGCGCTGGCTTTTTCTCGTGGACGGTATCATCACACTGCCCCTCGCCCTGCTCGGCTTCCTCTTCTTCCCCAACCTACCTCAAGGAGGCAAGAAGACATGGTGGACTACGGACGCCGAGCACGAGCTCTCAGTCAATCGCATGAAAACCATCGGCCGCGCCGGGAAACAGCCCTGGACCCGCGCAAAAGCAAAGCGCGTCCTCCTCAGCTGGCACACTTACTTTCTGCCCTTGCTGTACGTCATCTGGAACAACGGTATCCCACAGCCAGCCATGGGATTCTGGCTCAAATCCTTCAATAAAAAGCCCAACCCCGTGCCCGGCAAGCATTTCTCCATCCCACAAATCAACAACCTCCCACTCGTCACCAACGGCCTCTCTATCGCCATGGCGCTGCTCTGGGGCTGGCTCTCCGACGGCCCCTGCCGCGGCGCCCGCTGGCCCTTCATCTACGCCGGCGCCGTCCTAACCCTTGCTTTCTCCATTGCTATGTGGCGCATGCCGCTGTACTCCGACATCGAGGGCCGCAAGGTGCTGTACTGGCTCAGCGCCCTGGGTAACGGCGCGGGACCCCTCATCCTCTCCTGGATCAACGAGATCTGCTCCAACGACACGGAGAAGCGTGCGCTGCTTGTTGCCGCGGGGAATGATCTTGCGTACGTAGTGCAGGCTGTGGCGCCGAATTTCGTGTGGAAGACGACGGATTTCCCGGCTGCGAGAAAGGGATATACCTGGAGTGTGGTGCTGCAGGTGCTGTTGATTGTATGGACGGCGGCGATCCAGGTGCTGCTTTGGAGGGACAGGAGGGCGAAGGGAAGGGGGGTGGAGGAGGCCGTGTCAGAAAGGGAGCATGAGGCGGAGGGAGAAGGAGAGGAAGGGGCGGTGACCGTGGGGAAGGTGTAGGATGGTTGGCGGGGCGATTGAGAGAAACTGGATAGGCGTGTGCTGTTGGGGTGCCAGGATGAGCTAAAGAGCACTAGAAGGCATTGCACCAGGCCTTCTTAATTATACTGGGAGACTTGTTCGAGCAGCGACCGCGCACTTGGCCACCGAGATCACCTCGACGCAATTGATGCGCCCCAGTGTAGCTCCTGGTACCAGCGGGGCCATCGATGACTAGGTACACGAGTACTTTCAGAGGATATGAAAACACCTTGATCATTGATTCGTTCCATTGCAATGTTTGTGGGGGTGCCTACATACAGTCCAGTCCAATCAGTCCATCCGTCCATCCGTATTCCAAACACGTCGTCTCATCGCTATGGTATCATTACACTGCACAATCAATATGCACAAGCTAAACCAGAATCAACCAATCCTATCGTCGTCACTCACTCGTTCGCTCACGTGAAAAGAATCCCAAACGCCATACATGCCTCAACCTCTAAAGGCTGTTCGTCTAAGAATCGCTGTCGCTCAACGAGTCTCTCCTCACGGTCCTCACGCCTCCACGTCGGTAGCCCGCCATGACATCCCTACCACCACGTTCTTCGCGCCTCGGGCCGCGCGGCGCACCCATTTGGCTTACGCTGTCGTTGGGCGCGACACTACCCGCGGTGCTGAGGCCAGGGATGTGACACGGGTATGCGATGGTGCCGCGGACGTCGCCGTTCGCGGCGGTGAAGATGTCCGAGGCGTTTGAAGGACCAGGGCGGGAGGTGGAGGCGCGGTGGTGCTTGCGGGGGGACTGGGAGGAGGGGCGGGAGCGGGACTCGTGTTGGCGAGGACGGGACTGGGAGCGCGAGGCGCGGGTGCGCTCAGCGTTCGGGCGGTAGTCAGAGTAGTAAGAAGACTCCTGGGCTTCCGAAGGGGCGGAGGTGGGGGCTGGGGCGGCACGCGACTTTGTGTTGTTATCGTGCGAGATGTCAGTGTAGGCACCGGTGTACTCGGTGCGGTCGTCACCGGTGACGAAGGAGTAGGCAGCTGACGGAGGAGCACGGCGGGAGGAACCACGAGCCGGGGCGGGAGCTTCAGAGGGAGCAGTGTATTCCGTCTTGGGGGCGTCGTAGGTGTATTCGCTTTCGAGGGCGGTGTACTCCGTCATAGCAGGGCCACCAATCTCAGAGGGCGCGACTTCCGACTTGGCTTTCTTTGCCTTCTTCTGCTCGGCCTTCTTCTCCTTTGCGGCTTGCTTCTCGGCTTCCTTTGCGGCCTTTGCTTCGGCGGCAGCGGTCTTAGCGGCTTCCTTTTCGGCGAGTTTGGCCTTGCGCATGCGTTCGATTGCGCGCTGCTTCTTGGCCTTGTCTTCCTTCTTCTGGTCCTTTTCGGATTTCTTCGCCTTGTCCTTGACGAGCGGGCGGCCGGAGACGTTGGAACCTAGGTCAGAGGGCTCGGTGCCGGTAGCAGAGTAGTCGGTGTACATGCCGTCAGCTTGTCGGTTGAGGCCGCCAACCTTGGCCGGGCGCTCGTCGCGGTAGTCACGGAGGTCGGGGTCCTTGTAGTCGTTGTCGTGCTCATGGCGCTTCTTCTTCTTCTTGTCCGCATCGCCGCCGCGGATGCCGAAGTGGCGGCGGCTCTTGCCCTCTTCGACCTCACGCATTTCGCTGACAGTCGTCCCCGTCTCGTCGGTGTATCCTACTGTGGTCGGGGCGCCATAGGTGCCGCCGTGAACAACACTGCCTCCGCCGAGCTTGGTGCTCTTGGTCGCGTTACTGAGCGTCCTTCCGTCCGGGCCCTTGCGGCGTAGCACGGTTGACTTGTAGTCCTCCCAGTCGTTCTCCTGCCATTTGAAACCGCCATTCTTGGCACGGAAGAAGAACCACAGTGCCGTCATCGTCATGCCGATGCCGATGAAAGCAAACAGGAGCTGGAACCATAGGTTGTTGTAGGCTCGCGGGTCCTTTGCGCCATCGGCTGGGTTGATGCCGCGGTCCGCGCGTTTCGCCAGGTGGATGTCATGGACGGCGACGGGGGAGAAACCATCCATGTTGGAAAGGATTGTGAGAGGGGAGAGCGGTGAGGGCGCCATCGTGGGCCGCTGCTCGGTGCGGTGGTTGCAACGCAAGCGGCTTGATGCTGATGGACTGCGGCGAAATGGTGCAGCGAAAGACAACTAGCAGAAATAGTCAGGTGCAATGGTCTGTAGTGATGGGAGATGGATTGGGGAGAGGGTGGAGCTGGTGCGCCTCTAGAACTTCTCTTTGCTGGCGATGTGGCTGGTCGCGTTTCGCGGTGGTTGGGGAGGCTGGGAAGTGACGCCATGCAAATAAACACGCTATCCCCGGGGTGACGCACGGACCCACTGGGGGTTTCAGAACACCAAACGCGACTTCGCCAACATCAACCTATGGCCAGCGCATGATCAGGGAATTCGTGGCATGAAGAACAGGGATCGCATAATATATACCGCGCCTGGCCTGGCGCTTTGCACGGCTTGCATCACTCAATCCTCACAGCAGCACGCCAACGGCCCTCATCATGGATCCTTTCTACGATGTATCCTGCCTTCGAATTCAAAGGCGGACGGTAAGCATGCGTCGGCTGATGAACTTCCGTGGGCAGAAAGGCCTCTTTACCTATTGGTGAGTTGGCATGGCCTGACACAACTCATCTCCGGACGGTCCAGCTTCTCGAGATGTGAACAGTCATCTTCATTGACCTCGCCTCGCTCTGTAGAGTACCTGCGGTGCGTCGAAGGAGTGTCCGAGATAGTGGGCTGAGATTCTTTCGTGAGGGAGTACTACATGCCTGCTACAAAGAGACATGACAATGAGGCCAATGAACTTAAGTGCTAGTAGGAGTAGTTGGGCATGGCAGGCGCGAATAGCTCCTTATTGTTCTTGCACGAGAGTCCGGTACCCAGATGATTACCGGCGTTATTTAGGTACTGTCCAAATCGACCCTCGGACGCCTGACCTACTCGGATACGTTGAGGGCATGCGCCTTATGGATTCTGGATCTGACGATGTACTCCCGCCGTGAAGCATGCCTGTCGATTGCCACAAGCTCGGGTCTGGTTCGCTGACTATTGCGAGCTTGAGCTTCAATGCTCTCAGGCGGCGACTATCCCTCCTCCTCCTCCTCCTCCTCCTCCTCCTCCTCCTCC